AAAAAAAAAAAAAAAAAAAAAAAAAAATCGGTGGTTTATGATGTTGCAACACAGATACATGCTCCCGGGAACAATACAGAGCGATAGAAATTCAGTGATCAACAGGAATAATTGTCAGAATCGGGGCTTATATGTTGTCCCACGAGACTTGAGCAAATGCTTCCTCCGTCTCGACCAATGTCTTGCAAGGCCCCAACAATTCCCGGCTATCGATGAGGGTGTCAGTCTGGCCAACAGTGGCCCAGATTTTCTCAGGCCCAGCGACTTCCCAAAATCTCATCATCAGGCCCAACTCGGTTCCCCACTCCGCAAAGAGAGCTTCGTAGTCCGCAAAGGAGATTGGCAGAACCTTAACCTGATCCTCACCCTTTCCAATGGCTTTTGCCCATGCGGAGTAGTAGTCCTGGACAGTATAAGAAGTGGTGGTTACGATGACATACTTGGCCCCACTGGATGAAGCGCCGAGTTTGCTGGTCCATAAAGTTTGCCCATCATTCTCGACTAGCCCTGCAACAGCAGTACCAACATTAGACATCGCACCGAGGGAAGCAATCCTCGTCTGTGCAGACACTGGAGTAAAAGCGACGAATTTGCCGATCGAATTCTGTTCAATGCGGGTAAAAATGAGTTTACTGCCATGGCGACAAGGAGAGTTCCACGGGGAGGGCGAACTTACCGCATATACGGGAGCGAAAGGAGGATAGAAGAGGTTGGACGTATAGAAAGTCACCCAGAGGAAAACCGTCTTTGATAACAAAACCTGGTCCTGCTTGATGAACTCATCCACCCTAGCCTTGGCAGCAAAATGGGGCACCACAACCGCCCCGCTGGAGAGTGTGCGCGAGTCGGGAAGTGTACTCCAAATGTATAGCTCCAGACTCGGAGTCTGAGACGCAGCCTGGGCGAGGTTGACCCCTTGCTGATACTCGATTTCCATGGCTGCCTCAGGCCCGACCGTTGCGAAGGGCTCAAAGAAATTGGTAACGGCATAGATGATACTGACATCGGCAAAGGCCTTTACCAGGCTGGATTCGTCATTCAGGTCCGCAGCTACCACTTCAATCCCTTTGGAAGCGAGATCCTTGGCCTTTTCGCTGTTGGTATTGCGTGTGAGCGCCCGAATCTGGAAAGAAGGGTTACCCTCCAGTGCAGAGATCACTGCACCACCCTGGGTACCAGTTGCACCGACAATTGCGACGATCTTAGGCATTTTGCTTTGTTCCCCTTTTTGTGATAATGACTTTTTAGGAGTGCTCGTATGAAAGAATGGTGTATGGGAAGACAAAATTCTGATATAATTTTCCCCACTTCTTACTGTTCTGTATGGACTAGAGCTCACTCTTATAGATATATTTGTGATGACGTACGTTTTGGGGTTATCAATCGGTGATGTGGCACTTTTGGAGAGAGACCTTGGCTCATTATTAATCATTAGTTTCTTCCAGTTGCGTGCGAGAGAAGGGTGCCGAGAAGGGGTTATAGTAAGTTAAGCCTCAGAGATCCAAAAAAGTGTGCTGCCGAGTTCCGTCCACTATCAGGTACTTCTCGGGAAAACCTCCGAGGCATGGCTGGATTTGTATTTTCCCGTAAACCTGGAGACATTTAGGGAGCAACAACTTACCGAATATTGGCCTCCACTTTACTGATTTGCTTAATAATGTAGTTGATGGTATTTAGTCAGTTAATAACTACCATATTACTTTTCGGCACATTCCGCTTCCAGAATCTCAACATGACCGTCAACGCAATGTGCTTTACCCTAAAGACGCGGCCTTCGACTTACAATACTATTTGTCGAATCATATGACCCTTGCTGTCGAGAGATGGTCCTTACATGGATTGAAGGATTGGCGGGTAGTTCAATTCACATCTAGCGATGCACCGTTTGTGGTTGGAGCTATGTTCACCTGGGATAGCATGAATGGCTTAACTGAAGCCTGCAAGGCTGAAGACTCCAAGGCTATATTTGAAGATGTTTCGAACTTCAGCGACAAAGAACCAATCATACTGTATGGGGACGTTGTCGAGACATGGCAGCGATCAATCTAGGGGTTCAGTGAATAGCTGCTGAGGAAGTAGTAATGGAAAGGACGGTTAAATAGGCTCGACGAATACATGATTATAGTTGGCAACCAACTGTGTTCATACTCGGTGGCATCTTAAGAAACCCGCTAGCCACAATGATCTTTGGTACATGACTGTGGCTCTGTATAGTTATCAAATGGTCTGGACATATCAATTTCCCAAGTTGCTTATCCCGCGTACCCCGCTCAACGAGCTACTTTTGTGTAGAGCCAACAATTCTATCGGAAGTCCTGACCGTAACTACACCTGGCCAAAGAAAGTAAGTTATCTGGTGAAGAGGAGCAGCCAGTGTCAAAGGGGAGACTTTGTTGACCATCTGGTGGTGACGTCATGCACAGGTCCTCGACGAGTAGATTGCGTCTAGAGTAAGTGCGAGATCCCCATGGCATGCTAGACACATAATTTACAAACCCCCCAGCAAAAAGCGATGCTGTATATTATTGTGATTATTACTGTATTAATAACGTCGACTCCCGTCAACCAACCGAACCTACGAGTGCGCCAATGACTCGCTCCCCGGTGAGAAATACTCCAGCAGGCGGGGAAAGTTGCATGTTGCCGCCGTGTGCCAGTTGTTCCCGGCACAGATTCATCAAGTATTGGTAATCACGATCAAAAGCTAGGATGCATTTGCTTTCGCGTCCCCATGGTACCTGGAAACACTCGGAGACTTTTACAAACCAATCTCGCACTGATGTCACAATGTCGGCCGCGCCAAGATGAACAAAAAAATCACGCAAGCGTCAATTTCGAGCCGTTTCTATAGCCTGATGGGTCGGCCTTTTTAGGCGTTTTGGGGAAAATGGTTTGGGGGAAATAAATTTGGAGAATTCAGGTGACGTGGTTTTCCAAGCGAGGCTTAGCGAATGGAGCTTGGAGGAATCATTTGGTTCGCAGCAATGAAGGTCAAATATTATATATAGTCCTCATATCGACCGATCTATCTTGACCTTTTATACTCTAATCATTTCTACCTACCTGAGTCTGCATTATGGAATACAACATCCTGATCACTGGTGTTTCCGGTTATCTCGGAGGAACATTGTTGAATCGGCTAAAGAATGCACCCCTCCCAAAATACCACAAGTTATTCGCGCTTATACGGAATCCCGACCAAGCCCACGCAGTCAAGCAATATGCTGCTGAGCCCTTGGTGTTCGACATCCATGATTACGAAAGTGTACTAGACAATATTCAGAAGTATAAAATCAATGTCGTATTCTCTTTGGTCGATGCATACAGCTCTACATGTCAAGAGCACTTTATAAGAGCGCTGAGCGAACTGAAGAAAAAGACCGGGCAGGTGGTGCACTTTCTGCATGTAAGTATCCCTGCCGATTCCTGTTAACTTAACTAATGCTTGCCAGACCAGTGGAGCCAAGGCTTTTTCTGATCATGCGGGTGCTCCCGTTGATAGGACCATTCTTGATACTGAGCATAGTCTGCTTGAACTGCAGAAGTCGCAACACACCGATCTCCCCGCATTACAACAGGTATATCATGTTTGTTTTGCTTATATACCTCTGTGTCTGACTAGTACAGCTTGTGGGTGCCAACACGAAGATTGTTGAGCTGAGCGAAAGTCTGGGTGTTAGAAGCTATATCTTCTGCCCTTGTATGGTCTGTAAGTATTGCTTTATTATACTTATCATGCAAGGGACTTCTTTTTATCATAAGCAGATGGCAAAGGTGAAGGATTCGGCAACCAGGTCTCTATTCAGACTGTTGCTATAGTTAGTACTGCTAGGGCTACGGGACACGTCCGCAACCTCAACGAGTCCCAACAGGCGGTAAGTGACCTCCCAATAGGCGAGAGAATTGTTTTGACCGGTTTTAATCCTGGCCAGTGTGTCATGTGGTAGATAATGCCTTATTGTACATCGCCATTCTTAAGAAAATACTCTCGTCCGAGGACTGCGACCATGGCCAGGAGGGCTTCTATCTCGCATCCAGCGGCCGGGTTGCCTGGAAGGATGTTTACGCATCCATCGGGGCTGCTTTGTTCAAACGAGGTCTGATAAAAGATAGTGCTGTCCACCCCGCCGATGAGAAGGTGCTTGCCGCAATGGCCGAGACACTCAAGTCGTCAACGGATATGGTGGCTCCTCAATTGAGTGGAGAGTGAGTGTACCTAGACCTCATGTTGAGAACACGAATTAATGAATTGTAGGTGCACGTTTACGGCCAAGCATGGTTATGAAATCGGATGGAAGCCTTTGTTCCCGCCGGACCATATTTTCGAAGTCATGGACGAAGAAGTTAATCTTATTCTTTCGAGCAACGCAGATAAATCCGAAAGGACACAGAGAAATGGTGCTTTCTAATGGTGCTGCTTCGAAAGTTAGCACATGACCATAGCGACCGTGCCCGCCTCTGTTTTCGCAAACTGATTCCTGATCATGTCAGGGCAGGTTGCAGAGGAGATAGGTCTTATTCGACTTGGGTCGAGAGTCGAATCGTTTGATCAGTCATATCTTTTGCCATGGAAATTATACCTAGTCATGCAATCTCGTGCGATGCATGGACGGTTAATTCTTCTGTCTCTCTTGAAACAACCAAATAGCTTTGCTACCGTAAATGAGAGTGATGTCGACTGCTCCAAGGTTATGTGTTAGAAGGGACTGGATAGAACCATGATGGCCGCATTTAACTACAACGTGCAATAGGGTCCGGACATTTGAATCAAAATCCTTCCACCTCATCCGTAGGTTCAGGCTAGTATCTCTATCTCGTATCACTTCTCATACATACTTCTCAGGGGGCTGCGGCCCTGAGAAGCGGGCTATATGCTCAGGAATCACCACGGAATCAAAGGGAGACAATCCTCTGCATACTGTACGAAGGGCAACATGGGATGGGTTAAGAAGAATGGGCGTCATCAAGCCTTTACTGTCCTAGCAGACGTACACCTACCAGGACTCCGTAGAGAAGTGTGATCCTCTCCTGCTTTCCGCCCGACAAAGGCCTGACCCTTCATCATTATCATCGGAGTTGTCATGGCTTAGGGGGCAGCAACGTTGTCTGGCAGCGAATGAAACGATGGAAAAGGATACCAAGCCGTGATAGAGGGGAGGAATCCTTTATCAAAGGGAATTAGACAGAAATTGGTGGCATTTAATGTAGTGACTAAAAACTGAGGTCCTTCATATACTTGATGAGTGCCATCTTAGATCTGCGAAAAGAGAACTCGTATCTAAAATCACATACAGTGGTATGTCAATAGTTTGCGTTGCCCCACTGTACCAAACTAGACTAGGCTGTGCGGTAGACTTGCCTGAACAGGTTTAGACTACCGGTACTTAAATAAGTAACCTACCCGAAGTATGGTTGTTTTTCTTTACCTGGCGAGATATTGGATCACCAATTGAGCTCTGATCTCAGCCACGGAGGTCGCAGTGGGGCTTCTCACTCCATACACTCGGGAACATTTGAAATCAACTTGGAAACTACTATCATTTCAAATCACCGGATACTTTCTCGGTGACATAATTGCCCCGACCCGTCGCTTATCCACCGCTCCTCATGTATGACGCTTCCTAGGACCACGGGCACCATCCGCCCAGAGTTGGCGGCCGGCCCCCATACAAATCAAGGGAAGGAGGGGTTAGGTCCATCTTGGCGGAGTCGGCGTAACCACCACCCAGTCCTGTAGAAAAAATGGCATTTACACCCCCTTCTTGGTCTCGATGGCTGCGTTAGTAGACATAAAGTTTGCTATCTAACTAATTGCTATCGAGCCTGTACGAGGGTAGTAGGGTATTTATGATTGAAACTAAGCCTTCTGGTATACCGGATCCGCTCCATATCAGTGGTGATGTATAACATGCATAAATACGATATGATTGATATATATACATATATATGTATGTATGTATGTATGTATGTATATCAATCATAATATAACTAACTTCTGACCCTAATAACTGACCACCTTAACCACCTTACTAATAATAAGATCTATCTATATAATACTAGAGTTAAGTCTGAAGTTAGCTTTAGTTAAATGTTAAAGGGTACGCCCATGCGGTCAAATGGGGTTGGGAACTCCTTGAGTCTCCACTAATGACTAGGCGTCATCAACAAAAGCGTGAATATGAGGGAGCTCCTCATTTATGGTATTTCTGATCTTGGTAAGTTCCATATTGAGGGTCGCTGGATCAGCCATAGGCTCTCTAAATGACCTTTCGTGTGACATTCTGTAGCATTATTATCTTCTGGATAGGAGAATAGGTGTTCTAGCATCTAGGGGTGGGCGAACGGCGGTTTATATCATAAAGTGGCCTCGCACGCGTGAAATTCATAATAGTGTTACTGCATCCCTACATACCTTATGATGGAATTCGATTGAGCCGGCTGCATCTATATATAGTGTAATCCGTCTGTCCTTCGCCCTTTCCGAGTACGGACTACGTTTACATTAAAAGATTATAGTAAGAATCTTAATATTTTGGTTTCATATATAGGCAGTAATGTTGGATCAAATGCTTACTTCTATTGATTACTTTGTGAGGAGTCAGGGAAATCAACTGATCAACCAACCAGTGTTCTGTACCTAGCAGGCCTTGTCAGGGCAGAATTATCACTGTTGCGGCTGTCCATAATGGCCATAAAATCGGCTTCAGTTCGGAAACCTGAAAGGTAGTCTTGTCATAAGGTGCTACTGTATCTAAACATCCATTATGCTCAAGGGAAGGTGATCAAACCTTTGGAGGACTCACAAAATCGGAAGATGGAATGTTTCAATGACGACAGGATACTAGAAGAACAATGGAGATCCCTTGAAGACCATGCTATAGTGCTTGAAACTACGCAGGATGGAGACTGTTACACTGATATTCAAAAATCGGCGCCCGGATCTTCTACTCATTCCCTTTGTTTGCTTGCGTGTCCAAGGATGCACTGCCGATATGGACTGGCTCGCACTCACTATTTAGCAACGGCTTCAGCCAGTCGGTTTTCTGAACCTGTCGGAGGGAGGACTAGCGCGGTCTTAGCAACGGATTCGGAAAAAAAAAAAAAAAAAAAAAAAAAAAAAAAAAAAAAAAAAAAAAAAAAAAAAAAAAAAAAAAATTAACGAATTTTAGACCCGGGCGCCGGTTCTGAACTTGAGTGTATAAGATCCAGGAGATTGTGGGTTTTCAGGCTGCGCCTGGCTGACCAGGTAGAACTGTGGCAACAAGACCCTACTGATTCGCCCCCGTGTTGAATCTTGAGGAACCAAGTAATTTATCATGTCCTTTGAGAGAAATACGTAGAAACAAATTTCATCTCTCTCCCGTACTCTTCTTTTGCCAGGGTACTAGAAAATATAGAAATTAAGACTAGGAAAGTGCATTGAAATCTAATGATCCCAAAATCCTAGGAAGGTAACTCGGCTTGACGCATGCCCTAAGGCAAGTGTATTTGATCTTGTTGTTTAACAAGAAGGACTGGCCTCGGGAGGTAGCCATAATACTTGTTTCCCATTTAAAGCTATCCATGCACACTGTAGAGAGATTCGTGGGACCATGTTGAGTGAATTGGAGATAGGGTTGCCACAGCTAGATTGAACCTTGAACGGTCCTAGGTTGGTGCAAAGATAGGAGCTATCTTGCGAAAATTCGAGTTCCGTGACAAGTTAATTAGTGCTTAAGATTTCTTGTAGAGCGCCTGTGACTGGGTCCCAGAACTGTACTATTTTATTATAAAAGCCGGATACTAGCAGCTGATTATCAGAGAAAAGGCCACTGCCTGAACGGACCTTGAATGATTCTTGAATAACTGTTCTAGAGTTCCTGTGGCTGGGTCCCAGAGCTGTACTGTCTTATTAAACGAGCTGGACGCTGTTAACCGGCCATTGGATAAGAATGCCACTGAATGAACTAGGTCTGTATAGCCCTCGAGAGTCTGTAATACTGCGCTCCAAGTTTCCTGAACCTGCGGTAACTGGTATATCCAATCTGGAAGCTCTGGATGGAACAACCTGCGAATATTGCCGTTCGAGGTGCAAATACCAGCCCTGCATAATAAATCTGAAGTGATGCTACATCCGCTATCTGGTAATTTTTTTAGGACAAAGCGCTTTGCATCATGCAAAAATTCGGCCAGGGGAATATGAAGATCATCCTATACCAATCAGATTCATTCAGGAGTCACTGCCCACCATATACATAATTGTATAAATGTGCGGAGAAGATCAAGTATATTAATCATTTCTGACACTAGCCCCAGCAGGCTCATTGCTTCTATCTAATGAAGAAAATATTTATGGAGGAACAGTTGCATACCTTTTGTATTTAAAGATAAAGCGTGGCTACTTTTAAGATAATGCGTCCAGTAGTAATAAGAGTATTATAATTCTGATAGTAGACATTCGTGAATATCTAGAGGATCAATTTCTGTTTTATATACTCCGGGATCCTGCTAGATTACAGATATTTCTTCGTAGCAGATACTGCATACTTCTTAGACAAGTTAAAATATCTTTATTTTTAGATAGCGCATCTACCCGGAAGTTAGTTATAGTTTAGACCAAAAATTCCGGAAATGAGAGATGGAGAATCTTAATAGGCTGATTTTTATTCCTGGAGATACTAAGAACCAACCGAAAGGAATCCAATCAATTACTAATCTGTTCCACTTCTATCTTGAGAAACACAGATAATGTATCTATAGAAAGCAGAACAGCAAGAAGGATAATAACTTAAACAATATTCTGAAACTCTTGTAGTAGTTACTGTTGTTCTTTCTTATTATTCTCTTCATTATCGAGAAGTCGTGTCAGAATTGGTAGATATATTTTATTTATTCTACACATATATTTAGCTTAGCTCTTGAGAAGCTCTGTAAACTAGTATTTAGATTTCTAATCTAGATTTTTGATGTAGCGGCATATAATAGTAACTGAAATAAACAGTAAAATGTATATCCTATTCCTGACTACTTCTTGGGTAATATTATTACCAGGTCAGTCCCCAGGAACTTTTCTATTATACTAGATTTTATTAAATTGATATTATAAGAATGATTGTATGTTGTGCTTTATTATCTCTTCGGTATTTATGAAGGGCTAGATCCTGATATATATAATTTCTGATCTCTTGAAAAACTACTTAAGATTGATGGGCAGCTCTGCTGTTTGAGTACAAGCACTCACTACCACCAATAGACTTCCGAGTCAATTTCGGATTCTTTGCTCAACCCAGACTGCAGTGCGACAAACCTAGCTATTGGATCATGTGGGTCAATTTTGAAGTGATGTCAGTCAGAGGAGACTCGACAGATACTTGGATTCATATTCACTTTCAGGTTTGTGGCGGCTTTCACCTGTGGCTGAGCTCTCTGGAGAGAAGTTGAATGAGCATAGTTCTGGTATCTCCAGTTACACAGCACCTCCAATTAGTATCTCATACTATTTTGTGGCTGACATGAAAGCAGTAACTGAAGAAAGGGGATCTCCGACATCGCCAATGGAGCCGACGACAGCCGAGGATCGGCAATCCCGTGACAGGCAGTAAAACAAGCTAATGACCGGCTAGCTCCTGACCGCCTCCAGAACAGGCTAGGCAGCAGGCGCATCACATGCAACCGGAGGAAAAAAAGAGTGGCGGCCTGAAGTCGGGGGCTTCCACGCCTGCACGAAACAATTAAAAGAAAAGTGACGCGCGCAGAACCATCCATCAGTTTGCCATTTGGGAAGAAAAAAATAATGTGAAAGTGCCGATCGCACTCCAACCTGCCTCATCCCATCACCATGCCACTGATCTTGCTCTCCCTCGTCTTCTTTCGTGAGATCTGGGATCGGGTGTGACGCGTTGTGATCGTGGCTGGAGAATATTAATGCTTTACCCCGCCGGGCCTTCAATAGAAACAATAGGGACTTTCCCCTCCACCTTCATTGTTGTCGGTGTCCACCTCCTCATTTCTTCCCATCTCTTCTCATCGCCTTCTATATATTCTCCTTCGCGCCCTCTGCTCTTGCCTCTTTAAGCATCTCAGGAGTCTCAAGCATTTCAAGCATCGCAAGCATCGCAAGCGTCTCAAGCATCTCAATCATCTCAATCATCTATCAGACATAGAACTTCTGCGGTCATGGGGAAATTCCCTGCGGCCATCATCGTCGCCAGGTATATCCACTTTTTCTTTTGATACAACATCGAGAGCTAACTCCTTATCTTTGTTCAGACATGGCGCTCGCTTGGATGTAGCGGACAAGAATTGGCATCTCACTTCACCTACCCCCTATGACCCTCCCCTCTCCTATGGCGGTTGGCTACAGTCGCGGGCTCTGGGGGCTCGCATCATCGAAGCTATCCAGTCTTTGGACGACTCACCAGACTCCACAACACAAGGAGATAACAGTGTCAAGTCGCCTTCCGACCGTCTACAAAAGCCAAAACCGAAGCGCAGAATCATCATTCACACATCTCCCTTCACTCGATGTCTACAGACAGCCATCGCGGTCAGCTCAGGGATCTGTCAGAATTCGGGCGAGCCAGAGTTCAACCAGCTATCGAAGGTCCCCGGCTTAGTTCAGTCAAATTCGGATTCCGCCTTGACCCCAGGACCCATTACATCAAGCGACCATCGATGTCTGCTACGGGTGGATGCCTTCCTTGGAGAGTGGCTTTGCCCTAGATACTTTGACGAGATTATCCCGCCGCCAAATTCGGATCGCATGATCACTGCTGCAAAGCTCGAGCTGCTGCGTCGCGAACATAATTTCGTTCCCGAGGCGGACATCGTCCCCAGACCCTCCGCTGGCTTTTTCCCTGGTGGCTGGGGGAGTGCATCTACTCCGGTTTCTCCCGCCAATGATGTGACAGCGAAGTTAAAGACGGAGGCCCCACCCAGTACACGTCAGACGCAGGCACAAAGGTCCCGCGCTGGCAGCTGTGACACGTTCAGCGCTGCTGAAACGACTCGCGGACGGCGGCTGCTCAGCAAGATCAACACAAACCTTCCCTCCATTCCGGATGCCGCCTACGTGCCTCCAACGCCCAGCTATGCGATTTCCCCGTCGGACCCCATTCCAGCTGGGTATGTAACGCATGCTCGGGACGCCTGCGTGAAGATCGATTTCCAATGGGACAGTATGCACGGGGAGCAGAACTGGGGCGATGGAGGCCAGTACGGCGAAGAATGGAGTACGATGCATACGCGGTTCAGCACCGGGCTCGACCGCATGATTGCGTGGTATCGAGACTACGAGTCAACTTCTTCCGGTCGGCCCCGACGACATTCTCAGATGCTCGACAGTTCTGGCGAGGCCAGTTCCCGTAATGAATCGGATGACGATACGGAGACGATTTTGGTCCTCATTACGCACGGGGCGGGTTGCAATGCATTGGTCTCAGCGCTGTCCGGGGAGCAATCCCAAGTAAATTTCGGCACTGCATCTCTCACCTTGGCGGTCCGCAATGATCACATGCCCGAAATGGTTCAAGATAATACCATTGGCGGACCAGTTCAGACGAAGGGGGCCAACGAGCCAGCCAGCGTGGAGAATTATGCCATGAAAATGGTGGCTTCAACCGAGCATCTCCGCATCGCTGGCAGCACGTCACGTGTCTCTTCTCCGAGCCAGGTGACCTCCCCCTCAATCTCGTCCTACCGGAACCGCCTTGCAAACCGCCCATCCATGTCACAAGGCATGTTCATCATCGGACCCTCGTCGACATCTGGCCCCGGCACTGTTCCTTGGAATGCTGAGCGACCCTCTACGGCTGTCACTCCTAGGACCCCCGGGCTTTGGGGGTCCAGCGCCGCCGATGGCCCAGAGGACGATATCGTGCCCAACTTTGGCTGGCCTGCCCCGGCGCCATCGGTGCCTGGGGAAAGCTCGCTGCCGGCCAAGGTGGAGGAATCGACCTCTGCCAAACAAGTGCCACAGCGAACGCTCTCCCAGCGCGGACTTTGGGGTAGCGCACCGCTCAGCAAGGACCGTGAAGCAGGACACAAGCGTCGCTGGACTGTGACTGAACGACGGCCATGATGATACCCGCTTAAAAAAACATATTTTGTAACTTTCGGATTTATTTCTTAGGCGTGGAGTTTGGGACAAGGCCATCTAGCTAGATTGCATAGTATTTGGGTGTGACATAGCGGTTCCTAGCTGACAGGAGTTGATGAATATACCCACTTGCTCTTCAAGATAACAAGTTATTCAATGATCATCAGTCGCATACTGCATTTACAAATGACTTCTACGCATAAGCACACTAAGTTATAGTTAAATTCCACTTACTACTCCACAAAGGGTAAGCCAACCCATTATACTTAAATAATCACAAGACCCGGAATCAAATTCCATTAATAATCAACACACCTCAACTAGAATACAATAAATAGTACAACATCTCTTCACATCCTACTCAACAAACAGACCTCCTCCTCTCACCTCACCCCTAACATTCCAAAAATAAGTCGTCTAATACAACAACTTACACTCCCAATTCTCCGGCTCATCCGGATCCCCCTTCCCAGTATACTTGGCCTGGTACGGGTAATGACAAACAGGCCTCTGTCTGATCACCTCATCAGCAGTGGTAATATTCTTCCACACCGTGGCAACAAGACTATCCGGCGCCGTGCCATTCTCCACCCACGCCATCATGGCCAGAACCACATCGTGCTTCGCATCCCGGTACCCGGGGACACTCCACGTCGAGGTATTGATGTAGGCTGCTTGGTCCGCGCCTGCGATGTACCAGGGGGCGTTCATGTCGGTGGGGGTGTTGTAGCAATGCCTTTTACCACATTTCAATTAGCATAGATCTTCATAAGGGTATATTGTTAACTGGGTCAGGGCTTACTCCATTCCCGGAATCAAAAACAGGCGATAGAAATCATCCACATCATCCACGCCGTTCGCCTGCACGGCGCTCTTCGCCTGATCGTAGTAGAACGTGCTCGCTCCGGGAGAGACATAACTATCCGACAGACCATGGTAATGGATGAACTTGCCTCCGCGTTTCTCGAACTCGCTGATATCGTATTGTCCAGCTGTTGCGTTACCGGGGTTCAAGTGGTCCGCTAGCTCGACGGTACTGAAATCCAGATCCTGCCAGACGAAGGAATCGCCCAGGCCCATGAGATCACGCAGGAACCAGTACTGCTGGGAGATGGTAGACTCCTCGCCAAGGCCGATGTTGCCGTCTAGCCAGGAGGATTCACTTCCGTAGAAGAGGTGGCTGTAGACAAAGGTCTGGTTGGTGTCGACCCAGTCGTTGTAGATCTTGTACAGGGTGTTGAGTTGCTCTGTGGTAAGGCAGGTGTTGGGCGCGCTGGTGGAGTTGCAGGCGAGGGTGGATGGGTTGAAGACGCAGCCCTCGGGGTTCGAGATGATGGTGTCAACGAGGCCGTCCTGCGGGTCGCACTGGCGGAGGACTTCAGCGGCCAGGACGGGGAACATTTCCTCGGGGATGGTGTGTGAGCTGTTGGCCGGGGCTTGGTAGGTCGTTTGCTTGAGGTTGTAGAGCTGTTGGTGTGTGGTCCACCAGGCCGGGGCACCCGCGATAATTCCGTCGTAGTCGTCGGGGTACACTTGCATGTTCTTCATGCTTTGACGGCCTCCCGTGGAGCAGCCGTAGAAGTAGCTGTAGGCGGGACCGCTGCCGTAGCGGCCGGAGATGAGGAGCTTGGCAAGTGTGGTGGCGCCGTGCCAGGCGCGGTAGCCCCAGTCGATTACGGCTTGCGGGCGGCCGAGTGCCCAGGTGCCCGCTGTGTCGATGCCTTCGTGGCCCAGGTTGCTGGAGACGGCGGCGAAGCCGTAGTGCGTGCCGGTGCCCTATGGAGGTATTAGTGAGTGCGTTGGGTATAGGGATGGGTATGGGAGAGAGAAGTACCATGTCGACCCAGTTGATGCCGCCTCCTGCTGCTGCGGAGCTGGGGTGTGTCAGTAAAGTGATGGTGGTTTAGAAGGGAGATATTGGGGAGGGCGTACAGCATGCGTCCGTTCCAATTGTATGGGAAGATAACGCCAACCAAGTAGCTGGAGTTACCCTCGGATGCGACGTTGACCTGCACGGCACACGACTCGGGCAGGCCAGTCGGGTACTCGGAGGCGGAGGTGTAGTTCATAGGGTTGAGAGAACCACCTTCTGGCACGTAGGTGGCCCATTGAACGCGAGCTTCGGTGCCATTGGCATCGATGATTTTCTGGAATGCAGATGCAGAGCAGTTGGTGCTGGAAATCGCAGTGGCCGCGGTGAGCCCCATGAGGGGAAACGCCGCCAGAGGGATCTGATACCTCATGTTGTGATGAGGTGCGGTCGATTGAATACTGGAATGAGCTGCTGATGAGGATTGAAGACCCAGAGGGGATGTCTGCTATTTATGTGCCATTGTGGTTATTGAGCAGAGGTAGACGCGTCATATCCTCTGCAGAAAGACGGGCCGAAGCATCGTACGGCATAGAGGTGGATGATGCGGTGTTGGAGTGGTGAGGTGATCATCAGGCACGTTGCTGAATTGAGAGGTGAAGACCGAGGAGGGATATGAACTCGTTATGACCGATACTTGGCATTATGGAGTTAGTTGATATGATGCGTCCCATTCTCTTGTGGTTTATGGGTTTATGGGGCAGTGCTTCAAATAGTCAGTTCAACCTTGTTGGTAAAATTGGACAGGTAGTAGCACATAATGTTACTTAATGACCTTCCAGTCGAGCCCTGGTGTATATAATGTGTGCAACACCCTTGAATAAACTGTCTGGGCGTACCCCAGATGGTTAGGGTGTAGTTACTCCAAAAGAAGCTTCAAACGGGGAGTGGATCTCCGATCTGATAAGGCGGCGCTGCGGAGACTAGTCTACTTCAGGCATGGATGATCACCGTGGAGATACCATCTGATGCAAGTGGAATTACTCCAGCAGGGCATAAGGAATCAGTCTGCTCGTCACCAAGCTACAAAGAGACTAGCTGCATAGCTGATACTTGCGATCGACATTACATTACCTGATCACATCCAGCATTGCACGATCATTCGTTGTGCTAACTCCGATGCTAATGAGCTTCTCTGAGCTTAATTCGCCGGTTTGTCCGATTCCTCTCCATTTGGAGCTTAGTTGCTACTTCATCGTTTAGGCATCAGAATAAGCATACACTCAAGCTCTATAAGCGTTGTATATCCGCAGTAACAGATCGTCAGAGGTAGATGAACAGACATCCCGCAGTGGAGATCAAGGTACCACCTGCGCTGCGGTGTCCTAGCCTTATCGAGCCTGTCCGGATGGGGATACATCGCAGTATTGCGAAATCTTCATGAGTTCTGCTCTGGAAGAGATGGCTCTGAATTTTTCTCACTGCTATGCTTGGACATATCTCCTTCAATCCCACACTTAGGATGATGGCGACTCAGTTACAGCTCTAACTAGAATTTTGAAGTGAAGGGATCTCCAATGCCAACTATCGAGATACGCCCGTACCTTTGTAAGTTGGAAAATCTGGTACATTTATCAAATAAGGTGAATAACTGGGTTATATTAAGGAAGCACCAAAGCTAAGTGTATTGTGGTGGCTATCTCCGCTGGAATAACTGAGAGGAGAGGTTATTGCCGGTGAGTGTCGACTAGGGGCAAATGTTTACTCACAATCTTTGAAAGCACAGCCTAGTCAATGCCATCTTCTAATATTTATACTACGTACATATGGCACTGTCCTGCGCTATCTTTTTATGTCCATGTACTCAGCATCGACGCAACGACTGCACTGGAATATCTGATTCTGTCTTCCAGTTATTCCCCCAATCCAAGTATAAACCATGGAGATTATAAAACTCCCTCGGAAACAACGTGCCCAGGAAAGGCCCAGAATCTGGCCGCCTGAGCTCCTCCATCACATCGAGCACTGCCTCGGCCTACCGGTGAGACAGGCCCTCAGCATAATCGATTGGAAAGACTTTTTTAGTTCTGTGAAATGGGAAGCTAATAGATACCGTGACAATAATTGCACGCCAGGCCAACTGCTTGAAATGTCCATTTACGAGAAGGCGGCACATCAATACCGCATTGGCTTCTGTGACCTTGAAGAGCCGACATGTATCTTCGAGCCCACTCATCCTGGTGGTGTGGTCGATCAGATAAAGAATGGTGACGTCCAAGGGCTCAAAAGGAGACTTGACGAGGGTCTGGACGCTGACGGATACAATTTGGCGGGGATTCCGTTACTTTCCCTGGCCGTAGTACATATGCAGCCCGGGTGTGTTGAATTACTGCTAACGTACTGTGCATCCCCCAAAACAAGAGGCCACTGGCTCGTTGCAGAGCCTCTTGACTATGTCATGCCCGCTCCTCTCAGTGACAGCTTTGGTCACCAGGACGCCATCATCCGAATGCTAATCAACGCTGGCAGCAGCTTTAGCTATTTCAACGTTCTGGACAGTATCTTTCTCTCCGATTCCTTGGAGCTCCTGCGAAAGGTCGTGCAGCAGCCCCCTGGTCTTTTCGCTGAATGGCCAAACAGTGGTTACGAGATGATTTTGCTTCGCGTGGCACGGTATGGAAAAGGTTGCGTTGAAATTGCCGATTTGATTGTTTCCATGGTGCCTGAAGTGCTTGAAGTGAAAACCACACTGGGCGATACAGCTCTATATGTTGCACTTTTCAATAGTGAGGCCGAGAGTATGGTCAAGAATCTTCTTCGCTTTCGCATTGACCTTTTGGCGCTGAATACCACAAATGTATCAGCCCTCGCTATTGCTGTCCGAAAAGGTCTCGTCGGAGCGGTCGAAGCTATGCTGAGCCGCCATAATATTGATCTGCTGCAGCTTCACGAGGTACTACCTTTCAGTAAAACCCCATTAGGGCAAGCCGTAGAGACGCGCAATGAGTATCTCATGCATTTGCTGCTTACTGATCGATGTATGTGTCTCACAGAAAGAGCCCAAAACGCAGCTCTTGATCTGGCTAGGGTATGGGGGTATGAAGGGCCTTGGGTGGCGCTAATCCAGAATTTGCAAATTTGGGCTCAGTAAGGTTCAAACCATGACAATATTGCCTGGTTGTATGTGTCGCTGCTGCAGAAAAGACTTTAGCCAAGATAAGGATGCTACTCGCTCAAAACTGAACAATCCTGTCCATGTTTTTTATAATTCGATGCAAATAATAATACAACAGCTTTGCCTGTTATGCTGTGGCGGGTCGCGTAATGCGATAGTGACGTACCCCATGCGAAGACAATGACTGGCAACTACCAGAATTTTCAACCTATATAGCACGAATCTTCTGCTCGGGTAAGGTAGAAATGGAGAACACCAGAATTACCGTAGTATGCCCTGTAACCATTGGTAGCGGCAATGGTACTTGCATCTACGTAGCGAAAACGTCGCGTCGAATTTTGATCATCTGGGATGATCAGACTCCCAGCAGCACCGTGAAATTTGATTTTATGGACCTACCGGTGGCCAATTAGAAATGTTCAACAGCGGAACGCAGCACTGTCTGACCTTCTCAGCATCTTCAGTGAAGTCCATGGTACTCAGTAGAGGAAGGATGTCCTCCGCTAATGCTTGCGCAGGATGCCCCGTATCGATGACATGCATATCCCATTCACCTTCCAAAAGAGCTGGATCTGCTGGCTCGAGCTCGCTGTAGACATGATCTACCTCCGCTGGGTCCAGCGGCTCCAATGCGTTCGTAAGGGAGATATATTTGGCGGCTGGTGTTCTGGACCATAAGTCAATAGGGTTATGTGTTAGCAAGGCGGTACTTAACCGACCGTGTCATGATAGCATCACTAGGATGACTATAAAGGCTGTGAGGAAGAAGATGCAAGATACCGTAGCAAATGTCGGCGCGAGAGGTTGGCGTTACATATAGTCATGCTGAGTAGTATAGAGCTGGCGCCACGATCGCAAACTTTAACTCTATTAGACCTTCCATGGCCAAGTATCCCGGGAGGTGGGATCAGGAATCGATCGCTGTGTCCACGGTACAGCAAGCGTCCCAATCCCGAGGAGCATGCCAAACATAGCCTCTTGCGTAATTCGTGGCAAGCATGACAACGGAAGAGCGCATCCAAGATCCAGCCTGGTATCCTAGCCTTTCTGCGAATACGGTCTCCACATTTGGAGACAGCCTTACGTATGAACGGGTGAGCGGTCAGTAAGTTTAGGCGTGGCTACCAATATAGGAGCGAATCGGAGGCTTAACATGACTATTTCTCCAGATTAGCCTTGGTCTAGCAGGGTATAGGAGAAATGACAGAAATACGTAGTTACTCGAATCTTGAGCCATTCTGCTGTAATCGTGGATTTGAGTAGGCTCTCAGCAGGCTGTCCATAGGATCCTCTAAAGCGGCATTTTGGTTGAGCCCAGTATTTAGCGACACTGATAAGATTTCAGTGAACAGTTGGGCTAGTCCTGTTTAGTGGGAAAGAATTTGTTTGACATGGTTGAGAAAAGCTGCAGTGATCAAATGGCTGTTTATTCGGAAGGGGCGCTTGGTTGATCGAGGTGAAGAAGAAAGAGGAAAGCCGATGGGCTGGAGTAGTGTCAGGTACGAGGAATAGTTACATCTGTAAACACAACTACTCCGTTCAAGGTGGCTGATCAAGCACTGAGCACTTTATTGACCCTCCGATCCTATTTGCTTGATCCTGTCTCAGGACCAGACGCAGCATGGTTCTTGGTGTATTAATGACAATATCAAGCTATCCTACTAGTAGAGATGAAGCAGTATTTATTGCTTTCATATAATCAGCTAAGCAGGTACCTATTTAGAGTACACTGCTGGACTACCCTACGGGACTAATTCTGATACTTTGAATTAATCGTCGGCTTGGAGTTTGGCTGGCCTGGTCACTTTTTTTTTTTTATTGAGTAGAACGAGTTCGCATGGAGTGGAATGTGACATGTTACAAGGAGATTCTTGGAGGTGAAGGGCATGATGGAATCATTAGATCATACTCGCTATCGTAATCTGCAGCACTATACCGATAGAAATATCGAAGCGTCCGGTGTTTTGGAGATGCGAATGATGTTGCCTCTGCAGGATCGGGGGCAATTGGTTTATGAAATCTATCCTCCTCGCGCCCTCTCGCTTACCTATCACATGGATCTAATTTCCGTTCCCATAAGGTAAAGTGGGAGACATAATGCGATAAGGCTATGTGATAACATTGATCAGCCGCTCGATATCATGGCATATTACTCACGATGTTTTGTGAATATGTAGGACCCATGAGCCTAGTACTATGAACTACTACTGGGTCGGTGCTATACTGTCACACGATGAAGTGTGAAGCAGCCATGAAATTCGCCTTATGTCTGGATACCTTGGAATTTGATGCAGTGCAGGATAGGGAACATGAAAGATCTGGTCAGCTGTGGAGAGGATATGCTAGCTGAGGTGCTTGAATGAGTATGTAGGATTAATGTCGGCAGTGACACCGGTACTGATACTGCAATTGTTCCGCCACAACAGCAGCTCATGTTGATTGTGCGGTCCATTCTAGAGAATTAAAGATACGTACGCCGAAAGTAACATGACTGACAATTGTTTTGTTCTAAAACTCCACAAGTCCATAGATTCTACCCTATCGAAGGCTGTAGTTTCCTCAGTATTGTGATATGGTGTATAAGTTAAGCCCCAACCATGGCAATAGCGCCATTGACCAGCAAAGTAGATAGCCTAAACAATGGTAGAAGTATACACGCATATCAACTACTGGACTACAATATACCAAGGTTTTAAGTTGATCTGGATCGATCCAAGTTAAATGAGAATTGACTTAAATTAGTAACAGGGGCCCCGCATCCCATGACGAGGCACTAGGCCAGATCGGGGCTAGTGGGGCATCCAACCTCCGGGATAATTTCCATTGATTCATGGTTTGTGCTCGATTTCCTGCCACTTGCATTTTAGCCAGCTGAGATTATCATCCATGACTTGCAGGTGTTAAATACTTTTCCCCCTTCCTTCCACTGCAATGTTAACCTTCAATTAAACTCTCTTTCCCTCATTCCACCCTCCCCTACCCCGTCATTCCTTTCCCTTTCTCCGAATCTGACAATGACTTCTACCCGCCGCAACGGGCAGGCTCTGCCATGCGAGCCCTGCCGCAAAGCCAAAATCCGTTGCGATGGTGCCACCCCAACATGCCAGAATTGCGTCCGTCGTAACAAGGGAGACAGCTGTGCTTACACGCCCGTTCCGGCTTCTCGTACCTGGTATTCGGACAATGCTCCCTCGCCCACCGCATCACCTCGTCCCCAAACAGCCCAACCCCGCCCCGACTCCGCTGCTCTCCAGAATCGAGCCTCCTTCAACGCCGGCGACGACAAACTATCTTTCGATTTCGCCACCAATAATTCAGCGACCTTTAGCGACATTGGCGACCAATTCAAACGCTCCCTGGTCATTGATGCGCCCTCCGCGGCTCGGCCCGATACGAAGCAGATCCAGCTTGGCGCTCGACTGCTCACCTTACTGTTCGAGCATTTCGCACTGTATGAGCGACTGTCTGAAACGGCCGTCGAGGTCTGGCCCGAGGGATGTGTCCTGGGTCATCGGCTGGTGAGCGGGATGTTTGAGGCGTTGGAGGATTTACATGGGGCGCTGGCTGCGGATGCGAAGGACTTGCAGTCGAGTTTGCTTCGCTGGTCGCAAAAGATCTTTGAGGATAGTTCCAAGCCACTGGCTGTTCAGCCAACTATGTCGCCGGATGACTATATTCGTCGGATTTCTGGACGGTGGGAGGGTATTGGACTGGTGTTTACGATTGTTGGTCAGGGCGCTATGCTTGAGCGGGATTGGAGGTCTATCCGTTCGAGTGAGGCTAATGTGCCGAGGGATCAGAAGTCACTTGCTGCTCAGGCTATTAGTGCGAGTGATGCTTGTTTGCAATTTTGTGATCTCTCTACGGCTGTCAATGATCCGTTGGGGTGGTTGCTTTTTCAGCACATCCATCTTTTGACGTTGTTGTGTGGGGAGAATGGTATGTGTTTGTTTGGTCTTTTTCTTTGAGGTGTTAGGGAACTGTGCTAATCAGGATATAGATCCTCGGGCTTGGAGAAGGCTGGCCGATCTTTCGACGACAGTGTTTACGCTCAGTCATAATGCGCCTGAGGAGAAACGCATTCCGTTCTTCTTGCTTGAACTCCGCAAGCGACTAGTTGCCGGGGCTTACAGTATTGACAAGCAGCTGGCAACCTTCTTGGGAAGGCCTCCTCAGATCAGCTGGCGCTACTACGATGTGCAGTTTCCTCTAGATTTGAGTTACGAAGAGATACTGGCGGAGCCAAAGGTCCGCGAGGCTGCCATCAGCCTGCTTGACAAGACTGGCTGGAACACCCAGGGTATTGTGGGACAGGCTGCGTGGATGCGCATCGCCCTTCTTATTGGATCTACGAGAGAGCAGATCCTAGAGCTGTCTCTGAGCCGACGTATTGAGGATTTGCCGCGCAAAGTCCAGTAAGTGTGCCGCAACAGGTATTTGAGGACTGCGGATCGGAGCTAATGTGCATTATAGGGAGGTTTCGCAGCAATCTCATAAGACATGGAACGATTTGCCTGGCTTCCTCCGCTGGCGCCCGAGTGATCCGGACACCAACGATAGCAGCGTTCTCGTTCCATTGTATCTCAACTTCCTCTACAATGACTTCCTCCTCTACCGCGTTCTCGTGCGCCGGGCACAAAGCGGATCCGAGGGCTTGGTCAGTGTGTCACAAAACATTCTCAGCACGATCCTTGAGCTTATCGGCAAGGAGATCGGCTCGAGAACAGGAACTTATAATGTTGGATATAATGTGCGTGCTGTCACCCCTTCGCTTCCTGCACTTCCTGCGCTTTTGTACTTACCTATCTTTAGGCTGCGTCTTTCGGTGTCCCAGCAGCCGGCGTCTTAGCAATCGAGCTGCTCTGCCAAGCCGAATCCCAGTCCCAGCTTCCCGCCAGCGTCTTCCGGCGATCGGAAGTCATCCAAAAACTGACTGTCTTCGCTTCGCACCTGCAGTATGTTGTCCGCCCGCACGATGGCATGTATGAGGTCTGTCAGCGCGCGCGAAGGGTCATCTCGAGTATCCTGGATCGAATCCTATCGGTCAATCCTCCCGCACTGCCGGCTACCCTGCCGCCCGATGTTCTGGCAACCAACTGGTTGAACGGAGAGATTGTTGTTCTGGACGATGGAACCGATCTTTTCCGCTGGATTGACAGCGCGTCTGACACCTCGCGAAGAGGTTCCTGGGCTTGATCAGCGCGCGCTGTATGGTATGATGATTTACGACTGCCCCATGATGAGTAGAAGTATTCTTGTTGGATACTTACAGAGTATGATGACTGATGAAATACCCCCTTGCTTCGATAAAAGCATACGATGTCTATGTTTTTCTTGCTCTATTTCTCTTTGATCGTGGAATGCTTTTTTTTTTTTTTTTTTTTTTTTTTTTTTTTTTTTTTTCTCTTTACGTTGCTACCTCTTCGCGCACCAGGCTCTCGCCGGCTTATGAGTTGATCTATCCCCATGCGTTCCTTCTGGATCTACATGTGTTTACTTAATGCTTTAATCGATACTGTTCAATTTCACTCGTTTCGTTATCTGACAACCACACGGTGATGGAAAGTCAAGGGACCAGTAAGCAGACGATAAGCCACCACAAGCGGGGGAACCAATCAATCCTTCCATGATAAGCCAGCCACCTGTTCACAAGGATGCTATTCTCATCATATATCATCTGGCAACCCCCTCAAGATTGCACTTATTAGTTGCTCCCTTGCCACCCACTATCATCTAACTACCCTGGCCTTTTAAACCCGTCCGACTAACCAACCCCCCAATGATCCCCATTCCAGACACCCACCAATACAAGGGAACCTGCCATTGCGGCCTATCTCAATTTGAACTACATCTTTCCCACCCTTTAAAAACAGTGCATGCATGTCGTTGCACCCTCTGTGCCAAGAAGGGGTACCTGTGGCTTTTCCCTGCTGAACAAGAATTTCAAGTTACACGGGGGGCTGGGGAGTTGGTTTGCTACTCTGGTGATGGGAGTCATGGAGAGCACATGGTAAGTAGCGCTGCTAGGTTCTGGTGGTGTTGAATCAATGTTAAACTGCGTCTTACTGTAGTTTTGTCCGACTTGTGGAACGGGAATATTGGTTCGTGGACATAAGATGCCGTCGGGGGAGGTTGGGGTAGGGGTTAATGTGAGAGATTTGACGTGTGCTCTGGGGGAGGGTATCAATTGACTGACTGACTGACTGACTATTATGGATGAAGGCGCGGGCGTTGTTGGGGGTTAATCCGTTCAAATTGAGAGTTGAGAGGTGAGCTCGCTCTCAAACATACAGATGCCTTGGGGAGTATACCAGACTCAACGTTTTAGCTATACTCCGCACAATACATCGCATGGTAGTTCTCCTACAGAACCCGCCCATATCAACACTGAAATCCCATCTGAGAAGATCTACACCGGCAGCTGCCACTGCACCGCAGTCCGTCTCTCCATCCAAACCAAGCCACTGCCGGAGATCGAAGTGAAGGAGGATAATTGCAGTATCTGCCAGCGGGTATGTATTACCTTTCATCTCATTGCATAAGTAGTACTCTATCCTAACTAATTCCTCAGAACGCAAACATCTGCATATATCCCCACCGATCACAGGTTACTCTCCACGGCGAAGAGAGCTTGACTGAGTATTGCTTTGGACGGGGCTTCACCGGACACCAATTCTGCAAGATATGCGGTGTGCAAGTGGGTATGAAGTTGCATGGACCGCCCCAGTCGGTGGTGGACAGTCTTCCGCCGGAGAAGCAGGAGATTGTCAAGGAGAAGTTGGCTATTGTGCCGATACGAGTGGCGGTTTTGGATGGGGTTGAGTGGGCGGATTTGAAGGTGGAGAGAACGGACGAAGGGACGGAGGGGTATGTTGTTGGCTGATGAGGAAACAGTGGTGAATACTGTGTATAGATTGTAGGGAGCAATATGATTGTAATCATGCTGTGAGATTGGTCACAATGTTGTTGTTCAGGCACTCCGCACGGGCATGCCGTCGATCCGATCGGCATTCTCCTAATGGGCGGTGCCTGATTGGACTCGGACCCGTGACGTCCCTTGCCTGGATGGATGCCCCTCAACACTCGCCCCTCATCCTCCCTCTTTGTTTCTCTTGCCTTCTTTCCTCCCATTTACACACTCTCTCGCTCTGTCAGTCGTTATTTCTATTGTTAATATACTCGTCATTATCATCATCCCTCAAGGAATGCCCTCTGTCCCTACCGACGGTCTGTCCGTCACCCATCCTTCCTCCAGAACCGGTCCGCCGCACCTCCGTCTGATCCACTACAATGACGTCTACCACGTGGAGTATGCTCCCCAATCCCTACACAATAGCTTCCTACCCACCTCTTTAGCAAAGATCTGACAATTCTTCAGAGAAGGTTCCGCAGAACCAGTCGGCGGCGTAGCCCGATTCCAATCCGTCGTCAACTACTACCGCAACGACCCCTCCTTTTCCGAACAACCAAACGTCCTGACCTTCTTCTCCGGCGATGCCTACAACCCCAGTCTCGAAAGCACTGTCACAAAAGGGCGGCACATGGTGCCATTCCTGAATAAAGCAGGGACGGATGTAGCCTGTGTTGGTGTATGTTAGGATTACAACCCGTGCCGCACTGGAGAAAAGCTGACATGGTTATATGCAGAATCACGATCTCGATTTCGGTGTCGCTCAGTTTCGCCATCTACGTACACAGTGTCGGTTTCCGTGGCTATTGGCTAATGTTCTGGATCTTGATCTGGGAAAGGATGTGCCGATTGCGAACTGCGAGAAGACATTGATGCTGACCTCGTCTAACGGGATCAAGGTGGGTGTGATTGGTTTGGGTGAGAGAGAATGGTATGTTTGATTGCCTGGTTTATGGTATACATGGGGTAGGTAGACTAATTTTGAGCAGGCTTGGAACGATCAATGCCCTCCCTCCGAATCTCGTTTACAAATCGGCGTACAAGACGGCGCTGGAGCTGGTCCCGCGTCTGCGTGAACAAGGCGCCGAATTGATTGTGGCGGTCACCCACCAACGCGAACCGAACGACTACAAGCTGGCTCAGAAGCTCCCGCCGGGTATGATTGATATAATCCTGGGTGGTCATGATCATTTCTATGCACATGCGGTGATCAATGGTACTCATGTACTTCGGTCAGGCACGGACTTCAAGCAATTGAGCTACATCGAGGCTTGGCGCAAGGAGGACGGTGAAGGATGGGACTTTAGTATCGTGCGCCGGGATATCGTTCGGTCGATTCCGGAGGATCCTACAACGACGGCCATGGTGGATCGCTTGACGTCTAGCTTGGCGGCGAAACTGGAGAAGCCGATTGGGTACACTACGGTCGCATTGGATGGCCGGTTCTCAACTGTGCGTCAGAAGGAGTCCAATCTTGGGAACTTTGCGTGCGACCTCATGCGGTTTTACTATGGGGCTGATTGTGCGATAATGGCTGGCGGGACTATTCGTGGTGATCAGATTTACCCGCCGGGGATCCTGCGACTAAAAGACATCCTCAACTGTTTCCCGTTCGAAGATCCGGTCGTACTGTTGCGCATCAAGGGCCGTGCGCTCTTCGATGCCCTGGAGAATGGAGTGAGCCAGCTTCCGGCGCTCGAAGGACGGTTTACCCAGGTGTCGAACATTGCTTTTAGCTACAACCCCTCGGCCCCTTCGGGCTCCCGCATCAACTGGGCCCAGGTCGGTGGGGAGCCGATCGACTTCGATGGGCAGTACACATTGGCAACCCGCGGATACATGGCCCGTGGAAAGGACGGGTTTGCGTCTCTGCTGGTGCAGTCAGAGGGCGGCGAAGTCGAAGAGATCGTAGATGAAGAGAGTGGCATCTTGATCAGCACGCTACTCCGCCAGTATTTCCTGAGTTTGCGAGTGTTGGGTCGATGGCGTCGCTGGGGTCCCAGCATGACCCGACACTGGAGCAACGTGCATGATAGCCTCCATTGCAATGGATGGCTGAAACCGCCGTCCCGCCAGCCGTCTCCAGAATCAAACAAGGTGCCATACCGACCCCCTCTGTCGCGGTCGAAGAACTACTATTATGGTCGGTTTCCCGAGATCGTAGAAACCGAGGAGACTGAGAGTCGAGGTGTGGGCCTGAACGGGGAGGACGAGTCGATGGACTCGGACTCCGACACCGACCCCGACATTCTTACCTCTCCTCGTCCGACTACGAACTATGTTACTCTGCCGGCGCGGTCAGCTACCGAGGAGGAACGCCGCCTGCGTCTGGCGCGCAAGGCGGTGCGAACGTGGATGCACCGGACGGGCCTGCAGCCATCGCCCATTAATGACGCTGATGAAGTTGGGGAATTCACCCCGACATGGACGCCGGGTATCTCGCCGCGCTTGGAGCAGCGGATTGTGATAGAGAATTAAAGGAAATGGAGGAGGTTGGTGATCCATCATACCATCCCCTGGCTATGATATCATCCCCGCACCAGGCAACCGCCAATCTGGCCCCAGCTTATCCGGATCTCCGCACGTTCAACTCGAGTCCCGCGATTCATCCCTCCTACCCTTCCATTTCACCTCCCTCCTCTTCGCCATGGCTACCCACGCCGATCGCATCACTCCTCTCTGCGCCCAAATCGCCCGCTTTCACGAAACCCGCACTCCCTTCCGCATATACCATGGAAGCACCAACTCCACCCGCAATGCCAGCCTCACCCCTACCAATACCCTCAGTACCGCCCACCTGACGAACGTCCTCTCCGTTGATCATGCTGCCAAAACCGTCCAGGTAGAGCCCAATGTCCCAATGGATGCTCTACTGAATGCCACACTTGCCCATAACTTGGTCCCGCTAGTCGTCATGGAGTTTCCCGGCATCACTGCAGGCGGCGGATTCTCCGGCACCTCCGGCGAGAGCAGTTCCTTCCGACATGGCTTCTTCGATGCCACAGTGACTCGCATTGAGATAATCCTTGGTAATGGGGAGATTCGTATGGCCTCCCGCACCGAAAACGCGGAATTGTTCAATGCCGCAGCTTCCGCGTTCGGTACCATGGGCGTGATCACCATGCTGGAGATCCAATGTCGCGACGCTAAGCCGTTTGTCGAACTGTCCTATATTCCGGCTCGTAGCATCAGCGATGCGAGGCAGATATTCAATGAGAAGACCCAGGACCCTGATGTTGATTACCTGGACGGGATAGTCTTCGCCAAGGACCATGTAGTGGTATGCGCAGGGCGACTGAGCGATGGTTCCCCCTCCACAGACGACAAGACACAAAATTACAAGATTCAACACTTCACCCGTCCCCACGATCCCTGGTTCTATCTTCATGCTCAACGCACGGGGCGTATACCGCCCCCATCATCAGCCCCCGTAGCACCAACGACCGAGCTCGTACCCCTTCCTGACTATCTCTTCCGCTACGACCGCGGTGCCTTTTGGACCGGCCGCTACGCCTATAAATACTTCATAACACCCTTCAACCGCATCACCCGCTACCTTCTTGACTACTTCATGCACACACGCGTCATGTACCACGCCCTGCATGCCAGTGGCCACTCCAATCAATACATCATTCAAGACGTAGCCGTCCCATACTCCTCCGCAGACACCTTCGTTACGTGGCTCGACGAGCCAGATAACTTCGGCGCATATCCCATCTGGCTCTGTCCACTCAAAGTCACTGATAAGACAAGCACAAGTAACCCCCAAATCCTCGGCCGAGGCAAACCCTCCCTTCCCTCTCCCCCATCAGCAAAGAAGGAAGAAGATGAATATCTTCTCAACTTCGGCCTCTGGGCGCCCTCTCCCTACCGCGGCGCCCAATTCATTGCCCAAAACCGGCGTCTCGAGCACAAAGTCCGCGATTTGGGCGGCAAGAAGTGGCTGTACGCATGCGCATATTACACGGAAGACGAGTTCTGGGATATATACGATAAGAAGCGGTATGATGCCCTCCGGGAGAAGTATCATGCGGGCTACCTGAAGAATCTGTACGAGAAGGTCCGGGTGGATTTGCACCCATCTATCACAGAGAAAGAAAGGCAAGCAGAGATGGGGTGGGGCCAGTGGGCGGGGAATGTGCTCTGGAATGTGTGGCCGGTGAGTGGGTTATACGGGGTTTATCGGGCGTGGTGGGGAGGTGAGTATCTGTTGAAGAAAGGGAAGCGGGTATAGGTATAGGTATAGAGGTAGGTGGATGTGAATTGTTTGGGCTTAATTGGAGTATAGACATTTTTGAAATATATCCGAAGATATAGAGGAATATATGAAATACTAAGAGTTATGAAGCAGGTGGTTTTACTGTACTACCAGGAGTAGTTGCTAGAGTAGTACTACTACTAATCGAGTTAAGCATTGTGAATAGTTTCACGGGCGTTTTCGACGTTGCACATGTGCATCTACTACTACCAGGTCAGCCTCCATCGGCACTTTAGCTGACTGACTTGGCCATCTAGTATAGATATATATGCAACTGGCTGTTACTGCAGATATGCATGCGTACAACTAAGGTAATACCGTCTTCTAGGCTGATGCTTTTTATGCTACTTAGTGGAGTTGAAAATCTTCATATTTTTTATATTCAATGCACTATTGCTGCATGAAAGTCATCATAGATCACATAGCTAGTAGTAAATATTCAATCATTGTCGTCATCATCATCAGGGACATGGTACATCCACTATTCTCAAAACCATATCCAAATGATATATTTCCATCAGTTGGTTAAGGTCCAAATCACCTTTTCATCCACTAGATTTCTAACACGAAGTCCGCACCAATTGTTCAAAGCCTAATGCTGCCGTCTCAACTCCTTCCGGAAATTCTCCTCCTGCTTGACCACCTCCAACGGCAGCGTCCACCCGACCCCAAACAAGACAAAGGGGGCCCACTTCCACCGGAATGGATTGACCAGGATACAAAACACAAACCAATACAACAACTCAGTGTACGTGAAGAAATCGAACGCGCCAACAGGCGACAGCCTTTTCATGAAACGGGTGAAGTCGATCCAGGTCCTCATGCGACCTTCGGTCGGACGGGATAGCGGGTCTGTCAGGAACATCAACAGAAATCGGGTGTAGATGCCAATGTGCATGTTTCCGACGGTGCCGATGGCGTTGACGTAGGTGCTGTTGTTGGCGCAGATGCTGGGGTATTTGGGCGGGAAGACCTGGAGGTACCAGCTTGGAGGGGAGTAGGGTTCTTCGAAGGCATCGTTGGGGAGGAAGGAGAGGGAAGGGCGCTTGAAGCCCGTAGCGAGGATGATTATGTCGCCGGGGACAAGGTCTTCGTGGCCGGGTCCGCCTTTGGGAACGCCATTGCCGCGGAAGTTGAAGCGCACGCCGTCCTCTTCGAGGGAGACGATGTCGCCGCGGAGCCAGCGGGCTTTGCCATCGCGGATTTGTTCGAAGAGTTCGGAGTTGGCCATGGGGGTTTGGGTGAAGAGGCCGCCCGAGGGGGCGATGTCGGAGAGGTCACGGTAAAAAAATTTACGGAGGAGGGATTCGGGAATCCAGGAGAGGGAGGTTTCCTGGCCGAGGATGTTCATGGCCAGGAGGGACTGGACGAAGACGTTTCGCGGAATGATCCATTTATCGGATCGGGAGAGGACGTCGATCTCAGCGGCCTTGGATTTCACAGCGAACTCGAGGGCTTCGATGGCGCTGGCACCGCCGCCAACGATGAGGACTCTTTTGCCTTCGACTTGTTTCCCGTCGAGTTCAGAGGAGTGATATATTTCGCCCTTGAAGCGGTCCTGGTCTGGCATTGTGGGCATTTTCGGATCACCGCACACGCCAACGGATGCGATAATGCCGTCGAAGCGGCCGTATTTGTCTTCCTCGTTATTGATAATCCATCGGCCGTTCTTCGTTTGTTTGACGGAAGTCACCGGGGCGTTGAATGTCGTGTGTTTCTGCAGGCCATACCGCTTCCAGAGGTCGACGATCTGTTCTTTGATCTCTGCTTGGGTGGGATAGGCTGTGTCGTACTGCACTGACGGGTGGAAACGGTACATGATGCTGTGGATCTGCAGGGAGGAAGTAGAGTTCACTCGCTATGTGCAATTAGTAAAGGCATCAAAATGGAGGTTTCTTATGGTAGTAGCTTACACTCCAGATACCTCCGAGTCCCTTGTCTTTCGATCTGGCTTCGAAGATTTCCACATCGAAGCCATGGCCTACACAATGGGCGGCTGCAGATACTCCAGTCAGACCAGCTCCAATTACAGCCACACGCTTTTTCGGAACGCCATTGGCAACCGAGGAAGGCTTTGGCGGATTAGGTGCAAAGATCCAGTTGAGGAGATTCTGAAAGAGCATGTAGCATATGGTGAAAGACTGGAGGAGGGGGTTGCGGATAAATGCCGACAGGGAGAAGACGGACTCTGATTCCGCCATGATGGCGATTCGCTTAGCGAGTGAAGTGTGTGTAAAGATACTGTAGTCAATGGATATAGGTCACTGTCAGAAACAAAAGAATGGGACGTTTAGGGTAGAACAACAGGAACGGGGAGGGGTGCTTTTCTAGGGCAGCGGAAACCGGACGGAAGCGATAATGATGATGATGGCAATGACGTAGAGGGTGGATCGAAGCATGTGAAGGCGGGCCACAGCCAATTTCCATGTTTCATTCATCACGGCCCTGGATGCCCTGCATTGGAGGTTTTCCCCAGCCAGTCGATGATAATCACGTTCTCAGTCCTTAATCATTGCTTGGTTATACGAGCGCGCTCATCAATGGGTCGCACGAGTCCAACAGGGTATCCGACTTGATTCAAGCCCGCCGGCATCCGCGTAGGGAGGACGATCAGACCTCTTGTGTTTTGTACCCACAGATCGAGACCGATTAGTTTTCTTTTACTGTTAAAGGCATAGATAATGTCTGGGCTCCGAGCAGCATGGATCCAGCCACCATGTATAAAGGCATATGTCGCTCTGCGCTGCCGTGCCCTGCCAGTCCATCTGGATGTTTCCGAGCCGCAGCTTCAAGCCAGTCGGATAAAATCATGCGTAAAACATTCTCAAGTTCCTGTGCGACATACATGAGCTATGGCACTTAATTCCGACGTCTGGCGCCTTATTAAGCTCCTGCGAACGTAGTCCTTCTATGCTTGTTACAATGCCTACGCGTTCTTGATCGCGGTCGCATAGAAGTCTCTGAGCGACTCAGGAATCTTTGTATGTTCAGTAATTACTCCCTTGGGGTAAATCTCAGTCCTAATCTCGTTCTATAGTCCAGTAAGTGATTGAAAGCAGGTAAGTGGTAGATTCACTCGAAGCCTAACGGTGCTGGCGCCGAACGGAGTAATCTGCTCATCCATAGCAATAGCTTGTGTTACGAGGGGATTCTGAACATTTATTGATACGTGATAGATTATAATACCCCAATGGGCATTACTGCAAGCCGTAGAAGTCAATTCTCTCTCAAGCATCTGAGCATGAAGTTGACGAGAGAAGAGAGAAGAGAGAATGACCCCAACAGGCGCAGGCACGGGAATTGCCTGATTCGGCCTAGCGGGCGGTGGGAGCTCCCAGACTTCGGCTTCAATGATTTCCATGATTAAACCCTTTTCTCCAACAATCTTCCACCCATTCAATCCCCTCATCTGTCTCGCTCAACGCGCCAGACGTCCCCCCTGTTACTCCTACAGGGACTCGGTACGCCTTCAGCATCCCACCATGTGCGCCAATCGTTGATCGCTCCGCCCGACTCCACGCAATCCGTGACGGACAGCCTTCGATAGCTACCATCCCTCCATACCTCCACCAAACATGGCTACGCCGACTCTGGACCGTTTCTTCGCCAGCATCGCTGACCTGGTCAAGGCTCGAGATGGACGCCAACTTCAAGACTATCTGCAGCTCGAGCCTCCCTTGCCCGATATTTATCGACAAATGGTGGAGGAATTGCGGCAACATTATCCGACCGGTCCTAGAGAGGCAGAGCTAATGCGACGATGCGAAACCCTCGTTCCTAAAACCAAAGGCGCCCCGTGGACCGCTTTTCCTACCTTTATGAAGCTATACTTTACCTTTCTACGCGATGTCAACCTGGACAACCTGCTCGAAACATACGATCTCCTCAAAGGACTATTGAAGTAGGTATTATACAACTCGTTGCTGGCATAATTGCTGACCCGCAACTGTGCCATTCAGCCAATGTGTACTGGCATTAGGTGACAGCCAAATGGGAGTTATAGTCCTCCCCACCGTCTTGTACCTCTCGAAAGTCCTCGCAAAGCTGGCCATGGGCCTCGATCGACGTCCTGACTTAATCGCCCACCTGCTGCGACTCGAAGGCCGGTCGAACCAGGAAGAAGCTACGGAAAAGGTGACGCTGGTGGAGAAATCTGCAAATGTCGTTCGAGAGGCATTCATTAAGTGCCTAACGGACAGAAGTGGCACGCCAGGTATCCACGGAAAGCCCGAAGGGAAGAGGATAGGGATCTATTTGATGGCAAACCTTTGCCTCAAACTGCTTTTCCAAGTATGACAGGATATTCTTCTAGTGCGATCAATGGACTAACATAGGCCAGTGCGGCAAACTCCGAAACGCAGAGCAAATGTTTGCGAGTATCAGCGCACAATCCCCTCCTCTGAAACATTTCCCAGCTTCGCAGCGCGTCACTTATCTATACTACCTCGGACGTTACCTGTTCTCCAACAACCTCTTTTATCCCGCCCAGATCGCCCTGCAAGCTTCTTACGATCAATGCCACCGCCAGGCGACGAATCAAAAACGAGTCATCCTGACCTACCTCATCCCTTGTAACATCATACTAGGGCGCTTCCCCTCATTACAGTTATTGCAACGTCCTGAGGCCGAAGGGCTAGTAGACAAATTCGTTCCGATTTGTCGGTTGATAGCTCGGGGCGATTATATTGCGTTCCGCGAACACCTTGCAATTGGCTCCCCCGAAACAGAATGGTTCGCTCGGAAAGGCATCCTTCTTGCCCTACGCAATCGGTGCGAGATCCTTGTTTGGCGGTCACTTGCACGAAAGGTCTTCATCCATGCCGGTTTCCACGGCGATCCTTCACTTGGCCCTTCTCAACGTGGACCGCCACCGTACCTCTATCTGAACAAGCTGGACGCAGCGGTCCGGTGGATTCAATCTCAGCATGCCCATTCGGCCCAAAGCTCAATTGGAATCTTCGCCTCCAAGCCCGAGCCGGATTCCCAGGCGGGCCAAAATCAGGTTGGGTCCCAGATCGTACACAAAGCTACAGATCGGGATTTCGAGGGGCTCGGCGAGCTGGACGCACAAGAGGCGGTCGCAAGCCCAGGGCTTATTGAGAAATACGGAGACTATTTGGCACCGGACGGATATTTCGATGCGCAAGGACAGTGGCAGATGAACCCACCGGGCAGACTTGTTGATGGCCAGCCCTCTATCGATTACCAGCAATATGAGCTTGACCCGTACGCGAGTCCAGCCGACAGCGAGCAAAACTCGGGCAAACCTACTCTTATGATGCGCGAGCTCGAGTCCATCCTGGCCTCCCTCCTCACACAGGGTCTGATGCGTGGATTCCTGACTCATAAGAATCCTCGTCTGGCGATCCCTGGCGCGCGTCTCCGTGGTGCCGTGCCGACTGGCTTTCCCAATGTCTGGCAGACAATCCTAGCTCGGGAACAAGATGATGACAACGTTCCTGGATGGGTCCAGCCACCAGCGGTGGCAGCACCTCCGACAGCCGGGGGTGGACGCGTGGTCAATCTGTCCGGAGCGAGACCTGTCGGAGTACAGTGACGACATTAGCTATCCATGTGGAGGCACAACCCAATGAAGGATCTCTTGTAAATAGCAACGAATGCCATGACACGAACACAAAATAACTATGTGAATGAAAAGCCAACATCTGGTACCTGATGTGCCTTGGACGATGAAGCATCCGCATCAAGTCACTCGGGCCGACTGATCGGTCAAAAACTCTACTTTGGAGAATGATCGACCGCCAATCTCGGGGTCGGGCCCGAGATCTCGGTCATAATTTAAGAGCCGAGGATTAAACTCCGACACTCCCGGCTTTTGTGGATATCTGCCTTAAATTGATGATTCTGGACTCCGAGCATATGGAGCAGGGTCTCTCGGCCGTGAGCTCGCAGTCCCCAATTGGCATGGCGGCGGGTGTGGCAGAATTCTGCACGATTCTTGAAGAATTCCAGAACAGGTGGCGAGCGCTTATCCACGAAATGACCGGGGTAGTTTCAAGATAAGCTTATTTGGGCCTGCAGAACTAGTATAAGTCCAGTCCACGGCTTCTGGTCCATCTCACAGTCGTCCAAGCAGTTTCCGGGAAACCTCATACCGGACGCAACGTGATACTATGGTCCGATAGAAAATGGTATAGCAATGTTACAACAGGCTACAATCCCCGGGGGATGACGACACCACCCTCGGTGCAAACAGTCTCTCCTGATAGAACCTCGGACTTGCATTTATGAGCTTGCGTATACCTCGAAGGCCCTCTTTATAAGGAGGAAACCTCTCCCAGTCACTTTGCCACTCCATCAGACACTCATAACAGTAATCCTTCAGCATTCATTTTTTTCTCTTCAACATCTAGCTGCACCGATCTTCCTCATGCGAGCTGTTTCAACGTTGGCAGGCCTGGCAGCCGCTGTGCCGCTGGTTGCGTCTGCAGCTATTCAGTCAAGATCAGCTGGCTCTGACCTCCCCGTCGTGAACACCACTCTGGGATATGTGCGGGGCACATACTCCCCCTTCCGTGGTGGTGACACTGCCGTCGTCTACAGAGGTATTCCGTTCGCTGCTCCCCCAACCGGTGAAAACCGCTGGAAGGAGCCCCAGTCACCCCAGCCCTGGTCTGGAGTCTTAAATGCAACGGAATTCGGTCCTCAATGCGCCCAGTCCTCCAGCAGTGCGGGCATCTTCGATAGCGGGAAGAAGAGTACCAGCGAGGACTGTCTTTACCTGAACATTTGGACCCCCAACTACAACGACACCTCCGATATCACCTCCAAGAACCTGCCGGTATACTTCTGGATCTACGGCGGTCGCTTCGTGGCTGGTTCAGGCGACGTCCTGACCTACGATGGTACTGGTCTCGCCGCCAAGGACATCATCGTTGTCACCATCAACTATCGGTTGGGTCCCTTCGGCTTCCTCGCCCACCCCGAACTGTCTGCCGAGTCCGGCCACAACAGCTCCGGTAACTATGGTATCCTCGACCAGCAAGCCGCTCTTCGCTGGGTTCACGAGAACATCGCCAACTTCGGCGGTAATGCCAGCCAGATCACTGTTGGCGGTCAATCCGCCGGCTCAGCTAGCGCTTTGGACAGCATGTGGAGCCCACTGAACGAGGGCCTCGTTGCCGGTGTCATCGCTGAGAGCGGTGCTCGCGGCCCCCACGACCCCATGACCGGCAGTGCTGCCACCAGCCACCGTAGCAAGGTGGCCGCCGAAGCCCAGGGTGTCGAGTTCCTCAAGGAGCTGAACGTCACCTCCATCAAGGAACTGCGCACCACTGTCTCCATGGAGACCCTGCTCGAATACGACTCCCTCAGCGATACTATCTTCGAGGGCACTCAGTTCGCCAACGCCTCCGCCTTCTTCATGGAACCCCCCATGTGGCGTCCCAACATCGACGGCTACGTCTTGCCCCACGACTACACCCAGTCCCTCCTTCTCAACGCCCACGCCGACGTGCCCATCCTCACCGGAAACAACAAGGATGAGTCCGGCGCTGAGACCGACCCAGGTCTTACTGCCTCCACCTACAACACTCTCTACCACGAAGTCTTCCAGAACTTCTCCGAGGAATTCTTCAAGCTCTACCCTGGTGACTCCACCTCCCAGGCCAACAACAACTCCAACGCTCTCTACCGTGACATGAGCCGTATCGGCACCTGGCAGTGGGCTCTCGATTGGGCCAAAGGTGGTGCCAAGAGCCCTGTCTACACTTACTACTTCACCCGCTACCCGGCCGAGAACCGTGACGAGGGCGCCTACCACGGCTCCGAACTCTGGTACACCTTCAACAACATCCCCTACTCCGACTACTCTAACGTTACTTGGTACCCCTATGACTATGTGGTTGAGGAGAAAATGTCCAACTATTGGGCTAACTTCATCCGCACTGGTAACCCCAACGGCGAAGGCCTCCCTCATTTCCCGCCTAGCACCGAGACCAAGCAGACTATGTGGTTGGGTGACTCTTGGGGTGCGGGTCCTATTTCTGCTAGCGAGGAGCGCATCGAATTCATCAAGAGCTGGTTTGCTACCTTGCCGGAGTGGTAGCTTAGTGTGCCACACTGTTGTACAGAATCGCTGTTCATTTATCAATTCCCTCATCATGCCTGAAGCATGCGATGTATCATAGTTATTTTTCATTCTTTCTCTCGTTTGCCACCAGTGTATAACTGTTACTTCGCTCACTAGTAGTACTTTACTTTGTTGAATAAATCCTGTGTATAGTTGCATTGCAAACCTTCATCCGGACATTCTGTTTCCGCACTGGTGTATAGTGATACCAGTTTAGTGCTGTCTTCAGTACAGTTATTCAGGTAATCTAGCCACAGAATAAATGCTAGTTAATATTGCTGTTTGCTCTTACTACTGCTACCGATGATAATGACAGGCGCACATAAGTACGGTATGGATCTCTTTCGTCTGGCGATATAAGTATCGTCACGGGTAGATAGGCGAATTATTTTTTTTATCCCCTCTTTATCCCCTCTTCCAGAAGATACTAAACGTATTCATATAACATTATGGGTAGATAGTATACGAAATAGGCGGGACCCCTGGTCATGCTAAACGAATACATTTGTGGATATCAATTCCAATAAGCTATGCCATACAAACTAGAAACTAGATGCTAGTCTAATGGATTCTCAAAATAGAAAGAAATGGGGGGAAGATAAAACAGAACGAGATTATCGCCCTTTCGAGTTAAGACCGAAAACTACATAGACCAGGGTATCAAGATCATTTCCAAAGGCAAACCCCTCCTGTAAAAGTCGGAGAACGAAACTCGACGAAAGAGAAAAGCTAGACTCCCCGAACAAACCGTGCAGCTGCCTCTATCATCTCCTCCTGCTCCTCCTGCCACCCAAGGATATGTCCCATCATATAAATATCATGCGGCAACCCCGGAACCTCCAGATACTCGACAATATTGCCTGGAACAGCGCCCATCGCATCCGCAAACCCCCTAACGCTATCACACAACACCTCCGCACCCCCAACCTGGGCAAAGATGGGAACAGGCGTCGCAAACGGATGCAACGCCGGTGATAGGTACGGATCATCCAGACGCACCGACTCCGGCGGGGCAAAAGCACGCGCACCCCACGCGGCCATCTTCCCTTCACAGTAGTCAGTCCGCAGGTTCCGATGGGCGTTCATAGCCTGCGAATCGCCCTCGAAGCTGTACTCAACTGAGGGCGAAAACAGCAGACACGCCCGGGGCGGTGGCAGCTCTGCAAGCTCATGGCCGCTCTCCTGCTGGAACGAGGCGAGGTGACGCAATAGAGCCATGGCCATGGTAGCTCCGGATGAGTCGCCCGCGAGCACGATACGGGATGGCGAGATGTTCAGTTCTCGAACGAGATAGAGATATGAGGTCACGGCGTCTTGCATGGGCCCCGGGTATGGGGTGGGATTGTTGCCACCTGCTAGCCGGTACTGCACCCATAGCGACCGGGTGCCTGTACCCAGCTTCTCGTTGAGCAGGTCGGCTGTGAAGCCGGAGTCATCGGGCCGGCCAGTTAGCCATAGGAAGGCGCTGCCGTGGAATGATAAGACGACTAGGCTCTTCTCGTCATCTACTTCTTGCTCTTGATCATCATTGTCGATGTCGATGAATGGTGGCAATGACTTCGATGGTGGTGAGGGATACCAAGTCCCGCCGATCGTTTCGGGTTTGATGGTGTCGCTTGCGAAAGCACCGCGATACGAGTCTTCCGGGGCTGGCTTCATGAGAACCCATTGGCTGCCCAGCTTGTCTGACTCCAGGCTCAGGGACTGGGCGTAGCCGAGTTCGCGGATGATGGTCATGGCTAGCTTCATGAGGCGGGTGGTGAATGCTTGGCGATATGTCCATTCCGGACTCTGCCGGAATGAGGGTATTGTGTAGTAGATGCCAAGGACAAGAGACACTAGTGAGACACGTATCACCGATATAAGCAGCCAAATGATCCAGCCCGGCTGTCGAGTCCGCCAGTCGCTGGGTATAGCGTCGTTCTCGGCCAACACGCGCGCCATGGTCAACGCTTTCTGCTTTCTAAAAGAGTTAGATAGTACTAGCCGGTTAATATCTCGACGAGGGATGACAGAGGTGGCTTGTTGGTGATATAAGAATAGGCAGCCTCGCTGTGATCCCCCGTCTTAGGCAGCCCGTGCGGCAATCTGGCACAGGGCTGATTGGCTGCCTTACCGCGTGGAGCATGAGCACTCGGTTGTCCAATCGGAGCACAGCCGAATAGTTACTTAAGGCCTCAGGCAACTCTTTGTGCCCCCACCCTCGGTTTGGATGGCACATGACTCTTCTATCACAGTCTCAATATGTTCGTAAATATACTGACGATGGTATCATTCTTGTCCGCTTCTCATATGTCTCTAATGCTCCGGAGCACCATTTCCAAAGAGTGTATATTTGGCTCATTGACTATCTTTACGGTCAAGTTGACTTGAATAGTTGGAAAGCTTCTGCTATCTATGGCTGCAATGTAAAGTCATGGTCATGCCGGCCCTTCAAATAGTCATAGTCCTCGTCCACCCACTCAACGCACGGCACTAGATGACCCCAGTCCACCTTTCCCTGTAAGCTCCGAGGTAACACGACCTTTAAGTCTGTACGGTACCACGCCGGGAAATGAATTGTCACGAGCATAACACGCGGGTCATCCGTGCGGTTCGGCATGCCTGCATGCCACAGCCGGAAATCCCGAATAATAATCGCTCCCTTGGGTAGCGATGGCTGCACTGGGGGAGAAACCTTGCGCCGTGCTTCAACAATCTCCGGGATCACACCGCTGTCGTCACTGTCTCGAGGATCGGCGTCCCGGTGGCTACCAGGCCAGAGCTCAGTAGCGCCATTTTCCGGAGAGGTCGCCACCAGGTTTATATTGATACATAGTCCAAAAGGCATCTTGGGGAAGTCAAAGTGCACGTCTACATGCACCGGTTGTCGGTCCTCAGCTTTGAAGGCCGTGTTGGCGCTATAGAAACGCAGGTGTGGGTTGGGTCCCAGCATGCATTCGGTGATGGCAGTTGCCCAGGGGTTTGCAATAACGTCCTCAAACATATACCTCGAGTCGACAACAGGCTCTTGCTGGATGTTTCCGGTACGAGAGCCAAAGTTGCGGTGGGTTTGTGGATTGGCATACAGGGTCTTGGCCTCGGGGACCATGCGCTCGTTCAGCTTATCGAGATGAGTAGGGTCAACGCCGTTAGTAATGACGCATACGCCATCCCGATGGAGACCCTCAAGAGCTGCTTGAAGGTTATGAGAAGAGAGAGTCTTAGTAGCGCGTTCCTCGTCCGAGAGTGTAATTTGAACCAGCTGCGGGGTTGTCATGGTGGCGTTCTCCATTGGGATTGTGGCAATGAGACAGAGAAAAAGATGGTCAAGCAATCGAGGGAATTTACTGTACTACTCCCGGAAGCGAGAGGGGTCATCTATATAGCTGGTAAAGCAAGAATACAGCTGGATGAACGCACTGATAAGCAACTCCTCCCGACTAACTTAATGCGCCTTCCCAGTTGGGAATGGCCGGGGGTGGCGGCAGGTGGCCCAACCAATCGCTGGCCTGGGGTTTACCGTCGGCTGCTTGGACCTTCCTTTCTTCCTTCATCCTTCTTCGTCCTGATAGTCAGGAGGACTCCAGTTGGCACTTAACTCGTTATCGGCCGTGCTCCTCCTCCTCATGGTGTTTGGACCCTGCAGGTCTATGAACTCAAGATATAGCAATCCGATAAACCACAGCAAGGCTTAAGTATAAAGTAGAGGCTTGCGTCCAGAGTGGGCGTGACCGATTCCCTTAGCGAGAAACCTGGTTTGATTCTTTTATTGTATCGTTGATTCTAATCTAGTCATGTCTTTAGAGGGAGATAGAAAAAATTTAGGGGCTCCGGATGATGAGGTCGTCAAACAGTTACCTAGTAACGTTGAAGAGACTGGGATTGAACAGACCAATGATGCAGAAAGGTCCCTGGCTCACGCCAGATTCGAGCATAGCCTAGGATTCTGGAAGGCGTGTCAGTTCTACCGTCCAGCCCTGTTCTGGTCTTGCTTCGTCAACCTAGCAGTCATTCTGTGTGGCTTTGATGGCGCCTTGATTGGGAGTCTGGTGGGGTTGACCCCATTTGTTCGCACATATGGCAGATGGGTGGACGGGCAATATGCGGTTGCTCCCTCTTGGCTATCTGCCTTCAATTATGCGTCATACGTGGGCAGTGTGCCTGGCTCGCTGGTGGCAGGCATCGCCTACGACAAGTATGGTCCGCGCATGACCCTCGCTGCGGCTTCGATCGGCTCGATCGGGTCCATCTTCTTTCAATTCTTTAGTGAAGGCCCAGCTCTTCTCTTCGTTGGCGAGCTACTTAACGGATTCATCACAGGTGTCTACCCTGTCCTCGCCAATGCTTATGTTAGTGAAGTTGCACCTGTTGCTGCTCGCGGTGTCCTTGCTGCCGTCATAAACCTGTCCTATGTCATTGGTCAACTAGTGGCATCAGGACTGCTCAAGGGCACCAGTACGATGGATAGCAAGTGGGCCTATAAGATCCCATTCGCCTCACAATGGGCTCTACCTGTCTTCATCCTTTCGCTCATATACTTCTGCCCAACTCCTCCATACTGGCTCTGCAAGAAAGGCCGACCAGAGCAAGCGCGGAAATCCATTCAGCGTCTGACGACATCCGCAGTTGATGTGGACGCGTACCTCGCTCACATCCAAGAGACACTCCGCTTAGAGGAAAGCTCTAGGACCAAGGCCAGCATTACCGACTGCTTTCGCGGTACAAACCTACGGCGCACTATTATCTCCTGTCAGGCTTTCAACATCCAAGCCCTCTGTGGTAATATCTTATTCATAAACTATGCCGTTTACTTCTTTGAAATTGCTGGTCTAGATACGTCGGACGCTTTCTCAATGAACGTGGGCCTGACATGCATGGGCTTCGTTGGGACGCTAGCCTCCTACATTCTCATCTCATACGCCGGTCGGCGTACCATCTATCTGTGGGGCTCTACCGTGATCGCCTTGCTACTCCTTCTCGTCGGGATTTTGGCTGCAGTGCCCCAACACAATTCAGGGCCTGCATGGGCCATGTCCGCCCTCATGGTGATATGCAACCTCATCTACGACATGTCGGTGGGACCATTGTGCTTCACCGTCATGTCCGAGGTTTCTGCCGTTAACCTGAGAGGTGTCACTATAGCCCTGTCCAATGTCACTGTTGTGGTATGGTCTGTCATATTTGCTGTCGCCATTCCCTATGCACTGGACACTACCGGCTCCAACTGGGGCGGCAAACTGGGATTCCTATTTGCTGGCATCGGTGTCTTGGACACACTTTGGTGTTACTTCTTTCTGCCAGAGACTAAAGGCCGAACGTTTGAGGAGCTGGATTTCATGTTTCAGCAGAAGCTACCCACGCGTCAATTTGGCAAGTATCAGTTTACGGAAACACAGCAGGTAGCGCCAGAGGCTTAGCCTGTTGCTGCAACACAGGCCAGAGAATTATTATTACAAGGCAAGCTTTTGTCTAATATTTGTGCATATTTGGATCTTGATTCTATGTCTCCTTGGTTCATCCATTGACTAGCCGTCTCTTGTGGAGTAATCATAGTTGAGTCAATAATTCTAGCTTTTTCTCGGTTACACTTGGTCTATCTTCGCCGCTGAACTATTCGTTATCATTTTAAAGGAACAGGGAATATCTTGGTTCACGTGCTGCAAAAGTGCCCGGTACAATGCGCGCCCACGAATGAGCTTCATGTACCTGTATCGTTTTATATTTTCTACTTCACCCAGTAAACTGTTCAAGAGAAACGTAAGGAGAGCATCAGCCAGTCATTTATCAGCTTGAACTACCATCTGGCAAGGGTTCCTCAAAATACTTGGTAGGGCTTCCACATCCCATGTTATCAATAAAGTGGCAGATCCTGTAAAGAATGAAAGCCCGGCACAGTTACCTTGAGCGGGTATAGGTTGCTCATGACGAGTCGTTTGGACATACTGTACTTAATGATAGCTGATGATAAAGTTCTGTGCAACTTTTGCCTCCCTCTATCCGTGTGATTCAAGACTTGTCAATGAGCAACCTGCTTCTTCTACTAGACCAGGAAATGTGTGGTTGTCGTAAACTGACGTTTAGTTCAATCAGACCCAGCTGTTTGTTGTCATGTGTTAATCTCTTTGGTCTATTTAGCACTAACTTTCCCGCTCATTCAACAAGCGGGTCCCATAGCTCAGTTGGTTAGAGCGTGACGCTAATAACGTCAAAGTCGAGGGTTCGAGCCCCTCTGGGACCATCTTTTTGCTATTTTACTTTCCTTCTCCCCTATAACTAACGTCTTTGAGTTGTGCTTTTTTAAATCATGCTGCACATCTTTTCTAGATAGCAAAACCAAATGAATCTTTGTGGCCATTATCCAGCGGTGGTCTGAACGGACCGCGATCCACAATAGCCACCACATCTCCTCGTTCGTTCAGAAACCGGCTTCTTCATGCAATGCAGGCTTGAACATCCTTTTAGTGGTCGAGGCAAGGAGAGGGAGATAATTCAGAAATATGTTAGAAATATGCTCACTCCCAGTATCAGCCGCCTATTGGTATCAGTTTTGAATCGAATTTTCCAGAAATTCATATAAGCGCAGTATAGTGCGAGAGAGCTACAACCTAAGTGAGGGAAAAGGTATAAATGTGATAATTTTATTGGACAGTAATGCTTAGTTCCTTTCCTGTAGAGTATTGGTTATTTGGTCATTATGGCCTATGTTAATTACGAACTGCAGCAGTGTGGGGCGGTAAGAGACAACCTCTGTTATGATGCTACGCAGGGATTGTATCGATATCACCCTCCTAAATCATAATGCCCAGGTCATTATCTATTCATCGATTGCCTGTGGTCTGCCTACGCGAGTAACATTGGTCATAGACAATCAGAGACTGATCCACCCATCACTGGGAATAGGTAGCAGGGAGGCGAGTGTCTGCGGATCACAAATAATACCATTGGTCCACAAATTATACATTGATGAGACGGCCAGGATAATTACTGAAGTTGAAGGTACATAAATATGCATGAAGGGTTGAACAAATATCTTTTTCAAGCCTCGGAGTGGGAGGCTGAGGCCTAGTATTTTATATTCGTATGCCAGCTGTCCATGGCTGGGGTGGCTGCTTGGGTCGCTAGGTCATGCAATTGACATAAAAATGGTCAAACTGCCATCATAGTGGGGAAATATATACTATACCATGCACTACCGGTTGGACATGGCAATTGAAAGTCCAGTCTGGAGTCACCCGTAGACTTTACTGCACGCAATGGTTGCTTAGTATGACTCGCTTTAGCATGACGTAGGTACAATAAAAAAAAGAGAGAAGATTAAATACAATAAAGGTCAAGCTAATTCTTGATTTATTCAATGGGTTACCTCGCGTCAATTGGTGGAACAGGATGGAGAGACGGACACGTATAGAAGTTGAAAAAACAAAAAGATGGTCCCAGAGGGGCTCGAACCCTCGACTTTGACGTTATTAGCGTCACGCTCTAACCAACTGAGCTATGGGACCCGCTTATTGGAAGATTCGTTTTGTAACGGATATCTGAATCCAAAAGCAAACCTGGGTCACTGTTCCTGGTTCTTACATGGTGTCAACAGCATGCTGTACACAGTTCGCTGGCTCTACCATCTAACTTAAGATCATAGAATTCATGATTTCTGGGCTTATTGTCCTACTGTTGTTGTATTTAATTCTGGCACTAGTACTTTGGCGTAATTCAATATTAATAGATCGTAGAGGATCATGTTGCGCTTGGGCGAACGGCTACGTGTGGGACACATTGAAATATATATATATTCAGGAGACGGGTGGTACAGTTAGACTTCTTGCCTGTGCCTCGACGGGTCGTAACCCGGATAAAAGAGAGAGGCTATTTTGAAAAGACCTGCAGGTTATTGATGGTACAGTTGTCGCGTTTCTCATTATCCTGCTGGCATAGGCGACATGGCTGGAGTACAAAGCCCGTCACGTTATGTGGCCAGAAAGGATGCATCGATAGCCTCTCACAGAAGACCACTAGGCGCTATAAACAGACATCATATGTCACTATGACATGAAGAACAACCCAGCATAACTTCCTCTCCGAAGAGGTTGGTTGTAACCTCTGACCTCGCTCGGATTCGGTCCAAGTCATACGTCCCTCATTTGGGCTTTACCTGGCTCAGCCTTCCAGCAAGTCTCTCGCATTGCCTGCTAAGCACTAGAGGGCATAGCTCCAACAGCCACAATCTGTTGTTAACTCCACAGAGAAGAATCCAAGCCACTGACCCAATGACTGTATACTGTCTCACGAAAGGTAACATTCCGCGATGGGCTGGGCCCATTCCAATTGTACCGCAAATGGTTGTCAGTCAGCATCACAGCTGAGACATCCATGCAAACGGCTGATCACAGCTGTAATAGCCAAAGCTACGACCATGAAACTTATGGGCCCAGCCAGAAAGGAAGTGGTGTGGGTAAGTAAGTCAACCTCTTTTACGTCCTTCGGCCAGACCCATCTGGTAACGTGTCTGACATATGTCATGTCTCAAGTGGACCATGGAACGAGGGCTACCGGAACCCCTGAATACCTTGCTTGAACTCTAATGCAGTGTCTTCTCTTTTCTCTTCTCTTCTTTCCTTTCTTTCATGCAAGCATTACCAAGACTTACAACGGTAAGCGTGGAGGAACATGGATGAAACTTAACCATGTACCAAAACTCCAGGCCAAATTACCACTTAGCTCCGAGTCAAAAAGCTCGCCATGGTGACATCCGCTTACGCCACCGAATGTACTACACAGGAAGTTATACGCAATAGGATTAAATGCGAGTCATGGACTTCAAAAAGGTTACATATGCAACAAATACAATCCGGGTGGAATGACGGAAAAAAGCTCCGGGGCGGCTCCAAAGAATTGAGTTTCTCCCTCCAGTATCTCAAGTCGTATGGTGAATTCTTCTTACCACCATAACCACATTACATGGCCTAGAAAGGACCCATCTACTTCGTTTATTGTGTGGAAATGTGGTAGCCGAGAAAGCCACTAATAGGCAACAGGTGAATTGCTTGTACCAACAAAAGCCGCAGTGGACAAAATTAAGCCCATTATATTAGCAGTAAACCTCAAACCTGAAACGTCTCATCTTGTAGATGTCTGTAGTATTTGTCCTGTATTGGATCCAGACTTGGACTTCAATCCTGCTTCACACTCAGCTTTTCCAACAATAGTCGTAGCATTGGGTTTCCCTCGTTGGTGGCCTTCTCAATCCGGTCAATTTCACAGATGATGGATCTTTCCAGTTGCATCAGGTAGTCACGGCAATGCTGGAATGTTCCACTGGTGTCAAGGTACTCGACAATATGTTGCTTGATCTCCAGGGCTAGCGGTTGCATTCCACTCGCACTGATGACGGTAGGCCGCTGTCGGAAGACGCCATCGATGAGGTCCCTAAATTCTGCATGGTTTGCAACGCAAAGAACAATCGGATAAGAAAATTTGCCCTCGTCGAGGTCTTCACAGAAACCCTTCTGCTCGGTATATAGACCGGAGCGAAGATTCATGTAATCATCACGAATCTGAAAGAACCGCCCAAACAGAAGGGTGAGTCCGTCCATGTTAGCTAGTTCCCCAGCCGCATCTTTTCTTTTCTCGGCCTGCATGAGTCTCAAAAGAAGACGAAACAGCCCCCCGGTTTTGTTGTCGACCATATTCAGATAGTCAGAGGGTGACGGGCATTTGAGCTTGTATTTCCAGTACAGATCCCAACTCTGTCCCAAATACAGGTTCTCCAGTTCCTCGAGCAGGATCTCAACAGCGTTCGGATTGCGGAACTGGCGTGCAACTTGGACGGCCTGGACGAACATGAAATTGGCGCTGTTTATGGCTTGCGAATGGCCGAAGATAGTGTGCGTGGCGGGCTTTCCTCGTCGCTTGGGTGAGTTATCTTCAATGTCGTCTAGAATCAATGACGCATTATGAAGGATATCGACCAGCTGCTCAATTTTGGTTAAGGATACCTCGTTCAACCCAAACCAGTAGTTCAATGCTTCAATCATTCGGGACCGGACCCCCTTTGAGGGCATCGAACAGATGTAATGGATTGGTGCTTGGAGGGCTGTGTTTGCGGGTTTGTACCACAGGTCCTCTGCCTCCTGGTTCCGTTTGCTGCCAACCTAGACTACTTCTCAGCGACCAGTACAAATATAATGTTCAGGAAGTGAAGGTTCAAAACATACCTCTAAGGAACTAGTCCCATTTGCTGCATCTGATTGGAGTTGCCTGGCTCTCTCATGCTCCTTAACACTGAACAGGCTCTCGCATTGTTCAACTATCCTCGAGAGAAGTGCTAATACAGCTTGCACGATGTGCCCGGTATCATGTTGATCCAGTGTCATTTTAGCATTCAGCTGCATAATCTCCGGTCTACTCAGTTCCGGATTCATTTGGGTGCGTGTTAGCTTTGCATCTTCAGATAAAAGACTGCTGATGCCATTGGATTCTTTAGGCTCCTCTTTTCGAGCGCTATAGACTTGGTGAGCATTGCTCTTGTCTATATCCTGCACTTTAATTGAGTGATCGCGCCAGACACGGTGACGGGGAGCGCAGCTGGCCCAATAGTGAGTCCCCGCCACCGTGATCCCCAGCACTTCAACCCATTTCTTCACATGGGAGGGAAGTGATGGGGTTTGGGCATAAATTGCGCTTTTTCGTTCAAGGTACTGCTGCTCCAAATCGACGAGGAGCTGGCGAACCTTGGCTTTTGCCTCATCGATAGAGATGCTCTCGGTCCGACGAACCACTTCTACCACGTTAGTGAGTCGACTCCCGCTGGTTACAGACTCATGGTACTCCCGATCAAAGCTCCAGTAATCATTAGTCCAGATGATTGCCTTGTCAATGGGTTCCATAACGGGCTCGATGAGTTTCTTGTCTTCATCCGACAGTCGCATGGCCATGCCAAACTCCACCATCGGCCAGAATGCCCTGATCTAGTTAGAAACCGAATTGCCTCCAAGTTGAGTAAACTGAAATGGGTGAGGGTAGGTATACCTGATGCCGAAATCATCCCTTCTGTAGGCTTGGTACTCCTCTAAAGAGTTGAATTGAGGTGCCTTGCCCTCCTTCCCCCCTGCAGCGGACAGCCATCCTTTATTATACATGTCAAACATGTACATACCCAGATCACGGTCAATGCGGATCGCCTCAAGTAAGATTTGCGATACTAGCTTCTTCAACTTGGGCGCACGGGTGCTTCGGCTTGACGACGGCTGTTGCCCATGGGGATCAAAGAGGGCACCTAAGTCCCGATGTTCTGCCCTTGCTTGATCCATATCCAATGCCTCGTACACATCTAAATGCAGGGTTAATTACTTGTCCACGCCGGGTTTTAGGGGGTTGGGAGGGGGCCAAAGATAGAGAGCGAGAGTAACCAAAAAAAGAAAAGAAGATAGAAAGAAAGAAAAGAAAGAAGTGCCAGGGTTTGAGATCACTAACCATCATGAAGCATCCCCAAATCTGTCAAGTAGGTCAAAATTGCCAGTCTCTCGGGAGGCACCTCGGGGTAGGCGAAAGCACCCAGGTTTCCCAGCTCACTAATGGAGATAAGGGCTGTCTTTGCCAGGCCATCGTTCACATAATGGTCCCAGTCCCGAAGAGCTCTCTTGGTGGCTTCATCCGCTACATCATTTTGCTTGTTTATGCGGATTGGTAGCGTGGTGAATGATGGTGTTTTCTTGATAGTCTCATCATCTATCGGTCGGGAATATTGCCAGCCCTCCATTGTGTGGGGGAGACTTAGAAGCACCAAGCTTAATTAAGGTTGGTTCAAGGGTGGAGTACCAGCTGTCAACCAAAGCAAGCGAGTATGAAGCCGACTGTTGAGTTGCCGGTTCTCAGGGTTACACAGGGACTTTATAAGTGGGCCTTTTGTTAGACACGGCGCTCCCATGCCTCTCTACAGAAGGCAGGACCAATTCCACATGGAGAGTAAAGGCGTCACTCCATAACCTTGTATAATCTGATTCTGGACTGTTTGCGGCCAGGTTGCAGACCAGCGTGGTAACACCGTGATGTTCAACGAACGTCCGTACGGTTTATGTTTCTATACTTACTACTGGTATGCCCTAGGTTCTCACCAGTAGATGTTGTTAGCATATTCTGGTATAAACTAGCCTGAGATTATAGGGAAGAGATCAACGAGAGCACCATATTGATACTAGAAGCCTAGGGCCGTTCCCGAAGGCAAAACTTGCAAGAGAATGTAGTTCATTGAATATTCCATACACCCAACTACTAGCGAAGTATACAAGTATTCTATCTAATGAGCTTAGGGTTTACGTAGGCGTGGTTGAAAGCAAAACTACCTTCAGGTTGCCATCCAGCGTGGTAACAGAAATCTCCTTCATCCAATCCCACCCCTTATTAACAACGAGCCAGTTCGATACTCTCCTTATCTGCCTCAAGGGTGACATCATGACAGGAGGGATGCGACGGGAAGTTACGCCTCCTATGTAATGTGGAATGGTATATAGAGGCCGCCAGCTTTCTTAGCTTACTGTCTTGTTCGACTCGTTCCGAGCTATTCGTTCCTTGAAGTACAGGATCACACTTTAAGCGCCGAAAAAAGGACTGGTAATCTATGCTACTGCTACCTTAGGTGGGAAGTCAATAATCTAGATTCATCTTCTCGCTCGAACGCTCCGTCGCCTTTCCTTGACTATGTCTGTCGTCAATTTGGTACAGGTTGCCAGTATGACATTTTCACTGGTATGAGACACCCTTTCCCATGATGTACTATCTCATTATTGAACACAGTAAATGACTGATGTAGGGCACGGGAGCCTTGGTGTTGATGCTCATCTACAACTACTTTTTTCACCCTTTGGCGCAAGTTCCTGGTCCTTGGACTGGAGCAGTGTTCCCGGTAAGTCAGCCTCAGAAGCAGCCAGCCCTTAACCTGTTCTGAAGAGAAATGTGTCTTCGTATCCTTCTAGTTCTGGTCAATGAGATCCTTGTACCGCCGGAGACTGAACCCAGATCTGGCCGAACTACACAGACAATATGGTCAGATACAATCCTTCTGTCGTCAGCTCTCGTGCTATAATAGAAGGCCCACTGACGTGCCAGAGGAAAATAAAACGTACAGGCCCTGTTATTCGAGTTGGCCCCAATCAGCTGTCATTCGCGAGCATTGAAGCTCAAAAGATGATCTACAATGCTAAACCGACCCATGGCGGCTCCGATGAGTTATTCGGCAGAGACGGAACCCTGCAGGACGTGATGCTCGTGATAATCCTCAGGGCTCCCAATATCGGTTCGCTCTCGAATAGAGCTGAGCACAAGAAGATGCGTAAACGCTTACTGCCGGGTTTCACATCAAACGCGCTTTTTGAACAGGAATCCCTGCTGCGCCTGCACCTTGACCGCCTCTTACAAAGACTTCAACAAAATGCAGGTGTGATCGACTTGACGGATTACTTTTCCAGATTTCTTTGGGACCTTATTGGGGATCTTTCATTCGGAGAACCTCTAGTTGCAGAGAAGCACGGTGAGTCCGCTTTGTTGACACGTTCAATCGAAAGTGTTCTTTCGCTAAGGCCTTCATCCCCAGACACGCTGCGATCGCTTGTCGATATATACCAAGCGTGTTTTCCTTTGCTGGAAGCTATCACTTATGCTGTTCCACAAGTCGAAGGGCTGCTCAAGTTGGCGTTGCATTTGGTACCGCCAGCTACTTTGCGCGCGGTCTTGCCCATTGCCACATTTCGAGAGTATATGGCCTTCCCTACTCGTTAATATCCGCCCTCCTCTCCTTCCCCTACCCCCTGGTGCTTGTCACTTCAATCATAAGGAGCCTGACTATATCCGTGCACTGATTGAACCGAGCTGAAATACTTCTTCTAGTTGCATTGACCGACAAGATGGCCGATCCGATTTCCTCACACATATCATGGGCCACAAAAGCCGCAACCCCACAGAAGTAGAATTAAGCTATGGCGAATTGCACAGTAACGCCACCGTTCTAATGTAAGTAGTAGCAGTGAAGACCTTTCCCAAGGCCAACAGGCACAGATGAAATTAAATCATATCAACCATATCTCCCAGGATCGCCGGCTTCAAGACGACCGAAACATCCCTATCGGCGTTATTTTACCGACTCTTATCAACCCCAGGAGTGCTCGAGAAACTCCGAAGCGAACTGGCTAGCACCTTCCAGAGCATCGACGACATCACAGGCAAGAAACTGCTATCGCTGCCCTACCTGAATGGATGTATCTTCGAGTCGCTCCGTCTAACGCCTCCAGTGGCGGGCAAATTCGCGTCCCGTCGGTCCCCCGGTGCCATGATTGAAGGCTTCTACGTCCCCATGGGGACGGAGGTATATACGGAGACGTATACCATGCAGCGAAGCCCCAGGTACTGGCATGCCCCGGATGAGTACCGCCCTGAGCGCTGGTTCGAACGTGGTGAGGGCAGTCCGTATGCTAGGGATGTGCATGAGGCATTTAAGCCATTTAGCTCGGGTCCGAGAGCTTGTCTTGGGAGGGAGGTGGCCCTTCAGACCTTGAGGTTGACGACAGCTTTGCTGGCTTATCGCTTTGATTTGAAGATGAAGGATCAACATCGATTTATTTGGGAGAGGGAAGTTGAATCTAGGATGGTGTACTCGGGATATCATGTAAAGGCCGTTGTGCAGGAGCGTGTCTGACTTGACATACTTTGGATTATCTCTGTCTACAATATAGTCCTCTTATCAGTTTAATCTCAGGTCTATTCTGTAATTTGTCAATCAACTAACTATGGGCTATAACTCATCAACTTTAATATAGTACTACTAATTACGAGTTACTGGGAACTACTAGAAAACCTGCCATAACTCCTTTAATATGACTCAAACCATCGGCCCGCTATGTATACAAATGCTATGCTACCAGATCTTACTACACTATGATACATTAGTACCCAATACCCCCATAACTAGAGGCGGTAATGCCTGACTGCTTCTCTTGGCGCAACAAATGGAAGCAACAAACTGATTCAGCAGCAAAGAAAGAGGCGTCTTCGACGGTCTCCATACCACCCCAAAGACCGCACCAGTCACTGCAATGAGGGATTCTACGAGTCTACGGGGTCGTAGCATCCTGCAGCACTTGCAGCGATGCAAGACGATGAGTTTTCGTAACGTTTAATACGTAGTACGCAGTAAACTTATTGTACTAGGCATTATATGAAGTGGATGTTATGTTTGTGCTGGTCCAAATCTATTAAGCCTGCACATCAACCAATATCTTACAATGAGAGTCACGATCATCCACCAGAGCCTGAAAGCCCTTCTCCACGACTTCATCCAGCCTGATTTTCGACGTGACCATTCGCTCAGGTTTTAGCTGACCTAGAACACAATCAGAAAAGCCAATGGGGACAAGAACGAGACCACACAACTCACCGTAACTAAGTGCCCGAATGACCTCGCGAAACGCGCTCTCATCGTACAGTGCTGACCCTGTATAGTTGACCTCGCTATACATCAATTCGTTGACTCGAATGGCTGGCCGTTTCTCCCACACGGCAATGTTTACTATCGTTCCGTGCGTTCGACATGCCGCAATGGCTCCATTCAGAGCTACCTCCACGCCAGCCGTATCAAAGACAACATCCGCTCCTACGCCATCGGTCAACTCGCGAACCTTTGCGGCAACGTCTACCTCTCGCGGATCCAGGATATGTGTTGCCCCGTAATTAGAAGCAAACCGCTTCCTGTTCTCCGTCAACTCCGCCACCATGATATTCTTTGCCCCCTGTAGCTCGAGCACCTGGATGATTCCAATTCCGACTGGTCCGCCCCCTAGTACCAAGACGTTGTCATTTGGCTTGAAGGGCGATATGTTTACGGCGTGCCAGGCTACTGCCAACAGTTCGACCAATGCTGCTGCTTCGAGGGATACGTTGTCGGGGATCGTATAGAAATGTTCTGCGGGTGCTACGATGTACTTTGCTAACCCACCACCGTAGCCTACCAAGCTGGTTAGTACATAGGTCTGCATGCCAAATCCTGTACGGATATGGACGTACCCGAGAGCCCGATAAATCCAATCTTCTCGCAACAGTATTCATAGCCCTGCTTGCATGACGTACATTCTCGATCGAAGATGGTCGGTCGCACCACCGCTCGTTGTCCCGGAGAGACATGGGTCACGCCCTCTCCGACTTCTTCGACGATTCCGCTGAATTCGTGCCCGAGTGTAACTGGTAGGCTGGTTCCCGTGATTCCGTGAGGCTCTTCTGGTACCAGAACAGGGCCTCCAGAGTACTCGTGGATGTCTTTCGCGAAAAATTTTAGAAGATTCCGGTACAGAAGTCAATCGCGAACTTACCACTGCCACAGATCCCAACAAACGATGGTCGCATCTATAGTAGATCGGTTAGCGCAGATCATCGCGGTTGCTAGGCGCACGAAGCGCACCTTCACCTGCCCTTTGCCGCATGTCGGTTCTTCAATTTCCTCAACCCTAATGTCGCCGCGACCATGGAAGCGCGCTGCCTTCATGACAGGCGTAGTCTTTAGTGTTGTCCGATATGTATTGACAGAGTCGGTTGCAGTGTTCAACATTGTTGCAAGGGAGAATTATAGCGTCCCATAAAATGATATTGAATATCAAAAACCCTTCAGTTATCAGGAATATAGTTCTAGTGCAGAGCCCAAGGGTCTGAAAGCTTCAATTAGATTTTATATGAAGTGCTAACTGAGGCGAATAGATCCTAGACGTTTTGATGACGTTGATCATGGTCACCCGAGATCATAGATCTATAGTACAATAAGCCGCTCGTCTGGATTAGGTTCAATAGACCATGATGTATTGATAGGCCATTGAATCTGATTGGTTCCATCGCGTCTTGTTCCTTTGACAACCATTACAACATCCACGATGTTGCATTCATTCTGCGCGGCGCCATGCTATTGGCCTGCGAAATATCATAGAGCCCCAACTAGCCATCCCAAGATTTGCTGGGATTCAGTGGCGCTAATTCAGGTTCAAGAATTTGCTAATTGTGGCTCAACGTGCAAGCGACCAACAATCGAAAACGGGGTGGCTTGAGATGGCGTCGGGGAGCGAAGCGCGTCTTCCAGTTTGTGGGGTGCTGGGCAGTGGCGTCATATTTCCCGGCAATCCGACGCATGACACTGAGCAATATCAAGTCCCGCAGCTGTCACACGAAACGGCGCAACCAGGTTGTCCAACCATTGGTGTCCAGCACCTGTCAGCCTAGGGAGATCAGCAGCACTGCGTGCAAGGTTTCTAGAACAAAGGTCGAGGCAATTCTGAGTGGTAGCGATGGGTAATCGCCAACCATCTGCCCCCACTGCCACATAGTACTTTAGTCTGCAAAGGTGCAAGGCTCAAGTGTGGGGAATAGAAACCCGACCAATTAAGCTTCTTCTTCACGCTGTTGCTCAACAAATGCTCGCAAGATGGATTCCAGTCCTTCGTTACGGCGTGCAAGTAGCATCACATCTGCGACATTGACTGTTGAGCGCCCGGCATGCCTAAATAGGAAATTCCGAGCGTTAGCCCGGAACCAAGGTCAAGCATATCCTTATCCAGATCGGCCCTGGACGGTCACGGCCACATCAAATCAGGGTAACCAGGCCCTGCTAATTAGGAACCAGGGCTTACAGATCGTGACTTACTTAGCAAATGACTCCAGATCCTGACTGACCGTCTCTGTTCATCATCCTTAGTCAGCGGCTGGTCACAGTGATCGAGATATGACGAAAGTCCCCATGCAACGAGTGAACGGCATCGAGACTCGTCTGCAAATACTTTCGTGTACAATATGTACCTACCAATTTGGGCCCAGACCATTTCAGTCAAAGCGCCGATGAACTGAGGGGTGGCGTTGACACCAAGCTTAATAGTCTCTTCATCCACGATCTTTCCAATCGACAACCAGAGAGCAGATTTCAAGCGCTGCAAGACGATTTGTTACTATGTGCTATGTATGCCATGGTTGATGTATACTTACCTCTTCAAGGTTGACTTCTTCGTTCTGCTCCATTCTGTATCAAGACTAGCGAGAAACAAGAAGCTTGTGTATGTTGAAATTAATAGAATGCGAAACAAGCTGTTCTACCGTGGCGGTAAGATGGAATATTTCGTTGATGGATTCAGCAGTCTTGGACGCGCGATGCCCGTGTCCCCAGAAGACGCGTTGAACAGACATACAAATGGGAATGGGTTGTGATTGGCTTCTCCGCTCGTCCCGGAGAATCCATAACTCCGAGCGCGGAATGACGCTAGACCCGAACGACCCATTTCCACATTCGGAATTCTTCTCTACTGTCCATCAAGTTCCACGCCTGTTCACCGGACCAGGGAGTTCTCCTTACACTTATCCGTCAGTCTGTCAGGCAAAATAATTGTCTCGCAAGCAACTCATTAGCTTCAACCGGCGAGCTGCCTCCTGAGTCTCCAAGACCCCACAACAACGCTTCCCAACAAAAACATCCACTATCTTCCGGCCCAAGCCGGCGACTTCCCCTCCACGCAACCCAGCAACGTTCGGACACACGGTCACTTATAAGTGAAAAAATAACATACCAATCACAATGGCAACCCGCGATCCAGGCGATATCGCCGCTGATGCTCTCAATGACTTCTTCGGCCAACTTTACACCTTCTGCGAGACTATCTTTACCCGGTTCTTCGGAAACCTCTATGCCTCCTTCGCTGATGTGAGCATCAACCGCTGGACAAAGGTTATTTTGTCTGTGGTTGGCTACATTCTCGTCCGGCCATACATCGAGCGCTTCTTCAAGTACATGCACGACCGAGACCGCAAGAAGCAGATGGAGAAGGAAAAGGCCAAGAAGGATGCCAGGAAGGCTAAGGTGTCAGCTAATGAGCTCCGTGGCGGTGGCGGCGGTGGCAGGGTTCTCGGAGAAGTGGAGAACACGGACGATGAGATTGAAGATGGCGAGGACTTCGCGACGGCGAGCGGCGTGCCTGAGTGGGGAAAGAACGCCCGGAAGAGGCAGAAGAAGTACATGAAGAACCTGGAGAAGGAGGCTGAGAGCCGGACACACAACCTCTCTGAAGAACAGCTTATGGAGCTGCTGGATTGGAGTGAGTCGGAGGATGAGAAGAACGCCGGTAAGAAGGAGTAGGTTGAGTCTTCTTACCTCATCTTGCTTTCTCTCCCTTGTATTTGATAATATGATTTTGGATGGGAAACATATAACTTGGGAGGTTGGGGCCTTTCTGAGGATGTACGACCAACAAGTGTGTGGTTATAATATTTGTAATAAGATAAAGCATCAAGGTGGCGTTTCTGCGCTGCCTTTTAATTTACGACGCCGATACATTGACTCCCAAGTGGCTTTAGACTTTGTAGCTGGCTATGATAGCTGAACAATACCACACGTCTAGATTTCCAGTAACTACTAATATCTGCGATTTTCTTCATCCTGTTGGTAGTATGCCTAAGGCCCTTGGAGTTCCAAGATATCAGGTCGGAGAGAGAGGCCCATCATCTAACGGATTGAAAGGATATGTTACAGTCAAATACTCAGTATATCTGATACAGCCAATAACAACCTTTAGCCAAAGCACGAACAAGAAGAGGCAGCTACCTGAGGTTAAATCAGTAGGATTCTGGACAGTTAAGTAACTTCTCCACTTCCCTGACAGATAAAGCAAGTGTAGGATCGGCATCGGCCCTTTGAACCACAATCAGAATACTATGGTTATGCAAATGAAGAACTGCATAATTAGCTTATAACCCATCAATGCGAGAGATGCTTTTGCAAAATAAGCCGAGAGTGATGATCAATGGGTCAACGATGGTAGGAAGCTGCTCCCGGCATTGGTTTTGATACATCTGCCGATACAGCATCCGGTACAGTATCCGATACTGCTACCGATACACTTCCGATACAGTCAACTGACTCCCCGTGGTGTATGACTGCTCCTTTTGCTTGAAGATGAGGGGAAACTTGAAAGAATGAGAGTAATGGGGAACATCAAGATCAGGGATGTAACTGGAAAATGTTGATAAGAAATTGGGTAGTAAAGTTCGCATGGCGAGGACTTTCTCAATGCCGTTACGTTGGCGAATATCTTGAGTACGCTATTGTGAACGCGCCAGGCATTAGTGCTTCACCATGCAGACTTCCACTACATAGCAATATTGTTCGATTCCCACAGTTTCAGACAGAATGTGAGGTCACTCTAGATATAATCTTCTTAGGAAGTCAGCAATCTATCCGAGATAAAATAATATTGAAAGAGGCGGTTCCTCTGCGCAACAACGAGGAGCGGTCACGCTACTACCCGTCTGGAGGCGGCTCGCCCCACTTGATCTGGGGTATCAGCGAGACATAGAACGAAGACGTCCGTCTCTTCGCAAGTCACAGATCTTTTGCCTGCATACAGCAGATGCATACAAGTTTAGCTTAAATGTTTATACTCGTTCTCTTTAGGTCTTACCGACAGGGCACCTTGCGCTTTTATTCGTTTGCTGATCAGAATGGTGCGTACTTACCTGCTTCCACAACAGTAGCAGCATCGTTCTTCTGACTTATGATTAGTCCCAACAACATAATAAAAGAAGAAAGATAGCAATCGCCTGTACACCATGTCGCGCCCGAAAGATCCGCTGCGATGGCATTGAGCCAACCTGTGGTCCATGTAAGCGACGAGAGACCTTGTGCTCCTATCCCGTTGGAAGCGCAAGGAAAATTCGTGACAATCAGTAAGACCATGCTGCACATATACTGGACATACTTCGAGCCAACTGTAGTTGTGACTGCCAGGTATATACACCGGTTACACACCGTTGATCGAGCTGCATCTACAAGAGCCACTCACATTCCTGCCTCTGGAAGCCCACTTGCTTCAATAGGACCCAAAAATGGACTGAGAACGCCAAATGGTGTCAGTAATCGGAGTGAGCTGGATAAAAATACCATTGGCTCTCAGAGCATGTCTCTGCAAGCACTTGCAGAAGGGGACCGTACTGCTATATTTCCACACTCCCCCATGAGCAATGACGAAAACAATGCCTTTAGTCCTAGAACAAGGCAAGCCTCGGGCTTCCGAAATTCGAGAGGAAGCCAAAGCCGAATCACCGCAATGGGTATAACACCCGACGGACTCTTCGGTTTGTCAGAGAATGAGGACGAGTTCTTCGGTGACTCTTCGGTCGCCTCTTTTCTGAAGCAAATCAAAGATTCTGCAACGAAAGAGTCTGAACGAGGAAGCTCGACAGCATATCCGATTCCGCTTGCGACTTCTGGCACACCATCAATTGCAATGCCACCGGTGGCAGAGAATGGTCCGAGTGTCAAAGCCTACGATCTACCACCACGGCAACTAGCTGACTACCTTCTGAACCTCTATTTCGAAAAAATACACAGCCTGTATCCATATGTCCATAAGACAAGCTTCCTTCGTACTTATGGACGCCTATGGATGCCACTGGCAGAGACAGACGCGGAGACCATCTTGTCCGGGCTGGGCTTAGGAGATGCATGCGCGTCCCTGCCACTCTTCCATTGTGCATTGAACATTATCTTTGCTTTAGGGTGCCACTTCTCCAAATTAGATCAAACGGCGCGGGAAGCTACGGCAGAAGAGTTCTTTCAGCGCTCGCAGCGACTACTGAACATGATATCACTTGATAAAGGTGATTTAGCCCTAGTACAAACATTACTCCTGACATCACAATACTTGCAAGGAGGCGAGTCCCCATCGAGATGTTGGAATATTATTGGTCTTGCTTGCAGAATTGCACAGTCACTTGGAATGCATTCTCTTAAGGCAGATAGGACCAGAACTCCAGCCCAAATACAGATGAGAAGGCGCGTCTGGCATGGATGTGTAATGCTTGATCTGTGAGTGCTTCAGATTATGGATCGTGTGTATTACTAACAGAATCCCAAGAGCAAGTAGTATGATGCTGGGTCGACCTCCCATGACTCATTCTTCCGCAGTACCTCTTCCAGAAGCTATCGATGATGAATATCTCGATTCAGCCATGGCAACATGCCAACCATCAACGGAAACGCTTTCAGGAACTGAATTCTATGTCAGAACTCTTCAGCTATACAAAATACTACGAAAGATTCTATCCGAGGTCTATGAGCCTTGGGAGGACGAGAGGGCTCCTGATCAGTCAGAGCGGCCAAAGTCTGAAAACGAGCTAGCCCAGACATTGCTAAGTTTGGATGAGGAGCTTCTGGCGTTTGAATCAAACCTTCCAGTGGCTCTACAATGGCGTGATGCACAGCAGCCCGCGGATGTGGCTGGACCATTCCGTCGTGAGAGCAGTCTATTGAGGGGAAGGTACATACTCCTGCGATTCATTCGATGAAAGGTCACTAAGCTTTCGCCCCAGGTTCCTTCATTTGAGGATATTGCTTCTTCGTCCTACGCTTGTCAAGTTTTGCCGTAACGATTTCCCACCGCGTCAAGCGGGTGGCTACCCTCGATACCGACAAGTATTATCAAAAAGCAGAATATCCGTGGATTTCAGTATCAGCTGCTCGACATCATGTGTTGAAACTGCAATTGAGCTGTCGCACCTTATGAATGATATTTCAACGACTGAATTAGCAAGTGTTTGGTGGTACAATGTCTTTTGTATGTTCTTCCCGTGACATGTATGAAGTGACGGCCGCTGAACTTAACTACTAGATGCTTTTACCGCTGGCGTTGTTCTCATACTGGCTCAGGCGTCTCCTGCTTTGACGTCTAAATTTTCTCAGCCAGTCTTGGAGAATGCTTGGAAAAGCTGTTGTGACTGCTTGGAAAACATGAACCCGTACAGCAACACGGCCAGAAACTGCGCCACCAATTTGCGGAAGACTCTATCTCAAGTGCTAGACAGCCAAGGACATGAAGCTAGAGTGCTTACCAATAAACCTGTGCCTCAGACTACAGGCCAATATCCGGGCCACGACACAAGTTTACCTAGGGCACCGAATTACCTTCCGACTCTCGCTGGATCAGAAGTTGGCGATGATTCCAGTCAAGGCGCTCTGGATACTCAATTCTCTGAGGCATTGGACTCTCTCTGGAGTGGAGATGATGTGAACAGTTCTTTGATGGAGATGCTATGGGATGACCTTTGGTTGACAGCGCCATCATTTTTCTAACATTAGCATTGGGTGTGGGTGTCATTGTGGAATGCAGCGACGATGAGGCAATTTAGTACTAGAGATGATTCTCTGTCTTTGGCCCTGCGAACGATAAATCGTACGCCGTCTTTCTCATAACAGATGGAGCTCGTGCAAAGCATATGTATCCGGTTATCCTATCAAGTAAGTCTTACCGCGAAAACCCGGAACACATGAAGCCCAACCATTGTTGAGGCTAATCGAATGTTCCGAAGGGGGAGGGCTGCCTGGTCAGCATACAGGACTAGCTAGGAACCCGAAATACAAGGCCTATATCACTATCATTATGGGAAGCAACCTATTCTACTCTGCGAGCTACAAACCGAATCGCTGAGCCTAGCTTAGACTTATCAAGTCACATGACTCTTCAATCAAAGGCTGCCGATCCTAAGGTGGTCTTGCATAAATCCAGCACATGACCTTGTCATGTGTGAGGGGTTCTCGCGATTTCCCTGTGCTCCTCCTCGTTGACACTATATATGAGACAAGCTGGATTGGCTTTAAACCCCGGGAACTCCGCTTCAAACCTCGGTTATTCACACTGTCACAACCGCATGGCTTGTTTCTATTGAATGATACACCCAATCTTATCTTGTACTACTGAGCGGAGGTAGTTTCCATATGACCGAGGTAAAGAAAACGGACGTGTTCATTAGCGGCGGTGGGCCTACTGGTTTGCTTACTGCGTATGCACTTGCTAGACAGGGTGTGGATACCTTATTCGTTGGTAAGGACTTTCTCACTTTACTCTGTCTTCTGAGTTTCTCTAAGAAGCAGAGCTTTGTTAACAGCTTTGCACAGAGCAACATGACAAAGCTCAACAGGCAATGTATGGCCGCGCAACAACTCTCCACCCACGCACGCTTGAATTGCTGGATCAATTGAGTATATTAGACGACCTGAACCAAATTGGCTATGTGGCCCGTGACAGTGTGACGTACAGGGACGGCAAGCGGGTGTCGTCTAGAGGCTGGGAAATTATGTACCAGCATATGCGTGGCACGTTCCTGGATTATTGTTTGAATATTCGCCAGAAGTTCTCGGAGGAGGTAATTCGTGATGCATATGTATCGCTTCGAGGCGAGCCGTACATTGGTTGGAGATTAGACGGCTTCATCGTTGAGGAAGCCTGTGATGATGATTATAAAGTCGTCTCGCATGTGACAGAGGTTAGTTCGGGTAGAAGCTTGACGGTGAGAAGGTATGTGAGCAATCATCAATCAACGTTGCTCGAGAGGCCTATACTGATATTGCTGATTAGTAAATTCATTGTTGGCGCGGATGGTAGCCACTCGCTTGTGAGACGCCTTGCTGGTATTCCATTTGAAGGCGACCACACAAACTTTCGATGGGTACGCATTGATGGGCGCTTCAAGACTGATATGCCTGAGGCTGATATTGGCTTCGCCTCCATTGAGTCCAAAAGTCATGGGAATGTGCTCTGGGTTCAATTAGATCATGGCGTGAAGCGGATCGGATTTGCTATGACACCGGAAATGCTCGCCAAATACGGGGACAAGCTTACACTTGAGGACGCGAAGGTGGAGGCTGTCAAGTCTATGGAGCCATTTTCGTTGGAATTTGAAACCATTGACTGGTGGACCTTGTATGGGTAAGTCTTGCTTCCAAGTCTTCCAGGTCACTTTTCTAACATGCAGCACAGTATCAATCAACGCGTAGCAGAGTGCTTTTATAACAACGACCGTGTGTTACTAGCAGGCGACGCCTGTCACACGCACTCATCTGGCACAGCACAGGGCATGAACACAGGCGTCCATGATGCTGTGAATCTAGCGTGGAAGCTCGGCGGCATCGTGAAAGGCTGGTATAATGATGATGTGCTTCGCAGCTATGATACAGAGCGACGTCCTGTAGCGCAGCATCTAATCAACCTTGACAAGGACTTCTCGGCTACCATATCGGGTACCGTTCCTGACAGGTACAAGGATCTATCCTTAAGCTCAAACGAGCTGTTTGCCAAGGTCTTTGATGACACGATAGATTTCTGTATTGGGTTGGGAATCCACTATAACGAGAGTATCATCAACAAGACTTCCCTAGCAACGGCAATTTCAGCAGGCTGGAGAGCTCCAGATGCTTTGGTATATGCTCCTGGATCACGACTACCTATTAGATTATTCCACCTAATGCCGAACGTTGGTGCTTGGTCGATTCTTCTCCTCGCTGGACATCCTGAGAAAACTGGGCAAAGTCTCATTCATGCCGTGGAGATAGTGAAACAGCTCAGCGAAAGCCTTCCTCGCAAAATGATTCGATCACTCACTGTGGTTGCTCAGAGTCCTGCTGGAGGAGACCAGAGGTTCAGTATTCCAACGATAGGTCGACTCTATTATGATCCAGAGGGCTCTGCTCATGCTGCCTATACGGTGTCTGATAGCAATGGCGCAGCCGTCGTTGTTCGACCTGATGGAATTTTGGGTTATGCAACACAGCTTGACGAAGCCAGTAGCGTCATTAAATATTTTTCCGGCTTTATTACTCGGTGAAGAATACATGAATCTGCCAGGCTCTCGAAGCTTGAGTGTATGTTTTGTGGCTAGGCGTAGATACGGCGTCGACCGGTATTTCGGACACATCCTCTTGGGGCCTGCTGTCACAAATCTAAAACCATATCTGGATTTTTCAGGACCCACGCTCAATTTGGAACAGACGTAATTTTCACATAATCTGGCATAGCATGAGCATAGTCGATGGGAGACGATCAATATAGTTCGGTTTCGGGTGCTGTATTGTAATATTACCAAAGCCGAAACATACCACCACTATTGCAAGTGGGGCTTCTAGTTCCGAGCTTGATTCTCAGCGCCAAATGATGTTCCTCATTTTTGAGACTCGTCTTGAGATCATAATGTCTATGTACCGGTGCACTAAGAGACATACACTGTCTTGTGCCATGAAATGAAGCTGGAGGCCTTACCGAACCCCGCAGATCTTCGACCCACCCCCACAACCAGCCAGTGGCAGGCCGGAGTAAGATGACCTCTCAGTAATTACGGAGTCAGACACACAACGCCCTTCTAGTGCTTATCAGTACCACTGACTCTCAAGTTATTTAATGGACCTCTCCTTCGTCTATTCTTCAATTTCCTTCCCAAGACTCATCCAGATCAATTCACCACCGACAAGCTCGCCAAGATGGGCATCATAAGTGACCTGACCCGACCTGATTCAACACATCATGAACCCATCACATACTTGCTCGCATATATTGCCTGCTTATCACTCCTCTCGGTTATTCCTTATGTTCTATACATCCGCTACTATAGCTCATTAGCCAAAGTCCCCGGCCCCTTCTGGGCCAGTCTATCGCGATGGTGGTTGGTATTATTCTCAGACAAAGGCAATATGCATCGGTTGTACCCCCGTCTTCATGAGGAGTACGGAAAATTGGTTCGTGTCGGACCAAACGAAGTTAGTGTGGCGGATTTGAATGCCATTCAGTTGATCTATGGTACGAGCAGTCTCCTTTTCCCAACCCTGTCCTTCCGAGTGCTAACACTGTTATAATGTGAAGGGGCCGGAAATAAATTCGCAAAGAGTGATTGGTACAGTGAGTCTGATTCCCTTACCCAAATCTTTATATTGTAGGTCACTAGCTAAGAGAATGATACAGGCGTTTGGCAAGGCCGTCGTAAATTCGATCTCTTTGCAGAACGGAATGAGACTATCCACGGTGCTCAGCGACGACTTGTCAACAACATCTACTCCATGAGTAGTCTAAAGGACTTCGAGCATGGTGTGGATGCAGTCGTCGAACGACTCATGCAATGTATGCAGCGCCAAGGGTCTGACGCAACTGTTGATCTGGGGAAGTGGGTGCAGTTGTTTGCTTTCGGTAAGGTCCCTTCCTCGAGAGAGTGTCTCCTATTCATTCCATGTTCTCGCTAATGACATACTACGTAGATGTAATTGGCGAGATAACATTCTCCAAATCATTCGGTTTCCTGGAAAACGGAACAGACGGTGGCGCGTTCCGTCAAATTGAAAACGCACTTCGCTCGGCTTCTTGGGTGGGTCAAGTACCCTGGGTATACTGGCTGCATGATTACATGACGCCTATCATCGGAAGTCGTCTGGGTATCGCAGCACGCCATGGTACAATTCGACAGATTGCCGCTCGTGAGATCATGGCGCGTCGGGAAGGGAAGCATGTCGAAGAGGCAAAAGAAGAGCGAGACATCTTATCCAAGCTCTTCGACGTGCAGAAGACGAAAGGAAACCAGCTGTCGGATGATGACGTGCTCTCAATGGCCACCTCGAATGTTTTTGCGGGCTCTGACACCACTGCTATCTCGATCAGGTCGATCATTTACCACCTTTTGAAGAATCCCACGTGCTTGAAGAAGCTTAGGGATGAAATTGAAGACCGGAAACGTCAAGGGAGATTCTCGGACCCGGTTACACTGGACCAGGCAAATGATATGCCGTATCTTCAGGCGTGTATGTGGGAGGGGTTAAGATTGCACCCGGCTGTTGGGATGAGTCTCCCTCGTGTTGTTCCCAAGGGGGGAATTATGATCGACGGGTGCTTCTTGCCGGAGGGGGTAAGTTGACACCGATATATATGGCTTTCTGGTTACCCAGTGAAGGACTTTGTACTGACACAGGATGCAATATCTAGACAACAGTGGGTGTTAACGCCTGGGTCGTCCATCGCGACGCAAGTATATTCGGCGACGACGTTGAAGCCTTCCGCCCTGAAAGATGGTTAGGAGAGAAGACAGGAGATATGAGTGCGTTACAAACCGCCTCCATATTATCTGATATTTTAGCTAATTACATTCCTCCTACTACTAGGACGATACTTCTTCGCCTTTGGAGGTGGTTCACGACTCTGTATTGGAAAGAGTACGTCTACTTCGTCATCATCGATTCAAAATCTCGTAGCTAACCTTTCTCACAGATATCAGCTGGATGGAAATGAGCAAGGTAAATAGCCATCTGTCTTCATAACCACCACTCCTTACAACCGACACACCGGAATTTTTACGGTAGAATGTACACAACATCAACTAACCGAGCAATAGATGATCCCGACCCTCCTAGATCGCTTCGACATTCAGCTTGCGAACCCAGATGAGCCGTGGCAGGAAACGTGCTGGTGCGTCTACTCCTTTCTGCTCTCCCTCAGCGGAGAAACACAATTCGCATCAAGCGTATCAAGCCAGCTAGGTCAATACTGACACTAAGTCTAGGTGGTTTGTCAAACAAGAAGGCCTGCTAGTCAAACTCTCACCTCGCAAATCATAACGCCCCATACACATCGCAACCACTTCCAAAATGAAACCCAACATTCTCTTGAAATATACCAAAACTGTACATACAAACCAAACCAACCAAATCTAAACCAAACTACTGATTCCCCTTCCACTCCCCCACTCTAAAAGCCCAATCTCTCACCAACGCCCCAAACACCCCCCTCTCACTCCCATCAACCGGCAATCCATGCGTGCCCCGATCCAGCACCGCAAACGTCGCCCTGGGATACCTCTCCAACAACCCCAAGCAATCCCGATACCCAACGCACTCATCCTGCCTCCCACAAAGCACCAACGTAGGCGCCATCAACTTCTCCCCACTCCCATCACCAAGTACCTCCTCACTCAACCGATACCTCCCCACGTCCCCCCTAATAGGGTCCAAAACGCTCTTATCAGCCCCTTCCTCAGCAGGCACATACACCTCCCTATGCTTCCTCTTCAACTCAACCACATACTCCTCCGTTTGCACAATCACCTTCCCCCCATTATCAATTCCAAGGAGCATCCTATCTTCACGAGACAAACTACTCATAACACCCTCATTCTTGATAAGTGGCTCAATTGTATCCACGTCACGCTTACTATCCTCCGGCTCAATGAGCGGTACCCGAAGGAGTAAGCCATCTATCTGGTGGAGATATTTCTGGGCCAGCGCGCGGGCGAGATACGCGCCGCAGGAGGAGCCGATTAGCATGAAGCGGGAATTCCCCAGAGTAGAGTCTATGAAGTGCACGAGGTGGTGGTAGATGTCGTCGAGGGAAGTGATGTTCCTTGCGGGCGTGGAGCCCATCCCGGGCAAGGCGATGTAGATTCGGCGGAGGGGGGTGCTGCTGGTGGTGAAGATGGGCTCGAAGTCGTGCATTTCCGTTTGGGGGGTCATTTCCCAGCCGGGGATGATTAGGATGGGGTGGCCGTTGCTGGGGCCGAGAGTTTGGGTGGGGAGGAGGTCCATTTTTGTATTACGATGGGTTGTGTATAGGAGGGTAGGCTGTTGAGAATTGTGCAGGGATTGGTAGGGGTTGGTTCGGTAAAAGAAAGGGTATCGAAGGAGGGACAGGGTTGGGAGTCATAGCTTTTGTGGATTTGTCAGATCACGCCAATTTATCCATTTGTTTTGTGGGTTGGCTAATCTAGTTTGGGGCTCGGACTAGTTCGTTTGAAGGTTTCAGATACGAGGGCAAGATTGTAAGCTAGTTGATGGGAAGCCAGTAAGTATAAAATGGCCCTGTAGGGGATATTTAATATAACAATGGTGCTGCAAGCGTCATCTATATATATAATAACTGAGATAATAGCTGACAGAGACTAGAAATGCAGATCATGAACAGGCTTGGCAAGTAGGAAGAATAACGGACCAAGTAGTCTCATTAGAGACATCGTCGTTTTTCTTGACAAAAGTAAATCTTCTAGACTTTATCGGAGGCCGATGGTCTCATGTACCAGCCGAGATATCATTGCGAGTGCTCCTTCAGCCATTTGTACACCACGGAAAAGTCCTTCCCTCGGTGTTCCTCCTCAACGGCATTATACACCTTCTGAGCAGTGTCCGCCAGCGCCAATGGTGTTTGCGACTCCTCCGCAGCAGTAATCGCCAATCGAAGGTCCTTATTCATCAGACTCACACCGAAGCCGCCCTCGTAACCACGAGATGCCGGTGCTGTCTCGACCACGCCAGGTACAGGGTTGTTGACTTCCATAGGCCAACACCGGCCAGTTGACGAATTGACGAGTTCCGCCAAAGCTTTTGGGTCCAGTCCCCAACGCATGCCGAGGTTCATTGCTTCCGCGGTCGCAATGTTGTTGATCGCCAGGATGTAATTGTTCGCCAGTTTGCCTGAAACGCCGGCTCCCGGGGCGCCCATGTGCCACGCCCTCTTTCCCATCATAAGTAGTACTGATCGCACACGATCAAGGAATTGACCAGTCTGCGAAGATGCACCGAACATGAAGCTTAATGTGCCAGCGCGCGCACCCACCACGCCACCCGACACAGGGGCATCAACAAAGCGCCCTTGGGATGTGGTTTGTATTGCGTTTGCGATTTCTCTCGATGACGCAGGATCAATTGTTGACGTATCGATGAACAGTCGCTCTTCTTCTAGCGCGGGAAGTTCTCCTTCTCGAAGGATAGAGTGATAGACATCCTTGACATGCTGCGGCCCTGGGAGGCTGGTGATAATGACGGACTGGATATTATTATCAGCATGTAAACGCAAATAGATGCGGCTTCTTGCGAGCAGAAACAGTACTTCAAGCATGTACTAGGCAGTGTCCGATCACAAACGCCACGTAGGGTCTCGCATCGAGCGGTGACAGGAACGATCAACTTACCGACTTTTCCGCAAGTTCTCTCGCGGTCTGAGCCACCAGAACCTCCGAAACGCTGTCAGGAGCACCGCTGCTTCTAGCAATTTCTTGCGCTTCCTTCACAAACCTAGACATATTCTCTTCATTCACGTCGCGTATAATCAAGGTATCCGTCACAGGGATCTTAGCGCGCAGGTTCTTAGCCATGTTGTAGCCTGTGGTGGACAAGTAGATTGTCAATGTACGCTAGACAATGCCATTGAATGACGGTCCGTGTTTTCGCGGATTGCGAATACCTACCCATTTGGCCCAGTCCGATGAATCCCCATGTAGCATCTCGTTGCGCAGAAGTTGAGAATGTGCGGCCAGATAGAGGGTAGTGATGTGCGAGGCGCAAAGCTGAAGGAGATGCTCTGAATAAGGTGCTCGTTCCCCTGCAAAGGGGCAAAGCACGCGAGAGGCTCATGTTCAGAAGAGGAGGTATAATAATTTTAAGAGGTCACTCGGGTTCTAACACAGAGAGTAGCGTTAGGAAGGGATGGTATTTGTAGGAGAAAGAAGCGTAGTGATCCGAGGGAGCAGCTGTAAGTTCAAGAATAGCACCCAATGGGCCTGACTGAGCACCCCTCAGCCAAGTGGAGTCCTGTAAAGGTGGAACTCCGCTGCTTTCCGAGGCTTTCCATCCTTCAAGTACCTCAAGCCAGGGGCATCAATGGGGACGACGAATAGAGTTGAGACTCGACGATCTTCTCTTCCTGCCTCCAATGCGGGGAAGCCCCAATGCGGTATGGCGCCGGAGGGCGTCACGGGGATGGGCCCGCCGCCTGGACCGTGAGGCATCCACTCTCCCCACTGAGGATTGGCCCGAAGGCTACTACTAATCGTCACGATCTTCTAGTCTATATATCTTCTGATTCAATTAATTAATCTATAGATGTCTGTGCTACATACGGCCAAGGAAATGATGAAACGAGGGCAGGCGAACGACGTCAAGGAAGAGTAAAGGAAGGAAACCGACGAATGGGTATGTTGAACGCCGAATCACACCAAGCACCAGCTTATAATAACAAAGCAAAAGGAGGTTGCACGAGAAAACAGGCTGATTGGACAATCCGTCACTGTTGTGCTGGGGAAGATGGGTTGCTCGTTGGTCCAGTCAGATATTCGGCAGGCACCTTGGGCACTCGCGGGGAGCTGGCCGTCTGAGCCATTGCTCGCTGTTGAGCTCGAACCAGATCACGCTGTCTCTCCTTTTCCCGATTGGTGGCTGCTCCACCGGTGAGCCGTCGCATACCGCTGCGAATCATGGATTCAAGCGACGAGGACCCGTCCGTGGCACTGCGCGTTTGACTGATAGGATGTGGCATGGCTTGTTTGTGATCAGCCAAGCCGTCCTCTATCTCGTCATCGGATAGGAACGCCGACTCGAAACCGATTAAGGGCGTATTGTGATGAACGCTAGCATTCGGAGGCGTGAACAGATGATTGACTGGAGACGTAACGGAGCGCGTGTGGGAAACGGGCCGTGCATTCTGGCTCGGAGCTTGAGGCGTAAATGTCCCGGGAGATTGCGTTCCCATGCTGTCGAAGCGCATATTGGACGGACGGGACTCGGCAAGTCCATTATGAAAAGACGACGTTGAGGCGGTTCTGGCCAGGGACTTGCGGAGAATAGGCGCAGTTTGCTGGTCGTACAGACTGGCGTTGGTATCGGCAAATGTACCAGTAAAGCCCCGTAGCGTGGAATTGGAAATGGGGTCCAGCGTTGCGTGCACCGGGTCGGTCTCCTCGAAGAAATCATCCAGACTGTCTAGCTTCTGGACAATGTCTCCCATGTTGCCGTCCGTTTGCGTATCGATGGATTTCATCGTGTCCGCCCGCATTGGGAAAAACGTATCATTGTACTCATCGGCGTGGAATTCCACCTCAGAGGGTGCTGTCTCCTGCGCTTCCATACGATCAACTTCCGCACAAGTGTAGAACACTGCATGGACATTATGTCGTGTGATGCTTGATTGTGTCGCAGGCATTGGTATCGACCAGCCGGTTGGTTCGGGTATACCGTACAAGCTTTGCACACGCTCGTACTCCTTCCGGATAGCTCGAGAAGATGACGACGAAGCCATGCTCATCCGGATGTGATGCTTTTCCATTGGATTGGCCGAGACGGTCATAATGTAATCCATGACCTGCAAAGCTTGGGGACAGAGATCCGTCTGTAGCAGTCGCAAGAGAGGAGAGATCAGATCAGGCCCATGACACGTCACTTCTCCCCGACGCATGTCCATATCGGGTAACAACACGCATAGTATTTTCATGACCTTGACGCGAAACCAGTTTGTTGTATTTGTCAGCAACCCCATCAGGAAAATGAGACTTTGGACATCCTGGCGAGGGAAGTAATATGACCGAATCTCCGTAATGATATGGTTCAGGAAATCGTTCTCCGCCTTGTATTGGCCATTCGCAAATCCGAGCAAGGAGGCTGCTAGTCGGGGGCATCGTTCACTCTCAGCGACCCTTGCCAGAAGTGTCGCGCGCGCCAATGTCTTGGGATCGTCAACGTCGGAGTCAAATTGACGCAAGAAGTGAGACAGGTTGGCTAATATGGCAAATAGCAACCTGTTACCATCCCCAATGAGCTCGTTGTTTGGAAGGCCACTTAGTCGGTGGAGGATATCCAGTGTTCGATTCAACGATTCAGACGACTTCAGGCCCTTGTAGATCAAGTCTTGGAGGCCATCAAAGCCGCCTTCCCACTTTGGCGGTTGACCTTTGATGAGCTCTGAAACTACCATGGGGTCACTCATGTCGACACGATCCAGGAATTTCTCAAGCATGCCAACGCTCTCAATAAATTCCGTTTCGTGGATGGTATTCAAGCACGCACATGTAGTCCAGAACAGTTGAGGATACCGCAACAGGTCAGTAGGCGCCAAGGAGCTGATAATGATCTTGAGAGTCGTAAGGATTTCCATGGAGAAAGTTCGATAATCCGACTCTTCGTCTGCAATAGTGTTCGATAGACGAGCCAACATATCAGCCAGCATTCGGGAGTCTAGAGACATGGATATGCAACGGAATACTTGGAACGATCGACAGGCAAGATGTCGCACGGGGCATGACGTCGCCCAGTTCAACGCCTCTTTCGCCCATAGGTCGTTCAGCCCTTCATATCCAAGGCTGAAGAAATCGACTACTTGGCGAGTGACAGAGGCCATTGACGGCGGGACACGGCTGCCATCCTCTTCATCTTCTTTGTCACTGACGTCTTCGTATTCCCACACAACCTTCGGGTCGCTCTTACGAATTGATTCCACAAAGTCTTCAATGGATTGCCGTGTTTCGATAGGCGCGTCATCTTCCACCTTTGCGGCGATCAACTCATGTATCAGATGAACCAGCATTTCCCTGGCCTGTTCTTGTACAGTGAGCGTATAGTGGTCCCAGAGTATAAGGACAACATGAAGCAATTTGACCAGATCATCCATAGTCAGCGTGACTGGCGCAACCATCAAGTCAACGAGGAAAATCAGCGCGACTTGGCCCAGGGAAAGGCCAGCTTGCTTGTTGCCAACAGGGAGTACTGTTCCGAGATCTGTGACATAGGGTAGACCTCTGATATCAGGTGGCGCTGGCGTGATATCTTTCCTCTCTTGTACCATGTGCTTAGGCACGACTTGCAACAAGAAGAATTCGATAACCTTGGAGCCAGCTGGCGTGCCTGCCAAGAACACAACAACCTGCTTGGCATAATCCACGAAATTCTGCTCTTTGCGTTCCAAACAGAGGCTGATGATGAAGTCAAGCACTAACTGTACGTTGCCACCATGCGGGCCTGTGGCTAGAGCTTGCCAAAGGGCTTGGACCTCGTTTGGAAGAATAGTACTGCAACGGATCGTGATTTCAAACAAATTAGCCAGAAGCATGTATGACTTTGCTGTTGGGCCGCCATTTGGATCGACTTGAAGCTCCATTGTCTGGACCCACGGAAGAATGGCAGCCACCATGTTCCGCTGGCTGTCCGGCCGCAGGTTCCGAAAGTGCAATGAAAACTCGGAGAAAAGAGTGAAGGCCAGGTCAGAGTGTTGCTTCGCCAGACGTTTCGAGGTCTCGAATTGCGCAAGCTTGTAGACGGCGGTCGTCTTGTCGGAAATGCTGATGTCGAAGTCTTGTAATCTTGAACTCTTCTGTTGTCGCTCTTCCAAAATTCGAAGCAGCTTAGCAGACTTCATCCTGATCTCCCGTTTCGGGCTACCAAGTGTAACAAGTACGGCACCCAAGATTCTCCAAAACCCAAGCGGGTAATCCGTATGCTCGATCAGAACTTCAGTCACGACTTCAAAGTAGCTCTCCAATGCCTTCGGTCGCTCTGTGACATAGCACATCTCGATGGACCGTTCCAACAAGTATGAGTGCTCCTTATTGTGGATAATTAGATTCTTGAGGGCCCGTCTACCAATGGCGTGCCACTTGTCACTGATCGTGTTGAAGATGATATCAACCCAAGAAAGCATTCGGCCCACATCGAATTGGAGTACCGACCCGCTCTCTGTTGTGATACTGATCGGCCCAGCCTACAAAAGTCAGTTGGTAGCCCTAATAGGTTGAGAAAGTCAGAACAACTTACACACAGGGATGCCATTGCACTGAGGGCTGCTGCGCGCAGGTTCTTCTTCTCTATTTCCATGGCTGCGGCAGTGTTACGCAATTCGCCAGCCTCATGATTTTGTGAGATGGCATTCCTCCGCATCGTCTCCTCACGTTGCGAGATCTGGGACTGATTAGGCGAATATCCGCACCAGTCCTCCATAAGAGAGAAGGACGATTTTCTTGATTCGAAAGGTATCCAGCGAGAGGGGTCTTTGGTACGATTGATGCCCTCGAAGAGCTCCTCCATAAGCCCGCAGTAGTGGAAGCGAAGCCGCTGAAACTCCCAATCGTTCTGCACCTCGGCATCACTCAAGAATATCCGCAAGTCCTTTGCATAGGTAACAAGGTTGTTGACGATCCAGTCATCATTGTATACTTCGGGTTCTTTGAGAAAGTGTGACGTTAGTTTATACACATGGGTGACTTCGGTCCGCAATCGGTCTGTCTTGCGATTGCGCTTTGGGCTGCTCGGAGAACGATAATGTGTACCAATCCGAACTTTAGCTTCTTCGTTGCAAGTCGTAACGGCGTACTGTAGAGACTCAAGCAGGGTGCGGTATAGGTTCTTGTTGATCGATCCTAAGGCAATCACTATCGCGTTCCGAATTGAAGAACGCTCGGCTGATAGCAACGGGATCACAAAAGCAAAGAGGCTTCGGGCGGAGCTTATTTTATCCTGCGATTGTTGTGACCCTTTTGATCCCTTCCGTGCATGCTGAGCGTTTGCCAGCTGGCTCTGGGATTGTGCGCCTACGCTGTTGAGGGTGGTACAGGCCATGACCAAATACAGTTTCCATTGCTCAATCAAGATCTCGGCGGTCGTATTACTCCTGCCGAATGATCGAGCCTGAATGGCATCGATTGGACCGTATTGAGGATACTGAGGACTCTCCGCAAGTGAAGTAATGGTCTTGTGCATGAGGACAAGTCGTGCACACACGATCTCACGGCCCAGCGTCACAGCAAAAGGACAGGTCTCGAAGCTAATCCGAATAATGTTGGGAAATACCTTCGACCATAGTGTAGAGTCATAGGAGACTTCACTGCTGCACAGCTCAATCAGCGTATTTTGAGTGGCGCTTCTTCGCTTGCCTTTCTGGATGCGACTCCTTTCAGCCACAGTAAGCTGTTCGTCATTGACGTCCAATATCTGTTGCGAGTCGGCCTCCAAGATCCGGATGATCCGCGTATTCTCCTTTCCAAGGGCGCTGTCAAATTCCGTAATAAGGCGGAGCACGGTGATCGCAAAAGCGCGAACCCTCCTCGATTGCGAGCAAAGGAAGAATAAGCCATGGGACTCCACTTCCTCGACCTGGGCGAGAACGCTGGAGAGGTCTAGTTGCAGAGCTCTGCTCCCAGTACCAGATTTATCGCCAGAGTCCGCCGCTGCATCTTTAGTCTTCTGCTTGATTTCCTCGATCCAGATCCTCAGCAACTCGACATACAATCTCAATGTAGACTCAATGTGGCCTGGCCCAAGCATGCCTTCGTCTGACATGGTGGAATATCTCGCGTCGAAATTGAATATAAACCTTGCGAAACCGATCGTCACCTGCTGAGCATGAGATTGCCGCGCGATTGCTTTCAGAGACTCGGCAGATGAGGACGCTATGTTTGTCTGAACATGAGCAGTGCCAGTGCAAAGCAGATTGATAAGAGAATTAAATGGTATACGATCGGATAGACAGCGAGGCAGGGCTTGGACCGCGACGTGAAGAAGATCGTAGAAGCCCTGTCGCTGATCTAGGATATTAGGATGATCATCCCGTCTTCCGAAACTAAAGGCCTCCGCAATCGGGGTCTTGGGAGTTGTTCCGCCAAATTTCTCATCTAGCGCTGCCTGTCCTCCGAAAGTGTTGTCGCATAAAAGTGTTATCTTGCCAAGGATGTCACAAAATCGGAAATAATACTCCTTGGCGTTGTCATTCAGTCTTGCTGTGTTCACCGGACGTGATACTGCATCCTCCCTATTCCCTCGGGTATTTGGTAGCCGGGGATCAGCCAGGAACTGAGGACGGTGTAGATAGGTTGGAGAGGACATATCGGTGAATGGATTGGGGAGCGAACCAGTGGGAAAGGGCGGGCAAAGCTGATCACAATTCTCATTGTCTGTCATGATGGCGAGAAAGGACCTGATACCGATCACCATCTTTTCCGGCTCCATTTGTTCGATCTTTAGTTCTTTTCCAGAGAGGAAAAGATCTGAGCTGATCATCTGAAAGATGATGTTTCGGAAACAGACGTCGGGATGCTTAAAGCCAATCATCCGTATTAGTTGAATAAGAGGTTCTGCAACGGCCGATTCTGTACTCAGATATGTCCTTTTGCCCGGCGGAAGCGCGATTTTCGACACTTCTTCGACTTTACGCAGGGTAGCTGTGGGCGATTCTGAATAGCGAAAGAAGTAGGTCCACAGCAAGCGACACATCGCCTGTAGGGCCGGCCCTCTCGTTGGCCGGTCTTTTAGTCTCGGTGGGAGGGACTGGATCAGTGAAAGCCACTGTGAAGAGAAGTTCTCCTTCGTCGACACGCACAGGAGCAACACATGGAGAGGAAAAGCCACAGTCCAATGACGAGGCTTGGTTAGCATCTGTGACAGACGGGACTGGACCAGTTCTATAAAATCTTTCCACTTGGGCAACGTCAAGTCAGAATTGGGACTTGCAGCAACAGGTAGAAGTAACTTTTCAAAGATATAACAATATGCCTGTTTGACCCGTTGCCCATGAGAATTACCGAACAATCGTGCTAGTGACCGCAGAAATTCGCAAGAGCGAGCCCATGCATCGGGTTGTGTCCTGATCCGGATATGCCTCATTCCTAGGATCAAAAGTTCGGCTTTAGCGTCACCATCCCTGGAAGGTCCACGAAGTGTTTCATCCTTCTGAATCTTTTCGAGCTCTGCCAGAAACCGACCTGTAACGCTGGTGAAGTTATTTTCGCTCATGATCCCTAGCACCTGGGAGTAGATCCTCCAGTTTGCCATGCGAAGGGGAGAAGCTGAGATCTGTTCGGGATCTACTGTCTTGAGTTGACCGAAGACTATATCCTCTAAGCGGTCCGCCATGTCCAATGTGATCGAAGCGAGACTGCTCTGATTGAATATCTCAATCAAAACCCTACAAACCAGGTACACGGATACCGTCGCACGCCGCTCCGCCAAGATGACATCGTCGTGTCGGGAATAAAGTGTAGTCGCAGGAGACGCAGAGTCAGTCTGAGAAGCCGATTCTGCAATGATCTGGGGTGGCTCAGTGTTACGGCGTATCAGGGACCCATTCTCGGATGTAGTCTTCTGACCAGCTGCCTGTTTGGCCACAATGGCAGCATCACCTTTGGCCTTCCGCCAAAGCATTATCGTATCAATCAGAGGCTTGGGTTTCTCTCGCGCGATATGACCCAAAGCAGAGATCAATTGATCAAAATTTGAATCGACGCCCGGTCCGCATACTTCTTCAACTGGCGCGTCCGACTCACCCAGTTTCATTATAGCCTGGTTGATCTTGTTGTCCGCCTGACCTACAAACTAGGGCCACTGTTAGCAGCCGGGTCAAGCTCGGCGAATAGGGTATAGACACTTACGGAATTGAAGAGATGATGCAAAGCGTATTCCCCAACCGTTTTCGACTCTGCTCCAAAATGGTGCCTCGAGTGGGAACGGCTATGGGACCGCTCCTGCCACGGCTTTCCGTTGGAGTTCATTCTCCTGTGAGCTGTACCCGCCAGGTTCCCATCAGCGACATCATCCGTGTCTCGATCCTCTATGGTGCTTAGTGTGCCCTGCAGGCTGTGAGCCGCTCCATTGGCCCCTTGGCCCTGGAAGCCCGAGTGTCCCTCGTGCTGCTCCATTCGTACAGCGCCTGTGCCTTCTGGGTCGGGAGCGCCACCACGGCCGAGCGAAGCGATCAATTCGGGGCTGAGAGGGCTTGTAGAGGTTGTAGAGGCAGCGAAACTGGGATTTCGGGAGTGTTGGATTCCATGGACAATCGAGGTATTTCGATGATGACCGTAAGAGTTGGATGGTCTCCTCTCCAAGCCGACATCGTACCCAAGACCAGACCTCCCAGCGCTTGGTTCGGGACTTTTGGGATGGGAGTTGCCGCGCCGAGAGTGTTGAGGTTGTGAGGATGAAGGGGCTAAAGCGGATAGGTCGGCACCTCCTCGAACAGTGGAAGTTTCCCGACTGTGCACGGTGGACGATGGCGTACTTCTCGTGACAAGGCGTTCTGGTGGAGTTGAAAAGCTATGGTGCGACACAGGGCTCGAATCGTCAGGGATGAGGGGCAATGGCGTTGGCTGGATGGGACCAGCCTTGATCGACGGATGTGAAGCCACTACCACGAACAACAAGTTAGACGCGCGATTTTCCAATCAATCAGGACCATTATAAGCGATAGATAGCAAGGTTAAAGTCATCAGGATGGGAACCCGTCAGGTCCGACCAAACGATAGAAGACAGGGTCACGTACTGCTGTTGTCCGACGTCTGTCCGGATTCAAACGCCACTCATTGCCTGCTAGTGCTCTCTTCAGTTGGAGCGAAAGAACCTGGCTGCACTTGCAAACAGTGCATGGTCATCTTTCGCACATAAATCGGAGGCGAAACCAATGGATAGGGTGGTTGTCTGAGATTGAGGTGCCGTCACTCGAGCTTTGTTGCTGGAGCAGCTCCAGCCTTTGCTCGCGACCGGAGAGGCTCTGAGCACGGGGACCATACCGGCCCCGAGAGATCAAATTCAGGAAAGAAAATCAGCACATCAGAATGATACTAGGAGCCATTCGGTCACTACACGATTTTCACACTTTTATTATGCATACTTAAGGGGTTCCTCGGAAACTCTTGACCTTGTTCATTAAGGGGAACTACCTATGTCTCAGTATCTAGTAAACTAGTCGGCCACATTGACGATACTCGCCCACAGCCAATCTTATCTGTAGATAAGGAGCACCCCGAAACTTTGGTTCAGTCAGACTAGTAGTCAAGAGACACGACTGTTCGCGTAGTCTTCACAACATGGCTGCTGATCTACATAGGGAGGCTGCATTTATATGCTGAAACACACTGCATTCTTTAATTTTCACATCATTGTTTTCACCAGATGCCTGAACAGTCACGGTAATCATAGCCGACAATGATGTGAGAAACAAGTAGAAGCCAAAAGTGTCCTCGAACTCCGAACTCATGAGGTGACCACTATGGGGAAAATACGAACATTGCCTACTAGTAGAAGTAGATACTATTTGTGATTATCAGCTACTACCAACCATTATTCCGGTACAAGGACGAAATAAGTAGACTATCAGTCGAATAGAATGACTGACGGGAAAGGGCCAAGAAGATGATCCGCAACATACTAATCAATATTGTGAAGAATGCAGATCGAACAAGGCAATGTATATATTAGTAGTACTAACGAAACATCCCTGGTAGTATCACATGTGATATACCACTTCCTTAGTTACATGGAACGATTGATGATGATCTTACGAGAGCTTACCAGTACGACCAGGACTGTTAATAGAGGATTCGTATAGATATGGGTCACATATACGGAGTAACAGGAACGGTGGGTATGAAACCCACAACAGTCTGACACCAGCATACTCCTTCTACTCCATAAATACGAAAAAAATAAGTTTGAGGTATACCAGCTGGCTTCCATGACTGTAGCAACAAGTCCTACATAAAAATATACTGATAACACCGGTATGAGTTCAGATTGTTCAAGATTGTGCGGAATTCGTCCGCGAGGAAGGTTGCCAGTGTATGCAGGACATTTGGTGCACTAACCAGTACACAAAGTGCGGAACGGGTGCAACTTTTCCAGGAGCGGAAAACAGGCAGAGGAGGTGCCGCAGTCACGAGCTGCATTATCCAAGGTCAGCCAGCCTGCCAGGCTACAGAGTCCATACGCACGGGGGCGGATTGAGCAGATCGGGTCTTTCAGGGAATCCTTGCAGACAGCTGACAGAATTGGCAGCCGGTGTACGTGATTAGAAGTCGGTATACGAAGCATAGTAAGGATCGGATATGCATGGACTACGAAGTACTACTAATAGGTAGCCATCTTTAAGTTCTTGTACCTGAAACCATTCTTCTTCCCTTAATGGCAATTGAAATAGGAAGTTGATTTGCAGTTCATCTAACAGGTACTCCAGATCTCCGGACGCTCCGGACTTGCCACCTCCACGGGGTCGCGGGAGACCGGCACAGAGAGGCCTTCATATGCCTGTCTATCACAAGAATTACTGAAAGAGGCACAGGGTTCGAAAGGCGGAACTCGGTTAGCAGAGGAACTCGGCAGCGGTTTACGGAAGATCCCCCAGATGAAACAGAGGAACAACTGGTCATTCCCGGCTGCGCCTTTCATGGCTCAAGGGCCTCCGCCGCCACTTGCCATCGTCTCCAAGCCAAGCCAGGGCCGAAGTTTCCTTCCGAACCAGACGCCATCTCGGTCAGTGGTCGGCCAATGGGGAATCCCCACCTCGAGGGAGGCAATGGTATCTAGATAAATAAAAGGAGAGAGAGGTGACCATCATGATACTCTGGTTATTACTTGACTTCAATTTCAAGAGTTGTACTACACATAATCATCCCTACGTTTTCTCGGAAGGTTTGAGCCACAAGATACGTTGTTGTTGTTGTTGGAAACCCTCCGGCAACCGCTCTTCTGCTAGTGGTAGTGTGTCTAATAGTAGTTCTACACTACTACTGCCAACAGACTCACAGGGACTATATCAGATAGTGCCCCAACACGCACAAGAGTGCCCTGACCTTGACACGAGAGATCTGATAACTCCTCAGCAAATCGGAGTAAACAGAAGGACAAGTCATTGGAGTACTGAGTAGCTCCGTGTCAGAAACCCGGACAGGATCAGCTTCTCCGAAACCGAGACTCCGGGCGAAAAGGCCACCATCGCCTCAGGCTACCACCTGTGTCTCGCTCTCTCTCCTCTCCGTCGATCGTCTCCCTCGTCTTTCCGGCTCACGGCCCCCCAAATTATGCGGTCTGCTTAGCAGTGGGTTCGGCCTCTCTGTTCTTCCTGGATCACACCACGGCTTACTTTCTTATCCTTTTCCTTTTCCTTTCTTCCTTTCTTCCTGTTCTCCTTTCTTCTTTCCACCCCTTCTTTCTTTTAACCCCATAGCGTCATTCTTTCTTCCGTTTTATCTTTTGGTTTTGGGGACGCCGCCACCTTATCTCGGTTCCTGCCTCGGCTCCGGTGATCGCACCTGGGACAGGCTAAGCGTAGGGAGGTGTGACATTCTTCTTTCACCTCCTCTCCTTTTCCCGCCTCTCCACTCCGTTCAATCCCCCGCTCCACCCTTTCAGACTCGCCATCGTATCAAATCGGGGCCTTTCGCTTCGCGCCGCTGAACAGCCTCACCATGGCGCAACTCGATACCCTCGATCTGGTGGTCCTGGCGGTGCTTTTGGTGGGTAGCGTGGCCTACTTCACCAAGGGTACCTACTGGGCAGTTGCCAAAGACCCGTATGCCTCTACCGGCCCCGCGATGAACGGCGCCGCTAAGGCTGGCAAGACTCGGAACATCATTGAGAAGATGGAAGAAACGGGCAAGAATTGTGTTATTTTCTACGGATCGCAAACTGGAACCGCGGAGGACTACGCCTCCAGATTGGCCAAGGAAGGATCTCAGCGATTCGGCCTCAAGACCATGGTGGCTGACCTCGAGGAATACGACTATGAGAACCTGGACCAATTCCCGGAGGACAAGGTTGCGTTTTTCGTGCTCGCCACCTACGGAGAGGGTGAGCCTACGGATAATGCTGTTGAGTTCTACCAGTTCTTCACCGGTGACGATGTTGCTTTTGAGAGCGGCGCTTCCGCGGACGAGAAGCCTCTGTCCAAGCTGAAGTATGTTGCTTTCGGTCTGGGTAACAACACTTATGAGCACTACAACGCCATGGTTCGTCAAGTCGATGCTGCTTTCCAGAAGCTCGGCGCGCAGCGTATTGGTTCAGCTGGTGAGGGTGATGACGGTGCCGGTACAATGGAAGAAGACTTCTTGGCCTGGAAGGAGCCCATGTGGGCAGCACTGTCGGAGTCGATGGATCTGCAAGAGCGTGAAGCGGTTTACGAACCTGTTTTCTGCGTCACCGAAAACGAGTCCCTGAGCCCTGAGGACGAGACGGTCTATCTTGGAGAGCCCACCCAGAGCCACCTTCAGGGTACTCCTAAAGGCCCGTATTCTGCGCACAACCCCTTCATCGCCCCTATTGCCGAATCTCGTGAGCTTTTCACCGTCAAGGATCGCAACTGTCTGCACATGGAAATTAGCATCGCTGGAAGTAACTTGTCCTACCAGACTGGTGACCACATCGCTGTTTGGCCCACAAACGCTGGTGCCGAAGTGGATCGGTTCCTTCAGGTCTTTGGTCTCGAGGGCAAGCGTGATTCAGTCATCAACATCAAGGGTATCGATGTTACGGCCAAGGTCCTGATCCCGACCCCGACCACGTACGATGCCGCTGTTCGGTACTATATGGAAGTCTGCGCCCCTGTGTCCCGTCAGTTTGTAGCCACTCTGGCCGCGTTCGCTCCGGATGAGGAAAGCAAGGCAGAGATTGTGCGTCTGGGTAGCGACAAGGACTATTTCCACGAGAAGGTCACCAACCAATGCTTCAACATCGCCCAGGCTCTTCAGAGCATCACGTCCAAGCCTTTCTCTGCTGTTCCGTTCTCTCTGCTTATTGAAGGCATTACGAAGCTGCAGCCTCGCTACTACTCGATCTCATCGTCCTCCCTTGTCCAGAAGGACAAGATCAGCATCACGGCCGTTGTGGAATCTGTTCGTCTGCCCGGTGCCTCTCACATGGTGAAGGGTGTGACTACGAATTATCTCCTCGCGCTCAAGCAGAAGCAGAACGGCGATCCCTCTCCTGACCCTCACGGCTTGACTTACTCCATCACCGGTCCTCGGAACAAGTACGACGGTATCCACGTTCCCGTGCATGTTCGCCACTCGAACTTCAAGCTGCCCTCTGATCCCTCTCGTCCCATCATCATGGTTGGTCCTGGTACTGGTGTTGCTCCTTTCCGTGGTTTCATTCAGGAACGTGCTGCTTTGGCGGCCAAGGGCGAGAAGGTTGGACCCACTGTTCTCTTCTTCGGTTGCCGCAAGAGCGACGAGGATTTCTTGTACAAGGATGAATGGAAGGTAAGATATCTTTTTTTGCTTTTCCGCAGCTGCTTTATACCTCGGTTGCTAACATATCGCGCATTCGCAGACCTATCAGGACCAGCTTGGAGACAACTTGAAGATCATCACTGCGTTCTCGCGTGAGGGTTCTCAGAAGGTCTACGTTCAGCACAGACTCCGCGAGCACTCCGAACTTGTCAGCGACCTTCTGAAGCAGAAAGCTACCTTCTATGTCTGTGGTGACGCTGCAAACATGGCTCGCGAGGTTAACCTTGTGCTTGGCCAGATCATTGCTGCGCAGCGTGGTCTGCCCGCTGAGAAGGGCGAAGAAATGGTCAAGCACATGCGTAGCAGCGGCAGCTACCAGGAAGATGTGTGGTCATAATCTTTCAATGCATCGAATTTTCTTTCTTGTCTATCACGACGGCCTTTTCGATCCATTATTTTATTTCACGCCTAGATGATCTTTGCATATATACTCCGCTGATTTTGCCTATTCATCTGTTTTGCTTGGCGTGGTTTATGTATGCCTAGTTTATTTGTTTTGTGCACCGACCGGCCAGCCACACATTGAAGTGGCTTGAGCATGAGTGCGGTAGCCAGTGTCGAAAGAACAGGATAGACGATCATGATTATTGCGGGAACATGTTATGCCATTCTGGGCATATTGATATCTGGTCGCATGAGCCCAGAGAATACGAAAAGATGAATCCATATTAATTTGCACAATACCTTTCGCCTTTTTTTCATCTAGTAATTTATTTAATTGAGCACTGACCGAACGAGCTGACACCTGCTGCTCGGAATAGCCGACAACGCATTGACGTGAAAGAGATGCATACTTACCATTACAATCAACAAGTAGACTTGTAACTAAATCACTGAAACAACTACTACAGTTACTGCCTGCTTTTAGCTAAAAAGTAATACTGAAGTATTCGGGAATCAAATAGAAGAAACATGCATAAGCCCAACCTCGGCAATACCGGAGTTAAGCACAGTAACCAAAACCAAACCAAACTAGAACCGGCGCGCGACCAGTGACCCATCGTCATTCCCGGTATCAGCAGTTCAGTCAGGCTGGCTGGCTAGCCCGAACCAAGCTCCGCAATCATCCATCCATCCTCATCCCTCCCCTCCCATGCCAACCTCTCTTCTCCGCAGAGCGAGGGACAAGAAAATGAGATGCAGCAATTAACCACGATAACTTAGCAAAAAAGAATTAGAAGCCGGAAGAACATACATTTCGCTTTTACCGCTGTTCGACTGCGACGACGGGTCTTGAGAGCAGTTCCCCGCAGTGGGCGAAAAGCTGGACTGCACACTACTTACGCTACCCTACGCTACCTCGGTACATATATGATATACGACATCTATACGGATTAAAGTTGAACAATATTCTGGGAAGATGGCTTACGTGGTGCCGATTCATCGGGCGAGTAGTATTCGGAATGCGCTCAAGTTGCATTTCATGAATGCGGAGGAGGAGACGCTGGTTGTTGCGTTGGTGGACCCCTTGCTTTTGCTTTGCTTGCTTTTGATACTGGCAATAGTTATGTATGTGTGTGCTAATTGGCGCGGTGTGTTGCAATTATAGAAAGGCGAACCGTCTCGAGATATACTCCCTTACGCCGGAAGGGCTGAACCTGGCAGCGTCATGTTCTCTCTTCGCGAAAGTGACTATGCTAGCTCGGCTTCCTGCGCCTGCGAACTCGCCTACGGATCATTTGTTTGTTGGGACGGATCGATACACCTATTGTACGTTATCGTGGGATGGGGAGAGGAATCAAATCCGGACGGAGAGGAACTACGTTGATATATCTGATCCGTCGTCGCGGGAGGCGCAGACGGGAAATCGGTGCTTGATTGATCCTAGTGGACGGTTTATGACGCTCGAGGTCTATGAGGGTGTCATTGCTGTTGTGCCGATTGTGCAGTTGCCCAGTAAGAAGAGGGGGAGACAGGTTGCTCCGCCTTCGGGACCGGATGCGCCTCGGGTTGGGGAGTTGGGCGAGCCGACGACGGCGAGGATTGATGAGCTGTTTGTGCGCTCGTCTGCGTTCTTGCATGTTCAGTCGGGGCCGCCTAGGTTGGCGTTGCTCTATGAAGATAATCAGAAGAAAGTAAGGCTTAAGGTTCGCGCGTTGCATTATAGTGCGGCGACGGCGAGTACGGGGGCCGATGCGGCGTTTGAGGAGTCGCTGGATGGGTTTTCGCAGGAATTGGATCTCGGAGCGTCGCATCTCATACCGGTTCCGGCGCCTTTAGGTTTGTGATTCTCTTGTTGTGGTTTGTTGTCGCTTTTGGATTGATGCTGATCTGTTTATGTTGTGCAGGTGGTCTGCTTGTTTTGGGAGAGACGTCCATCAAGTATGTCGATACGGATAGTAACGAGATTGTGTCGCGTCCTTTGGACGAAGCAACAATTTTCGTGGCTTGGGAGCAGGTAGATAGTCAGAGATGGCTTCTAGCTGATGATTATGGAAGACTGTTTTTCCTGATGCTAGTCCTGGATTCTAACAACCAAGTACAATCCTGGAAGCTAGATCACTTAGGGAATACCGCTAGAGCTTCGGTGCTGATATATCTCGGTGGCGGAGTTATCTTCGTAGGATCTCACCAAGGGGATTCGCAAGTTCTTCGAATCGGCAATGGCTCGTTGGAGGTCATCCAGACGCTCTCCAATATTGCGCCCATTCTCGACTTTACCATCATGGATCTTGGAAATCGTACCAGCGAAAGCCAGACACACGAGTTTTCATCGGGCCAGGCTCGCATTGTGACCGGTTCGGGGGCATTCGATGACGGAACCCTTAGGAGTGTTCGCAGTGGTGTCGGCATGGAAGAGCTCGGCGTGCTTGGTGAAATGGAGCTCATCACGGACTTGTTCGGACTGCAGCTTGCGACAAAGGGTGGTTATCTGGACACTCTTCTGGTTACCTTCGTCGATGAGACACGAGTTTTTCAGTTCAACTTTGATGGAGAGGTTGAAGAATTGGACAGCTTCCTTGGTCTCAGCCTTTCAGAGAACACACTTCTCGCTATGAATCTTCCTGGAGGGAGGATCTTGCAGGTCACCGAACAGAGAGTTCTCATCGCAGATATCGAAGGCGGCATGGTTACCAATGAATGGACCCCGCCGGACAATTTAGTGATCACTTCTGCTTCTGCTAACAATGATTCGATCGTTCTCGTCAGTGGCGGCCAACTTATGACGGTCCTCGATATCAACAATGATGTTCGGGTTATATCTCAGAAGGACTTTGGAGCAGACAGCCAGATTTCAGGAGTCACGGTACCCTTATCTTCGGCCGGAGTCTGTATCGTTGGTTTCCCTCAATTGGCAAAGGTCTCGGTATTAGACCTTGGCCGTCTATCGGAGCTCCATACGACGTCGCTGGGCCCAGCTGGTGAAGCTTTCCCACGATCCGTACTTGTTGCCGATGTCCTTGCAAATAGCCCTTCCACCCTCTTCATTTCGATGGCAGATGGCAGCGTCATAACCTACTCCTTCGACGCAAGTAACTACTCCTTGACCGGAATGAACAGGCTCATACTTGGGTCTGAGCAGCCTACCTTCAAGAAGCTGCCTCGAGGCGATGGGCTGTATAATGTCTTCGCCACATGCGAGAACCCCAGCTTAATATACGGCTCTGAAGGTCGCATTATCTACTCTGCGGTTAATTCGGAGGGTGCGTCTCGGGTATGTCACTTCAACTCGGAGGCGTATCCTGGATCGATTGCGGTGGCCACCAGGCACGACTTGAAGATTGCTCTCGTGGACAAGGAGAGGACAACACAGATCCAGACGCTTCCTATGGGCGAAACTGCCCGTAGAGTTGCATATTCACCGTCTGAAAAGGCTTTTGGTATCGGCACCATAGAGCGCAAATTGAAGGACGGGGCTGAGATGGTCCAAAGCCGGTTTGTGTTAGCTGATGAGATCATGTTCCGTCGTCTCGACGCCTTTGATCTTCGGCCGGAGGAGTTGGTCGAGAGTGTCATTCGCGCGGAATTCTCTGCGGGCAAAGATGAAAATGGTCGGGACGTATTCAAAGATCGGTTCGTTGTGGGAACAGCATATTTGGATGATGAAAACGAAGAGTCAATCCGAGGTCGGATCTTAGTCTTCGAAATTGACAACGGTCGAAAATTGACCAAAGTCGCGGAGTTGCCTGTCAAAGGTGCATGCCGCGCGTTGGCTATGCTCGGAGAGAAGATTGTAGCCGCTCTTGTGAAAACGGTAAGTGTCTGATACCCCTCACAGTACCACTTCCACAGAAGCTGATATGATTCAGGTCGTCATCTATGGAGTGGTGAACAACGACTTTGGCGCGATGAAGCTCGAGAAGTTGGCCAGCTACCGCACATCCACCGCCCCCGTCGACGTGACCGTAACGGGCAACGTGATTGCCGTCGCCGACCTCATGAAGAGTGTATGTCTGGTGGAGTACAGCGAGGGCGAGAATGGGATGCCCGATAGCTTGACAGAAGTGGCTCGCCACTTTCAGACCGTTTGGGCCACCGGTGTCTCCTGTATTGCCAAGGACACATTCCTGGAAACTGACGCCGAAGGTAACTTAATTGTTCTTCGACGCAACTTGACCGGCGTGGAGGAAGACGACAAGCGCAGGCTCGAAGTAACTGGGGAGATCTCGTTGGGCGAAATGGTCAACCGCATTCGACCGGTCAATATTCAACAATTGGCGAGTGTGACGGTCACTCCGAGGGCTTTTCTGGGCACAGTATGAATCCCATCCCAAACACCCGAGTGCTAAACAACTATGACTAACTCACATGTTTTACCTAAACAGGTGGAAGGTTCCATCTATCTCTTTGCCATTATCAACCCAGAGCACCAGGACTTCTTGATGCGTCTGCAGGCAACCATGGCGGGCAAGGTCGAGTCGCTGGGAAACATTCCATTCAATGAGTTCCGTGGTTTCCGCAGCATGGTGCGAGAGGCTAAAGAGCCGTACCGCTTTGTGGATGGCGAGCTGATTGAGCGGTTCTTGACCTGCGAGCCGAGTCTCCAGGAAGAAATTGTGGACTCGGTGGGCATGATGAACGTTGATGAAGTAAAGATTATGATAGAAGCCCTGCGCAGGCTACATTGAGTGTGGCAGGTAGGATCTGAAGAGCAATAATGATTGAGTTATGGTAAGACGAGGTCGAAACTTGCACTGGCGTATCTGCACATGTTCATTGCTATGCTTTGCAGCACTTTCTTGGGCTTGGATAACTAACCTGCATCACATCAAAAGGCTCGGCAGCCATGTGAGCTCATGTCACGCGGAGACTTGGTGACTCTAATCCGGACCAACACCCCCACGCTCAACAATGCTTTGACTTGATCCTCAACTTGCTTGTTAGGCAGTTGTGCTCCAGCGGATCCGGCCAACAGCCTGGCTGCGATCCACAAACAGCTTCAGACCCGCAAGTCTCCGCTTATATGTGCATTTGAGTGAAAGGAAGTGAAAACTGTGTTGCGATCCGGATTTCAACTCACACAAACATAGACATAAATCAGAGTGGAATGTCTATACTGTTTGTTCATTACGGGTCCATGTCCCCGCGTAGATCTATTCTAGATAGAACTGTTCTTCTCTTCCGCATCCTCAGTCCCTCCCGTAACCGAATAGCTTTAAACCGTCTTGTCCCAAATTTCTGCGACTGCAACTCCCATCAATTGCTCCCGACAGGCAGGGCCAACATGAATCAGTCAGGCTTTAATGACCAGGACGTGTCTGGTAACCCAGGATACATTCATGTCCCTGACGCGTCATTCCCTGGACTCCGGAGGAAGGAAAGTGGTGCCTTCAATGCTCCTGCCCAGAGTGGCTTCCACCCAGCACACTCCTCCAGGAAGGCAGTTGCTACGAACAGCGACCTTCTATCGATGTCGACCCCTCTTCCTCCGGCTTCTTCAGCTCCCACATCTTCACCGTGTTCCAGTCATTCGTTGCGTACTGGCCTACTCCCATCTTCTCTAGCTACTTTATTATCGTGTATGCTGTCTGGAGGCCTGGATCCTACTTGATATCTGACTGCTGTTATAGATCCCAACTCCCCCGATCCGCACGGCTATCCTGCTGGCTCAAGTAAGTATTTATTCCCGTTCATTTGAAAAACCTATTTCGTGTCAACTGTCATCTTAGTGTGTGCTTTTGGTGTTTCATTACTACAGACCAAAAAGACTAACGACTGCCACAGAGCCTGACTTACATAGATCCGGCACCATGCATACTGCTGTTCCTGATACCGCTCAGGCTCCTGATGCCCGTGGCTTGTCCACCCTACTCGGGGGTTTGAACATCCAGGGTCAGCGTCCCGGAGCCAAATACAATGGTCTCAAGAGCAACATGCCGCTAGCTGTGCCCTCTTATAATCCGCTTGTCCTTCTACCCAATGGAGCCATCTTCGGAGGTCTTCCCTATGATCAGAACCCGTATCTACCCCCCACTGGCATCTATCCGGGCTTAGCTTCCCCATGCCCAGTGGTTCCCAGCCCTGCAGGAGACTTCTACCATGGAGCCACCCCGAACCTGGAAGGCCCTGGACTGCCTAACTATGGTTATAACAGCTTTCCCCAGCCGGCACCTGCATGTCTACCTTTCCAGATGATGAAGACTCCTACTGGATATATTCTTCAGGATCTGGAGAGCCTAACCCAGCAAGACCCGCCTATTCCACGGGCTGTACCTGCTATGTGGACTAACCCTTCTGAGCTGACGCTTGCCAAGTGCCTGGAGAATCGGGAGGGCATTACTAACGTCTACATTCGAGGATTTCTCCCAGAGACTACGGATGAGATGCTGCATGCCTATGCCTCTCGCTTTGGAAAGATAGACAGATGCAAAGCAATTGTGGACTTGGATACAGGCCTTTGCAAAGGGTATGCAAGGGTCTGGGTCCACGGACTGATGATACATATGCTGACTGCACCTATAGATTCGGATTTGTCCAGTACTATAACTTCGAATCTTGCGAGAACTGCATCCGTGGGTTCTTCTATCTTGGCTACCAGGCTAGCTTTGCTCAGGTATATATTTGGGGCTGCCAGTCTACGTACCATTGAATCTAACAAAGTCCAGAAATCTCGCAACTCCCGTCTCAAGGACCTCGAAGACAAGACATCCACTAACATCTACTGTACCAATATTCCAATTGAGTGGACAGAGGCCGTGAGCAGAAAGGTCCAATAAGATATTAGATATATCAAAGTTAACCATAACTACAGGATCTTCGCCATCACTTTGAGCCGTACCACGTCATCTCGGAGAAAATTAGTCGTGACGAGAAGACTGGAGTGAGCAAGGAAGTTGGATTTGCCCGGTAAGCATTTATCACAAATCATTCGGGAGAAAAATATGTTTCTTGGGCTGATCATCCCCTACTAGATTCGAAACCCGCGAAATCGCCGAGAAAGTCCTGTCTGAGTATCACAACGCGACTGCCAAAGATGGTGTGAAGTTGCTTCTTCGCTTCGCCGATACCAAGGCCCAGAAAATGCTCAAGCAGCAGAGCAATGAGCGCCGCGCCTATCGTGCTGGCGAATACAATTATTCGGTCGAGGTAGTTCAGGGTTCCACTCCATCGCCTTCTATTAACCGTCTTCAACAGACTGCATCTCACCTCAGCCCCAACTCGCAGGGCAGCTATGTGTCACCTGTTGGCATGGGCGCAGCCTGGACTCCTGCTACATCCATCTCCCCATCGTATGTACTGACGGACCCACATGTGTTCGGGCTCTACTGACAGGACAAGCAGGTATCTGGCGAAGAGCCAGGCTAGCAACATGAAATTCAACTCGTGGACTTCCCGCAACGGGCCAGGAGGTCTGGAGAATACACCTTTGTATCGTGGACGGCGTGGAGTTTGGACAGAAAATACCTCGGGCTCTTCCAAGGCTAATTTCGCCACTCCTACTACGTCCTGCGTTGAATCTCGTTCCGAACGATCCAGCCCTCGCAAGGAGATCAAGGCAGGATCCTTGTCTCCGATTTCCTCTCGCAGGGAGGTTATTGTGACTTCACCTCGGTCGGTCGTCTAGTGATGCTTGGACCGTTCCTCTCTCTTGCCAATGTTTCCTACAAGCACCAAGTGTTGCTACTCACATGAGCGACGTTTGGTATTTGCACGGGTCGCCTTTTTGCTCTTCCTTGAAACATCTTCTACGAACTCGGCAGGCTGTCCAGCTATCCGTCAGAGCCCGCATATCTTACAATGGTGCATGGTTGACTAACATATGATTTTGTTTCCCCATTTTAACTCTTGCCCATTTCGAGGTTTTGTGCTGGTTTCGAGCTTTTGTATGTTGTATGGGTTTTGTTATCTGTTCTTGATTTCTTGATGACACCAGTGATTCTATGATTCGCAGAGTGATGCCGATTTAAATGTCTGTATCTGTTACCGCTGGACCCTGGAGGCCAAAGGTTTACGGCGAGAGGAAATTCACAGGTTGGGAGGACATAAGTGGTACTTCAGCATTTGCCTAGCCATGCATGTTTAGCTCTTAGCATCAAGTTATCAGCGCAGTCTACAGTTTGCCAATGAAAAGCGCTATGCAACTGCGACCAGCAATCACGGCGTCGAATGTGAGCCAATCCAAGTCAAAGCCCTGCAGCCAGTATATGCATCTATGGAATAGTCATGATGAGATAAGAGGAGAGAAAGAGGGAATCGCTCAGGAGTAACATGCGGAGGAAAAGACATCGGTATAGGATGGGAGACAAAGAGTACATGGAATCTGACTCCAAAAAGGTCTATACACGGAGAGAGGAGCATTGAACCGACAACGAGTTTCCTTAACTCAAACAATGGCCAATACCAATACCAATACCAACCCAGACAATCAGTTACGCCCCAACCGCTCCTCCAAATCCTCTGTCAACTCATAAGCCGGTTTATACTGCCCCGCAGGCACCTCCTCCCCAGCAGTGCCATCCACCTCCACCCGCAACTTCGGATTCGGATGCGTATCCGCTGTCCCCCCAAGACTCGTATACCCACGATCATAAAGCCCACAATACCTCAACCCCAAATGCCTAATAAAAGCCCAAATCTCGGCATAATGCCAATCAATAACAGGATGCACGCGCACAAAATCCGGCCATCCGCTATCCGTGCGATCGAAATGGGTCAACTTCGCACCATGCGGATCCGTGCGTCTCGTGCCCACAAAAATGGCCTTGACTCCCGGGTTCAGAAACAGGTAATCCTCAAAGGTGGATTTGATTGTCGAGCGCGGCGGGTCTGTCGTGTACTTGAGCACGTTGAGATGGTATGCGCGGGCCGACCATTGCACGAATTCCTCGACGTCCGGGAAGGGGTCCGGAGGCAGGGCGTAGATAGCGGGGATAGAGGATAGGCCGCCGTCTTCGGGGGCTGGGTGTGGGTGTAGGCTGGCGAGGAAGAGGACGAGGAGCACCAGACAGTCTTTGCCGCCGTTGTAGGAGAGGGAGAGTTCGCTGAGGGGGTAGCGGTGCAGGGCGGTTGCGATGACGTCTAGGGAGGTGCGGGTTTGGTTTTGTACGGCGTGGAGGAGGGAGTCTGGAGGGTGCGATTCCGAGAGGAAGGTGTGGATTTTCGAGTGGCAGTGGGCGATTATGCTGGATAGGGAGGGGGTGGTGGGTGGTGGGAATTGGGGTGTTGTGGTTGTGGTTGAGGTTGTTTGTGGTGGTGTTGATGTGGTGGGGTGGTTGGTGGTGGGTGATGCGGCGATGGGGCCATTGGGGGTGGGTGGTATTGAGTCGGTCATGGTGATTGATTGTCGTGTTGACAAAGGTAGGTGTATGTGTATATATATGGTTGTAAAAAGAGGGAGGAAAGAAGGGATGAGGTTGAGGTGGTTGGCGTAGTACTAGTTAGTAGCTAGGGTATGGAGTGGATGCGATGACTCGTGGGGTTGATGGATGGAAGGTAAGCCGGCTCTGTGGTTCTGGGGTTATCTGTCGAGTTCGGATTGCAACGCAAGGTGTATATGTCTTTCTATCGGGCGAGAATATAGAGATAAGAGTGACAATTATATAGGGATGAGACACAGAAAATCCACAACTTCAATGTTGCACCGTCAGACACCACGGATCATTGCGGAGAGGCCACATGAACCCGAGCGATGGAGGGGAAGATAATAAAAAGGCGCTGGAATGTTCTTTCTGCCCCGCATCTTGTCTGACCGCCTTTCTTATCGGGGAAGTATTATCTGCACGAAATCAAGTAAACAGAAGAGTTTATTGGTGTGGATGACAATTGATGTGAACAGCTATAAGCTATGGTAATGTGACAGCGACTAATAATCAATGGTATGCAAGAACAGTAGTGATAAACAGCAATATAATCATGGTGATGTTATGACCACCAGTCCGTCCCGGGTCCAAATATATCCGCTCAACGCCAGTTGATCAAGTTCCAATACTTCTACCACTGCAAGTCTAGCAGGCAACTGGCATCACTGCCCAGTATCACCCCAATACCTTCATCTTCTTTTTCTTCTTCTTGTCCCCGTCCTTCTTCACCCCCTTCTGCCAATCCCGCCAGCTGCCTATGCGCTCCTCACGGCTATCTTCCCACGCTTTATCCTGGTCCCGTTTTCGCTTCCGCGCCTCCAACTCTTCTTCTTCCTTGCGCCTCTCCCGACCTTCTTCCTGAAGCTTGGCCTTAGCCTGTCTTCGTCGCCGCGCCTCTTCTTCTAAGAGCACCTGAACTGTCTTTTGGCGCCATTCCTTCTTGAATTCATCGGTCTTCAGCTCTTCCGAGTCTAGCGAGTACTTGTGTTCGCGGATCAGGAGTCGTCGCGCGTCAGCGATACATTCGTCTAGGTATGTGCGTGACTTTTCGTCCATAAGCGCCGTGTGCGCTTTCTTGAGGCGATCAAAGGCATCAGGGGCGGCTGGGTTTTTCGTCTTATCAGGGTGGATGAGAAGGGACTTTTTGCGGTACTGGACTTTGATGTCCGATTCGGGCACACCTGGTTGGAGATCGAGGACCGCGTAACTGGTAAAATGATTCGCTAGTTAGCCTATCCAGAGTTATATAGTAGTAACCAGAAACTGCGTAGCAGAATGCCAATAACTCACGCGTCTAAGGAGAACGCCTTCCGAATGCGGTCAATTTCTGCATCCTGTCTGAAGTTAGTTTCGGTGTCATTGTAGTGTAGATAATCCGCAGCGTCATACCTTGACAAAATCAGACGCCTCACGCTCAAGCGCGTCCAAAGCATCTTGCTCTTCAGCGGCCATGGTGACAGAAGATGGGGAGTGAATGAAGGAATTCGCCGGGTCGGGACTGTCGCATGGCTGCTGAAAGGCACACGCCGATAAGCGCCGCCTTATCGCGGCGATGAGTCAGCAGGAACCCGCGAGGTTAAACTCCGAAGAGAAAAAAGTTGCTTCACCGCCCGCGCCTTTCTTCGAGATTCGCTTTCTCTCCCCAGCAACGAGTCCTGTTTCGATTTACTGCTTCCTTTCGTCGGTGCTCAATTTCGTGGAGCATTTTATCTGGACGAGCCCATCATGGCTCCGATCAACGGTTCCCGCAATGGCAAACACTCAAAGCCTCAGCGCGGCGGTAACCTGAAGCGCAAGCGTGTCCAAGAAGATTTAAACTCTCTCATCAAGAAGGTCGAGGATCTGGATGTCAAGGAAACCATCGAACAATTTACCGATCTGCCCTTGTCTGAACCCACCGCGTCCGGACTTGCCTCGTCCCACTACAAGACGTTAACCGATATTCAATCCCGTGCGATCAGCCATGCGCTTAAGGGCCGCGATATTCTCGGTGCCGCAAAGACGGGAAGCGGCAAAACGCTAGCCTTCCTGATTCCCATCCTGGAAAACCTATACCGCAAACAGTGGTCAGAGCACGATGGATTGGGTGCCCTGGTTCTGTCTCCCACCCGCGAACTCGCGATTCAGATCTTCGAAGTCCTCCGCAAAGTCGGTCGCTATCATACGTTCTCCGCCGGTCTGGTTATTGGTGGGAAGAGTCTGCGGGAGGAGCAGGAGAGACTGGGACGGATGAATATTCTGGTGTGTACGCCTGGTCGCATGCTGCAGCACTTGGATCAGACTTCTTTCTTCGAGACGCACAACCTGCAGATGCTCGTGTTGGACGAGGCGGATCGCATCTTGGATATGGGTTTCCAGAAGACTGTGGACGCTATTATCGGCCATCTTCCCAAGGAGCGCCAGACTCTACTTTTCAGTGCCACACAGACGAAGAAGGTGTCGGACTTGGCTCGACTGAGCTTGCAGGATCCCGAATATGTGGCTGTTCATGAGGCGGCCTCCTCCGCGACGCCGTCCAAGCTTCAGCAACATTACGTCGTTACGCCCCTCCCGCAGAAACTCGATGTTCTATGGAGTTTTATTCGGAGCAACCTGAAGTCCAAGACGATCGTTTTCCTGTCATCAGGAAAGCAGGTGCGCTTTGTCTACGAATCCTTCCGTCACATGCAACCCGGTGTTCCGTTGATGCACCTTCACGGACGTCAGAAGCAGGGTGGTCGACTCGATATTACTACCAAGTTCTCCTCGGCGCAACATGCAGTTCTGTTCGCCACCGATGTTGCTGCGCGTGGTCTGGACTTTCCGGCCGTCGACTGGGTCATCCAACTGGACTGTCCTGAAGATGCCGATACCTATATTCACCGTGTTGGTCGTACAGCAAGATACGAGCGCGATGGTCGTGCCGTGCTGTTCCTGGATCCTAGTGAGGAGAAGGGCATGTTGAAGCGTCTGGAGCAGAAGAAGGTCCAGGTCGAACGCATCAATGTCAAGGCCAACAAGCAACAGAGCATTAAAGATCAGCTGCAAAACATGTGCTTCAAGGACCCCGAATTGAAGTATCTGGGCCAGAAGGCCTTTATTTCCTACGCTAAGTCGGTCTACGTCCAGAAGGACAAGGAGATCTTCAACATCAAGGAGCTGAAGCTGGATGAATTTGCGGGCAGCTTGGGACTTCCGGGTGCACCTCGCATTAAGTTCATCAAGGGTGATGATACCAAGGAGCGGAAGAACGCGCCCCGTGCTACGGCATACCTGTCCAGCGATGACGAGTCTGACGAAGAGGGTGAAAAGAAGAAGACCAAGAAGGATGAGACGCAGGTGCGGACGAAGTATGACCGCATGTTTGAGCGTCGGAACCAGGACGTGTTGGCCGACCATTACCACAAGCTCATTAACGACGACGGCACGATGGTGGAAACTAATAAGGCTACTGAGGATGCGGATGAAGACGACGACTTCTTGTCCGTCAAGCGTCGCTACGAGGCCGGTGACAAGGATCTGGATGTCGGAGGATCTAGCTCGGAGGGTGAGGAGGATGCGGACGGAACGGAGAAGAAGGGAGCCAAAGTGGTCCATCTCGATGGCAAGGAGGCCCTGGTCATTGATTCGAAACGCCGCGAGAAGCTGCTCAAGTCGAAGAAGAAGCTTCTCAAGTTCAAGGGCAAGGGCACGAAGCTTATCTACGATGATGAGGGCAATGCTCACGAGCTGTACGAAATGGAGGACGAAGAACAGTTCAAGGCCAAGGGCGACGCCAAGGAGCAGCAGGCGAAGTTCCTGGCGGAGGAAGCGGAGCGCACTCGGCAAGCGGATTTGGAGGACAAGGAAGTCGCCAAGCAGAAGAAGCGCGAGAAGAAGGAGAAGCGCAAGGCCCGCGAGCGCGAGCTTCTTGCGATGGAGGAAGAAGGAGGGGATTTGGTCCAGATCCCGTACAAGGAGGGCGGACTCGCTTCGGACGAAGACGAGGAGGTACTCCGGCCCAGCAAGAAGGCGCGAGTCTCCTTTGCAGACGAAGCAAGCGAGGAGGAGCCCAAATCCAAGAAGGCCAAGAAGTCTCAACCAGCTGGCAAAGCACCGGAGCAGATCGAGACTCTGGAAGATCTGGAGTCGCTGGCCGCTGGCTTGCTGGGGTGATTTTAATGTGTATACATTGTGTCTTTGGTGGATATATCCCTTTCTGTCTAAGTTTCTTTCATTGTTCATCAGCGGAGAGTGTCAAAAGTTTATGAGATTCCGGCAGCATAGCCATGTACATAGCACGATACAATAGTCCTTGGGGACATTTCCTTTGATTGAACTATGGGGAATATTATAGTGGTAGTAGTAATAGAAGTAGATAGCTGCGTCTGAAGTAATGTATGTATGCTTAAAACTTAGCCGAGCAGGTGGGGAACCCCAGGCGGCAATCGGCAAATTATTCTCTGCATCCCCAAGGATTCTGTCGCCCTTCCATTTGCTGTACGTAACACCAATCGAGCACGCCATCCGCTAAAGAGCAAATTTTCAGCGTCAAGGATGTGATGGCGACATGAGTGTCATTCGCCGGGATGCGCTCTTCCTTTTGATCAAATTCTTTTCGTTCATGCGTGCTGTGCAGTGCAGACACACTACTGCTAGTATCAACCTAGATAACTAGTAGATAGTTTCAGCTGCCAGTTTGACTGCCGGCTTTGGGCTTCTCCGCTGTGGATCACGTGGTGTCTCTCCTCCAGGTCTCCAACACTTGCCTATTCGGGAAGAGCTCAACTATAAGGCTGAGATTGACTGGATCAATACTTTGGTGAGTCTCGGCATACTTCCGATATCTCAATGTAGGACCCCAGCTAACATGGCCCTCTTAGTGTCTAGACCACCACGATGGGTGTCCATGACATCGAAAAGCAACGCCCTATGGCTCCTGGCGAGCCCATAGCTGAGCGTAATGCCAAGGACCCCAGCACCTTAGCAACCGATTATCTGGAGCCAGAGGCTCCCTATGTCAATGCGAATAAGCTGGCTCGGAAGCTCTCTCCCCGCCAGGTGCAGATGATCGCCATCGGTGGCACCATTGGTACGGGTCTGTTCCTGGGAACAGGTAAGGCGCTGGCCACCGGTGGGCCGGCCTCGATGCTGATCTCTTATACGATCTGTGGTGTGATTGTGTTCATTACTATGTTGTCGCTGGGTGAGATGGCGGCATTTATCCCTGTTGCCGGGTCGTTCTGTACTTTTGCTGGGTGAGTTTCTGTCCGAACTTGGATGGCAGTGGGGATGATATGCTGATGGTGACATAGTCGGTTCGTTGATGATGCTTTGGGCTTTGCTCTTACCTGGAACTACTGGTTCAATGATGCGGTGTCAACTGCGTCGGATATTATTGCACTGCAGTTGCTGCTGGAGTATTGGACGGATAATTTCCCGGGATGGGCGATCAGCTTGATCTTTTTGGTCGTGGTTATTGCGCTGAACATGCTGTCGGTCAAGGTTTATGGCGAGGTTGGTTGCTACCATTCTATTGACACTCATATACTGACTATCTGTTTTAGGTTGAATACTGGCTCAGTCTTCTCAAAGTGGTGACTATCATCGTATGTTGCCCTACTTCGACCAACCTGTGTCACTCCATACTAACCAACCGCCAGATCTTCATCATCCTCGGTATCGTTGTAAACTGCGGCGCAAACACCCAACACAAATATATCGGAAACAAGTACTTTTACACTGGAGAGGCCCCCTTCGTCGGAGGTATTGGCGGCTTCGCCTCTGTCTTCGTCACAGCCTCTTTCGCCTAGTACGTTGACCCTCCACTATTGAAAAGCTCCATACTAACCAACTCACAGCGGCGGCACTGAATCCATCGCCATCACCGCCGGTGAAACCAAAGACCCCGCCAAGAACCTCCCCCGTGTCGTCCGCAACGTCTTCTGGCGTATCATCCTCTTCTACATCGTCTCCATCGTCCTCATCGGCCTCGACGTCCCCTACAACTACCCGAACCTATCCTCCGAAACCACCGCCACGAGTCCCTTCACCATCGTCTTCGTTGAAGCCGGCAGCGCCGTCGCTGGCAGCTTCATCAACGCCGTAATCATGACCAGCGTCATCTCCGCCGCCAACCACGCCCTCTTCGCCGGCTCTCGACTTCTCTACACCCTCGCCGTAGACGGCTACGCCCCCCGCTTCTTCGGACACCTGAACCGATTCCAAGTCCCCTGGGTTGCAGTCCTCGCTACCTCTGTTATCAGTGGCCTCTGCTTCGGAGCGAGCTACATTGGCGCCGGCCAGTTATGGTCGTGGCTGCAGAAGTAAGCCATCCCTCGCTCCCAAAGTATCCAAATAACTAGTACTAATGACTATATAGTATCGTCGGTGTCTCCAACCAACTCTCCTGGACCTTTATCGGTCTCGCCTCCCTCCGCTTCCGCGCCGCAATCCGCAAACAGAACCTGGAACATCTCCTTCCCTACAAGAACTGGACGTATCCCGTGGGACCGGTTCTTGCCATAGGACTGAATATCATTCTGATTCTGGTTCAGGGTTGGTCGTGCTTTAGCCCGCATTTCAAGGCCGTGGATTTCGTCTCGTATTATATTGAGTTGCCGATCATGTTGGTAATGTTCTTGGTGTGGAAGTTGGTGAAGAGGACGAAGTTGGTGAAGTTGGAGGTTATGGATTTGGTTACCGATCGATATAATCTGGAGGTTGTTGGGGGGAGGGAGGTGGAGGAAGATGACGGGGAGGGTGATGGGGATGGAGGTTGGAGGAGTGAGAAGGGGGTTGTGGGGAAGGTGAAGAAGGTGGGGATGTGGTTGTTTTTGTGATTATACCTTCCTTTTTATGGTTCGCTGAATTGGTTTTTTGTTGGATATGGAGGATGTGATGGTAGATAGTATCGATCCTCCGTAATAATTAATGATCATGATGACATTGTATCTACATAGCTGAAGATTAACCACTGACCGGACTAGAATTCGTAAGTATAGACAACCTAACATACTTGAACCCGAACCTCCCGACTCTTTTGAGTAGTAGTTTACTGATATACCCCTAGACCAAAGGTACGCCAACCCATGCCAACCCTCAGTAGTACAACAACCCAGACAAGCCCACACTCAATCCCCCACTACCCTCCCCATAACCCTCTCCAACCAATTCGCACACTTCACATACACCGTCAGCCCCCTCTTCAAAAAACCTACGACAATTCTCCAACATCAACTTCAAATCCCCAATTCAACTGCCCGGGATGGATCCTCATCCTCATCCCCCTCCAACTTCTCCATGGTCCCCAAATCCATCGGCTGTTCAATCACCCGGCACTTCGTCTCTATTCACCGAACTCAGACACGGCCACGCCTGCTTATGATTCCTGATCTCGTTCAGGTACCGTCGCACTTCGTTGAATTGCGGACGGTGGTGTTCGGTGTTTGCGCGAGAGTTGATCCATTACCATTGCTGGGGACCAGCCTGTTGCGAGGATGGCGGAGATGGAGAGGGGGAAGTTTATGGGTACTACTAACTTCAGTAGTGTTGGGTTTGGTGTCCCGCCTTCGTAATGATCTTGGATATATTTCACAAATTATTACATACTACCATCTACTGCGGTACTTCATAGATATCTGGATTGCATTTTAGCTATACATCAGTACATATTGATGGTTGCCCCTTAATAGATATCTCATTTTTGTGCACAATTCTATACTACCCTTTCCAGCTTAAGCTGTTTCCTCCGTTTTCGTTACAACCTCAGTAGTGTGATGCCTCCTCCTCAGTCTCCCTGAAGCATCATGCTCCTGATCCCATTCCTCTACCTGCGACTTCGGCACCTTGACCAATTTATGCGCAGTTGCATCACCGCCAACATTTATGATTGTCTGGCGAAGCTCGTACCCGCCTATCCGAGGTAGAACCTTGATCCAGAGATAATAGTAAACTCCGCAAGCGGCGATACTATCCAAGTCATTATCATTAGCGTTGCTGTTCGGAAGCGATGACATGGGGTGACTCACATTGCAATCCCTACAACACAGTACGTCGCATACCAGAAGCTGACGTCTCCGCCATCTGCTCCAGTGCTCGGCGGATACCATGGCGCAACCAGCATATACAGACTTGAGAGAATGGCAAAGTAGACGGATACAGTCCAGGCTCTGTAGCCAGATGGAGGGAAGTTGAGTCGCTGGCGCCGGTGTCGAGTGATAAGAATACCTGTTGCCAGGAGGAAGTTGAAGGCATTGGAAGGATAAATGCTCAAGTCGACGACTACCGCACAGGTTAGATATGTGCGAAAGGTTAGGGATTGGGTACATACTGAAGTTGAAGGCATCTCCGGCTGGAGGCGCGATAATCATGATGATTGTGAGTGCCCATTTGATGAAGTAGGGTCCTAGGGGCGTTCCGAAGGGACGAGTCGAGGTCCAGAATTTTGTGAAGGGAAGAACACCTTGTCTGTACCAGACGCATGTTAGAATGACAGTGGCAGAGACGGTGGAAACGACATACCGTCCGCATTCCCGCAACATACGGGACTGACCGATCAACACAGCAAGAAGGTTACCCAGCGCGCTGAGACAGACCAAGACATTCAATGCCCTAGAAGCCCCGGATGTGCCAAAGACCTTTTCGAAGAAGAGACTCGCTGCTGTGACATTCGAGTTGAGGATTTCCTCTTTGCTCGCAGCAGAAAAGTAAGCAATGTTGGCCAGGATGTAGAGCACGGCCGTAAGTAGGAGGGCGACTGGAGCACTCCAACGAAGAGTCTTGACAGGATTCTGTGATACTACGTGTTAGTGCAGTAGCAACAGAAATGAAGAGGGAAGCCTACCTTAACCTCATTGACGACGTTGCAGGCATTCTCGTACCCGGCATACGAAAACATCACTTTGACCAAGGCGTTGGTCGCCCCGTACACAGATGCGCCCGATGTGCCTGAAAAGGCATCGCGGAAGTTGACCAAAGGATCCTTCACTGGGGTATGGCCTCCCAAGACGACGAGGCCAGCGATACCAATACTGCTTCGTCAGTATCGATAGACCAGAGAGATGCGCAGGACACGTACAAGATCAAAGTGACTAGCTTGACGACACCGATAGCATTGGCCACCCAAAGAGACCATTTCGTGTTGAAAGCCAGCACTGGCATGAATCAGTCCAGTCCACAGTATCATCCAAGTGAAACATACTCAGCACAGCCACGGTATATGCCGCCACAGCAACACCTTTCTCTTTCCATGCGGTTGTCTCCGCATCCGCAAGCTTGAACAGATACTCCGCAAGTACTGTATGTAGAGACAACATTAGCTTTGTAGTCTATTGGCTTGATACAAGCATCATACCAACAGCATTGCTGCTACTGAATGAAAACAGCACAGTCTGCATCGCAAACACCGTCGGGAAAAAGTATCTCGGTCTGGGATATGCCTGCTCCAGATATACAACTTCTGAGCCAGACCGACTGGGGAAGTATGACACGAATTCCATATACACGGAGAGCATGCTGGCCGCCATAAAGAAGCCGATAACCCAGTAAAAGAGACTCAGACCGACAGATCCGGCACCCTCGAGGACAGTAGATGCTTGACTCAAGCAGTTAGCATTGCCGTCCTCATCCAAAGCATAATCGGCCTTGAAAATCTTGGTAGAAGAACTCACGAGTCGAAAAAACACCCGTCCCAATCATCTTACTCAGGTTCAAGAATATAACCGTCACCGCACCTACCGAGTATCCCAGGGGTGATTTGGACTCGATCGGAGCACCACTCGCCTCCTGGTACGTGCGCTTGGAAGAGTTGGCGCCCCCATCGACAGTATACTGTAGATTGCCATCGTCAATAACGCTGAAGGTATCGCTTGACTGCTCCGAGGTCACGCCAGCTTCCTCTGCTTTCGTGGTGAAGGGTAAGAAGCCCATTGTGCAGGGGTGCGTGTCGAAAAGTTAAATCCCCGATCTTTCATATTCATGATTTTGAGATACCATACAGCTCTAATATAGCTCTTGCGATGTAGGGGACCTGGAAAGACGAGGTGGTACCTGCACGATGCTCATTGCGGGATGCAATGGCGTGATTCTTGCCGGCGATTATCTTGCATGTTTGGGGTGAAGATGACATGATAAGCTGGATGAGGTGCTTTATTAGCTTCCGAGTTGCGGGGAAAAGGCAAGGGGAGTATTATGTATTCCGGTTGTTGTCGTTGGACAGAAAGAATGTGCCTGGTCGTTGTGTTGAGTGGGTGAGAACTATATCTGCAAGTGTAATTTGGTTGAGATCAAGAAGAACCACGGTAGCAAATTGGCTGACCTTGGTAGTGGCAGGAGAGTAAGTGCATAATGGCAGAGTACAACATCCAGGAAATGTGGAAATATGCTAGTTCAGTAGCTGAAGTCAAGTGTACCGAGGAGAAGATGGAGGGAGGGAGAAGAGAGGAGAGCGATTGCACGATTGCCCGCAGCGATGACAGCATCTGGCCCGGCCCCTGTGCAGCCACTAAATCTGCCCAGGTGTTGCCAGCTCGACCCATCCCTTGTCGGTTGGCATCTGTCAGGTTGCATTAGTCTGATCCGATCGGCAAAATAACAAATGTCTGATGTTCTTTGTCCTGGTTTCTCGTAACGAGCTATGGTGCAGGCACTCGGCTTCTGTTGCTAGTTGAAAGGTAATAGCCACCCATCACTTACCATTATTTGGTGCCATTCAATGCTCCGGAGATAACGCTAGATATGAGTATAATAGTGTAATATTAATTCAAAAGTCTAGAATAATATGACAAGATAAATCAGACAGACCCAGAACAAAGCAACTACCGCTGATACTTGTAGGGAACACTCTATAGTCTAGATATCCATCAGCGAACGCCAGTGCCTCATGTTCTCGATGCGCACGTTGGATAATTGACCAAGCAGTGAGGGTACTTCCCCATGTCTTGCTCCACATCCCGGATACACTCCACCGCTACCGTATACAAAGACCCGCGACGAATGGCATCATACGCGATGCCAACTACGTCGCCCATCGTAGGGAGGGGCGGTGGCGTCGCTTCACCGTCTGGTGTCTTGGCCGAGTCGCTTGGGCGCCAGAGTGTGCCCTCGACTATGAACGGAAGCTTTAAGTTCTGTCGGACATGGGTGTACATCTTCCGCGACGCCTCCCCAAGGTAAGGGGCGGCATCTGGACACTTACAATACGCCTCGTGCGTCTTGCGATATGTCTCAGTTGCCTGGGAGCCTAGACGATCGATCCATGATTGGATAATGGCTGGGGAGGCAGCGCTTTGTGGCAATGCCATAATGAAAATGGGCAGAATAGCGCGAGCAGCTTGGTGAAATCGACTGCAGGAGTCGACGGACTGTAACTGTTCCACCTGCTTGGCAAAGGCGTCCCAGGCTTCCTTGGAGATAGCCAGAAGATTCTTGAAAGGCACTGCGTTGACTTGGAAGCTGTCGCCAAATAACTTCATGAAGTCCTGTTCTAGGGTTCGCATGAACTGGATGTTGATCACACGGAGGTCGAGAGCCTGGCAGGTAGCCACGAGGTGGGCAGCTGCCATTTGTGACAAGACAGCGACTGCGTCTAAAGTGTAGCGACTCGATATCAGGGCAAGCGAGTTCAATGCCTGGTTTCCCATTTCGGCTGTCTGGACGTGGCTCCCAATAGGATTTGCGAGAAATCCTAGCTCTGACTGTAGCGCAGCGATCATGATATCTACACCCTTGAATGTGAACGACAGACTAGGCTCATCGGCAGACAAATTAGGAGGCAAGCCATTGTTCTTGGACGAATCGATCAGCTCTGTGCATTGTGCATAGAGCATACGGCCCATAGATTGAACGGCCTGCCTGGTTTTCTCCATGGCGCTCGTAATTGACTTCGCTTGGAAATTGCCACCGTGTAGAATACGAGCATTATCACCAGCCGTGTCGATGAGAGGGTTGTCCGTTACCGAATTCAGCTCCACGGAGATCTGCTGATATGCCAGTTCCAAGTCTTCTAGAAGTGGACCCATCCATTGTGCAGATGTGCGAATCGAGTACCGATCTTGTCGTAGGCTTCCCTGTCCGAAATCATTTCCGTCATTGAGCAGCTTCGAGTTGGAAAGAAATTTGTACAAATTCTTGGCAGCCGTTGTTTGTCCGGGATGAGGGCGAACTTTTGCAAAGAATGGATCGAAGCTTTCGCTAGTACCGTGTAAAGCTTCGACACTCATCGCTGCAAGAACCTGACTCAGAGCAGCAAGGCCAAGGGTCTCATGCAAAGCCAGCCCACCCACGGCTGCAGAGGTCGCCGTTCCGTTCACGATGGCCAGGCCTTCTTTCGCATCTAGACAGACAAACGGTATTGAACTCTCTTTGAGGGCGACATCAGCCCCTTTCACTTGGCAATCGGAGTTGCGGCCGCGCTTCCAGACGTGAATAGAGGGGTGCCCTTGCATCGCTCCACCGATGTATGATAGTGGACTGAGATCACCAGAGGCCGATATACTGCCTCTCAATGGAACGCGGGGTGTGATATGTTGCTCTATCATCCGGAGCAGCACGTCCAAGACCGACTGCCGGATGCCGGATGATCCAGAGGCAAGGCAGTTCAACCGGATAATCATGGTTGCTCGGGTCCAAGACTCTGGCATGATGGTCGCGGAGATTGGATCGTCCAGGGGGAGGATGTCCTCATTCGGCTTGTTTACAACAACCGGGCTCGACCCATCCAGTTTGACACCAGCCTGGAGCATCTGTAGTAAATTCTCTTGCAGCTTGTTCACGGCATCTGTGGTTGTATCGGCACTACCGCCGAAACCCGTATTGACGCCTGTAGCATGTGAATATACATCGACTATTGCAACGGAAAAGCAAGGGCTAACCGTAGATTAGCTCCCCGTCCGCCAAATGTTTCCTCAACACCGCTTCCGACCGCTGAACTTGCTTGCGGGTGCTTTGTGAAAGCGACACGCGTTTTCCATATCTAGCAGAGAGTTAGCAGCACAACCGCAACTGCCAGATTTCCACAACTCAATTCTGAGCATAATAAGGAATAATGGCCTACCGTGCACCGGCAACGACGGTGGCTAAGTCCAAGGTCTTGCCATCCAGATCGCGCCCAATATCGTTGGAGGACAGGGCATTGTTGAGGGCGGTCCAATGGTGGATAAGCAGAGTATTCATTTTTTATCTCTTTTTTCAGACACTTTGCATATCCGAAGAAAATGTCAGTGGTATTAAGAAGGATATCGAGGATGCGCTGAGTAGATTCTAGAGAGTTGGGCCAACACTTGAATATATAATCTTGAGGGTTACACGTCAGATGGAACACGTCGACTCCATTATTTGAAAGGGGTTGCCATTTCAGTACCTTACCTCAAGGAGCTCCCCACAGACACATTCCAATGCTGTGCGCGTCTGATTCACCGAACAGTTCAGTGATAAGTATAGCCGTAATACAAGGGCGATCCAGCGGAGAAGCTGTGATACACAATCTAGATAGCTGAAAACGTGGAGATATAATCTTCACGGATCGGCCACATATCTCCGGCCCGTTGGAACGAACCGTAAGGAGGTTTTCGGGCGCGCGTGGCAATGTGGTATTGGCTCCATCCCTGCGAGTCAGTCAGGGCCAGTTTGCAGGTGTGCTTGAGACAGTCGAAGTCTGGATGTCCTAGACCTTCTAGCCTATATCTAGCTTTGGGGCGACTTGAACACTTGAGCCTGGCACGGTCCTCGAATCTCGGTAGGCTTGGCTTGAGGCCAAACAACAGCTCGAGCCGATCTAGACTTTGCATTCATGAAAAAGGAAGAATGCTGATCACCAGAAAATCATACGATACTTAGCAGATTCGACAGCCTCAACTAAAACAGTGTTATCCAAGAGGGAACAATGTATGCACGGCGTGACCGAATTGTTCTGGAAGACGAGGGCGGATGACAAGCACTGTGAGACAATCAATCCTTTGGCCACAGAAGCGTAGCAGCCATAGATCAATCCACCATCTGCAGCTCCTCAACGTCATTGATCGAAGGTACCACGAGTGACGCATTACCCCAGTAGAAGAACACATATGGTGAGTAACTGAGCTCTTCATCAACTTCAGCCGAAAGGAAAATAAAGTTACCGAATAGAACCACCTTCCCGTTCCCGTGGAACAGATTATTTACCTGGTAGTACTACTATTACTGTAAATAGCGGATGATCTAGACCTCCAACTTACATCTTGCCACATCCTTACATTCCCCGCTGCCCATCCCTTCAAGTCGCTCCAATCGAACTTCTCAACCAAGTTTCTGCAGTCTAGTAACCCATGCGGTCATGCCTTCATTTTGATAGGTTGCTTGGCTCGCGATGTAGCACATTGTGCAACCCTGCTGTGAACACCCACCCCCCCATGAAGTGCGCGATCAAATATCCTTCATTTTGCATCATTCGGCAGACCATGGAGATCGATCGATTTTTCCTTCAGCGCTGTGATTGTCTGGCAAATCGCGCCTCCTTGCTTGGGCTTCTTTGTGATTGGGCTTACTGCTCTCTGACATAGAACTCTAAATCTGGGGAAAGGAGATGGTGTATGGTGCTAAGTACTAGTATATTTCCCGTGACGATTCGTAGTTCCAAGGGAGGAAACGGTGGAGAGGAATTTATCTCCGAACGAACAGTTGGCCGTCATCACGGGACAAGGACTTGGCTATGGGATGCATATTACATCTACGACACACGATGGTGAGAATCATTCCACTCGAGGTGTTCAAAGTTGAACCTTAGTATTTTCACAGTCATGACCTGTACTGTGGTATCTGCCCTGCAGTCTCAGTGCCGAGTTTAGACGGCATCGCCCGCCAATTATTAATACAACGGATTAGTTTCCCTCCTGCCCCCTTTCTCCCCCAACAAATACGTAGTAATGAAGCATCAAGCCGATGATGATGATGATAGAGTTATGTTTGGACTCCACCGAACGCCTTCTATGACGATGACCAAAACATTCAAGAACCCCAAGGTATATGGTTAAAGAAAGAAGCACGCTATGCAGCAACAGACCAAGAAATAAAGAAGGAAGCGATGCCTGTATCCATGCAATGTGACAAGAGTTGACAAAGGAAATGTTGAACGTAGCTCGACGGGTCATGTACTTTTTGTTCCAAAGACGAAAACAAAAATGGGAGATTGTATGCACGGTGTATGAGACAAAGGAAATTGGATGTGTGTAGATGTGGGGGAATGAGTAAGTAGTCAACGATCGAGATTGAGCACACATGACACAAAAGAAAGTGCACATTAAGATCGTTATCTTTGTAGTTCCTGCTACAAGCCCGGAGCGCTTCAAGGACGGCGTAGCTCCTTAAGCGATGAGAAAAGAATGGGGTGTGCATGTCTCGATCGAGACCTTGATGGGGAGGAGGTGCTATGCGAAGAACAACGCTTAGTCGTTCACCATGTCGTCCAAGGCCATTTTGCGCCGCTTGGCTGGCCTGCTGCCCTCAGTGTCCGCCTCGGTCGTTGGTGGTTCATCGGGGGCAGGTACAAGCGACATGTGCATTGCGTGTCTCTCTGCAGTTGAGCCAGGTCCAAATTGCCGAGGGACGGGCTCCCCATACCCCATGTCAGATGCAGCGTGTCGCATTTGACTGCTAGGGGATAGTGGGTCGATGAAGCCATGCGAGGGCATTTGTTGCCGGTGCTCCTGCTGAAGAAATTCTTCCCGCGTCCGCGGCGACCAAGCTCCTGGGTACGGATCGCTCAGGCGATGCCCTTGCGACGTTGAGGCCGGTGTTCCCATCGTGGGAGGGTAAATGGGCGGAAGTCTTACTGGAGATTCCAAATAGCCTTCCCGCGGATCCCTAGACATTGGAGATTCTCCCATTGGCATCCGATTAGACATCCGGGCGCTTTCTGGATAGGGCGAAATTGGGACAAAGGATTGCTGATACTGGGGCGGCGTGGTAGTAGGGTTCATGCCTTGATGCGTGTAGGATGACAGTGGTCTTCCCATGCCCATAGGCATCCGTTGCCCTCCCAAGGCTGGGTTGTACCCAACAGGCATCGGGACATAACCGGGTGGAGAAGCCGCTGTTATGGACTGTGCAGAGCCAGAAGAAGAAAACCGTCTGTGCCCAACACTGCGCTGCATTATCGACGGGTCTATGGCCTGCGAGTATACGGGAGCGGCCCATCTCTGTGGATGCCCAGCCGACGCTCTCATGGCCATGGCGCCCGTCTGCGCCCCAGGCATTTGAAGATCTGTCATGGGGCGAATCTCACGGGAAGATGTAGCTCTGTGTAGGGTGCGTCGTGATTGGGGGCCGTGCTGCTCTCCTTGTGTCGCTCGGTTGTCCATATGAGCTGCATAGGTTCTAAGCGATGCTTCTTCCGCCTTCAATGGCGGCCTTCCTCGCTTCTTGTGCGTAACATCAACACAGGTGGCCTGTTCATGTCAGTAATAGTTCATAATAGCAGTGCAAAATGAAGTTTCTGCCTTTTCTTGGGGGTAGTCAGAGACCAGATGCCACCCCCTTCACGTTCAGATAGGCTAGCGACCAAAGAAATATGATGATACTCACTTCTTTCCCTGACAGAACGCATCTTCGACATGGCCGCGCCGGATCGCACCCTAGGTGCTTCTTTTTACAGTTAACGCATGCTGATGCAACATGAGCTTTGGTGCGTCGGGTGGGCTTTTGCGGCAAAGCCCGCGCCGTTGTACCGGGAGGTGAAGTTCCAAAGGAAGGTTGCGCATAAGCGGTAGCGGTAGCTTGCGGGATGCCTTGGCCTACCAGCGAGGGTGGCAGTCGCGATGAGGCGAAGGCATCGCCCACGGGAAAGGGTTGTCGCAGCACTTCGTCGGCTGAGGCCGGGGCCACACGTTGGGTCACAGACTCGTGAGTGGTAACGGCGCCAGCAGATCCTGGAGGCAGGACCGGTCCTGACAGCCCCGCGGATACAGAGGTTGCAGCGGTCACCGTTGTCGCGGCTTGGGGCAGCTCTGGATGTCCGGGGCGCCTGACGGGTCCAGAAGTGTCCAGCGGGTCGTCTGCTGGAACCGAACCGGACATAGAGCGAGGGAGAGGCAGATCCCGCGGGGGATATCGACGAGCATTTGTCGACCGAGGCAAATTCAACGACAGCCGCTCCGGGCCCGGATCAAACCTGGGGTGTCCAAACTCTGTAGCGATGAAGGAAGAAGGAGGAAGGACTAATGATTGCATCTGGTAAACCTTGGTCCCGTTGACAATGGAATCACTGAGGGGAGAATAGGTTCACAAGAATGGAAGGCGATCTGGTTCGGATCTTAAAGTAGGCAACATATCTGGTCTTCAGGGCCCTATTTGATTCTTCAGTTCGTATAGTACTGTCCTTGGGTTGCGGTGTGTTGTTCAGTTGCCAGTCATCATTGAAACCTCACGCTTGCAGGCCGGGAGGAGCACAGGGAGCTTATAATCAGTCAGTTAAGGATCACTATTGGAGGAGTCAGAAACTAGGATGCGTCGATCAGCAGAGGGAAGCCAGATCGTGACAGCAGTTTTCCATAGCTTCGATGGTCCCCATCCTGGGATGATTTATTGCAGCATGGTGGGCGATCACTGGGGCCAGGGAAAATGCACGGAATGGTCATGGGCGAAAAAGCAATAATTCAGGAAAGCAAAAAGGCAGCAGCCAGACAAGAAGCAGCAGCAGCAGCAGAACCAAGTTAGATGCAAATAAATTACACCACTTCAGGCGTACCTTACCTTTCAGTACACCGATGAGCGTGTAGGGCTTAATTCTTTTTTTGACTTTGTTTTATTTTCTATATTCTATTTTCTGAATTTCGCACTTTTTATGAATTTCTTTTTTATTCCTTTCTTATTTATTATTTATTCCCTCCCTTTTTTTTTTTCTCTTTGGGGAATTGCTCATTTTTCCTGTTCATGTTTTCTAGTGGATTTTTCTTTTCCTTCTTTATTAATTTCTTCTTCACTTATTTCGTATTATTTTGTTTTCCTTTTGTTGTTACTAGTATAATATTTATTTTGAAAAATCAACTTGAGAGGTAAGAAGTATGAACTGGCCCAACTCTCCCGAACAACCAGAACTGCGGGAACGGTGAACTATACCGGAAAGTGAGGCGTAAAATCCCGATGGGAACTCACAGTCTGTTACCAACACACAGAGGGAGAGATGTCAGAAATTGAATATATAAATTAAGATAAAATAAAAGGTTCAAATAAAAAAAAAAGACGGGTCAAAGTAAAATACCACAGAATGGGGGGAGGAAATCAAATGATCAGATTGGAAAGGGGAATCATTCACTAATAGGAGGTTTTTGTTAGGACCCGACGCCCCAGAAGTACAAGTTGTCAACGGCCAAAAGGCAGTTGGCGATTCCAAGGGGAACAGAGCGAAGGAACCCGGCTGGGCGGTCTAGTTCCCCCGAGACGTGGGCCTCATCGAAGAAAGGCATGAATGGGAAAAATAAAATAAAATAAAATATTAATGATGGAGAAAATGTGATCAGAGATTAGTGGCCCCCTCTCCTTCTGCGTCATTGCCCGCAGCTTGTGACAAGGCTTATACCTCGACATACAAAGTAAGTAAATCACCCTGAAAGGGAGAGAGCGAGAAAGAAAGAAGGAGAAAGCCTTGTTTGCTTGGTCGACCCGGCCGTAGTGGGAAATCAGAAGTGGGTAACTGGTGGCCAGTGCAACCCCGACTAGCAGCCGATAGACCTGATCTCCATCATGGTAGTAGATCTTAAATGGGGTAAATGTATCTTTGGCTCCGTCGAGTCTGGAAATATGTGAGTATGGAGATTAGTGAGGTTCGGAGAAACGAGTGATATCAATGCTCCGGAAGGAAGAGGGGATGGGGGGTTCCGACTTGAATGGGTTCCCACCAAAGCGATGATGAAGGACTGAATGACTGAATGACTTTCTGCTTCTTCAACTGTCCTGTGCTTGTTAATATTCCGCTGGGAGGACCTTCTTCCCTTTTTTTTATTCTTATTTTCTTTTTACCTTTCTTTCCCCCCTGATTATCCTAGTCGTACCATCATCATTGGTGATCCTTTTCTTACTGTAGACCACCTCTTCCTCCCTGTTCGCTGGGAAGGAGTTCCCGCCGAGAAACTGGAGAGTTCGCTCGTCCTGTCCGGCCTGCTGGATCAGAAGCAGTGGCTTGCATAAGATGGGCCATTGGGACTGGATGCCGCTGTCAGTGACACCCACCTAAAAGGGTAAAACAAAACCCAGTTGGGGAGAAGGAGGAGGAGAAAAAGGAAGAGGGGAACTGGAACTGGCACTGGGATTGGGACCAACACCGGCCAGTAAGAGGGAGATCGACTCATTTCTTTTTCCTCATTTTTCCTACCCTTTCTCTTTGCGGTTCTTAAATCATCATAATATCCCCCTTTGTTTATCTAATTATTCCATTTGATCCATTTTATCTTCGTGTTATTTATTTATTTATTTATATTTCATATATCTATATATTTCTTATTCACAATTTACTCTTATTTGTATTTTACTTCTAGTCCTGATTTCCTGATCGTTCAGTGCCAATCAGTGAGCCCGGAAGCAAGGCGAAGGGGAGGGAGCCACGGATCGACATGGACGCCCGCCCGCGGCGCCCATTGCCAATAGTCCGCTCGGTAGAATTGGGAGGGGAGGGAAAAGGACATTCCGTCCCCAGTTTGACACGCGCTACCGAATAAAGACGGAGAAGGAATAACTGCGCTGCCAGGATTTAAAGCTCGTCGACCGATTGCATTGGGCGGGTAAACCCAAAAGGTGACGGTGTGTGTATTCCTTGTGTACCCATCCCACCCTCCCCCCGTGATTCAGGATAAGACTAAGGAGAATGATGTCCTGATTCTGCTAGTCTGGTGAGAATGCCTACGTCCTAGACTTTTCAAACCGTTTGGTTTGATGGGGTGGTTATTACGCTACCTAGTTAGTAATAGTAGTAGTAGGTTTGATTCTTTTCTTTTGCTGGGGAGGGGGGCGGCCATCTTCCTTCTCCCCTTCCCTCTCCTTCGAAGAAGCAAGACCAAAGTTCAAGCGTCGCTGTGTGTTTAGATCCCAACTGAAAATTGAAGTATGGACTGGGTTTAAGGAGAGAAAAGAACGTGGTCATCTCGGAAGCTCTCCAGTGATGTTTCTCACTTTGCCTGCTTTCTTTTCCCCCACCAACTCCTCTTTGCAACTCTGCTACTAGTATTGTCCTTCCCCTCATACTTACTGTATTTTCGGGATGCGCGTCTCATAATTGGGGGCCATTACTCACCAATAATATTGGTTTATCTGGTTATTCGCCTGCTTACGTCGCTCTCTTCCCCTCTTGAGATCAAGGTTGCTATATACTCCGGCCAGGCGTGTGCCGGAAATCGCGCTTCAAGGCAACCCCATTCTTCCCAGAGCCAACAGGACACCGATAAAATAGCCGCACTGCAGCCTGCACTGGAGTCTAGTCTCGGTCATCGGACGCCATGTTTCTTTTGCTAGGGCTCGAATACGCCTGCGAGGTGCATAATTGATATCAAATCGACGTGTTGTCACTCACATGGCTGGCGGTTCGCGTGCCGTGCAAGGGATGAAGAACGCTATGAAGACATGACCAATGTAATGCGTCGCGAGGCCTCTGAGGGAGCCTCCTTGGGGGTTTACAAGCTCCTTAATCGGGGTTGGACAGTAGGATTGTGCTACATATTGGGGCTTCAATGAATAAACGCCAGCTCAATAGCCCGAACCACTGGACTGAGAGCCCGCAATTCTCCGTGTGGTTTCTGCAATAGGTTATGCTGGGTCCCACCCACGCAGCGTTAATACGGAGTGGATAAACGGGTGTGTGTGTGTGTGCCAGTTCAGGAATGTATGTGCCACATTATGCCAGCGCCGAACTGGATGGATTCGGCCGGTCGGCTCTTTGGGCCCTGCAGGCCAAAGCCCGGCACACCTATGGTTGATCATGATTCAGTTCCAACATAAGAATTGGATAAGCGTGATAAACACCGGCATTGGTGGCTGAGAAGTAGATAGTCCGCATTGGGATGCAAGAATGCTCTAACCGCTCTTGCCATCAGGCTGTCACTTCAAGCATACTGAAGCGCCGAAGCGTCGGTCTAGACTGCATGATGGTGAGAAGCACGAACAGGGGGAGGCAGATCCCACACAATGTCCAGCCACAATGTCGAGCTCTCACCAACGCGTCCTTATTGTCCGGGACATGCGAACAAACCACGGTGATGCTTGCTTCCAAACAAGATGTGGCTGCAGCAACAGCGCCCTGGCCAGTGGAACGACCGTGTACCTCAATGGTTCAATCACCTGAGCGCCGGAAATTTTGCAGGGGGGGTGGGCGCGCCCCAGTGTCGGTGATGGGCAGAAAAGTTCAATGGCCCCCTCGGATGATCTGACCCTTGGATGAACGGAAAGATCCACCTGGATTCGCCGAGCACAGAACACGGAACCAAGGCGCGTGGGCGAAGCAAGAGGAACCACTTTGGATGGCTTCTCGACAACGGTTTTTCCCATGGCATATGCCATGGAGCGTTAGCAGACCGGTGTATCACCTACAATGGGATTTTCATTTGCTTTTCCTTTTTCTTTCCCTTCTCTTGTGTTGTTGCCGCCCCCTTTTCTTCAGGTCTAATTGATGCAATTACTCCTTTGGGTTGGCCTGAACTGACCCAGCGGGAATGTTATCTGGAGTCCTACTTAATACCGAGTCACGATACAATTTTGGGGCCGGTCCACGGGAGCCACTGCGGGGAATTTCTCAGGTTAACGTTTTGGGCTACCATATGACAGCACCGTCCTTAGCCCCTCCCAAGCTCCATCATGGATCAATCCGAGCTCGGAGACAAAAATTGGGATTGGAAATCATTTCAGATGAGAGATGATCCCCTACAACATCCTCCCTCCTCAGCAAAGGACATAGCACAGACGCACTGATCGGGGCGGCTATGGCAGTTGGTTGGCAGTGATGGCACATACTTTTTTAGTATGCGGGATGCCCGCAAGGGATTTGATTGTACAGCCTAACCATCCTAATCCACTGGACTTACGCGCTAGGACAGACGGACGGTTCGGTTCTGGCTGTTTCTCGCTGGAAGGGAAGCTGCCAGCACGATGGATCTGCCCATTAGGGGCCGACGACTGCCAATAGTTCAAGCGACCGCGTCCCCCCCCCCACCCCCCATCCTTAGACTCAATGGGGTAAGGGGCAAAGCCATGAAGGATGATGCACCATGCAGGCTGCAGGCTGGACGCGTACGGAGAGATAGCTTAGTCTGCCACTATAATCACGATCCCCGCGTTCCCCGGGAGAGGTAATTCTGGTGAAGCCTCGAGCTTTCACCTCACCCATCCATACGAAATTACGATGGGAGAGTCTCCACGCAATGGGATTGTTCCAATTGCAAGTCAACTAAAATGTTTAGCTGCAAACTGCGAAGGAAGCAGATCTGCCATTTCCCCATTGGGGCTTAGCTTGGCCGGGGCCACACCAACCCGATTGGGAAACACGCAGTGCCTGACGAGGCAACGATTGGCGCCCATTATTTGTCATCTGCTCGAGGCTCAAACAGACTATCGCTCGGACTACTGACGCCGCACCGATACTAACTCGGCTCTAATGATAGCTAGATACTTATCACGCCAGCTATCGATCTATCTATATCGGTGCTGGAGCTGAGCGGGTGTTGGTGCTGGACCTGTATCCGATTGCACTGCTCATTTGCTGGGGGCATTCGGCTGAGAATGCCTTCTATTCTAGAGTCACCCACTTCGATGAGACCGCCTGACTCGTGACGGATCAGCTTCAAAAACATCAACGGGCGGAATACACAGTAACCAAAGACTAGAGCGGAGAAGGAAAGCCGAGAAGCTCAGACACGGAAAAGCTAATCCAAAAATCACCGGTGTTGACCATCGCTTCATATGGCGATCAGGCGGGTTGCACATCCGACCTCACACAATAACTGCTAGTACGTGTCCGGGCTACACAAGGATATAATTTAATTTTCCGAGAAGGGTCTTCCCGAGAGGGGCCCTAGCCATGCTTGGTTTGCGCAGAGCGACACGAGGGGCAATGATCACAGCAGACGCCTAGAGTTGTCGTCTGCAACGCCTCGGATATAACTGCTTCTTGCCAACCCGACCAGAGTCATGGGACATCGTGATACCTATCTACTCTGTTCTGTTCCTTTGAAAGGGGCTACGTTATACGCTTTGAATTTAATTCGATCTCCGTCTAGGCGCGCGGGTATGGGTAACAGCACAGCAGTGTTGCGTGATAGTTCAATCTGAATACCGGTATCACTGTGAAAAGTCCTCAGATCACGGCGATCACTTATTCTTCCCTTCAAGCAGCTTGCAGGTAGTATAATATACGACCAAAGTCAAGAATTAAGACAAACGGTAAGGGGGAATTGCCACACTGCCAACGATAACAACGTGCATTAAACAACTGACGCAAGATCTAGTCGAACCAGGCTATTCGATTTGCCATTCGATGGACACTCCCGCTTCACCGACGTATTGGCCGTCGGGGGTGCGTACTTCGTACGTATTGACGGCGCTTTGAGCGGACCGAGTGAAAGAGCCACCGTAACGCGGATTGCAGCGACGGAGAAGTCGTGTCCTTCTTTTGGTCCCGGCTTACGATGCTTCGGAGAAAAGAACCAATCAGTCTAGCCTCGTTGCTGGCACGATGGGTTGCGTGATCTCAAATATGCCAACGGGTTAAGTCCTCCCAACGATATCGACGTGGCGAGTATAGATGCATCTTGGTCGCGGCTGTACATGGTATCTCATGCGCTCAGTGTGGCTGCTGTGCAACCTGCTGTCGCTACGCGCCCCGTGACAGCCCCAGTGAAGGCAAATACTTCTGCGTATGAAGTACGCCAGCTAAGAGCGGCAACTCACAATCGCCGACTGTGATCTGGACGGACGTGATGGTCTGCGCGAGTCAGCAGTTGCGTGGGAAAACTTTGACAATCTTGCTGGAGCGATACATGGTGACCGCGTTGACTTCAGCCTTGGCGGTGGCACCCACCCAGTCTACCGGGAGGGCCAGAATTTGCGAGCGAGATGGCTGCATGACGGACGTTGAGCCCGGCAGCCTGTGCTGCATTACGGAGTGACCAGTCATCTGCATGGGGCGTTGATGTTGAGCACGTCCGATAATGGCAAATTCAGCAGAGTGTCGGTGAGGATATGACCGGTATTGTTATGAGTTACCCAGTCTGGCTTCAAAGTGTCTCCTCTCTTTGAGCTTGGGCATCCCGCTTCCTAAACGCTAATTCAGCTTTTTCTCCTTTGGGGCAGTCAAAGCGATCTCTTATCGGAACGGTCCGTGAAGAGCGCCATTGCTCGCTCCACCAGCGATGGAAGGGGCAGTCAATTATTGAAAACGGAGGTAATCCATGGCATGTCTGCATATCAGCGACGGCACCTGAAAGCTCCATATCTCCATGGCCCGTGCTCTGCTACGGGGTGAATCCTCCGTCAATTTATGAGTAGCAGTACAGTAGATCATCAGATGGCCAATTATCATGGTTGTTCTTATAGCGGCCTGATATGAGGCTCAGAGATACGGCCCATTGCAATTGCAACTGGAACTGCACTGATACTTGGACCAGCTGTAGTACTTAATACAACAAGAGGCAATCTGTCAACGGACATGCCACTATAGAAAAATCATCCAACTCAGACTGAAGACCATTCGTCCAATTAAGTGGTCTCCTTCTACAGTAGTCTGCTCACGCACTGAACACCAACTAATCTAGTAATGCGATTGACCTCGTCTCAACGAAGTGATAGATCTCAATCGTGAGCTGTGCTAATCGACAGTGACCCAAGTTTGTATAATGCCAGTAGTATTTTGCCACAGTACTCAACGAGGCTGGTAGATGATCATCAATTGCTCTCTGGAAGACACATCAATTACTGTTATAAAATTGAAGCAATTCGTCCAGCTACGACCGAATGCTGTATCTGACTATGATAACCAAGAGCTGCGTATACCCCCTATCAGGGATTTCCAAATTTCAGCTTGCCTTTTAATGGACCTTTTTGGTTTACTTTGGTTTATGTTCTGTTGAGCTTTTCTGTGGTTGATATATATATGATATTAGGTGTTCAAGTCTTGACTAGGTTCACTTAGTCAAGCATAGCTGGACATTTTTATTTTTACTGAATAGGAGCTATGGGGTATTACCTGTGTAGATATCAACTCATTGGTCATGTAGAAAAAAAATTGCCTTCATATGTCCCCAAAGTACTTGATTAACTTGTCGCATAGGATACCTGCTATAGTTACAAGAGAATGCCATAATAGACTGAATCGAGTTACTACTTGACAATAGACCCTATTTTCATCCACAACCCGACTCCCCACATTATAGAATAGATATACTCTTATACCCAAATACTATCAACATTGTATACTATGATCCCCCCAAAACAACCCTAATCTCCTCCTCCCCCCTCCCCACCCTCCAATAATTACTACACCTCACCACCTCCTCCACACACCCTTCCACAGCCCACCCCCACTTCCTCAAAAACCCCGGCGTCACCTCCCAACTCTCCTTACAATGCGGCTCTCCCCAAACAATCCACCCGTTCCTATTATTCCCCGTAACCTCATCATCACCATCCCCCTCCACCTCAACCACCACCCTCCCCTCAATTTCCCCCTCCACACCCTCCCCACTCCTCAACACCCACTCCTGCATAACATACGCCCCCACCAAATCCCTCACAAACTCGCCATGATCAAAGCACGCTTCCCACTTGATCAGATTCTCGCGCATACGCGGAAACGGCAGGAGATCTATCCACGAGCAGTGGATGAGATTCCGCTGGGAGGGCGTGGGGAAGAGGGATGCGGGGATAGGGGATGGGTAGGAGTTGGGGATGGTTGTGGCGTAGATGGGGAAGATGAGGCCTTCGTGGATGAGGTGGATGGATGACTGGGGGGTTGGGCCGGGAATGAGGGCTGTGGAGAGCTCGTAGAGGAGGAGTTTGTTGGTGTATAGGGCGCGGAAGACGTTGTGGGTTATTAGGTGGAGGAGGTGGTCTGAGGATATATTTGGAGTGGAGGAGGTGGGTAGGGAGGGGGGTGAGGATGATGAGGAGGATGATGATGATGGGGCTGGGGAGGGCTCAGGGTCTGTTTGTGATTGTGTTTGAGAGAGGTTCTGTGCTTGAGAAAGGATGTGTGAGTAGTTATTGGTTGGTGAGGTTGATGATGGTGTCTCGTATTCTGAGACTCGCCAGCGGTGGACGCTGTATGGACGAGTGGTTTGGCCTTTACCCTGCTCATTCTTGAGGCGGAGACCTAGATGGTAATATTAGCATGGTAGTCGGTGTTTGGCTTTCAGATGACTCACGACGTGCTCGCTGGTTTGCTCGGTTTTGGAGCTTCTTCCGCTGCCGTTTCTCGTCTGCGGGAGTAGATGACGGCATCGTTGAGTGAGATAGTGGAGAGATTTCTCAGCTGGTGAGGGATAATCAGTATCCAAGAAGCCTGTAGATAAATTCGTATCTTCTATCTTCGTATATATCACGAACAGACTAGATCTAAAACGGCGAAAATGGTCAGCCATGAAGTCGCAGGAAGATGAAGCCAGGTGATGACCCCGTCGGACTAACCCGAATAGGCAATAATGTCAGCCATTACGTCTGCCTGATTATTGCAAGCTTCTCTTTCTATATCGTTGTCAATGTGCAGGAAAGAGTATAAATATGCTGTTGATTTCGCTCAAAATGAAGCATCATCATCAAGCATCAATTACACTCTCATCTTATATTCTCATCAAACATGTCTTACACTGCCGTCCACGCCAACCCCCAGGGCCCGGGTGATGCCCGACCCACAGCCCTCCAAATCGTCCAAGACAGCAACATGCAAAACCAACTCAAAGGCAAAGTCGCCGTCGTGACGGGCGTCTCCTCTGGCCTGGGGGTCGAGACTGTCCGCGCCCTCGCCGCCACCGGCGCAACGCTGTACCTAACAGCCCGCGACCTGAGCAAAGCGCGCACAGCCCTAGGCGACATCTTCCAGCCAGAGACAATGGAGCTGGTACAAATGGATCAAGCCTCTCTTTCCAGCGTGCGATGGGCTGCAGAGTTCATTTTGTCCAAGACAACCAAAGTGAACATCCTCATCGGCAACGCGGGGATCATGGCCGTGCCGGACCTCCAGCTCACAGAGGACGGGTACGAAGTGCAGTTCGCGACGAACCACCTCGCCCACTTCCTTCTGTTTAATCTGCTCAAGTCGGCCCTGTTAGCGGGAAGTAGTCCTGAATTTCATTCAAGGGTGGTTCTGGTGTCGAGTTCAGGACATCGCGTGCATGGGATTAATGAGCCGGATAATTATCAATTCCAGAAGGGCGGGTATCATCCCTTGGTTGCGTATGGGCAGTCCAAGACGGCGAATATCTATATGGCAAGTGAGATTGAGCGGCGGTATGGAGGACAGGGGCTGCATGGGCTGAGCTTGCATCCTGGGATTATTGCCACCGGGTTGGGGAGGTATCTGTCCGAGGAACAGATTCAGGCGCTGTTGAGTGATGAGACGGTGGGTAGGGTTGCTAAGAGTACGGAGCAGGGTGCGGCCACTACATTGTGGGCTGCTGTGGGAAGAGAATGGGAGGGTAAGGGAGGGAAGTATCTGGCTGATTGTGCCCTTGCAGAGGATAAAGAGTATGATGGGCATGTTGGTAGGACGATCGTGAGTTATACATATTGGCCGGAGGGAGAGGAGCGGTTGTGGAGAGATTCGTTGGAGATGGTGGGCTTACGGGAGGATTAGCTGCTTGCAGTAGTTGGGTGTAGTTTATTTTGGAGTAATCATGTTGCCATTCCAGTTGATGATAATTAATAGTTGGTATTTCAATCAAACATTCCACTCTGTTTATTGTTTATCCTTGTGATCGACAATATCTATCTACTAGACAAGATAATCATCTGATAGTCTCCCGACAAGCAAGGAACGGCCCCCAAATGCAGTCAGCTCACCCTCGCTCTAATCCACTTAAACATACGCTAACCATCCTTCGACAATCAGGCTACAGCCTCATGTCAGCTTCAGCTCATGTATAAAGCTGCTCTGTCTCGTGCTCTTAATTTTTCCTTCACACATCCCAACTGAATCTGACACTGACACTCACACTGACACCAAATCTCACCATGACAAATCTGAAGCCCATTACCGTCTGGCTCACCCGTATGTTCTAGTTCACCAACCTATATTTTATACTACTTCACCACACTACCCTTCTTTACTAACAACTGTTTTCTTATACTGTATAGCTTCCGGTCCCAATCCATGGAAGGTCAGTCCCCACCCACTCACCCACCACACGTACCCTTTACTAACAACAAATCAGGTCATCGTCATCCTCGAAGAACTCAACATCCCCTACAAAATCAACTCCTTCGGATTCGAAGACGTCAAGAAACCCCCATTCATTAGCATTAATCCCAATGGCCGTGTACCGGGTACGTCCATCCCCTCACTACCCCACACCTATACCTCCCCTCTTTCACCACCAACAAACAAAAGCATGATACTTCTCCAACCAACAACGCTAAATACGATAAAACAGCAATCCAAGACCCCAACACCCCCAACCCCACCAACCCCAACCACCCTTTCACCCTCTGGGAATCCGGCGCCATAATCCAATACCTAATCGACCTCTACGACCCGACCCATATCCTCTCCTACCCACCAAGTACCCCTGAGAAACATCTCCTAAACCAATACCTCCAGTTTCAAATGAGTGGACAAGGGCCGTATTACGGTCAATGCGGATGGTGCGTCCCTCCCAATACCCCCCCCCTCCCCCTTTCCGACCAAATCCATATACTGATAAGTGACAGGTTCTCCGTCCTCTCCCCCCAAAAGCTCCCCGTCGCAATAACCCGCTACCAGGCCGAAGTGCACCGGATCCTGTCGGTCCTGAACACCATCCTCGAGGGGAGAACGTGGCTAGTAGGCGAGAAATGCACGTACGCTGACTTGGCCTTTTTACCGTGGAATTGTCAGTTGGAGATGTTGATTCCTAAGGATTCTGAGGATGAAGGGGGTATTCTGGACCCGTATCCGTGGGTCAAGGCGTGGCACGAAAGGATGGAGGGGAGGGAGTCGTGGAAGAGGGCGATGGTGCTGCGGGAGAAGTTGACGAGGGAGCAGGGGCTCGGGAGGAATGGGATGCCTGAGGGGGTGAGTGATATTGGGGAGTATGAGGAGTTTATTAGACGGAAGGAGGAGGAGGGAGGGGAGAGGATCGATGAGGAAGAGGGTGTGTTGGGGTGTGTTGGGGTTCGGAGTATGAGTGGATATCAAAAGAGTCAAGGGAAACAGGGAGAGAAAGATGGAGAGGAAGAGGAGAGGTGGGATGAGCAGACAGGGGTACTGGGGTGTGTTGGGTTTAGGAGTATAGGGGAAAATCAGGAGAAAGAAGCAAGACAGGAAGACGGAAAGGAAAAGGAAGAGGAGAGATGGGATGAGGATACGGGAGTGTTGGGGTGCATTGGGGTGGGGAACCTGGGAGGATATCGTGAGAAGCAACAGGGGCAGGGAGAGAGAAGAGAACAGGAACAGGAGGACAGATGGGATGAGGATACAGGAGTGTTGGGGTGTTCTAAGATCGGGCACTAAGTCTACATTTATCACCATAGTTAGTTATGCTGGTATGATTAATCACTTTTATCTAACATTGGTATCTACAGATGCAAAACCTAGTCCACAAGCCACGAGCCATAAGTCGCCTACTTCTTCCTCGACGGTCGAGCATTCTTCTCGCGTCTCTTCTGCTTCAAATTCCTGGCTAACCGAATATCATCCGTACCCTTCAGCTCACTCTTACCGCCCGCCGCGGCTCCTCCGAACTTACCCAACTGGCGCTCCTTGGCCGCCTCATTCTTCTTCTTCATCTTATCATAATCTCCGCGGAGCGGATCAGCCCGCTTCGGCGCCTGCTCCTTGTTATGCTTGAAGCGTCTACCACCGCGGTAGTGGTTCAGGTCCGCCCCCAGACCCGGTGTCTCGGCCTCACCCACACGCGGCAGACGAGTCAGACGCTTGCCCTTCTTCCAGGCGTCGAAGCGTCCACTGCGGAAGCTGGCGGCGATCTTGGCACCACTCTCACCACGCACCAGACGAGTACCCTTCGATCCGTCCTCGTCGTTCTGTCGCGACACGTACTTCTTGTGACGCTTGTCCCAGCGCATCATGGTGCGAGGCTCGCCGAACCCGCGGCTGCCTTCATCGCCGAGCAGATCCATGGCTGCGTCGCGGGATGCCTGTGCGAAGTTGGCGTTGGTGCCGGAGTGCACACCGTACGCGCGGTCTTCGGCCATGTTGGTGTTGTTGGGGGTGTAGGACATGAAGTATTCGGGGTTCTGGAAGGAGGTGGCACTGGCTTCTTTCTTGGCCTTCTTATTGCTGGGCTGGTTGTAGGAGGAGAAGGTAACTTCGAGGTCGGATTCCGAGGCAAGTGACATGTTGTCGGCGGCGCCTTCGCCGGCTTCGTCTTCGTCGGAGAAGGCACCATCTTCGGCGTCGTCGGCGTCAGCGTCTCCGGACTTGGTGGGGACGTCGTCGTCGACGAATTCCGATTTCGCTTCCTGGGCGCGCTTCTTCTTCGAGTCGAGCGTGGTTCGGACGCGCTTGATTGTCGTGAGCGCCTCCTCGTTCTCGGGCTTGCCGCTGCGGCGGTTGTTCACTTCGAAGATAGTCTCATTCGGCCGGTAGCCCCCGATGCGGGCCAGCATCTTCTCGCGCTCGGCTTCGAGCTGACTGGTCTCGTCGTTGAACAGAGGGTGCAGGGCCGTCCAATTGTCGGACGAAACGACCTCTTTCGAGCGCTTGGCACTCTCCAGAGATGCGGCGTTACGCGTGCGCAAGTAGAGCTTTTCACCCTTGCTGGCGACGGAACGCTGCGCGGCGATATCTACCGTATCGTCCAAGACCTTGTTCACCCACTCGCAGCTCTGAGACAGGCCGTCGCGGGGGAAGCCTCCGACGACCACATCCTCGGCGAAGTTGACTTGGTCGCCATGCTCCCGGCCGAGGACCAGTCGCCGGCCGAGGAACAGCTGCAGATCGAGCAGATAGGGGGCATCGGAATCGCGGACCAGACTGTAACTCCAACCGGTGCGGCCAGCACGCGCGGTACGACCGACACGGTGGACGAAGATTTTGGCTTGGGAGGGAAAGTCGTAGTTGATGACATTGGCCAGAATGGGAATATCGATACCTCTCGCTGCGACGTCAGTGACGACAAGGATGTTCGAAATGCCGGTACGGAAGTTGTGAACTTGGATTTTACGAGCCGTCTGGTCGAGGGAACCGTAAGCGTAGGATGTCGCAAACCCGGCTTCGTTGAGCAGAGAGTACAAGTAGTCGACGTGGTGCTTGGTAGCGGCGAAAATGATCGTCGAATGCTTCGTGGGCGACTCCTTAAAGTTGATTGCTTTGTCGTCCGATCGCTTCCGCTTCTTCGAGAACTTCGAGCTCTTTCCACTGGCGTTCTCTTCCTTCATGCGCTGCGCGGCCTCCGTCGGACCCGTAGGCATCTTAATCACGTTGTGGAGGATATACATCAGCGCGCCCTCCTTATCTCCAGACTTGACAGAGAAGAACGCATTCTGCAGATCCGGCGAGATCTTGCTCTCAGTATCCAAACGAACAAGCGTAGGCTCCTGCAGACCAGCGCGCGCGAATTCCACCAGGGATTTGGGCAGGGTAGCCGAGAAAAGCAGGGTCTGACGAGTAGACGGCAAGCCGTGAAGAATTTCGGTCAGCTGAGCAGCGAAACCCATTTCGAACAGGCGATCGGCCTCATCGAAAACAACATAACGGATACTCGACAAATCGAGGTTCATTTCGACCTTCAAGTGCAGGAACCGACCGGGCGTCGCAATCACAATATCGGGGTTACCAGCCATCATCGAGAACTGTTCCTCCAGACTATCACCACCAACCAACAACACCGCCTTGAGATCCGTCCCCTTACCCAGCTCCTTCACGACCTTCAAAGTCTGCAGCGCCAACTCACGCGACGGCGACAAGATCAGCCCACGGGCTCCAACCTGGGTGCTATGGCTCTTCAACTTCTGAATCATGGGAATGACGAACGCAGCGGTCTTTCCGGAACCCGTGCGCGCCATGCCCACGACATCCTGATCCTCCATAATCACTGGGATCGTCTTGCGCTGAATAGGCGTCGGCACCGAGAAACCCTTCCTCGTGATGGCCTTCAACAAGTTCGCATTCAGTCCCATGGCCTGAAAACCACCACCCTTCTTCACCGTGCGACCCTTCAAATTCGACGCCTTTCGGTTTGCAGACGCCTGCGTCTCCGCGATAAACGCCTCGTCATCTTCGTCGTCGTCATCGCCGCCGCCGTTCAGAAAATCGAGCTGCTGGGGAGCCGCCGCCTTCGGTTGTCGCTTGGCTTGCTTCGCGGGGGCCTCGTTGTCGGAGTCGCTGTCATTTTGAAACAGCGCATTGGTGATGTCGAATTCATTCTCCGACATGGCCGGAGAAGCGGCACGACCAGGCATTTTGAAGTAGTGGTCCGGTCAGCCTGGTTGAAGTAATGGTACCTATCGTTGAATATGCACTTATCGGCGAGACTTTTTTTGAGAATTCCGCCGGGCGGTGAGGATTGTCGCATCAACGTTGTGCCGGAGCAAACAGGACAATAGAGGCAAACAGGGCAAACAGATATCCTCCCCGCGACGCGTCGGACACGTCCCGATGCGGTAAAATGCATTGCTTCAGTGAATCAATCTTCACTTGATATACCCCAGGTAAATTCATTCACTCACCATTTCCGAATCACAAATATACACCATGGGTGAGTATATTCTGTTCGCACTCTACCGCATAACCCCTCTATCGTATTCCCGTTCCTTGTACCCCACCCTCTACACCATACTCACCTCACGCGTCCACGCATCCCCAACTAACCACCCCTCCAGACGGCGGCTACAACAACTACAGCAGCACCTACAGCGGCGGTGGTGGCGGCGGCGGCGGCTTCATGCCGGGCGAGATGAACAACAGCCCATCCGGAGGAAAGGTACACTCACCAACCCCTCACCCCATCCCATCTATCCCATTCCCCCTCACTAACAAGAATTTAATCATAAAACAGTCCGACTACACCAACTCCACCCTCCGCCCCATAACCATCAAACAAGCTCTGGACGCAGTGCAGCCCTACCCGGAAGCGCCCTACCAAATCGACTCCGCCGAAATCTCCAGCATCTGCTTCATCGGACAAGTACGCAACATCAGCTCGCAAAGCACAAACGTCACATACAAGATCGACGACGGCACGGGCGAGATCGAAGCCAAGCAATGGATCGACTCCATGACGGCCGACTCCATGGACACGGACGACATCAACAATACTAAGGCCGCCACCGGCAGGAGAGACGGTAAAGTAGAGTTGAACGGGTACGCGAAGGTGTTCGGAAAGTTGAAGTCGTTTGGGAATAAGAGGTTTGTGGGTGCGCATTGCGTCCGCCCTGTTAAGAGTCTGGATGAGGTGCATTGTCATTTGTTGGAGGCGAGTGCTGTGCATTTGTTTTTCACGAGGGGGCCGCCTGGTGGTGGTGCCTCTGGTGCTGGGGGTGTGGGTGATGTGGGTGCTAAGGGGGATGCGGCAATGGGAGGTACAGGGGATGACTACGGGGCTGGAAAGAATCTGCCTGCTATGAGTCTTGTTGCGAAGAGAGTGTATCAATTGCTTAGGACGGAGCCGCAGAGCAATGAGGGGTTGCATGCGCAGTTGATTGCGGCGAAGCTGAGTTTGCCGATGCCGGATGTGGCCAGGGCGGGAGATGAGTTGCTCACTGCGGGTGTGATCTTTTCGACGGTGGATGAGCAGACGTGGGCGATTTTGGAGTTTTAATTGTAATCTTCTTCTTGTGTGGGTAAAAATAATTTGATGTAATTATGGCAAGTATTGCATGAATTGAGGGATTGTTCATGGCTGTTACTAATTGTGTAGGGGATGAGATATCATCTTGTACATTCACTCCACTACTTCATATCATAATACATCACATCATCACACGCATTCACTAACAGGTACATATCAAGTCATCGCATTTCGGCGCAGCGCATCCTCCACCGAGCGATGCCAATTCGTCTGCGTCAAGAAGAACGCCTCAATGACCGAGACCAACAACAAGGCCAACGCAACCCCAGACCACAGTCCAAACAAGCCCCAATTCAATCCAAATGTCGTGCCGAAACTAATCGGCATAGCAATAGCATAGTAGCAAAACAGCTGCACATAGCCGCCGATTTCCTGGCGACCGATACCGCGCAGAATTCCGTTACAGTTGGCAGCCAAGGCATCAAAGAGCTGGAACGCCGCACAGAGAGGCAGGACCTGGGCGACGAGTTCAATGACCTCCTCGTCCGAGGTGAACAGGTACGGGATGTAGTAGCGCAGGGAAGAGAGGAGGAGCATGTTCAGCAGCCCGACGATGACGGCGCCAATCATGGATACCTTGGCGGATAGCTTGGCGGCGTCGACAAGCGTCGCGCCGATGAGGTTGGCGACGCGGGTGCTACCGGAGATGGAGACGGGGAAGGGGATTTGGAAGGTGATGCTGGAGATGGTGGACAGGATGGATTGGGCGGCTAATGGGGTGGTGCCGAGATACGAAGACGCCAGGGTCAGGACTTCAAAGGCGAGACATTCGGCTTCGACCATGAGGAGCCCGGGAAGGGCGAGCTTGATCATGGGGCCCCAGTTGCGTAGGGCGCGGGTGGTGACGCCGTTCCAGCATTCGGAGCCGTCGATGAAGTACACGTACAGGAAGAGGAAGAGAGGCATCAGGTTGTCTGTGATGGCTACGGCAATGGGAGCTCCGATGAAGCCCCAGCCGAACTGCCATACGAATACGTAGTTCATCACTGCATTCAACGGGGCACAGATGAGAAGCACATAGAGCGAGGCAGAGAAGAGTCCCTGCGCCTGCACGAACCGCTTGCCACTCTCGAAGCAAGCGTACCCTGGAGCACCCAGCGCAACCACCTTCAAGTACAAGCCCGCCAGCATGGCGACCTCTCTTTCCGGCACGATCCGGACGAGGATGCGGTCGGCGAAGAACCACAACAAAATAATAGGTATGGAGATAGCCCAGAGGAAGAAGACCATTTTTTGCATCTGCAGACCTACCAGCTTCTTCCTCCCGGAGCCATATGCCTGCGCACACAGGGTATCCAAACTCGTCGCCAGGCCTTGGTAAACTGAACACAGTCAATCAATATCAGAAACCCAAGGGAAGATACAAACAGCAACATACCAGCATAACCCGTAATACTCGCACTCATACTAGCCAAACTAACGGCCCCAAGCTCCTTCTTGCCCAAATGCCCGAGGGTAAAAATACTCGCCACGGTCAATGAATACTGCAGCAGAAAGGTAACCACCAACGGTGCGGCATTCTTCCCAATGACCTGAGCTTCACGCCTCCACGTCGTCTGAATCAACCCAGCGGTAACAGCCTCCTCCCACTTCCGATCGATCTCCTCCTGATCCTCCACCGTCTCATACTGTGATCCGCGACGCTGCCCGCCCAACAATGCAGCCGTCTCCGTCGCTTCCACACCCGACCCGCGTCTCATGCGCCCTCCCTTCTGCACACCTGGCTCAATGCAACGATTATCAGTGAGAAGATTCCGCTCATCCTCAATGGCCCGTTCCCGCTCCCGCCGCGTTAACCCCTCGTTATCCGGCCGATGCGGCACAACCGTTGCGTGCGAGACGGTAGTGAAGAATCCGGGCCGCTGGTACGACCCGGCTAGCGAATGGGGATTCGTGCCGGGCTGGCTGTTAATGGCGCGGATGGTGGAGGTTTCGGAGGCTTCGTCGTCGGTGGTGAGCATGGATCCTTCGTCGTCGGCGTAGTCTTCAATATCGCGGGCGATGGCAGTGCGGGCGAGCGGCGAGCTGGATCTATACCGGCCGTGCTGCTCGTCTGTGATCCCGCGTATGCTGTTCCGGCGGGCCATGTCGGAAATGGGTTCCACGGAGAAGGTTTGGTTGGTTGGATTGCTGCTGCTAATGTATCACTGCAGTGCAGTCATCCGCGCAATTGCACGGGAAGGACAGGGGGGTGGTGTGTATGTTGTGTGAGAGGAATTGGACCCGCAGGAATGGGAAGCAGCAGGATTTATTAGAATCAATGGCAGCAGGGAGAGAGAGGTTTTGTATGGGAGATGTCAGGGATCCGGTAATCGCATTACGCAAGGAAGAAAAGCGCAGATTTTGCCGCTCAGGCCATGATGATCCACTGCTGGAGACTCTACCAATGAGTGAGTCATGGGGTTCAATTCTCTAAGTTTTAACCAGATTCGGATATGCCGCTAGCATGCATGTATGTAGTACTATCAGGCTATACTGGAGATGTCTATACACACCACAGAGATGATAATATCCTATAGAATGTTAGATGTTATGTTCAAGAATGCAACGATAGACCCCGCAAATGACGGACCCCACGGTGGATGAAAGATGCCAGGAATGCTGTACCGGTATTACATACGGAGGTAAGATAGCCCTCGGCCAATGATAAGACGGTATAAGAGATCCCAAACGAGCTGGTCCAGCCGAGACTGAATCGCAGTGGATCACATCCAGACAAGCAGTGATGATCCGAATCCACACGAGCTGTCTATGGCAGATAGCAGATTGACAATGATAGATCGTATATCTACAACTGATAGACAAAAAGTCTACGTCGTTACAATCGCATTATCAAATGTTTAAAAAAGATCACGGGATCAATGACCATGACATCATGTGGACACCGCATCACGTGTCTCCACATGGACCCTGTGCTTGTGCTTTTCTGTTGGCATTCATACTTAAGACATACACCGATATAGCACTATAACTAGCTTCTTGGAATCGAAAAATATCCCATAAAACTCACCCGTAGCTTTCACAGCTCAATCAGACACCACCCACCATTCACAAAAATATACCCTCCCACACACACAAACCACACCCAATCTACAGAAGAAGAAGAAGAAGAAGAAGAAACAACCATGTCCACCACAACTCAACAACACCAAGAATCCCAAGAATACAACCATACCCTCCCCAAACCCCCCTACAACCCACTAATCAACCCCTCCAACACGCGCCCAATCCTGGCAGACGAGTGAGCACCCACATCCCTCCCTTACCCTCCCCCCTCCATTGCTTCGCAATAGTACTGACAAAAAGGGAAAAATAACAAACAGTACCCTATCCCTAAAATCCCACATCTTCCTAACCCGCCCGTACATATCGACCCTCTTATTCGAAAACGCCACCTCCGATGCCCGCGACCACTGCGCCAACGAGCGCACCTTCCTCTCCTGGCTCCGTCTCTCAATGTACCTCGCCATCGTGGCCATCGCCATCATAATCAGTTTCCATTTCCAGACGCCGCCGACGGGATTGGAGCGGCGGATGGCATTACCGCTAGGGATCGTGTTCTGGGTGCTGAGTTTGGCGTGTCTCGTGAATGGGTTTGCGAATTATGTGCGGACCGTTAAGAAGTATAGCCGGAAGGCGGCGCTCGTGCAGAGTGGGTGGAAGACGCAGGTTACGTTTACGGTGGTCGGGACGGTGATTTTGGGGAGTTGTGTGTTGTTTTTGGCGACGGATGCTAGTACAACTAACTAACTAACTGGTTGGTTCATTTGGGAGGGTTTGGTAGGTGGTGGTAAGATATGATTTTATAAACAAAGCTAAATGCACACTACATCGATAGTATGGATACGGCCATCAAACGCTGCAGGGAATCATGTCAGGGGATATAAGTAGGGGTACCATGTACAGGCTGCAGATGCAAAAGATCACACACATCATCTTCGCCTCATTTACATCCTCCGGATCTGCTGCTCGTTCTTGTATCCCTCAAGCGACGCCGAGCCCAGATGGCTCCACCACTCGAACAGCATTGAATTGCAGATCAGCTTGAACCACGGCGTGAACTTCAGTCCCGGTTGCTCGAACATCTGCTTCAGCTCATCCGCCGACACATACCGCGTGTCGCGCACTTCGTTGGGGTTGACATTCAAATCGACGTCCGCCTGGATGAACAGAATGTAGTCAACTAGATACGGTCAGTCACCTATCCAACAGCTCATCCACTGGTATAGACATACTCTCGTGCTCTCCCCATTTGCCATCACTGGGCGCCTTGTAGTGGATGCGGGTGAAGAACTCAAACTTGTCCAGCGGCACCTGCTCCGGTTTGATCCCCAGCTCGTGTTCCAGCTTGCGCTGCGCCGCGCGCTTCACGCCCAGCACGGCAGCATCGAGCTGCGAGCCCGTCTCTCCAGGGATGCCCAGGGGATGGGAGCAGCAGGTGTTCGTCCACATGTCGGGGAAGGTGATCTTCTCGGTCGCACGTTGTTGAAGCAGCAGACGCTTGTTCGAGTCGAAAAGGAATACGGAGAAAGCACGGTGGAGGAGGCCGCGATCAATGTTGGTCATCAAGTGGCCTGTGGAGTCGCGCCATCAGCATTAATTAGGTTCTCAATGTCTGGTGAAGATCGATAAACTTACAGGCCTTCTTGCTGGCACTGCCAATGGGCTTGTCATCTTCGTCCAGCACAATACACACCTCTTCCATCAGGCGGACCTGTTCCTCATCATAACCGGCAAGCTCGTCGCCGGGGGCGGAGGCATTGCTTGTCGCAGTGGGGAGCACCTCCCGCGCCAGAGAAGTGTCAACCTCGGGGAAGAGAGTCGCGACGTTCTCAGCCGTGATTCTCGGCGGCTCGGTGACGGTAGTGGTGGCACTCATCCTGACAATTTGGCTGGAAAAAGACAGAAATCGACTAGGCCTCCGGTGCTGCAGAGAATGGGGCGAAAAGAGTGAAATCTTGGGGAGGGAGAACGACCCCCTCGGTGTGGGGAGAACAGAGCGGGCGCCAGGGCGGTGGCAGAAAACCCATCGAGCGGCGCGGTTCATCATTTCCTTTCTTGCCGTTTGGTCACTCGCGGCCCTATTGCTTCTATTGTTCTTGTGCAGTCTACGGACAAACTGTTCAGGCTGGCGGCATTACTGCTTCGGAAATCAGGATACTCCGTCGCTCTCTCACTGATATGTCGGAGCAGCATGCCAATCATGCGCTCTATGTCAGCCGGATACCCTGCCGTGGCATCTCCGTTCCCCTTGGCCAGGTCTGCAAGCAGCTGGATTGAACGTCTATCAGTACAGAGGATAAAGAAGCAACTGCCCGCTGTGTTGTTCGCATCAGTCAGAAGCAGATCGAGGTGGACTGGCAATGTCCTTGCCTGACCAACCTGTTAAGGCCGATTTTGATGGGGCTGACATAGCTTCCGCGCTGAATGCCTGGCAACTATTACCAACAACTTTCCGTTGAGGCGCGTTGCCAGACATGTTCTTCAGTCCGGCAGTTTCAGGCCTGTTGAGTCGGCATAGCATAGCATCTTGCCCACGCATATAGCTGCAGAAATTGGTGGGACATCACCGGTCGGTCAATAGGCGTCTACCAACCCGGTTAAATTATTTTTACTGACTCGGCCCCGATTGATCGGGGTGTCTCATTCCGTTGGGTCCTAGTTTCCCTGCTCATTGCCGGAGCCTGGCACAACCTCCCACTGAGGTTGAAAGCCCCGCGAAAAGCATACTCGTAGTGCTAGACCAAACCAACGAGTGCCAGAGGGACGGTTTAGTGTCTTGGTATCCTAATGGAAGTTGTCCGACCAAGGGCTGCTCTTGTCGCTTAACCTTGATTGTCTCTTCTCGGATCCGTCGGACGCGGACGTCCGAATAGTAGGCCGTAAACACCTTTCGTCGCTAAACAACCAGCAAGGGCCAATAAGCGTCCAATGCACGAGGCGTCAGGATTGGTCCAGGCGTTAATTCCATCATAGCCCCCATTCGTAGTGATTAACTCGGCCGTGGTTAATTTGAGGATGGCTCGTTAGTGTATTGCCCCTTGATTTAGCAAACTCCGTAGGATTTGCTCCCGTGTCGGATTATGGAACGAAGCTATTCAGCGCTGGGCGGAGTTAATTTCCACTCGCGCGCTTAGTTTCTGGTATCGAGAGCAATGGCGCCATTCAGGATTCCCCGCCTTCAGCGACGGTCACTCCGACGAATTACTCAAACCTTCTTTGGCTGCAATACTGGAGAATTTGAGCGCGTCAAATTAGACCATCAGAACAGCCTTGTCATATAAAGGGTATTTGAACTTCTCTCAAGGCAGCATAAGTCGCAGGTTATAAGCCAGAAGTACAGTCGATCAAACATCCGAAGGGTCAAAGTATCCGTGCCGTGCGCTTGGCAGAACCAGTCCGTGTCGCGCTTGTTTGAACCTAAACCAGCTCGTTAGGGGTCTGGATTCTTCCATCCGATAAATCGAACCATAGCCGGTCGCAGAACTATCGGATGGGGAATGATATACGGAGTTCTGGCTCCACCCGCCTTAGAGTTGGAGCCGATGTGCGCAGATAAAAGTCACTCTCGCCGCGGGATCACCGCGAAAGAGGAAGGACTCTCAGAGCATGTTCCGTGCCTTCAGTTAGTCTCGATGGGTCCGCTAGGAAGCCTTCCGACTTCCCCATAGTCCTCCAACCCAGAACGGTAATGGTTATCTCGATGGCGCACGACGATAGGTAGGCCTTGCTGACAACTCCCGCGGTCGTATGGAGCATTCCTATTCTCGTGTGTCTCTTGTCTTTCTTTGTGCTCAAGGGACCCGTTCTTTGCGCCGCTCCTCCATCGTTGAGTGGCTCGTCAACCCACTTATCCTCCCCCCCTGTGTCCGGTTCCGTTCCGTGTGGACTGGATTTTCGGCGTGTATTAAGTTTGTTAGGGCAGCTAATGCAGCACTTGGCTCGTTCCTGGTGTGCCTAGCTGGCATAAGCTTCCGCGCTGCACCTTGTTAACGAGTCGTGCAAGACCGGAACAAGTCCATGCTCCTCCGCTTCGTACTTTTTTCCACCGGCTAACGCCTAGCACGGCGATAATTCTCGTGGATGGTGACGCGCCATTGGAGGGTCTTCATAGATAGCGAGATGGCATAGGATGGCGTGAATCAATAATGGAACAGCCGGCCTAGTAGCTCCTCTCCAGTGGCCCATCTCTTCCGACACTGGTCCTATAGTAGATTCGGACCAAGAGGAATCGGGAAGTCGTCCCGATGGGTTTGGAAGTGAGGCTTCATTCTGCAAGAGCAAGCAATTTGAATATTCTGCAACGCTCCTCCGTGAGCTCTCTCTGGCCATACAACCTAAAGCCTGCTGCTGTTGGGTGGACCTAACAAACACTTGGTCCACATCATGGTCCACCGGAGTAAGTTGTGGATAACTTGCAAGAATACTTTGAATAGTCCAAAAGACCAACGAGGCAGTTGTGGCGGCTAAAGTTTGTTAAACGAAAGGCATGGACCTGCCATGCGCTGCTTGATTTCTATAAGCCGCCTTCGGGCTATGACGGATCTCTAGCCATATTCCAAAAAAAAAAAATGCAAAACCAAAAGTCGACATGGCCTCCCAGATGAGAAAACAAACAGTCAAAACAAAAGTAAACTGCCTCCCTGCGCTTATACAAAGAAAACACAAAAAAAAAAAAAAAATACATGGGTAGTCATGCTTTCAAATATACAATGGATCCATCCTCTCCCAAAGTATGCAGCCGTAACGTTCATGACTAGCTGCGATCAACGCATGCATGGTCTAGAGCAGGCAAATAAACCATCAAAGGGCTCTCAGTTGTTTAGTGTGGTGAAGCGTAATAGTCATCAGTGGGGTATGGCGCATCTGTGTCGTTTCGGGAAGCTCGTGTCTTCCGGATTCTTCCATCGCAGCCGTCCGACTGGTGTCTGTAGCAGAGTGAGTTCGTTGTTTCACATTGGAGCTTGATCCGAATACGGTACCTTGACAATGTGTCCTGTCGACTGTAGCGCCGACCACACTTCTCACAGCCATACTTGCGTATTCCCCGATGGATCTGCGCGTTCTATTAGCCTTGAACTTTACTCTATCCAAAATCACTTACACTATCTACGTGTCTCTTCAGATCAGTTCTCCGCCTAAACTCCCGCCCGCAGGTCTCGCACGGATGTGGCCTTACGTAGTTAGGGTCATGGCTCTTCATATGCTCTTTACAGTTAGAGCGTCGTGTGAAGCGGACACCACACGTGGGACACTCTAAGCCACTTGCTGACGGTATCTTGGATTGTTCTCCATGGGGCGATTCGCTAACATTTTCGATCCACTTGGAGATTGCCTCATCAGGGACCAAATCCGGCGCGGCACTTTGACTCGGGTCCAGCTCAGTGAGGGTATTATCCGGTCGTTGGGGATGCAGATACGCGGTGTTGAGTTGGAGTCGAGGGATCTCTGGCATTCTGGAGACCATTGTATTGGTTGAATCATCCAGGAAAGATGATTCCCAGACGTCCACATTGGACCAGCCTTCTGACGCTGCCATGGTTTCTGAGGTAGGAGTGTTAGGCCAGAAGCGAGGAATTTCATCATGCATCGCACCAAAATCCATAACTGGGCTGTAACTGGGTGATACTGAGATATCTGCATGGCTACCGAATGGCTCGTAATGCGTACTGGGCGGGAACCGACTGGCGTCTGGAGGGGTTTCGAGGATGTTTGGGGAATGCGTTATTGGGTCGGACCAGTTGCTCGTTGAAAGTGCATATTGCTCCGGACACGGGTAGAGTCTGATCTGGCTTGAGGGGGATCCTGTTCCACAATTTGAGATTCCTAACCCGGACAACGACTGGAAATCGTATCTATCGAGCGGGATAGGCGCAGGTGATGGGTAGGCCGGAGAAGCTTTGAGTAACCTTTGATCATCCCGCGCGGAGTGAGCCACTGGAGAGGATGGGAACGAGGTAGGTGTACGATCCATGACGAAATTAAGATTTAATCATAAAACAGAACAGAATTGGGAAAGAAAAATGAAGATTTTCGGGGAAAGCTGCAACCAGGAGAAGGATGATTCGTGATGGTTTCTGGGTCGAGGGATTGCTTTTATGTTCACAGAACTCCCACGAGGTCTGTGGCTGAAACTGGGGTAGGGCTGGTGAGAAGGCAACAATATTGATGACTAGTAGATGCTATTCAAACGAGAGTGAGGAAGTTATTTGCAGTGTATATAAGTAGCAAGACTCAACAGCGACGCTGCTGGAAGTTGAGAATAAGTGGCGAACCCTGAACAGCAGCTGAAAAAAATATCTCGGGGGATGCCATATGATGATTGGAGTACAGCAACCGCTGCATGGGGCACAGGTAGAGAGAAGAGAGAGAGATGAGCAACAGGTTTGACGCCTCATCAGGCAAGGCAGAATTGACGGGACGTTGCTGCATGGATGGGGAAGAATTCAGAGCGAACCTAGCTGGAACAACCCGGTCCAAGTGGACTGCAGCCTGGGTCTGCAACATTATTCAGATAGGCGCGTCAATTAGATGCCATGCGCAAGAATTTAGCGCCGGAAGGGTGTGATCAGGCCAAGGTGTCAGTCGGCGCTGTACCCTGTCGCGAGGAGGGAGGGAGAGTGGGAGGGAGGGGGGTGGGTGTGGATGGAGCATGGTTTGATTCACACCGGACGACGCCGTCATTTGTCGCCTAGCGGACATGACCGGGACCCAGCCGATCCATCAGCCAGGAAATCATGACATCTGAATGGTACAAAGTAAACAAAAAATGAAGGGAACCAGATAGTAGTGGTAATTGTGAGTGTGTAGTGGGGGTGTAGGAGACCCCGTTACGTTAGGGGATGCAGTGCCTCTTGGGACAACAAGCATGGCGCTGGGGAAAAGACGGGCAACAATAGCGGCTGAATTATTGGCAACATCGACGGGGGGGAATGCCTGGCTTCCTGATCAGCAACAGTCGGCTGGAGCAGCGCGCTTTTTTTTCCCTTTTCTCCTGCTCTCCTGCTCTTAATGAAACGGGAATAGTAGGACCCGACAGTCTGGTACCTAGCTTGGCGAAGCAGCATTGCAGTGCGTGTCGCCAGAAAAGGCCGGTTGGCAACACTGCCTCAATATCGGCGAAGTAGTATGCATAGGCCAAAAATAATACCCAGTCAGGTACCGCGGTACACCAGAGCCTCAATGAACAGCATTTGGGACCAAGAGAGAGTGTTGATGTGAGATGGATGGATGTTGTGATTGTGGTGGTAGATATGGGTGCTGCGCGGGCCGAAGTATACTAGTTGGACTAACAGTTAGCGAGAGGGAGGAGGAGGAGAGAAAAAGAGAGACACAGGAGAGGTTCGGTGGTTGAGGGAACGGCGGACAAGCCAGTGACAGACAAGCAGTGGACGGGAACTGAGGGAGAGTGACTACAACGACTAACTAACTGGGCAGGGCAGAAGAGGGGCTCCCGGCCCTGATCCTGGTCTGTACCAGAGAGTATTATCGTACTAGACACACACTCTGGCTCCCACGACCATGGCAGTGGCCCGGTTTCCCTGTTACTAATTACCTACCGCTCTCTCTTGGTATCGTTCAGTATTCTCCTGAGATTACTATTATTCTATTTTTCATTTATTCGACGAAATTTTTTCTTCGGATTTTTTTTTTTTCTTCTCCCTGTTGGGTTCGGTTCCTGAATGATTAGTCTACTGCCTTTGTTGTTATTTTTCCTGTTTCGAACAAATCCCCCTCCAAACCCATCTTTAGAACTACTAGTACTGACATCATCTTAAAAACCATTCTGAAATCTATGCCATTTCTATTCATGATGAAAGAGGATGAAATGAACGAGAAGAAAAGAAAATCCGCTGAAGAAATATAACAGAATGACAAATCACAACGACAATCATCCAGTGCATTCCGGACAAAGAAGTTGTTCATCGCTAGCGGGTCTCCATCTACTCCGACCCTCCGACCTACGGACTGGTCACTGGCCGGTGCTCACGCTAAAGCTTTAGGCTCTGGCACCGGCCTGGCGCCAGGTGCGTGTGTATACCATCCTTCCGCTGTGGTTCCCCCCTTCCCCTCCATTCCTTCTGCCCTGCGCAGTGCACCGTAATATACCACTTTCTGACACCTCTTCCGACTTTCTGTAATTGCCCTCATTGGCTTCGCTGGTGAAAGGCCATCCGAGCAGCCACTCGATCCACTTGAGTGCGCAACCGTTCCACTTCGTCGATCATATCCGCGGTGTCACCACGGCCAGCCTGGCCCGAAGTTGGTCCGCGCGCTTCGGGGTGCTGGCCCGGGTTAGACCGTTCCTTAGGCCGGCTGGATGCCCACGAACGCCCTTCCAGTGCGGAGGCATGGAGCGGGGCATGGTGCGTGGAGAAAGGGAGCCCCATCTGGATGGAAGATGTTGGTCGACTGCTTGCGGTGGTCGTCGTGGCAGTTGGCGGAAATTGGCTATTTCCCCGAGAGACGTAGCGGCGGCTAGATTCATAGGCCCAGATCAGTGCGACAAACGGGAGGTGGGTGGCCCGGAGCAGAACGATGCGCACCCGGCGGATGTGCTCTGCAGGTAAGAAGAGCCTCATGGGGCGGATACAGAGGAGGGGGATGAGGTTCTATCGTGGAGTCATGGCTGCTGTCAGCGTCACAACCCAACCCAGTCATGCAGGGGCCAAAAAAAAACTAAGTGTCGAGAGGGGGTGTTGTTTACTGACCAAGGGGGGCATGAAATACGTCAATCTCCGAGAATTACTGCTCTCTAGCACATAGATAGACAGCCTATTACCACACATCAGCGGGAGGAGCCATAGGGCCGAAGGGAAGTAGCATGACACATACTGAAAGAGATACTCTTCTCGGGCATGCGCCATGACCTGGACAAGGAGCACGGTTGGGTAGACAGATTAGCATGGCTCATGCACAACAACAATAACACAACATGTCGGAGGAGGGGGCCGAGCAAGCCCCGCACCCAGCAGTATGATTTGGACATTTGGACCTACCCCTTCTAGACTCATGCTCATGAGACTGACCAACGACGAGATCAACAGAAGGTTGGTCATCGAAACGAAAATCAACCTATCGACCATACCAATCAGCCACTTTCCTGTGAGCACCGAAATGGTTCTGCCGGGATGATCGTCCGAATGCCGCTATTCGCGAAAACACGCGAGGCTTCATTGTACCCTGCGCCGCGACCGATTTGACGCCATGTGTATCCGGGCGGCACCGGGTCTCCAGCCTCTAGGAACTGGGTCGCATCGCCTCAATTTCCACCGAAGCATGAGGAGGAGAAGGGAAATGCATGGCTGGTTATCGCAGTAACAGGGCAGCTGGAAACACGTCCAACGTGACCAAAAGTGTATGCGACCGACACATCTCATGGAGCCTGTGGCGCAGTAGAGGACTGGGGATTGGAGAAGCACTCACATCAGACCGTAGCCAAAGATCGGGGAAATCTAAGAATTAGCGCGTCAGTAAAACTTTCCACGAGAGCCAACCGATTCTGCAAGACCCCTGGAAATCCGGGTTTGGGCTGCATGGCGGCCGCGCTGCTGCATTAGACTCACATCGTGAGCGATGTCCTTTTCCAATCATTTCAGCCACCGTCAGTTTGAAGAACACATGTTACCCGATTAGGAACAACGCACGAAGCCCAGCACATTCGATCTACCTCGCTCTGTCAGTCAACTAGCGGTCGATGAGGGGCTATTTTCACCGCCATACCCAAAGAACACTTTCACCAAAATCCATGACATTTGCCGCAGAGAGAGGCGGTCACGGGCGAGCATCGTGAAGGTGGTCAGGAACCCTACAGATGCACATTTACCGCGCGTTGGTCTTCTTCAGCCTTGTCCTATGCGTCATCGGGATCACCTACCAAGGTACAGCACTACGACTATCGGAATAAATCGAAAAAACGCTTTTGTCTAGGCCCCCTTATCAGCGCCTTTCGCCACCTGCCACAGTCTGGGCGAGCGGAGAAACTATACCATCTCTTTGAGAACAGGGATCTGTGCGTCGAAACTGTCAACGTGGCTTCCAGAACATGGTTCTTCCGGGTCTCCGGCTGCATGGATTGCCTTACCAGACTTCCAAAATAGGAGTTCAAGCTCACGAGGGAGCAGATCCTGTTCAGCTGTCGTGTCAGAACCTGAAACAGGTATCAGGATCATCGTAGCAGGGGGGCTTGGTTTTACCTTGGAACCAGAAACAATGCCTCCAGCGATAGAATATCAAACGAGAGATCCGTGATGTAATCACTTTGTTTGGCTAGTCCAATAATTCCTGGATGGTTGTGTAAGTCAGCGATCCAACCATACTCCGGCCCGCCAAGTGAGCCCAGCTGCGGAAATTGGCCCAGCTGGAAGAGCTGAGTTGGGGCAAGGCAGATCAGTGGCATGGTGCAAATGACTCACTGGCAATGACAAAGGCAAGGCCTGTGCCAATTATGCCCATATTCCAAGCACTCCAGAAGTCCATCTGGTAGAAGAGCATTCCGGCATCAGCCATCCCGCTGACTTCATCATATGCAAAAGCAGCGATCCAGATGTACATCATAGTCTCAAAGATGCCTATGCCAGTAGGCTTCCTCTCAACTAACACCGCATAATAGAGGAACAAAAACGAGACAAAGAAGGCCGCTTCAAAGGCCTTCCGATACACTGGCACTCTCAATCGTGAGTACGGATCGGCGGTTCTGCCAGACACATAGATTTCAGCATATGGCATCTACACCACGTAGTGCAGAGGTGAGTTACCTTTTGTTAAAAAACTGGGGTTTCTTCTTCGAATGCACGCTCAAAGAGTCCCAGAAGACAATCTCGCCCTTCCAGATATTGTCTATCACTTTCTGAACCACTTTCTGGCTTAGAAATCTTTTCGCTTGGGCGATTGTGGCTATCTCGAGTGCGTTCAGTCCAAAGAACCTTGACAGCTTTTCAAGCTCATATGCGTCACTTGCAGACATGTTGGTCCCCGGCTCATTTATGTCAAGTGAGCTTCCTGCACGTCTCTTGCCACCAAAGAACCGATAAAGCGAAGATGACGAGCTCAATAATAACGGTGTCCTTTCGTCTTCTTGCGAAAAAGCCTCACCGGTCATCGTCGCAAACCCAGATGTGCCTCTTTCTGCCTGTGAGATATCTGTACTGCCCTGCATTGGAGTTTTGAGTTCCTCAAGAAGGAATTCGATGATTTCGCGCTGATTGACATGACAGAGAAATTGCCAAGCAACGTATTCACAGGCATATCCTCGGCTTTCATTCAAGCCCCAGTCGGTTTCAGCATCATTGGTAAATTGCCATTTCAAGATCCTAAGATATGTCTCAACACCACCGAGCCGTCGGGAGAGTCTGGCTTGATAGGAATTACCTACATCAGAGCAGCGATTATACATGGGTTGTGCGAGTTCTCGGCCAAGGAGTACAGGAGCAACCGGAGGCTTTGGCCATGGGGAGAAAACCTTAGCTCCTCAAAGGTGCATGCGACATCATTAATAGCGACCACCAGATAGCTATTTCGTAACTGTTAACAGAGCTAGCCATGCAAATATTTAATATCGGGCCAGCTGTACTTATGTAGTTTGCGAACCACATCAACGAGTGGTTCATTATCATCAATAATGGGAACCTCAAAAGGTGGCTGTTCAGCGGGTGCAATCGATGAAGTAGAGGATTCCAGCCTCAGGGAAGCCATGTGGTGGGAGAATTGGTTGACCTGCATGGGAGATCAGCGGGTCACGCCAATATGACGCGTGTGGAGAGAGGCCACAAGAAACAGTACCTGAATACGTCCCAGACGAGGTCGTGATATCTGCAGGGGATTTTGCTTTGGAGGCGTGCAAAGTCCGATAATCTGTCGGTGAGCCACGTCCCCAACTAATGCTAACTTTAGTTACTAGGAGCTAGTGACGGGTACTAAATAACTATCCGAGCAGGGGCTCAAAGGAAAGGTTGAGGTTATTCGAGATCCTGCCAGCAGAAACGTCGAGGGAGAAAAATCAAGAACAAGTGGATCGTCACCCAGCAGTGAGACGCAGCTGGTTAATGATCCAGAGTTAAGGTGCGCTGCTAAATATGAGTGCGTGAAAGTGCACCAGCTAGCTGTACAGCTCGCTATCAGCACAATAATGGGGCCGTTGTTCTTTATGAGGGTCCTCAGCGCTGTGATTGGCTGCAGTGCTTGGTGCCAACCGGCAGGCAAAACAAGCTTCGACACTCTAGCACCGCATCATTGTATGGCGGTCACCGAATCAGATGGGGAATTTGCCAGCACATCAGTGCCTGAACTCGCAATGCCAGAGGGTGAGTGAAACATCAAGGAGTTCGCGGTAATTGGATGGTAGGGAGGAGATTCCCGTGTTTTCAGTGGTGGATCGACACCTGTCAGTCAAATGATCAGTCCGAATAAATAGTACGATACAATAGAAGATTTTAGACAATCGATTCCCTAATTGCGATCGACTTGTTGTCGTATATTTGGGTGAGAAATTACTAATCAAGTCATATTCCTTGAGACGAGCTTCAAATTTGTTACTAAATCCGCCTGTCAAGGAGTAGCAGTCCTACCTTCAGTTCCCCATGAGGCTGCTTCATTCAGGCTCCGGAATGTTGCAGACTCACCGCCTTCCCCGGCATCATGTGACTGATATGCACTATCGGACCCCCTCCAGACGCGTTGGACTGACTTCATCCTGCGACATCCTCCGATCATTCTTTTGAGCTTTGTGCCGGGATGATCAACGCCGTAGATCGTTCGATCGGCTTACCTCTGTGGTAATTAATGGCAGATGCCTAATATAGTCTACGAATTCAAAGCCTCATGAGATGAAGGCACTTCAACACCATGGGCCAAGGCTATTCCCTCACAACCCTGTCCGCGGGTTCGGCTGGGATCGATGTTCCCGAGCTCGCGGACCTGGTGTATGAGAAGTCGATGGGTGGTGGTCGATTCATGAAAAGTATCCGAGCGAGGCAGCACAATGGACTGGTCTTTGTAAAGGTAATCATGAAGCCTTACCCCAGCATGAAGCTGGAACCATATATTAAAGCTATCCTCCGTAAGTCCAATGAGCATCAGACTTAATATTCAGAAGGAGATCTGACAAGTTGCAGGGGAGCGCAAGTTATTGTCTGAGGTTCCAAATGCCTTGAGCTATCAGAGAATACTGGAAACCAGTACTGGCGGTTACCTCGTCCGCCAGTACATACACAGCTCTCTCTATGACCGGATGAGGTATGTAACCCGCATAGAATTGCCGTGGACTCTTCCTAATACAATGTAGTACCCGTCCATTTCCAGAAGACATCGAAAAGAAGTGGATCGCTTTTCAGTTGCTCTGCGCACTGAGGGATTGCCACTCGCTGGACGTCTTCCATGGCGATATCAAGACAGAGAATGTTTTGGTCACCTCATGGAACTGGCTCTATTTGTCCGACTTTTCTTCGTCTTTCAAGCCAACATTTCTTCCAGAAGATAACCCGGCTGATTTCTCTTTCTACTTCGACACGTCAGGACGCCGAACCTGCTATCTGGCTCCCGAAAGGTTCCTCGTGGCTGGCGAAGAACCAGGAAGTAGGGAAGTCAACTGGGCTATGGACATTTTTAGTGCAGGTTGCGTTATCGCGGAGCTTTTTCTGGAGTCGCCTATATTCACTTTGAGCCAAATCTACAAATACCGCAAGGGAGAGTATAGTCCAGAACATGGCCAACTCTCCAAGATCGAGGATCCTGAGATCCGCGCGTTAATCCTCCACATGATTCAGCTCGAGCCAGAGTCTAGGTACTCGGCTGAAGAGTATCTCAACTTCTGGAAGAACAAGGCGTTCCCTGATTATTTCTACAGCTTCCTACACCAGTACATGTCCCTCATGACTGATCCGTCATCGGGGAGAGCGCATGTTGAGGCCGAGTCAGCAAGTAGAGGGGAAGCTGATGAGAGAATAGAGCGAGTCTTTCATGATTTCGATAAGATATCGTACTTTCTGGGGGCTTCGCCGAAGTCTTCGACAGATGGTTCTAGTCGCACTACCTCCAGGCTGACTGGCAATACCTTCCCCGTTCAACTGGACCTACCACAATACGGACAGCCAACTCCCAAGTCTCCAGCTCAGTCGGATGACGGTGTGCTGATCTTTCTGACGCTTGTGGTATCTAATCTCCGCAATACTTCGAAATCGTCCGCACGGATCAAAGCTTGTGACATTCTCCTTGCCTTTGCTGAGAGATTGTCCGACGAGGCAAAGTTAGATCGCGTTCTTCCATATATTATGATTCTTCTCAATGACCGCGCAGATTCCGTCAAGGTTGCTGCGATACGTGCTCTTGCACAGTTATTGGAAATGGTCCACGTGGTCTCGCCGGTCAACGCGTACTTATTTTCCGAGTACATCTTTCCCAGACTGCAACCGTTCATTCCTAGTGGCAGTTCGAACCCGAGTCCATTGGTTCGGGCTGCATATGCTTCATGCATTGCATCTCTGGCACGATCTTCATTAAGGTTCCTGGATATGATCCAAGCACTGCGTTCTGACACCCGCTTGCCCGCTCTGATACCGGCTGGATCTGAACCTAGGTGGACAGAAGATGCTACCTATCACAATTTATATGACGTTGCGAGAGTCGACCTTCTCGAATATTTCGAGGCTCACACTAAAGCTCTGTTGACGGACAGCGATGCTTCGGTCCGTCGCGCCTTTCTAGGTTCCGTATCCGACCTCTGTGTGTTCTTTGGTAATCTCAAAACCAGCGAGGTTGTTCTGAGCCATTTAAACACCTATTTGAATGACAGGGACTGGATCCTGAAGTGTGCCTTTTTTGAGGCGGTCATTGGCGTTGCAATCTACGTTGGAAGTACAAGCTTGGAGCAGTACATTCTGCCCTTGATGGTCCAATCAATGACAGACCCAGAAGAGTTTGTTGTTGAAAGGGTCCTTCGGTCACTAGCAGTGATGGCAAATATTGGTCTTTTCCAACGGTCTACTACGTGGGATCTTCTGCATATTACAGTCCGATTCCTCGTGCATCCTAACGCTTGGATCCGCGAGGCAGCAGTTCATTTTGTAGTCAGCTCAACCAAGTTCCTCTCCGTCGCCGATAAGTACTGCATCCTCGCCCCTCTTGTGCAGCCTTTTGTGATAGCAGAGATAATGAACTTCACCGAGGGAGAAATGCTCGACGCACTCAAAAAGCCATTAACAAGGGGCGTATACGATTTAGCATTTGTTTGGGTATCGAAGACAGAAAAGGGTATCTTCTGGAAAGCAGCAAGTCGTGATGGAATATTCACCTTGAATGGAACTGACAGCTCGCTCACAAAACTGGGACACAAAGCCTCCACTCATCCTGGCCTGCAGCCCAAGAATGAGGAGGATGAGCAGTGGATTGCTCGTCTGAGAAATATGGGAATGAACCATGATGATGAGTTTAAACTTCTAGCCCTTCGAGAGTACATATGGAGAGTGTCGATGCGTCAACCAAGAGAATCGGAAAATGGAATCTCTGATTTGAACAATGTCATTGCTCTAATGCAGCACGGTGTGACTCCTCAAACTGTATTCTTTGACAAGACTCAGAACATCAGACCACGCAGAAGTTCTATCGGGAAGACTGAAAACGATAGATCTGACGAGCGGAAATTGCATACCATTACGGATGCTCTACTTGATGCTTCAACGACCATTGATAACAGACCTGATTCCCGCCGGAGGCACATGCGCTCACGGAGTCAAAGGGACCCGGGAGCTGCCCTGACAATCCCACGACCGAGTGCCTTGGACAACATCCGGGCGGAGAATTCGCCAGTATCCTCACCAATAGCATCATCACCCGGTGGAGTGCCCGGGTCACGGCCTTTGTCACCTCCTAGCTCAGATACTGGACGTAGGGGCTCAGAAGGTAGGGAGAGTCCCGGGCAAGAGAGTTCATCGACACCTACCGATGCGGAAAATCCTGCGATTAGAAAGTTGGCCTCCGGTGTCCATCGGAAATCCAGTGCTATGAGCTTACTAAACCGCAAGGATTCAGCCAAGGCATACGCAGAAACTGGAACCAGCTCGGCCAATGCCTTTGGAAAGGTTGATTTGCCATCTCAGAGAGCAGAGGTGTCTTCTTCCCCTTCTCCTGTACCGCGTGACAGGAAATCACCTGAACAGGGGGGCCCTAGGTTCCACGCCAATCACTCCTATGCGGGCGACGATCCCGTCGTCCTCAAACTGCTGGATTCTGTGTTTGCGGAGAATTATCCTACCGACTTCTTTGATCTAGGGCCCTATGTCAAGGAGATAGACGTAAGGCGTCCGATTGTAAAGGCCAATGGGCAAGAGCCTGACAAGGTGTGGAAACCGAACGGAGGTCTTGTAGCCGTTTTCGGGGAACACAGCGGCCCTGTGAACCGCGTGGTTGTGGCACCGGACCATGCCTTCTTCGTTACTGCTGCGGACGATGGCACCGCTAAGATCTGGGATACCACTCGTCTCGAGAATAATCTTACACCGAGATCCCGTCAGACATACCGACACTCTACCGAAGCAAAATTGAAGGCGCTGACCTTTGTGGAGAACACTCACACTTTCGTCACCGGCGCAAATGACGGCAGTATCCATGCAGTGAAAGTGGATTACCATAATGCCAACGGAACCGTTCGCTATGGAAAGCTTCAACTTGTGCGAGAATACCAACTCCCAACAGCTGAAGACGGAACCGTCGAGTATCCCATCTGGATGGAGCATTTCCGTCTGGAGGGCCAGTCCACGCTTCTCATTGCCACAAACACCTGTCGTGTCCTGGCATTAGACATGAAGACAATGCTTCCGGCGTACTCTTTACAGAACCCAGTTCATCACGGCACGCCAACTACTCTCTGCTGCGACCGAAAGCGCAGCTGGCTCCTCATCGGCACCTCCCATGGCATACTCGACCTGTGGGATCTTCGCTTCCGCGTACGACTCAAAGCCTGGGGCCTCTCGGGATCTGGCGCCATCCACAGGATCCAGCTCCATCCAACCAAGGGCCGTGGACGATGGGTCTGCGTCTCAAGCAGCGGCAGCCACGGCAATGAAATCACCGTCTGGGATATTGAAAGAGTCCGCTGCAGAGAAGTATACCGAGTAGACACACCCAGCGTCAACAACCCAAGCCAGCCCAACGCAGGCAATACCGACCCTCACAGAATTACCCGACTAGGATACCCAAGCAGCGCACGAGACTACGAACCCTGGCACGTCGAAAGCAGCCGACCCGAGGGAATGCTTAGCCGATTTGCAATGGAGGGACTAGCATCGGGCCCAACAGATCACCACCATCCATCCGGCCCATCACCTTCCGCGGGCATCAGTGCCTTTGCACTTGGCTTCGACACCCCCGACGACGGTCGCGACAACACCACTCGCTGCGGATTCATCATTTCAGGCGGCTGCGACCGCAAGATCCGGTTCTGGGACCTCACCCGACCGGAGCATTCCAGTGTTATCAGCGGGCTAGACGTTGTTACGGATGGCGCTGTGACCAGTAAACCACGCTACGACGTGTCTCAACCCATCCCTTCCCTTGTCATCACATCGGAGCACATTCCGACTCCTTCCTCTTCAACTCCCGACCCAGTCCAGAATGGCAGTAAGAAGAGCTCCGCCGCCGCCGCCAATGCCAAAAAGAGCGGAAGTGGCCGTCTACCCCGGAGCACGGTGATTAGTCTGCAGCAACAGCAGTTATTGAAGAGTCATCTGGACTTTATTCAGGATATTGCACTACTGAGAAGCCCGTATGGGATGATTGTGAGTGTTGATCGCGCGGGGATGGTTTACGTGTTTCAATGATTCGTCTGTCTCTCCGTCAACATGTATAACTAGCATTGCTATGAGTACCTATAATAGATCTAATATCGATTGGAATCATTTCGTTTGACTTAGAATAAGCCGGAAGTAGCAGTCGGCCTATGTCTGCCGATTACTAGCATCTTCTACGGAGTAGTAGTAGCAGTAATAGCGCAATTGTTCGGATTACCACCACCAGACTACTGTAAGACTAAAGGGGGTGTGTTATCATATGATCTATGATATGTCTTAGTTAATTGCCAGGATTGATGCATAGCGTCTAACGGTCGATAACCGTACCCTGTTCAACGGCTGAAATGCGAATACCTGGTTGGTTGGTTGGCTACCGTATCTACTCCTAATAGTAATATGACATATCGGATTAATGCCGTGCTCTTATAGTTAGTTTATGATAATTTCCCCTTTTAGTCTCCACTTCGCTCTTCCATTCTACTGCTAGTTGCGCCATCTGTTGTTGCGGTGGCATCAGCAGCAATATATAATAAGTACTGATACTGCTCTGTGTCTACTTCTTATCCAGGGACAAATAGTACTGTAGTAAGCCCGGTGCATAAATTACATAACTTGGGCGCATTGGACAAATATAGTGTCTACATAAATTAGTAGACAAGATGGAACGAAGCTCGAGAAAACACCGGAAAGATTGTAGAAGCGATCATGTGGGACAGCGAACTTCGGGGGTGTGGAAATGATGAAACACTAGGCGACGGATACAGAAAGCGATCGGCAGAGAGAATAATAAACTGTGTGCGACCAATGCGGTTGGCATTAATTTTCTTTTATTGTCATTATTGCCCTGCGAGCGACAAAGAGAGAGACATCTTTAGTTGATTTTTAATATGGGGTTAATTTGATTGATACAGGTGGGATTGAGGGTTGCTTGGCTGTTGTTGTTGTTGTTGTTATTGCTGCTGCCGTTATACCTCTTTGTTTCTCTCGTTTGTTAATGTAGAAACTGTATCAGGAAATTCTATCCGTTGTTGGGATAAGTCGACGAAAGCCGCTGGAGATGTGTCAATTCTCGGCATCGCACTTTTGGCGAGTGGAGGTGATTACTCGTCCTGGTTATTGGTAGGGCGTAGTATTCCGTGTATCCGAAACCAACCTCTAAAACTCTTTGTGTTGATGTCGGAGATTTCAAGGTCCAAAGATGAGTGCCGATGGTGAGCTAAGGCAGGCCCTATTATTGAGCATTGGATAGATTAACCGAATACTAATTTCGGATAAAGACAGGTGACCGGTCGACAGGTCAACTTGCAATCTTCATAATTGAGGCATGCACTGAAGAGCAAACTATTCTATCTTGAACTTCTGTGATTGATAATGGTGCGTGCAGTGGGTTCAAAGGGTTCGAGCGGGTGAAAAGTCTGGTACAGCCAGATCTGGACCGTGAGATGAGAATCCCGAGTCCCGTTGGTGAACCATGGATGGCCAAATTAATACGATTCATGCCGCGACGGTATCCAGTCTCCATCTGGCTTCTGCAGGGCCCGATCGCGGTTTGCTTTTTGTTACAGGTAGAACATCCTTCGGCCAAGTTCCATCCCCAAAGACTTGGCGGTGTGCGGTCTTGTTTCTTAATATTTTTCCCCCTCTGCCTTCTGTTGCCTTGCTCCTCATGCTTGCTGTCTTGGGTATGTACTTTGTGATATCGAGTCGACACCGTCAGGCTTGGTTGACGGGTGATGTCTGTGAACACAGCATAATGTTTGTCGGACTGGTAATATCCCGATCTTTCAATCACGTACGCGCCTCAGACTGGGGATCTAGATCGACGTTCTCATGCATGCACTGAATCTGATATTCCGGCAGCCGGTGGACGAATGACTGTCAGGGTAAATGGCGGACTGACTCGATCGGTGGAGCGGACCCAGCGGCGGGCGAGTGAGACAGACGCGTCGCTTACCGACCGAATGGGCCTGATGGGGGCGTCTAGCGATGTTCTGGAGAATGACACCGGAATTACAATCTGCAGCCGTGAGGGTCGAGTGTCAATGCGCTCGAGTCTGAAAACGGAGACACACAAACACTTCAATAGGGGTTGGATGGAACAGCCGAAAATTCCGGGCGACGCCCATGGCCTATGCACCAAAAACCAGATTCACAGTCTTCGTTGAGAGACTTGCTGTGAGGTCTTGCTTTTACTCTATTTGGTCGAGATAGATGGCAGGTTGTATTGCCTTTCCTCGTTCTGCTTGCGCGCATCTTGAGCCGCTGGAGGAGAATTCTCGGCTGGGGACGTCGTCAGCGATGCAAGTATCTAGTTATGCGAGTGCGACTTGAACAAGCCCCTAACTGCCGTCCTACATGAGCCAGACCGCACTTATGGTGGCCTCTGCCGTACGCCCTTAGTTGATAGTCTTAATTGCTGGAGCCTTAGCGTCCGAGAGCGAACCACTGCGCATCCTGAAATGATGATCTTCCACGCGCAGGCAGGGATAGCTGATCTGGTTCTGACACGAACCGTCGGAGTACAGAGCAAAGAGGGCCTAGCCAACTAGATGAGGTCTCTGTCGCTGCCCTACTCTGTATCTCAGAAATCAAATTGTCGATAGAGTTTGGCGGTCAGGAGGAGTGACCACCTCCCATTCATCAACCGACGAGGATGGGAAGTCCGGCGGAGAAACCGTAATCTCCCATTCCGGGACGTTTGTCTTAGACCCCTGATGACCGTGCCCGCCAGTTTAACTAGTTCACCGGCGTTGCACCGTTTCTCTCTGCTTTTTGCTAAATTTATCGCGTCGGAGATATCATTACGCTCGTAAGGGGCTGCAGTACAGAGAGAACAGCATTGTTAGGGTTTTCCAACCTGACTGCATAGCCGGGGAGTTTTTCTTTCTTGTCCCACGTTCGGTGTACTGCAGTTGAACCCGACATGGCAGATTGAAACCGCGGAGGAGGGAAGCGTGGTCACATCCTGGTCTGGTGTAGGTGTTTAGATCAAAGAATCTGCGACCAGAGACCGGGGTGTGTGTGTGTCTGACTACTACGGACTGATCAACCTCAAGAATAAGACTGCCAATGTCCTGGTCAGACACGGCACTAAGAGGTTTAACTTTCGACTGAACCTTCCCGTGGAGGATTTGTCATTTCGCATCGTGCCAAATGCGACTGGTTTTACTCCGTACCTTGCCTTTTTATCCTCTTCAGGGCATGATCTCTCCATTTTACTTTTCTTTTCCTATTCCACCCTTTGCTTTGTTTCTCGGTTCTCAACAGTTTTGGCAGGGTGCCTGGAAGATCCATTCTCGCGTGGAAGAGAGACTTTCGGGCCGTCCGTCTCATGCTACTAGCAGTGGATGGATAGTAATAATAGTAGACAGTCTTATCGTGGGATTTTGAACCGGGATATCGTCCTGACTAGATATTAGCCTGTCGCATGGTCAGAGTCTTGGAATGATAAGAGAGGGGGGATGAAGGGCGGCATCCCCTCTCCTTGGATATGGGCAATTATTGCGTTCTCACCTGCCGCAGTCCATCCACTGAGTACAAGCTTCTTCTCCCCGCACGGGCGCAAGGACTGTGACAGGGATGCAGCAGAAGTCGATAGGCCGGACTGGGAAGCGCAGTATTACGAGGTATTGATTGTACTTTTCCAGGGAAGGATAATTATTGGTAAGTGGTAGCCCGTCCGGGTGGGAGCGGCCGCACGAGGTCAAGCCGTGATGGAGCGACTAGAGCGAGAGTGTCCCTGACTAGTAGAATAGTCAGGCGGTTCTTTCCCCCCACCACCACCGGCGCAGGAACAGCCTAGAAAAAAACAGAAAAAAAAAATAATATACGGTTAAGGATAGTTTACACTCCTGGAGATATTATTTTTATTATAGAGGAAGTATACCATAATTGCAATGGCAGCAGTACGCATATATAATACGGTTTTTATAAGTTCTGCTATGACTTCTCTTCCAACAGAGACAATGTCTACTTAAAGAGAGAGGGCAAGGTCATTCCTAAGTATCTCATGGGTGGTTCTCGCAGCCAAAGAGTACTCGAACAGGTACTTCGTCGGCCCAGCTCTCCACTCCACCTCCACCGGGCCCTCTCTGCCCCCTTTAGTGGTCAACGAACCTCTAGGTACTAACCGCTTCCTCTTTCCACCTTAACTCTTCATGGTCAAGATTGTCTCCCTGCTTTGCCATTTCCTCCCCTTCTCTCTCCGTCCGGTTCCAATTAACCTGGCTTAACCTAACCTAACCTATTATTCTCTTTCTCCCTTCTCCTCTCCCTCCCTCTCTTTCTCTTTCTCTCACGCCTTTTTCCCTCTTCTTTCCTCTTTCCCCTCCTTTGTCCTCCTCCTCCCTCTCTCTCCCTTTTCCGTTCCTTATCCAACTCCTCCCCCTCCGAGGATCAGGACCGTCCGGTATCAACACAACCGCCACTCAAGGGAGTTGTTTTTCCTCGCTTCCACACTTCATTAGATTTTTCCAATCTAGATGTGCTGTAGAGCGTGAGAAATGCCCATCAATTGAGTTCGCGGGAGTAGTTGTGATCGATCCGTCCGATCTCATCTCCGCTGTGTTTCCCTCTTTTTAGTTGCAACAACATTCCCCCCCCCCCTATTCTAATAGCCGTCCTTCCTTTCACCACCACGCCCTTTTCGACCTCTAGCAGTGCTACTGTTCTATCGACCTGCCATCCAATCTTCTAGCAAGCAAAAAAAGGAAACGGCAAAAAGTCAACAGCCAGTCGTGATTTCACTACTGTTTGGACGCAACCATCGGAACCAAGGTTCGGAGACCGCCTGCATCCCAAACGGGAAAAGTAGTCCATTACGCAACCCACGTCTGTACATACTATAATATTCCCCGTCAATCCCTTGAAAAATCGACAAAAACCATCACCATGGGTCATTCTCTGAGAGACCACGCCTCCTTCGTTCGTCCGTCCACTCGCGACCGGCCGTCAACCCGCGACCAAGGCGAGAACTCGCTTGTCGTCCCTAGTCGCACCTCCTCACTTCACTCCCGCATTACGCAACCCATCCCTTCGCAAGCCAATACGAAAGCTTCTCAGCGAACCCCCAAAACCCTCACTCATGCCTACATGGTTTGCGGTGTTGGTCGGGAACCGTCCCAATGGGTCCGGGCTCCCGCGCCAGCGCAGGGAAAGATTGGTCACATGAAAGGAGCCGTGGGCCAGTTTTGGTTGCCGGAGATCCTGGGAAGCAGTCCCCGTCTGGAACAAGATAATGAAATCGCCAAATCCTTGCATTCGGCCATGAGGGTATGTTTTTCTAAAGTCGCCGCTATCTGGAAGAATGAATGATGGCTGAAACTGACTGGCCGTAATAGGCATGCTTCCCTCACGATGTAGAGATCTGCACCGGCAAGAACCAGCCTCACTGCGTCCATCATGCCTTCGTTCTGCAGCAGGATTCCTCTCACACCCTCTACGGTATCGCCCTGCGAGTATGGTCCCGCGCAGACGACAAGCGTGCAGAAACGATCCGCGAATTGCGCAAGAAAACGGAACCCGATTTCTACGATAACCCGGAAGAGACTTACTGGATCCCATACTGCCTGAGTTTCCTTTCCCGCTACCCACTCTACGACCTCCTGGGCGACTATCTCCGTGGCATGTGGATTCATTGGAACAAGGCCACCAACTTGTTCCATGCGGAGGAGGTTTCGCGGATTCTGAGCTTTCCCGCGCCCCGCCTCAACGACCTGGTTCGCATCGATATGAAGGACTACGCTCTGTGCTATCAGTTCCCATCGTCCCCGACGGGCTTCCAGAACTTCTCCATGTGGCCCCTCTTCACCTGTCTGTCAATCCCCAATGTGGTGGGTGTTGTTGAAGCCGCCGTATCGCCGACACGTCGTATCATCTTCGTCAGCCACTACCCAGCCATGCTCACCATGGCTGCGGAAACCATCCGTTACTGCGTTCGCATTTACGAATGGAGTGGACTGTATGTCCCCGTTGTCCACGCTCGTCACATTAAGGATTTGGTTCAAGAGCCCGGCCCGTACATTCTCGGTGTCACGGCTGAATGCCGAACCCTGTTTAACGCTCCCTCTGATGCTCTGGTCGTGGATCTGGACCGCAATTTCGTCCTGACATCGAGCCCGCCCGATGTTCTGACTCCCGGTCAGCGCACCAAGTTCATCAACCGGTTGACCCAGGCCTTGAATGGTGATGTTTCACCCTCGGGTGTTCCCAACCACCTCCGTTCTGCGTATGCCGGTGGCAAACTCATCCCCGCTGGGCAGATCATCGTGATGCGGGGTGAGGTTGAGAGCGTCCAGGATCCTTCTTGGTGGAACCAGGATGCTGTGATGAACGTTATGGATCATGTGTGCGAGAAGTTGGTAAGTAACCCTTTGGGCGCAAATCATGTGTGAGTTGTTTTTCACTAACAATCTGTGTACTAGGGACGCAACACTGGCATGAAGGCCATCTTTGGTGGCTCTGTTAAGAAGCCTCTCATGACCAAGGTTTCCATGCGCCATCTGAATGAAATTGTCCGTGAGAGGAACCAGTACTCTCGCGATGCGATGGAAGCTTGGCAGGATTTCATCAACCTCAAGGGTCGCATGGACACCGAGCTCAGCAAGGTCACCAAGCGCAACAACTTCCTGGTTGAGGAGCTGGAGACCTGGAAGCAGCAGGTTCGTTCCCCTTCCCTGCATTCCTCGTGTAGAATTCGGAGACTAACCCCATGTAGTTCCTCAAGTTCCAGGCTTTCGCTGAGACGCTCACCAAGGAAACATCTGAGCTCAAGGTTAAGATTGAGAACCACAAGCGCGAGAATCGTCGTCTTACTGGTCTCATTGACCAGCAGAAGGATGATGTGGCTCGTCTCTCTCTCCGCCTGTCCGGCACGGAGAAGCAGCGTGACGATGCTCTGGAAGCGTTGGTTCTCCAACAGGAAATTGCTGAAGAGCTCGAACGCGAGAGGAAGCGCAACCAGAAGGAGCTTGCTTCTTTGCAGCACTCCAATGCCTCCCTCACGCGGCAACGCGATGAGGCCCAGCGCGTGGTGCTGGGTCTCCGCAGCCTTATTAATGGCCAGACACATCACATGGAGCACATTGTCCGTTCGATTGGTAGCTCTACCGACCTGACCGAGCTGCCCGAACCGGAGGCCGCCGTCGAGGCCAAGGAAGCCGGACAGGATGCTGAGACACCGAGAGAATCTGCTGTGTCATCGCGACGCTCTAGTGCCAACATCTCGGCGAAGAGCGTCGCCAACAATGTGAGCCCTGACTTGGAGCAACATCTCCTCAGCATGGGTAAAAGTCACAACCGTCTTGCACGTCTCAGCATAACTGATGTTGCAGATCGCTACCTGCGTGACAAGACTGATGCAATTTCCGACATCATCCGCAGCATCAGTGAGCAGTGTGCTGCCGCTGTGGAAGGCCTACAGCTCGCTCAAGATGCCGAGGATGATGACCTCCCCGCATCCGGCAAGACAACCCCAAATGGAAGCCGTCGTCTGACGACTGACGGACTTCGTGGGCACTTGACACCAGCTGGTAGTGAGATGGGAGACGGCGACAACCACTCGCTGCACCCCGACCACCGGCGCTCTAGTGTCCCGCCGACCCCAGACCTGGTGCACAACCGGCCCAGCACATCGATGTCGATGGTCAGCAGCTCGACGTTCCCGGAGAGGTCGAGTCAACAATATGGGCCGGGCGAGATCCCGACCCGGATCATCGAGGATGATGATGAGCGCGCTCATGAGACCGATGGTCTTGATGACCACACTGAGACAGGCACTCTGTCCAAGCAGGCCAGCGAGGACCTCATTCGGGCCGGCTCTTCCCGACTGGTTGCGTAATTGTCTCTTTAGAACGACGATGCAACGCTTGATTTCGACGACTTTTGACGCGACGTCTGCTCCTACCATCTTGTCCGAATTAGAGCGAGTTGTGGCCACTCTTTGGCATTGATTTATATGCCTTGAATTTCTTCGACACCTTTCTGTTATCTCACCTTTCTTTTTCATCTGGAGATTCCCATTGTTTTTTTTTTATTACTCCGTGACTCTACCCAGGCGTTGTTTTCCTTCACATTCCTCGGGAGCACCATGTGACCCCAGTTGTTTTCACGGGACGGCTATATTGATTGCTTTGGTTATTCCCACCTGCCATCCCGTCTTTATACCACTTTTGCCTTCTTGAGAGTCCATGGACTTCTCCCGCCTTGTAGTAGATCATTTGGCTTCCACTCGTTGGACCGACCCCTCATTCACCCGAATTTCCTATCTGTCATCCTCCTGTTTCCATTTGTCCATACTTCTACCTGTTGACTAGGGCAGCTTTGAAAGCTGCTAGCTGGAGTATAAGAGATACACTGGATTGGTTCCAGCCAATTCCCTACCGCAACAAAAAAGCCTCTGCGGTCCTCTGAATGTAATTGTTGGTTTACAAATCTCATTTGAAGACTATGTATTTATTTTAGAAGAGTAATTTGAGTAACCTGATAAACCTGATAGATAGCATGCTGGATACCCACTATGCCAACTTGCCCGGCACAAACGGATGTCCAGCACTGAGACCACCACACACGGCCCAAGCCTGCCCATTAACATAGCTACTCTCATCACTCCCCAGGAACAATGCCACCCGAGCTACCTCATCCGCAACCGCTCCGCGCTGCAGAGGATTCAGCTGCCCGACCTTCCGCTCCGTGCCTCGCGCCCGTGCGGCATCAAACATCGCCTGAGTCATGCCTGTCTCGATCAACCCCGGACAAATCGCATTGACGCGGATCCCCGTCCCAGCCAACTGATACGCACACGTCTGGGCAACGGAAACAACCGCCGCCTTGGAAGCAGAGTAATCCGTCGAACCACCATTAGAGCGCAGGCCGGCAATAGAGGCTGTGCAAATAATAGAACCTCCGGGGTACCGCTTCGTCTCTGAGGTACGCTTCATACCCTCGGAAGCGTATTTGGCTGCTAGGAAGACACTATTTCAAGAACCATATTAGGATTTCACTCCCTTGATGCAGATAGGATGCTCACCTAGCCACATTCGTATTCAACGTCTTCATCAATTCCTCCGCTGTAACCTCAGTGAAGATCTTCGGCTGGCCCACGATGCCCGCATTGGCGAAAAATATATCCAGTCGGTTATACTTCTCTAGTGCGTCGTGCACGACTGCTCTGACGGCTCCTTCGTCGGCCGCGTCGAATTGGCGGATGTGAATGTCTACACCGGGATACAGGGATTCAATCTCCCGCTTGTGTGTTGCCAGGTGGCTGTCGGCGTAGTCGCAGATGTAGATGGCTTTGGCGCCGTTGTGGGCATATTGGTGCGCTGCGGCGCGGCCGATGCCTGCGGGGGAGTTGGCTCCTGGTTGCTATTAGTATGTGTTTCTATGTGTGTGTGTATGTGTGCAAGCTGGTAGTGAGTAGTATGTTGAAGGGGAGTGTTTACCGGTTACAATTGCGACTTTGTCCTTGACTCGGCTGGTTCGGTGGTACGTTGTTAGTTTTGAGGGAAGTATGTATACAAGGAGTTGTAAGTATATGCTCACGGTCCGACAGAATCGCCAGCAACCTGGCGGATGCGAGGAATGCCCTCGAATGTGCCTGCATCCGGAATGCCTTCCACCAATTGCTGGCTCACGGCTTGGAGACGACGTTTGGCTACTGAGGACATGATGGATGAAGTATGGAGAACAGAAATATGACCGCGTTGATTAGCTCCACGTATTGGAGATTTGGCCTTTATGTCAGACAATTATCCTGTAAACCTGGGAGAGAAGAGTGTAACAGGTTGTCTTTACACCGATCGGAAGTCAACAACCATCTTACTTGTCCTACGAGGTCGATCTCCCCCATTGCAGCCTCCAGAATGACACCCGGTGGCTGCGGAGAACCGAGGCTGAGGGTCAGGTGACGGAGAGCAGAAGCCGAGGGAGGGAGATGCTGAGCCTGAGGCATCATATCCCGTCGGAGTTAAGGCATCCTCACCGCCGGAGATGAAGATCGACGATCCCTAAATTTCAGGCACCCAGGTCCTCTTACATAAGCGTGAGCTGGCGGCATGCCAAGTCACATGGCTGCAGCCACACGTCATGGTCCGTTCGTTCGGCTCCCCAAAGCAGCTGGCATTCCAGACCCTGGCTGCTACTCTCTCCTCCCTCAATTTTTCCCCCCGCGTTCCTGTCATTCCTTGCCTCCGTCTCAGCATCGACCTCCTTCTTCCGCGGCTTTACTTTGCAATTCTACCAGTTTTTTCTTCGTCTTGCGGTTTAGCGTGCGGGTGTTGTCTTCATCTCCGGTTGCTCAGTTCGACCATCTGCCGCACAAACAAAGTCGCAAACAGCGGAAACCGGCCTCAGGTAGCACAGCAAGAACACAAAGCTAGAGGCTATAAAAAGACACACGCCGGTGATCCTACTTATTAAACTCCGCATTCCCGTCTCAGAAACCACGCAAAGAAGATAGAACGAAAAAACGAAGCATACATGAAGGCCGCAGTCCAAGTATCTGGCTCTGTTCACCGCCCCTCGAGTCATGGCGGAGTGCGATATCCCACAACTACCGCGTCGTTCCTCGTCTCGGACCTCCTCCTCTTCCCGGCGAAGTCAGAAGGCTAAGACCGTCCGTGCCCGCTCGCAAAAACGTAATTCGGCCTCTTCCAGTGCCACAGCCACCGACCTGACCTCGTTCCCTTCGCTCTCCCCAGACCGCTCCCCAGAGGGGTTCGTCGGCCAGCCCGCGCTGAACCGTGCGTTGACCAATGCCTTGTTGGAAGGTGAAGAAGGTAGTGAAAGTACACCGGATGTCAATCGAGATCGGAGGTCTACCTTGGCCAGGCTGACGGGTGGCTCGACACCGAGCCCTGGCCGTGCTGCCCTGTTCGGGGATTCGGTGCCCATTCGTGATTTTCCGGGGGCGTTGCACCTGGCGGATGATTCTCATATTGAGCGTCTGATTGCGAGTACCGGTGCTGTTAAGCTGGTGCGACAGTTCGCCCGTGATTTGGCACAGCGCGATGCGGAGATTTCAGCTCTGCGACAGCGGGCTGATGCGAGGGAGAGGGAGTTGAAGAGGATGCTTCGGGAGGTTTCTGTCTCGAATCAGGACATTGAGCGTCGACTATATCAGCTGGAAAATGCGCCGTTGGGCGATGAAGCTAGTCAGGAACATGGTGGCAACACCGAACAACCAGGGAGCTCCGCCTCCAGTATGCACGGACTGATGCAGCAGGCGATGATTGATGGGCTTGGATCTCATGTTCATGAGGAAGGCACAGACGCTGCTTCAAATCATGTGCAGGCTACTGTTCGAGGCCCCCAGCGTCTCGATAGCGATGCACGCTCTGGCAATTCTAGCGTGGAGTCGGGGACAAATCGCAAGAGACACGGGTCCATTCGAAGTTGGCAGGAATTTATTTTCGGTAATACGACGAGTAGCCGGAAGACGAGTCGGGCGAGCAGCGTGATGGGTGAGGTCGAAGAGGAAGAAACCCAGCGTCAGCGAAATCTTACCAACCCCTCTAGTCGCCGAAAAGCGCTGGACGAGCAACTATTTCAGCCTCCAGAAGGCCAAGTAGGGCCTAGTGCGGGTGAAGTTGCTGGGAAACATCTCAATGCATCCACTGGCGGAGACGACGCCAGTACTCACTCACGCAAGTCATCCAAGTCGCTGTCCTCGTGGACGGTCAAGTTGTTTGCTGGGAACTCACAAGCGAAGGACGAGACCAATAGTGATGATGGCCGCGGCAGAGCTTCATCCACGAATTGGGGTAGTAGCAAAGGTGTATCTCCTGCGCTCCCCCCTAATGCTAAGGGGCCTGTTTCAGCCATGGCCGCACTGAAGCGGATCAATAGCAATACTAGCGTGCACAGCGCTCCTGGGCGGGCAACTGGGCCCAACAGCGTGGCCAAATCTGGCCAAATCAGCCGGAGGCAACCATCTGCAAGTGTTTCGCAAGGAACGAACCCGGACGCTACAGCTAAAAACGCGACCAGCCTCGGGCCCGTTGAGATGGATGCCATTCTTCCCCTGGAATCAAGACCCCCTACTCTTTCGAACATGTACAACAACTACCAGCCAGGCGAGTTGCTGACTGACCGTTTTGGATTCATCTACGACCAGCGTCGGAAGAAAAGACAAAGGGAGGCGAACGCTTTCAGGAATGCCGGAGGCAGCAACCGGCTCAGCATTGCGGAAACTCTCAGCAGCTTACGGAGCGACGCTTCCGATGGTGATGATGCATCCGACTCTTTGAAGCAACTACAGCCAGTGCCAGAGCCTCAGCCTTCGCCTGTGTCTGCGTCCCCCGAGATCCCGGAAACTGGTACAGTCGCACTTCGGAGATGGCAAGATTACCTGAGGGTACCCACGGGACCGGCAGAGTTGCTGTCACATACGCCCTCAGCTGGTCCTATCGTATCCCTCACCACAGCAGGCGACAGCTCACCTCGCAATTCTGCTGTGGCTGTCGACAAACGTGGCGCAGTTTCTGTCAATTCGAACTCTCAGCCATCGGCATCTACATCGACAGTAGTCGCAGACCGCCCCGAGTTTGCCGGAGTAACCTCCGACGAGCCAGCGACATTAAGTCTGGCTGCAGGCGAGAATGAGCCCGTCAAGTTGCTGCTCGAGCAATTGACGGAACTACATGACTCCCTACAACGTGATCGGACCGTGCGGTGGAACGAGTTCCTGCGCAAAGTGCGTGCAGAGCGCAGAAAAGACGGCGAAGCTGCCGCAGCAGCGGCCGCCACCTCGGACCGCGCGCTACAGTCTGTCGACATGCCTGAAGCATCGCTCGCCGATGGCGAAGTGGTGGGTATTTCTGGCCTAGGTAACAAGGGAAAAGTCGGCCGTGCTAAATGGCGCGAGTTCCGGGTCCTCGTACTGGGTGGTATTCCAGTTGCCCTGCGGGCAAAGGTCTGGTCCGAATGCAGCGGCGCTTCTTCGATGCGGGTACCTGGTTACTACGATGACCTGGTGAAGGGCACCGGTGGCTTGGAGCCCGACTCGTCGGTCGTCGCCCAGATTGACATGGATATCAACCGGACTCTCACCGACAATGTGTTCTTCCGCCGAGGACCCGGCGTTACCAAGCTCAAGGAGGTGCTTCTGGCCTACTCCCGTCGCAACCCGGAGGTCGGCTACTGCCAGGGCATGAACCTCATCGCCGCATCTCTTCTGCTGATCACCCCAACTGCTGAAGACGCCTTTTGGCTCCTCACGTCCATGATTGAGGTGATCCTTCCCGAACACTACTACGATCATGGCCTGCTAGCCTCCCGAGCCGACCAAGTGGTACTGCGCCAGTACATCGCCGAAATCCTGCCTAAGCTATCCGCTCATCTCGAGAGTCTGGGCGTTGAACTTGAGGCGTTGACGTTCCAATGGTTCCTCTCCGTCTTCACCGACTGCCTCTCAGCCGAAGCCCTCTACCGCGTGTGGGACGTAGTCCTGTGTCTGAATGTAACCAGCGCCGTCAACAACCCTTCCGCCACCGGCACAGCCAATGCCCCTTCTTCCACCTCCACGACGGACCCCAACGACTCGAACCCCAGCGCCAGCGGCAACGGGGGCGGCAGCACATTCCTATTCCAAGTAGCTCTCGCCCTTCTCAAACTCAACGAGCAACAACTCCTCACCACCTGCTCCACCCCAGCCGAATTGTATACCTACATCAACCATCAAATGACCAACCACGCCATCAGCATCGACGGCCTCATCCAAGCCAGCGAAGCTCTTCGGAACGTCGTCCGGCGCGAAGACGTGGTCGCCCGTCGTGCGGAAGCTCTCCGTGAGATGCAGGAGTTCACGCGAAGCCGCCCGACCTCGTCAGGGGATAGTTAAGAGGATTCCCAACTAAAATAAATTCTCCGCTGAAAGAGGAAGAAATAAGAAAAGAAAATAAATAAAAGGAACGCATGACATCAAATTCCAGTTTCTCTTCAACATGTCTTTATCTGCAACTCCATCATTGCATGATACCATTGTGTTAATTTGTGTTGTGTATCTTTGTCGCTATATTTTGTTGCCCCATGCCATGCCCTTATAGACGAATGGACTGCTCCGGGTTTTTAAATTTTTCCTTTTTTCCCAGCCATCACTCATCACTCATGATACGAATGTACTGAACTTCTGTAACGAACTAGTTCAATGTTACTAGCGCAGCGTTGGATATTATATGTTGTTCTCTTGCATCATGCGTCGTGTAAGAAATATATTTCAGGTATACATTCCTTGACTTGCTACGTTCTTAGTGACTATGCCTAGATATTCAACATAAGACAATTGAATATCGTCATCTAGTATCTGTTTTTCTGTTGGGTACTACTACTAGTAGGTATTATTACGGATATGTAGGAAGAGAATGTACTTACGTGTCCAACTGGATGCTGCTGCTACTAGTACTACTCCACATTAGGTATATAGTAGTAGTACGAGTTATCCGTTCACTTTTAGGGGTCTGTGAGCATGATTTAAGCACTGCAGTTTTGTTCCAATTGAACACTAGTGAGTGATCATTTGTCTATTGAAACCTTGCCATGCTATGCGAGAACTTGACGGCTATCGATTCCTACATATTCCTGAAACATAGTACTATTCATTCAACCACCCTGGGCATTTGTACATAAATCACAATTGAAGCTAATGTGAACAAGCTACCGGCCAAGGCACTTCTTTCGTTAAGTCATTTCAGGAAAGATCAAACCAGGATAGCTGGTAGACGGGCAGAATATAGCTGTTCTTATTTTTGAAACAGATAAAAGAAACATATAAATGAATAATAACCCCCCTAAGCGCATGGGATCCCCAGCGGATCAATGAAATCAACTCGTTGGCATCATCTCAGTGTCTTCTTTTTGGACAAGCAATCATTATCAGTCGGGGAGGGGTATCATTGCCATGGTAGGTAAATATCGACAGGAAAAAAAGAAGGGGCTTGTGCAAGGGTCGATCAATAAGCGACCCGGAATTCATGTGCATATAGATTGGAGCCCCACCTCTTTACCTGGCCATCGGAAGGAGGTCGGGTATCCAAAACCGACTGTTGTCGAGGACGGTGGTCAGATCGATCTCGGGCATGGTAGGCCGAAGACCAAGGTCCATCACATCGCGGGCGACGGCCTTGATCTGATGCATAATGGTCTGCGAAATCGCCCAGGTCCGTCCCAGGGTCTTGAAAACGCCAATGGTAAGCGTCAGCCGGTCACGGCTGGGGTCGGGCATCTGCCCGGCTTTGACAGAGCATGCAGCCAACTGCACCATGGAGCTGAGGACCAGCGCACAGATGAAGAAGGGCGTGTGCTTCACAACTGGCATGCGGATAGACGCCAGCGAGGAGATCTCGCTGGCTGCCTTCACCGCCTTCATGGCATGCGCATGATGCGAGAAGGCCGGGATGCTCAGCGGCCCGTGATGGCCGCAGATAACCTCCGCTGCCACCGCTGGGGACGACAGCAGGTCAGATCTCGGGAAATGGAGGTAAATTGCAGAGCCGTTGACAATCATTGTCGCTTGGAACATCATCTCGTCGACCGACCCGTCCGGGCGCAGCAGTTCGGCCTTGTTCTCGGGCAGGTGGTGGAAGAAACTGGTAATCCGCGCGTCAATGGCCTCGACATGGTCCTGTTGGCCCTCAATCATGTCTTGGATGGACACTACGCGTCCCAGGATGCGAACAGCCTCGATTCGGTAAGTGAAGGAAGAGAAATCCCGCTCCTCGTCTGCAAAGACACGCTCGTCGAATTGCGCAACGGTAGGCGCAGGCGGAGGCGGGAGGGCATCCTGATAGATACGCTCCTCACAGGGCAATGGTACCTCGAGCGGCCCAGAATTGCACCGAAAAGCTGGCTGAACACCCAGTGCAGTCAGCATGCCTTCAATAATGAACAGCTCCCACCAGGTACGCCTCAAGCTCTCTTCCCGCACCGGGTCGCCATTGCTGAGCATCGGCGCAGCGTCTCTCGTGTTCAACCTCAACTCAAAGGCCAGATTAACAGCCGTCGTGACGCACTCGCCCGCCTTCTGTCGCTCATTGCGGGAATGCAAGACAATGGCGAGAAGCACCAGGGCCTGCAATTTCTCGATAGACCCTTCCTGGTCCATCACGGAGGACATTACCGACGGCCTGTAGTTCTCACTGTTGGCGGCCGGAGTGAAGTGGGTCCCAATGAATTTGATGACATGCTCCAGGAACGCAGGCACGGGATTGCGGTAAAGGACACGGTGCGGCGGCAAGACCGGGTGGGAAGGATGAAAGTAGGTATAGAAGATGTCGATAAGATAGCCATCGCCGGCAATGGTAGAGATCGAGTCCGGAGTCATGGGGCTATTGGAGACGCCGACCGGCTGCGAGTGCGAGGAGCCGGAATGATCTGTCAGAGCGGGACTGCCGGACGGCAAGGAAGAGGAGGGCAGGGAAGTCGGCACGGGGGTAGTGGTGGCTGGCACCGCATAGGACATGGGCATGTTACTCGCCAGAGTCCAGTCAGACGGCACATTGAAGTATTGGGGCTCGAACGAGGTCGACATGTCGGCAGGGAGTTGGTCGGGGGAGGATGGATTGGCTCGACGCTTCTTCGAGGGGCCCTTGTACCCGCGACGCGACGGGGTGTATTGACATTCAGATCCTGTAGCGGAACAACGACCGCAGACAGGAGTCTTTCCATCACATTTTAGGTGCTTGTGTCGGCACAGCAGACAGGCAAGCAGCGACGGGCCCGAGTTTTTGGCAGAACCGGAGTCCTTGACGGAGATGAACGAGTTTTGTTGGATACCTTGATCCATGTTGATGGCGGAACAATCACTGTTGGTTACTGAGAATTAATAAGCGGGTGGTCTCATTTGCGCAATTCCAGCACCATGCAGAGCGAAAGAGAACAAGGAAGCAAAAAAGAAAGCTCCGGCGGGGTTCAGAGTGATCAGACACAAATTGAAACCCAGCAGGAGAGAAAGAGGGAGAGAGAAAGAAAGACGGCAGCGGAAGTTCGGTACAAGCGGGGGTGACGGCGGAAAGGAAGGTTTTATGGAAGCACAGAAAAAAAAGCGGGCGGGAAGTGAGGTGGGTGGGGGGAAAGGGGAGAAGGAGATGAAGGAGAAGCAGAAAATAGAACAAAAAGGAACCAGGGATGGAAAGCAAGACGATGGATGCAATCGGAGAAGGCCGAATTGATTGATTCCAAGACGATGACTGGCAGGAAGGGATATTGATTAACTAGCACTAGACACAACGGCGACACGAATCATGCATGACGACCAGTGCAGTAGAGGGGGAAAAAAAGAGACATACCAACTTTTCTGCTGCTTCCTTTATGCTCCTAATCCTATTCTGCCTTTTGACAGGCTGAAGGATGATCGATCAGACCAGCCAGACGTTGCTTTAGCTCGAGTCTCCACCGACAGCCGCCGCAGCATCTCACCATTCACGCTTCACGATTCGGAATGGCCGGTGAGGGTGGAGCTGCAGCGATCGAATGTGACACAGAGAGAGGGCGAGCAGCAACAAAGGGAAGACTCGAACAGTTGTCGGGGGGAGCGGAAGAGGGATAAAATGATTTGGAATGGTCCTCTTGAAGGTTGGACAAGTAGTGGTGGCCGAGTTAGTATTGTGTAGCTAGTTGATCGATAGTTCAGAAAGAGAGTCAGTAGTTGGTTGGTGGTGGATGATGGAGAAGTTGATGATGCTGACTGAGCCGGTAACTTACGTACTGCATCTATACCAAAGTAAGATAATTACCAACTAACTAAACTGGTCAACTACTGTATCTATCTACTAAGTTAACAAGCAAGCAATAACCACCTAACAGATCAATCAATCTCCTTCCTGTTCTTTACTTCCCCTCCTACAAAATCTTGTTTTCACTTTCCTTCCAAACAGGTAAGCTTTCCCGTAGGCAAATCCATCAACCATAGACCACTCTTCTATGGTTCGAATCCATTCCTCCTTCTCCTCACCCCCCCAATCGGGTTTTCTCTATTCCCTCCTCCATCTCCGACTAAGTATCAACGTGGCTTCCGCGCAACCACACCTCCGTCATCGCACCAACAACACCACTCTTTTCTCCCTCTCTCCCTCCCCTTTCTCTCACTTGCCAACAAACAAAAGTCTACTAGCTATTCGCTCAGTTACTTACTCATATCTTCGGCGCAACCAATCAGTCCATCCCTCCCATCACAAGAACAACTATTCAACCGATAAATCAATACCTACTACTTCTCCTCCACAATGATCACCGACGACGAGCTCCACCGTCTGGCCGTCTTCCTCGGCTCCTGCGCCATGATGATGATCGTTCTCTACCACTTCCTCGAAGTCAATGCGAAGGATGATGACGAAGAAGTCGACGTCAAAAACAACAACAGCAAGCAATCTACGGGCGCGTCGTCGGCTGGTTCGACTACCGCATGATTTGATTAGATTTGGTTTGGTCTTGAGATTGCTTGGGAGGGTGTTGATAATCCGTTAATGTTATCATCGTTGTTGGGCGATGGATTTGGTTTGGTTTTGGGCTTGCGGTACTACTACATGTATGGTCTATTGTTCCTGAGCGCGCAAAGGTGACAAGGGGGATGGTTGCAAAAGCGTGGTGGAACAGAACAGAAAAGTGGCGATGAATAGATACCCCGGTGGTCGTCGTCAAAATAAACTACTTATTTCCTCTTCTTCTCCAGGTAATCGGATATGGATCGATCGATTATCTATATGTTACATTGGTGATGTTGCTATGGTTTACAATGGTGTATCTCGGGAAGATCTGCATGCTGAATGCGAACACAACACCGTGGCTCAAAACATTCGCTGAATACCATCGCCGCTGTCGAATGCCATGCCTGTAAAGCGAAACGGATAAAATTACAATGAATAAAACGTGAGGGTATCACAAATCACGGTTCTTTCAGGTCGCTGGCACCACCTCGTAAACATCTTCGTCATTGCTCAATCGCTCATTCCGCGCCGGAGTCGCGAGCTCACATCCGCCCGGGTCCAGTCCGACTCCGATTTGCTCCTTCAGTCGCTGGACTGCTTTGAGAATCTCCCGGGCCTTCTCCTGTTGGGTATTATTCCCATGCACTCGGTTGAAGGCACGGATAGAACTGTAGCTGGCAGGGAATATAAGTGAGTCTTCAGTATTGGGCTGTGCGGTGTCCAAAATGCCCAAGGGCCCAGGACTGCCGCTAGCATCGTTTCCCACTAGATCGCACAAGTCAAAGTTAAAAAGTCAATCACTACTTCGAACATCAAACTAGTCGCAAGCTGAAAGTTTGCAATCATCCAGCAGATGCTTTCTCACCAGTTAGAGGCACCGCGGGCCCATCCCCCAGCTTCCATGCGATCGGTTCCAGATGCTCCTTCTTCACATGTTTGAACAAAGCTGCGGCAGGTAGGGCATCCGGGAACGAGCACCCCCTCCACGCGCAATTGAGCGTCTGGGATACGTGCACCTTGAAGACATGCTTCTTCAGTCCATCCAGGTTGTGCAGCTGGGCCTGGCAGTTCGTCCAATCACATGCAAAGACCGGGTACGGAACCGACGCCGGTATGGGAGTTTGCTGGGGCTGCTGCCGCGCCTTCGAGCTGCCCGGGGGTCGACCCGGTCCTCTCTTGCCCGTCATGGGTGTCACTTGCGTCGTCGTGATAGGTACACTTGATTGGGATGGGGGCTGCGGGGTCGACGGTGGTTGCGGCCGCGTTTGTGGTAGCGGGGTCGCTGCTGAGACAGATGGGCGGTTCTGTGGCTGAGGAGCAGCCTTAGAAAGACCAACGGGCGGACCCGACACCGGCTGACCCTGCAGCGGCTGCGAAGACGGATATTGCCGTACCGGCTGTGACTGGGGAAGTGGTGGTGGTTGCCGGGATTGTGGTGGAGGGGGCAGACTAGTGTTGGTGTTGTTCGGAAGGACAGGCAGAGAAGGCGCGGGACGCGGCCGCGGCTGCGGCTTTGGCGGACCTTGGTCACGTGGCTCCAGCGCGTCGACCAGATCCCAGCGAAAGGTCGACAGGTCCGACGAACTGTCCACATGAACGAAAACATCGCGCAAGCGAAGAAGATGATGGTTCAGTGCCTCCTCCTTTGGATGGCGGCCTGCTGCAATGAGGACGTCTCTGGCGATCGTCTTCGGGTCATAGATCACCTTATCCACGGCGTCTTCCTCACGTAGCGGCGTAACAATGTCGGCACGCGATTTTAGATAGCTTTTAGATGCAGGGAACCCGGAGCCTGCTATTTGTGGTGAATAATTGTAGATAGAGAGCCCTCCAGCTGGAGGATTCTCAGCAGGCGCTGTTGCGTAGCTGGGCAATGAGGGTTGCCCGGATGATCGTTTAGAGGTGGATGGGGCCGCTATCCGACGTCTCTTAGCATCATGACCTGGTTCACTACCGTTTCCAGTGGTATTTCCTTGCTGCATCGTAGATTGCGGGGCTGTATGCGTTATATGCGCAGGCGGAATAGGCGGAGGCGCTGGATTCGACGGCTGGGCAGTTGGGACGGTCACTGGAGGAGCCGAGTTGGATGTCTGAGCTGAAATTGTCGGAGTAGTGTGTGAACTCGTTTGAGGTGCTGTCATTGGCGGATTTGAAGGATGTGTAGTAAATTGCGTCGGTGGCATGGGTGAAGGACGTGAATTGGGAGCTTGGGCTGGTGTAGGCGGCAGTGCAGTATTGGATGTCTGCAGTAGCAGGGGCGAAATGACAGCATTCGAGGACTGGACATGAGGTTGGCTTGAGGTTACGGTAGAAGAGGGCTGGGCATGATGCAGACTCGAGGGCACAGAGCCCGACGTCTGAGGCGGGGTCGGTCTGGACGGTGCCTGTGGGATTGAATGTGGCGCTGGATATGAGGCCGGCTGATACCCTGGAGGGGGGCCTGGGTTGGACTGAGGCGCCGGTCGAGACATTCGCGAAGGGGGCGGCTTATACCCTGCTGGAGGGCCAGTCCTGTGTGTCTGCACCGGCTTTGGCAACTGATGCGCACGTGTATATTCCTGCGAAGGAGGGGGTCTCGGTGATTTAGAGGGCAGCGACTTCGGTCCAAAAGGAGCAGCAAACCGAGACGAGCTCTCAGTATGCGAGCCTGGGGGCGGTGCCACGGTCGAAGCTTGGGGGTACTGCATTTGGTGAGACCGAGAACTGGAGGTGTGATGTTGGTTTTCTGGAAATGAGCCAGGCCTCACGTCCCTCTCGTTTGAGTACTGATATCCATGTGATCCGGCAGAGCCATTGTGGGCAGCTGTATAAGACGACGACGGGGGCATAGCAAAGTAGGGATTCGACTGATAGAATGCTGCATGATCATCGACCCCCTGAGCTTCCGGGTCATATCCATGGTGCAGGTAACTTTCCAGCCATTGCAAGTCTTCGCTTGACATCTTGCGCAGCTGATGAGGCAGACGGGTATCAAGTATGGTGCCAATTCCTTGCCGTCGGCATCATTTCTGACGTACAAGACTGGGAGTATATGAAACTGTTTCAGAAAATGTGTCCCGAGCTGGCCTTCACTGTGACCGTACCAAACAGCATAGAACTTCTCAGAGAAATCATGCTAAATGGTCGGCGTGACGCGACCGCATCGGAAGAGGGGATTGGCGGCGCGCATGAAAGAGGCTCGACGATACAAATTCCCCACCGCCTTACGCGGGCGGTGAGTCGCGACCGGAGCTGTCCCCGCGCTGGCCAATCGGAAGCAGGATCAGCATTAAGCGGAGTGTCACGTGGCGCACACTTTTCAGGCTCGACTATTTATTTTGCAACTTCCAACTTCTTCCTGTGATTCCTAAGGTGTAGTAAGTTGGACACGATGGTTTCTGAACCAGAACCAACAGACACAATCATTTGAGATGATGGCTGACAAAAGCAATCTTTGTGCTTTTCGAAGCTCTTCAGCACTGAGCCAAATCTGGCTAAGAATCACGAGCATCGCCAACACCTCACCCTTCCCCTAGGGCCTTGCAATTCATGTTTCGTTGCAAGGAGGTAGACAGCATTGGCTCCTCAGGACGTATTGCACGCTCTACTTTCCCATTGTCTTATCCATATCACGACTTCCGAAGAATATAGTTCTCTCATTTCAACGCGCCAGATTATCTCCTCATCAATCCCCTCACTTCGGACGGACTACCATGGTTGAAGAGGTATACGGCTGGCGCAGAAGGAATTGCAGATATGCATTTACATCTAGACAAAGTCTGGATCGCGTTCTGCCTCGCTTGCAGACCCGCACTGAGCTTCTCGCAAGGACGCTGCGGGTTTGAGAGTGAGATACATGCTGTTGTAGATATTATCTATAGTATATATATATGGTTGAATAGTATGATTTTTGATTGAGTTTTGTCCATTGTTGAGTCAGTGATGTGGTCGTTGTCTGGTACTGCTGTGAGCTTGGTAGGTCGCGTAAGAGATGTGGTGTGAGTGTCTTGATGGTTGGATGGATTTCAGCGGTGATATTAAGGGAGCCAGTTGAGTAGCACTTGCTACTAAGTGTTGACTGATAGATTCATTTACTCCGGTGTGTACAACTTTGAATGTGTTTCCAAGTGGATATAGTCTTCTTAAGTAAGACTACAGGTACTTATCCAGTACCAACATCATACCACTCAATCGAAAGACACGCTAGACGTTATCACATTGGGATACCCCAGGAGTAAATATAGATACCTAAAAGTATGAATACCAGCCGCAGTCATCATATCATACAAACAAACAGAAAGGCATATGTCCCGCTCAATTGGCCGAAAACCAGACAATCGTAAGCCGTTCCTCCACCTCATAATCACCACGAAGACAAGAATAAGATACACCATCGCATCGCATCAAACCATATTTCCACCACCACTTACTGACTCTGCCCAACACACCTCCCCCAAGCGGGCAACCCGCACCCCATCCCCACAAACAAATACACCAAGAACACAACCACAACAGCCAACAAAACCATCAACTTGATATTCTTCCACCACATACGTCTCCTCAAGCCACGACTCCTAATGCGAAAATCATGCGCACTCCCACCCAAGCGATCCGTCTTATCCACCAGGAGATCAATCCGCTCTCCCCTCTCCAACACTCTCTCAATATTCTCCGTCATGATGTTCCGCACGCTATCGATTTCCCGTCTTGCCGAGGCCAGCGAATCCGCCGGCGGGGCCGTATTGTACGTTTGCAGCAGCGAGCGGAGCTCATTGTTGAACGCGGCGCAGCCGTAAGCCGGGAGAGCAGAGAAGTCCGTGCTGGAGGGTGAGTAAGTAGAGAGGAACTTGCGCTTGATTTCGAGGAGGAAGGCGAAGGGAATGCGGCGGCCTTGTTCGGCGGTTGCGACGACGATGTAGCTGAGGGGCGCATAGGAGTTGGGTTCGCCCTGGCGGGGGTCGTCGGAGGTGCTGGGTGTTGTGGGCGAGTCGGCGATGTAGTGCACGAAGAGACGCTCGTGGGTGTAGGTGAGCTTTTGCGGTTGGTCGTGACTGATTTTTGGGAGGATGATAGAGGCCAGGGACGAGGCGGCGGTCGAGGATGTGCCTGGGGAGGAGTGTTCGGCAAGAATGGTTGTGCGGTGGGCGATGCAGGAACTGTAGATATGGGTGAGTGATTAGTTGGAGATGCTATTTGAGGGAGAAGATAGATGTCGCGGTGTGCTGCTGTCCAGCTGCTGTTTGAATCACGTACTAGAGCAGGAAGCTCGATGGCTTCGATGAGGAGGCGGCCATGATGGTTTGATAACGCGATTATGTACTCAGTTCGCTATACAAGACGGAGAAAAGTGTAAGATCGATCTAGGCGAGTCCGGGCCCCTGCCTTGGACTGTGGAGGAGGGATTAATGCGAGGGATTATTTGGCGATAAGATCACCGCTCCGTGACGTCGCCGCCCAGACTGTTAACTCCCCGGATTCTATCACGTGATAGATACTATACTACAGCGTACAGCGCATCATATCTATTCATTGATTGGTTGGTACTTTACTATTTTCTAATATTCATGACGATTAAAACATATTCAACTCAAGTTCTCTTGATGTCAATGGATCACTTCGAGAAAGCTTCTACCCCAAGAGACAGGTCCTCCAGCATCTCCGAAGCCTCCCCAACCGGCCCATCACTCGGGGTGTCCACAATCACCGTGTCATTGTCCTCGCTATCAGTATCGAAGCAATCATCAACGTCGTCCGCCGATGTATTCATGTCTATGGAAAGGTCGCTTGTGTCTGCGGGCGCCTCATCCGGAATTGGCTCATGGCTTTCATCTACCGTGGCGTGCGCCTCTGAGGAATTCATGCTGACGACGTCCGTCCAGTAGCTTCCCGTGGCCTTATGAGACGCACGCTGGACCGTACTTTGATACTCGCTTGGGGCGAAATTGGAGTAAGAAGTGGTCGAGTGGACAGTACTTCCTGTGTGGATTGTAGGTCCTGGCATGGAGAATCCACCCGTCTCGAGATTAGGTATCCCTTGATCTGTGAAAACGCCGCCGGACCCATCATCATCACCCCCCGCCCACAGCGGAAGGTATCGCAACTCGTTGTCGGTAAGGCAGATAATGGTGTCGGTTAGTTGAAAGTGCGCTCCGTGTCTGCAGCCCTCCTCCATTCTCTCGGCGAGATCGTCTATATGTGAGCGCACCTGCTGAAGGAAGTCGATTGGGTTGAAGATAGATGGTGTGGGGCTATGGGTAACACCTCCTTCAAGTATCAAATTAGTCCTGTTGCCAGAAGCTCGGCCTGGATGAATCATACCTCGCCTCTCTATGAAAACGGTCCCACCACCGTACCTACGCGGGCTAAACCTTGGGCTATCAAAGTCAACGTGGCTATTGAACTGGTTGACTGCCAGCAGAAACTCTTCCAAGGAAATATCTGAGAGATCTGCCTTATCCTCCGTCTGGAACAGGTGGTGATATTTGCCCAAGTCGGCGATTGTCATAGTTTGAAATTTGCCGTCGGAGCTTGCTAGACAGTCGCTATACCTCGCAGTTCTGAGCAATTTCCAGAACGTCCTGCTGATGATGCGTTCTATATAACGCATTTTATCGTAAGCATTAGCGTATTTATGCGTTGGGTAGATGCTGTGATTAATGTAATGGCCTGTCGTCGCAGCCCTAGTGACAGCGGAGCTGGCCAAAATGGCGACGATGTGTCCCCGCACGTATAGTTTCAGCGAGGAGATTAATTGTGACGCCAATGGACAATGTTCGTCACAATCGTCGGTGTGAAGGGAGATATTCATTGTAGATGGTAGTTGCAAGAGCCAGTGCATTTGTGAGCCTGTCAATTGTATGAACTGGTCAAGAATGCGGTCCACAAAGCTTTGACTTGCATACTCTATCCGTTGGCGATCTTCATCATCCAATGGCTCGCGGCGTCGGCCGTGGAACGTTACCTCTGGCCATTGGAGTGTGGGTGCTTGTCCTGCATTGGCTAGACGTAACAGAGCTTCCTCTCCCACAAGGACAGTGAAAGAATCCTGACAAAGGTGGTCACATTCGATACCACAAGCGATCCTATATGCAATCTCGGGGTGGAGTTCAATAAAGCGAGTATTCGTCCTCTCATAGATCCAGGTCAGGATATGAATTTTGATGTGCCCTATACTGGCAATACCAAACACCTTGGCCAGAGCAAAGAAGGTCCAAAGCTTGCAAGGCGTATCAAGGCACGGGGTAACACATCCCAGAGCTTGCAGGATATGTACAATACCCGTGCGATGACGAGAATCCGAATACTCAGATGGAAGGACCGAATCCTGACACCCATTCTCAGTTTCGAATCCTTCGTCTTTGCCGCCAACACAGTGCAGAGGCAGACCCCAACGTTTTGATGCGCGAGCCCAGGTCCGTATACATAGTGGGCATGATAGTTCAGTGGTGAAAGCCACTGCCTCATCGTCCGTCGAGGGAGGAGTGAGGTCAACGATGTATTTGATTCCATCAGGTAGCTTTCCCTGAAGCTCTGCACGCTTTATCATGCGAGCTTGCTTTCTCGGTTCGAAGAGTCTCTTGAAATAGGGAGATCCGGTTTCCAAGAGGGTGTGGCTGTGAATATAATGGGGAATGGACGCTCCAGTTTGTGGTTGCAATGACCAGTTTGATTTGTACGATGGAGGGTCGATGAAGACGATTGTGTCGGCGCCTTCGAATCGTAGAGCAGCAGGATTGGGATCATCCTCCACTGTATCGCTGCCCGGCTCGGAGCTCATGTTGGTATTGAAATCGTGGAGGGTATAAGCTTCCTCGGCCTCGATTTGGGTAGCTTCAGTACTACCCGTTCCCCACTCTGTCCTGTTGGGATCGTACATCATCTGTTGAAGTCTGGCAATAGGATAAAGAAGAGGAATGGTAGAGCGGACAAAGGAAATATAGGCAGTTATAAGGACACTGAGTTCACTTCTACCTGCAAACGACGTGGTGGTGGTCCTCGATGATCGCTAGTATGACACGGGCCTTCACAGCCTCAGTCAGCCTTGCCGTTCCGCCGCTGCCTGGAAGTAGCAGAGAACCCTGTTCGTGTGGATCAAAGCTGCGCCCGATAGATGAAGAAGGGGCAAGAGAGGAAGAGAAAGAGATTAGAGAGGGACAAGTGAATGATGCATTCCCTCGTCCATAGATTGTCGTTGAACGTTGTTGAGATTACCAGCGCAGTCACTAGTCGCTGACTGAAGTAAATGCAAAACGGGCAAACCCTTGCATATTTCCAGCCTCGGCTCCCTTCGATACCGGGGATAACCATTTAAGCATGGATATTCTTGTGTGCATGATCATAAAGAGCAATTTTAGAATGAATGTCAGAAGATCTTGGGGAACCAGCGGAGCCACGATAAGGTGAACAGACTGACTATACAAAGACACATACTGATATACAAACGGACCATCTAAACATGGTTCTATGACTGCTTCATTTTCTAAGAAATATTGACAGATTGTGTGATCTAGGTCACCTTTCCACCGCTAATTACACCACGTTCTCAATCCACTCGTGGTTGAGCAAAACAAAAAGAAAGACATGTCCGTAACCATGAGGTACTGGAAGGGTATCAAATGCTCATATTTCGTCAATCGTCGAAAAGTCGTGAGACAGCCGGCCCAAAATGTTGTACATGTGCATCAATTAAATACAGGAAAGATCGTCTTTTGAAAGTTTCAAGCGTCCAAACAGCTGCACCAGTAACTTAAAGGTTGTCATCTCCACTGGGTTCGTCTCTGCGTTTCTCAAATGCCAGCTCGTCCGACCATTGCCCTTCGCTGCTCGTCTTGCTCTTCCGAGATCCTTGGAGATCCTTCTTCGGCTCCTTCTTATCTGGGCGCCGTTTTTTCTTCTCACGCTGAACGCCTCGTTGTTCATCAACCCGGCTTTCGCTCCGGCTAGTTCCTCCACGTCGGAGGTCTTTGACTTCCTTGATCACCTCACGGAAGCCTTCCTCGATATTGTTCATCCGTGCCAGTACGAGCTTGCTGAGCATATCCTGACTGCTACTTGGGCTGTCGGCACGCCGGATATTACCTGTCGCGTAGGCTATTTGTGTGGTGAGACTCGAAGGTACACCACCAAGAAAACCGTTCGCAATCGCCTTGTTGTCCCCCAGGTCTGAGCCTAAGCCATCGAGGATGGACGCTTGACGACGCCGCTGAAAGTGTGAATCGGGCACCGAAAAGCCACCCACATCCGGAACAGACATCGGATCAGATCGAGTCATGGTCACGTTTCTAAGCCTGCTGCCATTCGCATTATGTCTCTTCAGCGTCCACTGATCGGCAGAGGTCGACAGGACAGCCCCGCCCGCTGGATCAGGAGTCTCCGCTCTTGGCCGGACAGGGCTTGGTGAAGCTTTGGCGGCTTCGTGATTGTTCTCTGAAGATATCGGGTTGTACAGCATAGTAGCGCCCGAGTAATTTCGCGTGTGGTTCTTGATCCGCCGAGCGGGACTGGTCTTGCGAGATTTGAGTCGTGCAGTCGATGGCCGAGAGCTGAAGTGCTTGGGTGGTGTATGAATCGGACTTTGTTTGGTGGTCTGGGGCGTATCGTCCTCGGAATCCAGTGGACCCGATCTCTGTTCTCCAGCCCATCCGCCATTGTCATCGCTCGTGAGTTCATCGTCACCTTCCATACCCGTCTGTCGCGATAGCTGCCTGCTTCGCATGGGAGTCATGAAAGTCCTCCCATTACGTGGCGTTGCAGGTGAAGATGCGACATGGGGAGGACGGTCAGCGTCGGAGGTAGCGGAGTGATTCGTTTCCGTGAAGTCACGCAGGCTCCTAGTAAATGTCCGGCGAAAGCCCGTCCGACCGCGGGGAAATCTCTCGAGCCGCTCGACCTCCTCTGAGTCTTGCTCATCAGGGGGGTTGACAGAGCCCGATCCCATAGTCTGCATCCACTTGTTGACAACACTGTGGCTTCCTCTGCGGTCAAGGGCGGCGACAGGACGTCTAGCTGTTGCGTCTCGGAATGGTCGTCGAAACACCTCGTCCAGGGCACGGTCTTTCTGGTACGTAGCAACTGATGGTTCTCGGACGAAGGGTCGAATTTGAGAGCTGAAAGCTCTGAATCGACGCCGGGCTCGAAAGCGGTCTGACGAATCACCTCGAGATGTAGATTCAATCAAGTCGGTCGAATCAATTACCTGAGAACTCAGTATCGCTTTCTCGTAGAAGCAGATTGTAAACAGGATGGGTAGGTGAGTGATCTTGATGATCGTGCGGTTAATCCGAACAAATTCGCGGAATGGCACAAAGTAACGAAGTGGGGTGATCAGCCAAGCAAGAATATTAGTCGGCGCGACATAAGAAAAGAGAGCGTCCGACTTGACCATAGAGATTGTGTTGACGGCAAAGAGAAACTGGTGTTCTTGGTTGGCATTCTGCACAATACTCATGAAGGAATTCGTCAAGACCGTGATGAGGATGGTGACGACCACAAAGTGACAAATGAACAGGAACACTGTCAGGATGAGTTTGCCCAGCATATTGTACTCGTCCCATAGACTCCATGCCGTTGGAGTGAATCCCATGAGCATTTGGAACAAGGCATACGCGACGGCCCCAGGAGAATGGTCATCACTGTTGCCAAATGCCTGGGTGAATGCCACAAAAAACCCGCTGCAAGCAATAATAATCAGAAGGAACACCGCGATAAGGTCTGAAGCCATGATTCTAAACGCGATAAGCAGCTGAGAAAAGTAGCGGTAATGGTCAAGAACCGAGAAGAGTCGTGGAAAGAGAAGGACTGCATTCGCGGCCAAGATATCATACGCTTGGTCTGCCACAATATGATTGCGAGTGTAGGGCAGGATGGCGCCGTAAAGTCTCATGCAATAGTAGCAGAAAAGGAGAAAAAGGATGCCGAGATCGAAGAGATTCCAGAAGCTCATGAGGTACAAACTGAACCCTTGCTCGTTGAATCCAACAATCTCGTCGAGCATGAAACCAGCGCTCCAAAGCCAGAAGATAACTTCCAGCGGAGTAATCTCGAGGCGACGTTGGTTCAACACAGCCAGAAACAATCCCAGCAGAACCGCGAATGACAAAGTTGACAAGAACTGTCTGTATCGAGGCACGCGGAGTCGTGAAAGTTTGAACAAGGAGGCATCCCTTGGGTCGTAAATCGTGACCGAACGTCGAAGTCCAGATACGTTGGGCTGTGGCTGACGATGGGACGTGTCAAGGGGAGAAGGATCCGGAGCGGTACCATATTGCAGTCTCCCATTGTTCCTAACTTGTGCGGGCGAGCGATGGAGGTAATCGGATGCGGAATGGAAGACAATCGTGCCAGCCCATATCGCTTCTAGTTGCTGTACCACCAAGGGATGCGACAAGAACCTTTTCGCCTGAGCGCGGATGGCCACTTCGAGGCAAGAGACACGAGCGATGGCGGGACGCTTGCTTCCTGGAGTGGAATACCAACCCGGGGCGCGATCGGAGCTTACCGTGGCCGTTGGCGTCTGACCGTTGAGAGGATAGAACTCATAGGAGAGCGCGTCAATCAATTCCCGCGTCGAGTATTCTCTCAGCAACTTGATCGCGAGAAGCTCGCTCACCATGGCCCTAGTTTGACTCACGCCGCTGTTTCCGGGATTCAGATGGACCTCCTTCGAGAACTGAAGACAGTTCGTTATCAGCGCATATAGTGTAGCCCTGGAGAAATGCAACGCTCGAATCTTCTGCTGTATAGGCTTGACCAGGAATTGAGAGATTTGTGGCGACCGCAATTGATCCCAGGTCAGGGTGGTTTCACATCGAGCAACAATGAGAGGACGGATGGCATGAGTGATGTCATAAACCGGCAAAGTGTCTAAAAAGTCAGCATGCGAACTTGAATTGAGGTTTTAGTTGATAGAACGAGTGTCTGTACCTAGATGCGACGCAGAAAATATGGGAAGGAGAGGCGTGGACTCGATGGGTTCGTCGTCCTCTTCGTCGGTGTCGTCTTCAGATCTTGCGCCAGGCCCCTCATGGGTGCCGTTGTATCCGTTGATCTCTTCATAGCCGGGTTCAGGGCCCCTTTGAGGTGCATTGTTTTGTAAAGCAGGCCATTGGGAATCGCGAGTCGTGTACGGCGACGAGAATGGCGACCGCTCTGCATAGACTCGTCGTTTCTTGGGGCGCAAAAGGGAGGCGAGCATTTTGAAATCGTCGTCCCCTGAAGTCTCAGCAACAATGGGCGGATCAAAGATTGCCGTCACTGCATGTTGGGGACGCGCCAAGATCACAGCAGGAGAGAAAAACCAATGCGTCGCTCGGACCCGAGCAAAGAGAAGGTCTTAAGAGGGATTTGTCGGAACTCTTAATTCCAAGGTGGGCAGGAAACCTGGCAGGTTCGCGTGATTCAAGAAGTATTTTTCAACGGGGGGGAGATAAGCAGGGAGGGCTGCCGAAGCGTTGAAACGATTTGCTCCCAAAATTAACGCAGCCCACATGCGCCTGCAGTGAGTGCAGCAGCGGAGGCGGCGATCGCAGGGAATCAGACCAGCTCGAGAGCTCTCTAGCGTCCGATAAGTATTCCGCACATGAAGCACCTCGCGCCGTCCGTGAATGTTATTGGCGTGTGCTTTAGATCCTTGCGACGGCAAACTGTGGCCAGACCGCTAACCGACCGGTTAGCTCACGGTAAACATCGTACTTTTTCCGTCGGGCTTAAAAAGCCCCCATCCCACTTGATCATAAGATGGAGATCTCTGGCAACCCCGCCACTATTCTTTATCAGAAAGTATGTGATGGGGGCGGGTGGCAAACGACCTTTCCCATTTACAGTGATAAAGAACGCCTATCAATGCATCGCGCAAGGGATGATACCACTTGACTGAGCTAAATTTTTACTTTCAGATCATCTGGTTTTTTTTATTGTGCTTTAGGTAATTATGATCGGAAATTTCCACTTCTACTCAGTACACATACATCATTTGATCTATAAATTTTTTATAAGAAGAGGCTTTTTTTGTCTTTCATTCAAGTATATCATTGTATATGACTATTCTACCTCTTTTAGATTTATACTGTCATTTGAGAATTTCTTTTCATGGCTGATATATCTAAGAAGGACAAGTAAAAATGCTAAAAGTCTCTTGATTATATTATGCCCTTTGCTCACCTCCTAAAGCATAGCACTGAGAGCTTGTGATCACAATGATTGAAATGTACATATGACTCGCTACAGATGCACTTGACCCTAAATACATCCCTCGCCCTGGTCTTGTTTTTTTCCCTCACAACGGAGAAAGAAGATGTGCGGATCGAACGCAAAGCAGGGAATTCGCCCTTTGAGCGATATGCATCGTACTGTATCATGATGTAAACTGTCCCCATAAGAGTACTGGTCCTGTTGGTTGAATAAGATGATAATTCGCCAACTCGAAACGGCGAAGCAGGACCACTCTTAGACCTTTTATTTTGTCTTTTAGTTCATGATTCAATGATCGACTGGTTGATGTTGCTGCGAATTATAATTACCATTGTATTCTGAACATACGTCATGCCCCAGATCTTCACATAAATATCCGGGAGTCTTCCTTAGCCGAAAGCTTCTACGGGGTATACAATTTAGTTCAATCCACGGAACCGTCAAAAGCAAGCTATGGTTTTAAGCGTACTGATTATAATATACACACAGAATCCATTGCATGTCGCTGGCAATTGATGTAAGATAACTTGTAAGTCTAGATAAAGGGACTTTTTTTCCTGATTAGGTTAGGTTTTCCTATGCTGTGTTGCAAATACAGATACAATGAGTGGTTTGATAATACTATTGACTTGTAGCGGGTACTTATCTTTTTCTTTTTATTTCTTTGAAACGCAGGAAAAGAAAAGGACAAGAAGAAGGAGGAGGAGAAGGAGGAGGAGGAGAAGAAGAAGAAGAAGAAAAGAGAAATTTGGACGTGGTACATCAATCTTTGTACCCATCGCATCATTGCGTCTGGAACTGCCGCCGCTTCGCGAAAACGATAAAGCAAACAGCATCCCAAATGCACTCACTGACGGGCACATATGTTACCATCGCACCTAAAAGTCTATGTAATTCGTACACACTTCAACACAAGAATCGCGACTAATGTGACAAACATTTTGCAACAATGCTCTGGAATTGATCATCCAAAGCCTCAATCTCCGAGCCCAGGCCCTTGATATCGTCCTTACTCATCCCACGTCTCGCCGCGCCCATCGTAGAGAACTCCTGCGGATCGCGCATGCCACCCAATAGAAGCGTCTCCAAGATTGTCAGAGGCGCCATTTTCGGATCCTCGACAATAGCATAGATAGTGGTGGCACCCGCACCGGCGTCCCCAATCAAAGTGATAATGCGGGACAGGCCCGCAAAGACATCCGCAACAGCATCCAACTCACCCACAAACGGGACTACCAAAAGCACCCCCATCAAGATCTCATTGATCATTTTCTTCTTCTGGGCCGCTTCGTACGACTCGGCTACGGCGACCACCGATTGCATGCTGGCTACGGCCTGGCTGAGCAGAAAGACCGCCAGGGACAGCGACTGCACGATGTCATCGTCGGTGTCCATCCACGAGCCCAGCGCAATCTCAATCTTGGCCGTGGTGATGGTATCGGTCAGGTTCTGGATGTTTGGGAGTGCCTGCGTCATGATGTCCTTAGGGTTGGTGACAGTGATGGCGCTATCGGCGGCCTTGACGGGGAATCCAATGTAGGTCCGGTCGACGGCTGCGCAGCCGTTTTTATACATCTGCGGCGTGCAAGGTTCCTTGTGTTCTTGCTTGCCGAATTCGATCCATGTCTTATCAATACCGTAGTTTGCGGAAAGGTTGCCGTAGAAGCCCTCGGCATCAACGAGATCATAGTAGACGGTGAAAGTGCCCGTGTCAATTCCGATGTCTCCCGGACAAGAGCCCCGGGTGTGGTTCCGACCGTTCTGGCTGTACGTGCACTGAAAGTAGGCGTTTCCGGGGCCGTAGGGTGTGTCAGTTCTCATGAAATCAGTCAGCTGGTCGGGGATGATCTCCTTGATATACTTGACGTAGTCGTTGAACTTGTCGTCGTAGCTGCTAGTGATCCCCGTATAATTAGTCAGGGTTTGCTGCAGCACCGTCAACAGGCCGTCAAGCGTGTAAAAATCAATGCATGCGGGCTCCAGGGCGTCGACCGCTGCCGCCAACGCGTCCAGCGTTGAGAAGACTCGGCTGAAGTCGCAGCTGGGGGTCTCAGTGCACGCGGGATCCGACCCGTCGCCTGTCGAGCAGCTGGCAACCTCATCTGCGTTGTCAACGCACGTAGGATCGGGACAGTAACCTCGCTCGCAGGCAAAGTTGCACAGTCCACTATCGTCTCCGGCGGTGGAAATACCCGTAATGCAGGAAGATTCAGGGGATCCGTCGCCGTGCAGGTGTAGTTATGGATCGGGCAGTATCCCACATTGCAGCCATAGCTACACAGCCCAGCGAGCGCACCGGACCCAGTGCCCGCGGTGCACGTATCCGGCGTAAAGTGCGACACGGTTGGGATAATTAACGGCACTTCCACCGTGACACAGACCCCTTCGATGCAATTCCCATAATTACAGGCAAACGAGCAGAGCCCGCTGTAGCTGGGGCTCTCTCCAGCTGTCGGATAGCCCTGAATGCCTGTGGACTTGGGCATCTTTGGCTGGGGGCCCATTTTGGAGCACACGCAGGCTCCCACGGGGCAATATCCCAGGCTACAAGTGAACTTGCATAATCCAGCGAAGTTGCCTTTCCCCCATCCCTCGATGCATACTTGGTCAGCCAGCGAGGTGAGTCCTCCGCCATCGCACTGCCCACCCAGGCGTTCCAATTCTCGATTCCGAGAGTGTTCGCACACCCATCAGAAATGTCCTGTCCATCGAGCGTCACTACTGGACTTCCGCCACGTGTAATGCTTATTATAACGTCCCCGGAGTGGCCCGTAAATGATACACTACCGTGGTAGATCTCTGCATCGCCGCTGGGGGTATGAATCCGAAAGCGCCCAGGTCCACTCCGGCGACGGTGACGGTGACTAGGGCCTCAGAACCCAGCAGTGCAAAGTAGAAGATCTTATCCTGAGGGATGTCCTTGGCTTCATACTCTAAGATGATCCGGGGAATTGTTACCAGCATATCTTTCAATTGGCTTGATAAGCCGGTTGCCCGAAGATTATTATTTCTTTTTTTTTTTCTTTTTTACTTTCTTCATCCTTGCCACTTTTGCGACTCCTCTACCCATGCGGTTGCTGGAATTGGATATTGCCGATTGATCCGTGTATAGACTATAGATTAATAAACTGTGTCTTAGAAAATCGGAGATGGTGCCAAAAGAAGAAAAGGGTCATAGATAAGTAGGGCTTAGACTGCCACGGCTATACTTGTTATTTACTAGTGACTATTACACGACTGAACGCTACTTAAACTATGATCATCAGGCTCATGTCTCCTGCAAGCAAGACCACAACGCTCTGAGCTTCCTACTTTTAAAATCTTCTCCCATTCAATGGCTACTCTTACCAATAACGGAGATGGCCCTCTTCAGGTGCCCGGGTTCGGCTCCATTCCCTTGGATTTTCAGCTCCCGCCAGAGGCTCGCTTTGCACATGGGCTGTTGGACTACCGCCACTCACCTCGGCTGACCAAACGGGAGATGGCCATGCTTTGTCTCATGCAACAGGTCACAGAACAACCTGGTTGGGATTCGGCCGTAATCAATGAGGATGAGGTCCAGCTCGCGCAATGGTACCGCGATGCCACGGAAGGACCGGATGGTCACCTAATCAGCGCTGCTGCATGGGACTGGTGTCTAGCGGAACTGCGCGATAAAGCAGAAACGTGGCGGGAAACAGGCCGCCTCCTGGTCTTTGACAGTTCCTCGGCCGTGTGTCAAGCCGATGTGTCTCTGTCAGATCGAGAGTCCCCGTCCCTGAAAGAAGGGTTCCAAGCGGAGATAGACCGATTGGGGGCCCCACACCCGCAGCCCAGACCCTATATTCAATATAATCGCTTAGTGGATCCATCTTGGTATCCCCTTGTCTACGACCAGACTCGAGTCCTTATTCATGGGGGGCGGACTTCCCTTGACAATTTTCTCTGGGATTCGGCCGAAGAACCTGATGGAGAGCTACCTGCCCATCCCATGGGCCCTCCCCAACACCGGCCAGGTCATTTGGAACGCAGGCCTGGCCAAGGAGGACCGGAGAGCTGCTGGTCCAACCGCTTTCAATGGCTTCCATGTGAGGTGCAGTTCGATAATACTGACATCTTGGATGTTCGAATCACGTCATACGTCAATAATCTCCACCCCGCCAGGCACCAAAATCTCTATAGGCATCTGGAGCGCCTAATCGCAAGCTCCGTTCCTTCCTGGAATGAGATCTTATTCTACGGCAATACCCGTGGCTGTCGCCCACCACGTATCCTGACGTATGGATGCGAGATTCATGACTATAAAGAAGAGCACAAATTGTTCGACGTCCTGCAACACGGGCACCGCTGGCAGGTACAATGTGACACCTACAAAGAGTGGGAGTCCCTGCGCAACATAGCTTGCGAGTACATTGAAGGCCCCGAACCACCCAAATGGAAGCAGGCGGACCCCTTGCCTGAAAAGCCGGCCAATTTGATGGATTTGCTCACTTCCGAGCAACGGGATGTTCCTGGCCTTATGCGTGCTGTCGCTGAATACAAGCGCACTCGACGAGCCTGGTTCAATCACCCAGAGCCAGGTGTCTCATTCTCGTATGAGCAGTGGAAGCAGGGTAAATATACGGGACGAGCAATTCACGCGCAGCAGATCAGCAAGTACCCGGATCCGCTACACCATGACCACAAGCCTATTCAATTGGAGAAGCAATTCCAAGATAAGGGTCTCCAGGTTGTAGTAGAAATTACCCGCATCGAAATACACCCAGACAATCCTATCTTTATCGGAGAGAGACATTTCCACACTGAGGGGCTCCGCAACGACCGGATAGCGGCCACCAGTCTGTATGTGGTGGAGTGCAACAATATCACCCCCGCTCGCCTGGCGTTTGAGCATGAGGACAAAGTCCACGCCTCGGAGCTAGGGTGTCAGGTGCCTAATGCACTTGCCACGGTCCTCGATGTAAAATCCTGGCAGCGGTATGAGGAGCATCCCCCTCGCGCACTCCATACTTTCGGGTCGGTTCCACTCACAGACGGCCGTCTTCTCAGCTGGCCTAATACCTATCGATCGAAACTGGAGTCCTTTTGCTTAGAGGATCCCAGCCAGCCGGGAAATTTGACCCTGATCAAACTTCGGCTCGTCGACCCACATTATCGCATCTGTTCAACAAAGAATGTTCCTCCGCAGCAAAATGACTGGTGGGCTGCAGCAGCCCGACAGGCAGCTAGGCTCGATCAACGCTTACCCCTGGAGTTGGTGTGGTATGTAATGGACCATGTGAAAGACTGGCCGATGTCCGCAGCTGATGCCGAAAATCTGCGCATAAAATTGCTATTCGAGCACGAACGCGTGCGCCGGGTCATCGATTCGTGCGTGGGACATCATATCGTTAATCGTCTCCCTTACGGTGAACAAGAAGCCGAAGATATGATGGATAGGGTCGGATACGAGTCCCCTTAGTCTAGTTGTTGGCAATAAAAATCTACTCTAGGGTCTAACCTGGTATTTTTGGATTGATAATGGGCGTCAAAAGCCTCGGTTCCTAGCGCCGGAGTTGTTTCGATTTGTTCAAGCGCGTCAGGCGGAGTTGAGACGGCGCCAAGTGTAGTAGTATAGTGCTTAGCCAATGTCTCACTTTCATTTGTGATAGAACACTCTCAAGTCCTTAGACTAGTACTAAGTCGATAGTAGCATTCACTGCCAAGTTATATATCGTCTCTTTGGAGGTGTAGCATGACACTGAATGACTACTAGTCCCCAGCGCGCTTGCCTGTGCAAACAAGTGTGCTGGCGTGCCCTCCTGTCGCACCTGGTTGTGCTCTACTTCTGGCCAGGAGTGCCAACTTTACCGCGAGCAGCCATTCTCCCACGCAGACAATCCGCTCTTCATTTCCGGTATCTGCGATGAATCCTCCGTACCGTTCGTCGAGAACGTCGCCTTTTCTTCTTCAATTATAGCAGCACCGTCTAGTTTGGTATGTTTTGAACCCCTGATTTCTCCTTTCCACCCTCCCCTCTATTTCCATGATTATTTTTTCCTATGGTTTTGTCAACATGTTATCCGGACTAAACAACACTTTGGCTCGCTGGTTCCTCCAGTTCCATCAACAACCCACCCCAAGTGCCCCTGCAAAGCGCGACGGGTCTTTTCATCGTCACCATCACCGTCATGCGCATGGTCATCGTCTTTAGACTTGGTCTAGGGTCAGTCGTGAAAGTGAATTATTCGTTACGGGCATCCCAGCCTAGGTTCCTCATGTGCTCTGGGCTATCGCGGAGGTATGCACAAAGTGAGATAAGCGGAAATCTTCTTTGTTTCCTTATAAAGAGCTGTTCCGTGTAGGTACATTTTGTAATATTCGAGTCTTAGCAACTTTCGAATCATTCTAGGGAATCTTCTGAATTGTTGAGAGATGTATAGTAGAGTGTTAATTTGTCAATGATTTTTTGGTATGATGTCTAAGTATATTTTAGTCACGTGTTTATGCTAATGCATGTTCAAAACTCTCTGAATCTGACCAGTCGGTCTTCCAACCATCATGTTCGTCAGATCAAGTAATACCCCCTGGTTCAGTTGTGCACATCTCAAACCCAAGATAAACAGAAACCCCCTATTCTACACTTCTACCTGCCCCCTGCGTCATAGATCTGTATCCTTGAGAGCACAATATATCACAGAATACAGTAGTTAAATATGTCAAGTGAATCAGCGTCGGAGACTAGCCGCCTACCAACTGTCCCTGAGATCGAAGCTGCAACAGAACGCCTAAGCATGTCCGATGCATACGATCAAGTCTTCCGTGTGGGAGAGCGTTTCGCAGTGAAATCGGGCTACGGCGTACCTCTCATTGAAGGTGAAACCATGAAGTTTCTCGAAGAGCACCAAGTTCCAGTTCCAAAAGTTCATGCAGCTTTTGAGGACCCAGACTCTAAGAAAACTTATATTATCATGGATCACGTCCCTGGCGATACGCTTGAAAGCTTATTGCCGTTCCTTGATCCGAGTGAAAAGACCATAATATGCAAGTTGATCGAAGACGCGATGTCGAAGCTACGGAGTATACCGTCGCCTGGATACTTCGGGATGCTGAACCGCCAGCCCTACCTTGACGGGGTATTCTGGACTGAAGATAATAATCCAAAGATATCTGGGCCCTTTACAAACCAGGAAGACCTGAATCTTGCTATCATTGAAAGAATGAGTTAGATTGAGAGAGAGCAGTATATTCAATTGTTGAGACCTATGATCGACCGGACCCTTCGCGGTCACCGTCCTGTTTTTACCCACGGTGACCTTCAACCGAAGAACATTATGGTTGAGAGGCTCGGAGTTCGTAACGGATGTCCGGAGTTCAAGAAGACGGGTGTACAAGTTCCCGCATACCAACTATCTTAGTTAATTAGACATGATACAGTGGATATCTCTACTCGCCAATAGAATCTGACTTTTTCCTGCAAGTCTGTGTATGATGCAGTGTTTATCTCTTGCTCGGGAATGCAAGTACTAACCTTAAAGCTTCCCGCTCGGAGAATAAATGCGCCCGCAGCAGCACTAGTCCTAAAGATTGATCCTGAGCGCTGCAGATTTCGTTGAAAATGCAGCATTGGCCTCTTTAACTATACCAGAAAGAAATATGTTGTAGATTGGTAAGCGGGGGTATGTCTCTTCGGAATTATAATAAGGCTGAGACACTGGTTCGAGGCAAATGGAAGATAAAGTAAAGCGGGGCGTAAGCATCCATTCTGTTCCTCCCTGCTCAATATATTTATAGTGTATCCTTACAAGATAAGTATGCTACTTCAAAAACCATATGAACATCGGCCAAGATCACATAGCAAGAGAAGGATACAACAATGATAGGATATTCTACATAGAATTAGATAGGTAGCTTGTCAACTCCCCTTAATGCAAGGGGGTCAAGAACGCCATTTAGGCGGGAACGGAATAGCTACAAAATGCGGGGATAACATGCCAGGTGTATTCAAACAAGACGCTCCAGCAGATATAGCATATAGTTAGCCTACTGTATACAGCGGGAAAAAGGAAAAAACTAACTGCATTATGCTAAATTACTTTGTTTCCAGAAGGTACTCAATCAAACGGCATCCCACCGAAAGACGAAAAAAGTACACTTTCCGATAACGGGTTGGCAATGAGTTTTCCTCGAAGCGTCATTCGGGCCGATGATTGGAGGGAAGGGTAGCCAGGCATCGGACCGGATCCAGAACCGAAAGACCAAGGCAGGCAAACCGGGCTAGTGCTCACCGCCTGCGGTGGCCACAGGCTGGCTGCAAGCGTGGTCGATCCGTGTGGCGAACTGTCCCCCCAAGGAACCAATGGACGATGACGGAGACGGGCCATCTCGGCAGTTTTTTTTGGGGCTGGTGGCACTAATTGGCAGGAAAGGTCTGTGTGTGCGGCAGAACCGCTCTCTGCAACCCCCTCCACCGAACTGCAATCCAAATACGAGACTAACCTAGAATAGAGCTTTCTGCTTGCGATGACCTCACTCGGTTACACATTTGTGGCTGCTATCACGTGGATTCCTTGTCAGGGGATGTATTTGTGAGACGAATAAGTCGTACGATGGGAATTTTCATAGTAGATTGGGATTATATTCCCTCAATTCATGATCCCCAGTAGACGACGGTAAGAAATTATAGTACTATCCATGCCGTGACTGTTGGGTCATGCAGCCTTGGAACTTGGGGAAGGGAAAAGGGAGGAGGGGGAATGGGACTGACTGGCTCCCGGATTGCGGACAGAAATTGCTTAGACTCCATAATTAGCAATGGAAAGAAAGCCAACGAAGGCACCCAGTGCTCAACCCCCTCAAATCCCCCAAAAATGTCGAGAAAAATTTTCGTCGGAGGCGGTCAGGGACAGCAGAATGGCTCATGATCCCCGGATCGGTGAGTTCAACAGCCCAATGAGAGAGCTCCATCAGCCCGCCGTACACAAAATTTTATTCTTGAGAATTCTTCTTTTCTCTCCTCTCCTCCTTCTTTCCTATATTCTTCCTCCTCCCGTGCAGAAGCAGCAGAATCAACTCTACTCCCTCCCCTCTTGCATCTTTCTCAAAAGGGTCTTGGAGGCTGCTGATGCTACGGTAGAGAGAATACCCCCCAGTCATACAGTCCCCGAGAGGACCTTTTTCCCCTCCCCCCACATACACACACACAGTCACCACCGCAATGCCGCAGTCCGCTGGTCACGAGGAGGCTGCCCTCCCCTCTAGCCCTCTCTCTGGAGGCGCAGTGGCCTACAGCCAGATCAACAAGGAATTGCAGCCGCTTCCCCCGATGGAAGCTCACACTGGGGCCGTGATCCCTCCCGCTTCGGCTCCCTACCGGGGCAGCAATGGGAGGATGGTCGCCGTCGAGCTTGAGGACGGCACCGTCTACCAGGGCTACAGCTTTGGTGCTGAGAAGAGTATCGCCGGTGAATTGGTCTTCCAGACCGGTATGGTGGGATACCCAGAGTCCATCACGGATCCCTCGTATCGGGGCCAAATCCTCGTCGTCACCTTCCCCCTCGTCGGCAACTATGGTGTCCCTTCCCGGGATACCATGGATGAGTTGCTGAAGACTCTTCCCAAGTACTTCGAATCCACCCAGATTCACATTGCGGGTCTGGTCGTTGCTACTTATGCCGGAGAGGAATACTCTCACTTCCTTGCTCAGTCGTCCCTTGGCCAGTGGCTGAAGGAGCAGGGAGTTCCTGCTGTCCATGGTGTTGATACCCGTGCTCTCACCAAGCGCATCCGTCAAAAGGGTAGCATGCTGGGTCGTCTGCTGCTTCAGAAGTCTGAGACTGTCAGCGACGCCACTGTTATCCCCACGGAGAAGGACAGCTGGAAGCCTTTCTTCGAACAGATCGAATGGGTTGATCCCAACAAGAAGAACTTGGTCGCCGAAGGTAAGCACCCTACTCACGTTCTTACTCCAGAGAAGGATCGCATCTGACTTGAATATGACAGTGTCGATCAAGGAACCCAAACTTTTCTCGCCTCCCGAGAATGTCGCCCTCAAACACCCCTCCGGTCGCCCGGTGCGTGTCCTCTGCTTGGACGTGGGTCTCAAGTTCAACCAGCTGCGCTGCTTGCTTGCCCGCGGTGTTGAGGTTCTCGTCGTTCCCTGGGACTACGACTTCCCTACCCTTGCTGGAAAGGACTATGACGGTCTGTTCGTCTCGAACGGTCCCGGTGACCCGGCTACCCTTACTACCACCGTCAACAACCTGAGCAAGACCTTGAAGGAGGCCCGGACTCCCGTGTTCGGTATTTGCTTGGGTCACCAGCTGATTGCACGCTCCGTCGGTGCCCAGACCTTGAAGATGAAGTTCGGTAACCGTGGTCACAACATTCCCTGCACTAGCATGCTCAGCGGAAAGTGCCACATCACTTCCCAGAACCACGGTTATGCCGTGGACTCCAACAGCCTTCCCGAGGGCTGGGAGGAACTTTTCGTTAACGCCAACGACGGTAGCAACGAGGGTATCCGTCACGTCAGCCGGCCCTTCTTCAGTGTCCAGTTCCACCCCGAAAGCACTCCGGGTCCCAGAGATACCGAATACCTGTTCGACGTGTTCATCAACAGCATCCAGGACACCATCGCTTCCTCGGAAGCTCTTCAGAAGCCTGTCTCTTTCCCTGGTGGCGTGAAGGAGGAGAACATCAGAATTGCTCCTCGCGTTTCCGTGAAGAAGGTCCTGATCTTGGGCAGTGGTGGTCTGAGCATCGGTCAGGCTGGTGAGTTTGACTACTCCGGTAGTCAGGCCATCAAGGCCCTGAAGGAAGAAGGCATTTACACCGTCTTGATCAACCCCAACATTGCCACCATCCAGACCTCCAAGGGTTTGGCCGACAAGGTCTACTTCCTCCCTGTGAACGCCGACTTTGTTCGCAAGGTCATCAAGCACGAGCGCCCTGATGCCATCTACTGTACCTTCGGTGGTCAGACCGCACTGCAGGTCGGTATCCAGCTCAAGGATGAGTTCGAGTCCCTCGGTGTCAAGGTCCTCGGTACCCCCATCGATACTATCATCACCACCGAAGATCGTGAGCTGTTTGCTCGCAGCATGGACTCCATCAATGAGAAGTGTGCCAAGTCCGCTTCTGCCTCGAACCTGGAAGAGGCTATGGGAGTCGTTGAGAGCATCGGCTTCCCCGTTATCGTCCGTGCTGCCTACGCCCTTGGAGGTCTTGGCAGTGGTTTCGCCGATAACATGGATGAGCTAAGGGAGCTCTGCGTCAAGGCCTTCGCTGCCAGTCCTCAGGTGCTGATCGAGCGCAGTATGAAGGGATGGAAGGAAATCGAGTACGAAGTTGTCCGTGATGCCAGAGACAACTGCATTACTGTCTGTAACATGGAGAACTTCGACCCTCTCGGTATCCATACTGGTGACTCTATTGTTGTTGCTCCTTCCCAGACTCTTTCTGATGAAGACTACAACATGCTGCGTACCACCGCCGTCAACGTCATTCGCCACCTTGGTGTTGTCGGAGAGTGTAACATTCAGTATGCGCTGAACCCCTTCTCGAAGGAGTACTGCATTATCGAAGTCAATGCTCGTCTGTCCAGATCCTCCGCTCTGGCTTCCAAGGCCACTGGTTACCCTCTTGCCTTCATCGCTGCCAAGCTTGGTCTGGGTATCCCCTTGAACGAGATCAAGAACTCGGTCACCAAGGTCACCTGCGCTTGCTTCGAGCCTTCTCTTGACTACTGTGTCGTGAAGATCCCTCGCTGGGATCTCAAGAAGTTCACCCGTGTCTCCACTCAGCTCGGTTCCTCCATGAAGAGTGTTGGTGAGGTCATGGCTATTGGACGTACTTTCGAGGAAGCCATCCAGAAGGCTATCCGCTCCGTCGATTTCCACAACCTTGGATTCAACGAGACCAACGCCCTCATGTCCATCAAGGGTGAACTGCAGACTCCCTCTGACCAGCGTCTGTTTGCCATTGCCAACGCCATGGCTACTGGCTACAGCGTCGACGATATCTGGAAGCTTACCCAGATTGACAAGTGGTTCCTGAGCAGACTTAAGGGTCTCAGCGACTTCAGCAAGCTCATGACCCAATACAATGCCACCAGTGTGCCTAGGCCCCTTATCCGCCAGGCCAAGCAGCTTGGTTTCTCGGATCGTCAGCTTGCCAAGTTCCTCAGCTCTAACGAACTGGCTGTCAGACGTCTGCGTGTTGAGTCTGGTATCATTCCCATTGTGAAGCAGATCGATACGGTTGCTGCTGAGTTCCCCTCCGTCACCAACTACTTGTACCTCACATACAACGCCTCTGAGCACGATGTCAACTTTGAGGACAAGGGTATCATGGTCCTCGGATCTGGTGTTTACCGTATCGGTTCGTCCGTCGAATTCGATTGGTGTTCCGTGCGGGCTATCCGTACCCTCCGTGAACAGGGCCACAAGACGGTCATGGTCAACTACAACCCGGAGACCGTCAGTACCGACTATGACGAGGCTGATCGGTTGTACTTCGAGAACATCAACCTGGAGACCGTCCTTGACATCTACCAGTTGGAGTCCTCTAGCGGTGTGATCATCTCCATGGGTGGTCAGACTCCCAACAACATCGCCCTGCCCCTGCACCGCTTGAACGTTCGCATCCTTGGTACCTCTCCCGAGATGATCGACGGTGCTGAGAACCGTTACAAGTTCTCCCGCATGCTTGACCGTATTGGAGTTGACCAGCCGGCCTGGAAGGAGCTCACCAGCACTGAGGAGGCTACTGAATTCTGTAACAAGGTCGGCTACCCTGTGCTTGTCAGACCTTCTTACGTGCTTTCTGGAGCTGCCATGAACACCGTCTACTCCGAGCATGACTTGGCCAGCTACCTTAACCAGGCTGCTGAGGTTTCCCGGGAACACCCTGTGGTTATTACCAAGTACATTGAGAACGCCAAGGAGATTGAGATGGATGCTGTGGCTCGCAACGGTGTGATGGTTGGTCACTTCATCTCTGAACACGTTGAGAACGCCGGTGTCCACTCTGGTGATGCCACCTTGATCCTGCCCCCGCAGGATCTGGATCCCGAGACCGTTCGCCGCATTGAGGAGGCTACCCGGAAGATCGGAAACGCTCTGAACGTCACTGGTCCTTACAACATCCAGTTCATCGCCAAGGACAACGACATCAAGGTCATTGAATGTAACGTCAGAGCTTCTCGCTCTTTCCCCTTCGTATCGAAGGTAATGGGCGTTGATCTCATTGAGATGGCTACCAAGGCGATGATCGGCGCTCCCTTCGCTGAATATCCTCCTGTCTCCATCCCCAAGGACTACGTCGGTGTGAAGGTGCCCCAGTTCTCCTTCTCTCGTCTCTCGGGTGCTGATCCCGTCCTGGGTGTCGAGATGGCCTCCACCGGAGAAGTCGCATCTTTCGGTCGTGACAAGTACGAAGCCTACCTCAAGGCCTTGATCTCCACCGGTTTCCGCCTTCCCAAGCGCAACGTGCTGTTCTCTATCGGTTCCTACAAGGAGAAGATGGAGATGCTGCCCTCGATCCGCAAGCTGCACCAGATTGGGTTCAACCTCTTCGCCACCTCCGGTACTGCTGACTTCCTGAAGGAGAACGGCGTCCCCGTCAAGTATCTTGAAATCCTTCCGGGAGAGGAGGAGGACATCAAGTCCGAGTACTCGCTCACTCAGCACTTGGCCAACAACCTGATTGACTTGTACATCAACTTGCCGTCCAACAACCGGTTCAGACGTCCTGCCAACTACATGAGTAAGGGTTACCGCACTCGTCGTATGGCCGTTGACTACCAGACTCCTCTGGTTACCAACGTCAAGAACGCCAAGATCCTGATTGAGGCCATTGCTCGCCACTTTGCTCTCAACGTGCAGACCATTGATTACCAGACCAGCCACCGCACCATCATCCTGCCCGGCTTGATCAACGTCGCTGCTTTCGTGCCCAACCTGATGGTCCCTGGCTCCCCTGACTTCCAGCTCATGACCAAGGCATCTATCGCCGCTGGTTTCAGCATGGTCCGTGTGATGCCCGTTGGTGTCGACGCTTCGGTCACCGATGCTCGTGCTCTGAAGATTGCTCAGCAGAACGCGGAGAAGTCCTCCTTCTGCGACTTCAACTTCTCTGTTGTGGCTACTACCGACAACGCCGACCAGATTGGACAAGTGACCGGTGACGTGGGATCCCTCTTTATTCCCTTCAACCATCTCTCTGGCAACATCAGCAAGGTTGCTACGGTCACCAACCACTTCGGCGCCTGGCCGTCCAGCAAGCCTATCATCACCGATGCCAAGTCGACTGATCTGGCCTCCGTCTTGCTGTTGGCCAGCCTCCACAGCCGCAACATCCACGTCATGAGTGTGTCGTCCAAGGAGGACATCAGCCTCATTGCTCTCAGCAAGGAGAAGGGTCTCAAGGTGACTTGCGATGTTTCCGTCTACAGCCTCTTCCTCACGAAGGATGACTTCCCTGAGTGCAGCTCGCTGCCCTCGGTCGAGGACCAGAAGGCCTTGTGGGAGCATCTGAGCACCATCGACGTCTTCTCCGTCGGCAGCATTCCCTACCAGGTTGCTGGTGAGAAGAGCTCCCCTGTCGCCGGTATCGCCGAGACTCTGCCGCTCTTGTTCACTGCCGTCTCCGAGGGTCGCCTGACCGTTGAGGACATTATCGCCCGTCTCTACGAGAACCCCAAGAAGATCTTCGAGCTGCACGACCAGGCAGACAGCTCTGTCGAGATCGAGGTTGACCGGCCGTACCTGTTCCAGGCCCCCCAGGGTGCCTGGTCTCCTTTCAACGGCAAGAACGTTCGGGGTGCTGTGCAGCGTGTTGTCTTCCAGGGCAAGACCTCCTGCCTTGACGGTGAAATCATCTCCGATGCCTCCACTGGAACCGACATGTCCACCCACCGGATTGTGCCCGCCTCTCCTTCCGTGAAGGCCATGTCCCCTATGGTGCATGCTCGTCCCGAGAGCTCTCTCGACCGCAGACTGTCCTTCTCTGGAACTCCTCTCCGCCCTGGCCGCAAGCTTGCTGAGCAGGCCCCTGCTGTGGGAGAGCTTGGACCTCCTCTGTACACCCCCGTTCCCCAGGTGTCTTCTTCTCTTCTTGAGATGCTCTCTCGGTCTACCTTCAGACAGAAGCACGTGCTGTCAGTCAACCAGTTCACTCGGGCTGACCTGCACCTGCTCTTCACTGTGGCTCAGGAGATGCGTCTGGGAGTCCAGCGCCAGGGTGTGCTTGACGTCCTGAAGGGCCGCGTCCTGTGCACTCTCTTCTACGAGCCTTCCACCCGGACGTCCGCTTCTTTCGATGCTGCCATGCAGCGTCTGGGAGGCCGCACCATTGCCATCTCCACCGAGCACTCCTCGACCAAGAAGGGTGAGACCCTGCAGGATACCGTCCGTACCCTCGGCTGCTACGGAGATGCCGTTGTCCTGCGTCACCCCGATTCCAGCAGCGCCGAGACCGCGGCCAAGTTCTCCCCTGTCCCCATCATCAACGGTGGCAACGGCAGCGTTGAGCACCCCACTCAGGCGTTCCTCGACCTTTTCACTATCCGTGAGGAGCTCGGTACCGTTACTGGCCTGACGATCACCTTCACTGGTGACTTGCGTTACGGCCGCACTGTGCACTCCCTGCTGAAGCTGCTCCAGTTCTACGATGTTCGGGTGCAGCTGGTTGCGCCGAAGGATCTGTCCCTGCCTGAGGAGGTCCGCCAGCAAGTCATTGCCTCTGGCCAGCTTGTTGTGGAGTCTGAGGAGCTGACTCCTGAGATTGTTGCCCGCTCCGACGTTCTGTACTCTACTCGTGTGCAGAAGGAGCGCTTCAGCGATCTGGCTCAGTACGAGCGTCTGAAGAACAGCTTCGTCATCGATAACGCTCTTCTGAAGCACGCCAAGAGCCACATGGTCGTGATGCACCCTCTGCCCCGTAACGCGGAGATTTCGGAGGAAGTTGACTTCGACCAGCGGGCGGCCTACTTCCGCCAGGTTAGTTTCTCCCCCGACCCTTTGTTTGAACATGATGCTGATGTTGGACTACAGATGAGATATGGTCTTTACTGCCGTATGGCTCTGCTTGCGTTGATTCTGGCGCCTTAGGTCATTCCGGGGTATTGACGAGTTGTACGAATTGAGGAAACCCGAGGATATCTGTGGCGTTGTTTCACAGGTCTGAATGGCGACCTCCAAGCATCATGTGTGATTTACGTTCCGTGTTGCTTTTCTTCCTTTTTTCCGCATTGGCTGGTGTTTTCTTTCGAAAAGTTAAGCAGTGTTATACATATACCGCGTAGGCTGCGAGGCGATTAGAATGCCCGCATGATAGATTAGATGAATTTCCTTCCATGAACACAATCATACCGTTATGTGTGATGTATGTGGTGTGTGTATTATGTATTGTGTGTGATGTGTGTGTTTTATGTGTGTGTTCTGTGTGTTGTGTGTGTCGTGTTCGTTATGTGTGTGTTTTGTGTGTGTTGTGTTTTCTGTTTGGTTTGGCGTTTTCTATGTTTTGTTTGGCGTGTTTTCTCTTTTTCTTTTTCTTTTCTTTTATCCTTGGGTTTGGATGGACGGACTTTGGGATTTTTGGGAACACTGGACTGGCGTTGAATATGCGGGACATTTTGGGTGGGATGGACAACAACAAGAGATACCCCTGACGACTATGAACAAGATACCACCGAGAAATGTTGATCATGACTCGCGAACAATACTATGATGATTATTCGATGCCATTTATTTTCCAATTTTCCCGATCTCTATATCTCGTATACTTTCCTTGTCTTATTGAATCTCATTTTAAGACGAATGTATGCCTAAGAATCACTTGTCATAATGGTTGTTGGTTACCTCTGTATCTGATTTCATACTTCCTACAGAAAAGTAGTATGCACGTTATGAAGATTATGCTATGCATTCAAGAATCACCGCCAACTGGTCTGAGCGATGAACGAGATTCATTCTAGCATCGCAACTCTCGCCCGAGTGAGCCAGATGACGTTGAGCGGGCTGCAGATGGCGTGCTTTCTCCTCCAGAATGCACCACTTCGGGCCTCTTATTCATCAGATCAAACTATGTGCGCAGAATAGCCATCAACTGTTCAATACTTACTCAGAACCAGCAATCTGAAGATCACTTACGCAGCGACATAAACCCACATCATCAAGCATCGTACTATGCAGGTCTTGAAGTATCCAATTAGTGGGTCTCTACCATCAAACAATCCCCCCATCATCATCAGGAACATCTAGCTGCACCCCCACCCCCGAACCTTATCAACTCTACTTCCTCTTGGGTGGACTACTCCACCAATCTCGTCATCACCGCTCCAGATTGCGCATCGGCTCGTGGATGTAAATATGCCATAGCAGGCAAGGATTAACCATTCTGGACCCTGACAATGCCTTTGATCGCGGCAGCCATGATGTCTGTCCCACGTGGAGTACAACTCCAGCAGCCGGGTTATATAGTCCCATCTTGTCATGGAAACGTGTCTGATTGACGCTGTCTGCAACACTTCAAGTTACTGCCAGAAACAGGGATCCATACTCTGCTAAGAAGCAGCATGACATCCACACCTGAAAAGACAGTAGAGGCCGACGAAAAGGCCGCCTCCCCAACCACAAGCAATGTCACAAATATCAACGAGAAAGCTCTCCTTCGCAAACTAGACTACCGTCTTCTCCCACCACTAACCATCCTATATCTCTTATCATTCCTCGATCGCAGCAATGGTACCCCCTCCTTCCCACACCTGATGATTCCATCAAATCTAACTAGACTCCATTACTACAGTGGGAAACGCCCGACTCGAAGGCATGGCCACTGAAATCCACATGTGTACGTATCTACCACATTCACCCCCACCACATCACATAACAACCCTAACAAGAAGATAGCAGGAGACCAATACCTCACCGGCCTAACCCTCTACTTCATCGGCTACGTCCTCTTCGAAGTTCCCTGCAACATCGTCCTGAAGAAGACTACTCCCCGGATCTGGCTCCCCACTCTAACATTAGTCTGGGGCGTTGTGGCGACGCTTCTGGGCGTGGTTCAGAACTATGCGGGATATCTGACTTCACGGACTGGTACACTTCCTCCCTAACCTAACTGCATCATGATATGTATGACGCTAATGAACGTGCTAAACAGCCCTCGGCATAGCAGAAAGCGGCCTCTTCCCAGGAGTCGTCTTCTACCTATCCATGTGGTACAAACGCAACGAGCAACACTACCGCGTAGCATTATTCTTCAGTGCCGCTTCATTAGCAGGTGCATTCGGAGGGATTCTAGCTTGGGTTGGTCTACCACCCCGTTCCCTCCTTTATCATACACTGAGCTAATCATGCTAACAATGTATCAGGGCATAGCCCACATGCAAGGCGTAGGCGGATACAGTGGCTGGAGATGGATCTTCATCCTGGTACTATCCCCAACCCTCTTCCCCCAATACATCAAACCCCAACTAACCCAAACCTCTCTAAATGAAGGAAGGACTCCTCACAGTCCTCATGTCCATCGGCGCTTACTTCTGGGTCTACAATTACCCCTCAACAGCCGAATTCTTGACCCCCGAAGAGCGCCAATTCATCCAGTTCCGTCTGAAGAACGACAACGACTCGACCCGTGACGAACAATTCACCTGGAGTGCTGTCTTCGACGCTTTCAAAGACATCAAGGTCTGGTTATATGGACTAGCGTTTCACACGATGTCACTGCCGCTGTATACTTTGTCTTTGTTTATGGTGAGCTATCCCCCCACGCTCCCTCCAACCCACAAACACTCACTAATCGAAACCCGCTACAGCCAACAATTATCTCCGCCCTAGGCTACACATCCGCCCAAGCTCAACTCCTCACTGTCCCGCCTTACGCCGTCGCCTTCATCTTAACCATAACCGTAGCTATTTTGTCAGAGCGCACGCACCGTCGCGCGCCGTTCATTCTCCTTTCCACGGGCCTAGCATGCATTGGATACATTTTACTTCTGAGTGATCATCGACCAGGGGTATCCTATCTGGGCACGTTCTTCGCTGCAGCGGGGATCTACCCCGCCGTGGCAATTGTGTTGTCGTGGCCGGCGAATAACGTCTCCGGTCAGACGAAGCGGTGTATTGCGAATGCGATGCAGATTTCGATTGGCAATTTGGGGGCTGTGTTGGGGACGCAGCTATATCGGACGGAGACGAGTCCGAGGTATTTTTTGGGTCATGGGTTTGCGTTGGGGTATCTAGTGGCGAATCTGGTGGTTGTGGGAGTGCTGTGGGAGGTGCTGAGGAGGGAGAATAGGGTTAAGGCGGAGGTGAGGGAGAGGGAGGGCATGGAGGCGTTAATGGGGGATGTGGGTGATGCTGAGGGGGATTTCTTGGGGGATCGGGATCCGAGATGGGTGTTTCAGACGTAGTGTCGGTATCCAGATAAATCTGGGGGGGTATAAGGGCTCAAATTGTGCTATGGTTCTCTTGTACGTCTAATTTAGGGTGTCTGCTTCGTATTCTCATTTCTGGAGGGTTGCGTGAGTTGGTTTGAGTAACCCTAACTAACTCCCACCGCTCCTGGCGGGTAGCTGCTTATATTGACCCTCCCAGTAGCTATGAAGAAGAGTTACTCCGGGGATGTAAGGGCCCACTGTTGCAATTGGGTCAGTAATGTTCTATGTATGCAAAAATGCTGCGATAGGTGCACCCGAGTGGACGATACTCACTAGTTTGAGCGCATCGGCTCAAGGTGATGGATGAACGTATCCAGAGTCTCTCCTAATTCGGCAGCCCCGTCTCAAGGCCAACAACGACTTCCCAAAAGAGACATCTTCAGTCACGACTTCCTTGTTCTTCTCAGTTCCTTCCTTTCATGATCAGAGTGCACCATCTCCTGGTTGCAAAGCGAACGATGCTTTCTCTCTTCGGGTTACTTTCTTCAGCAACATTCCTCTCTTTTTACTATAGTACTTGTTCATTTGCTACATCTTCATTTATCTTATATCACCATCATCACACTTACCATGACAAACCAGACCCCAGAAACGCTTAGCCGGTGGAGTTTGACCGGCATGCGCCTTCGCCGACACCGCAAATTGGTCAAACGACACTACCCACTGCCAGTAGGCGCACCACCCCATTCCAAGGGGGTCATAGCAGTCAATGCGCGAGAAGGCCAACGCCAAATAGTTGTCTATAAGTACTGTGGAGTAGAAATCGCCGGTGCGGCTCCAGTCATCATCCACCTCAGCGGCAGGGGCTTCTGCGTCAAGTCGCATGGCATCGACGATGACTTCCTTCACTGTGTCGCACGTGATAATAGCACCTTCCTAGTCCTCGACGTTGAATACCGTCTCGCCCCGGAGTACCCGTTTCCTGCGGCGCTCGAGGACGTCGAGGACGTATTGCAATTTCTCAAGGGGCATCCTGACAAGTACGATCTCACACATTTGGCTATCTGTGGGTTCGGTGCTGGGGGAAACCTGGCTTTGGCTATGGCGATCAGTTCTCCTCCTGATACTTTTGAAACTGCGGTTGTGTTTTATCCAATCACCGACATGTGGATTTCAGAAAAGCTTAAGATTCAACTCATGGATCCGAGGATAAGGGACAGGATGAGAAGGGGGACGGGTGGAGTGATGCCGCTATGGGTGATGGACACGACTCTCAAGTGTTAATTTGCGCGGACACCCTCGTAATATTGTGATGGATGTGAGGGTTTCGCCGGGTCGCCAGCAGGACATGACTAGGTATCCGCGCAGGTGTTTCTTTATTACATGTGAAGGGGATCCGTGGGCCCTGGAAGCTAGGACGTTGGCAACTGGGTTGATGGGAGCCAGGCGTGGAACTCCGGCATTTACGACAGTGAGGGTGATGGAGATACCTGGCGTAGGCCATGCTTGGGATAAGTATAGAAAGCTTGATACGCATGGAATGCAACTGAGGAACATGGCGTATAATGAGGCGGCGCGCTTTTTGAGGAGAGAGGTCGATCCATGACTTTCATGCATTCGTTCAGCTGTTAGTGGACTCTATGTGGTATTATAATTATCTCTAGGTTAGGCTAGGCCAGCTCCGGCCAATATTTCTGCACCAGCGTCTTCTTGTTCACTTTGCCCATGGCGTTGCGTTCAATCGCTTCCACCAGCTTGAGCACCGTCGGCACCTTGTAAGGCGCCATCTCCTGCTTGAGCTGCGCACGCAGACTCGCCAATTCCAGGGGTTCCGTCTATATCCATATTAGCATGCACTCACTCAGCCCGTAACAATAGAAACATCAAACAAGATAAACTCACCCCAGACCGCTGCTTAACCACGGCAGCCACACGCTGTCCCCATTCCTCATCCGCCAATCCCACGACTGCCACCTCCTGGATAGCATCCAGCCCCAGCATCTTCCGCTCCACCTCCAACGCCGAGATCTTATACCCTCCAGACTTGATCAAGTCAACGGACGCACGACCCTGGATAAAGTACGCCCCCTGCGCATCCCGTCTCGCCACATCCCCAGTCTTGAACCACCCATCCTCAGTGAACTCCTTCTTCGTAGCCTCCGGCTTGCGCCAATACTCCATGAAGACATTATCACCCTTGATCTCAATCATACCATCCTCATCCACAGCATCAATCACCTTGCCGCTCTCCTTATCCGTCAACCGCACCTGCACGCCCGGCAACGGCCACCCCACGCTGCCGTCAATGCGCTTCTCCGTCTCCAAGCCGCAGCTAATCGCCATTCCGATCTCGGTCATTCCGAACCGCTCGAGGAGAATCTGTCCCGTGATGGCGGCGAACTTGCTCTTGATGGGGGTAGGGAGCGCCGCGGACCCGCTGACCATTAGGCGGAGGGATTGGGCGCCAGAGCGGGCGGCCGATTCGTGCTCGGTGCCTCGGAGGTGGGTTTCGAAGTAGTCGATGAGGCGAGAGTAGATGGTGGGCACGGCCATGAACATGGTTGAGCCGCCTTCGCGCCAGCGGGTCCAGATCGTGGCGGGGTCGAATTTCGGATGCATTTCGACGGTGACGCCACTGAGAAGACTGGCGGCGAGGCCGTTAATGATGCCGTGCACGTGGTGGAGGGGGAGCACGTGGATCAGCCGGTCAGTGGGACTGTATTTCCAGGCTTCGATGAGGCATTGTGCCTGGAAGGTGATGTTTTTGTGCGTGGTCACGCAGCCCTTTGGGTTGCTGGTTGTGCCGGAGGTGTAGATCATTAGGGCGCGGTAGTCCAGGAAGGAGATCGGGCTGATGGTGGGGAGGGTGATTGCGGTGGTGGTTTGCTGGTGCGGGGTGAGGGGTTTGAAAGGGACGGGTTTGGTGATGCTTTCCTTGAGGGGTGTCTCGAAGTGCGCGAATGTTGGGTGCAGGAGAATCAGGGAGGGGTCGGAGTCTCCGATCGTGTAGAGGAGCTCTTTGACTGGGTGGGTGGTGCCTTTGAGTTTTGAGGTTAGTGTTTATCGTTGGGTTCTTGAGGCGCAATGGGCTATTTTTGGGTTCTCGGGTGATTATCATAGTGCAGGGTGTGGTGTGGACATACAGAGAGGGACTGTGACACCCCCCGCGGCCCAGACGGCCCATTGCGTAACCACGTAGTCGTAGCCATTGGGCGTTAGGAAGGCGATGCGGCGCTCTTCCAGGTTTCCGACTTCAGTGAGGCCTAGCTCTTCCAGAATGACCTTCTTCAGGGCGGCGGCATCGGCTAGCAGTTGTCCATAGGTGAAGTCCTGCCCTTTGGTGGCGTCGACGACGGCAACCTTGTCGGGAGTGTTCTGCGCAAAGGCATTTGCTTGCACGAACAAGGGCAGAGACGGGAGGGCCGTCAATGGGAGGGCCTGGTGCTCGGCATCTTGCCTGCGCGGGCCACGTCGATTGTGAGCATTACTTAGGGTTACAAGTAACTGCGGATCAAGGCTCGGGAGCGATACTCACCCTTGTATAGATTGGCCATTAGGGAGCCCCATGTTGATTGATTGATGTCGCGGGGGAGAGACTGTACTGATTGAAGGGAGGAAGAAAGATTAGATCGGAGGAAAAAGCGACAGACGAAAAAAAGAAGCAAGGAGCCCCAGACAGGAGCCAATAGAGGGGATGAACCCACTTGCTGTTGAGTCTGCACGCAATAATCTTCGTCCGCTGCTTATCGTTCGGAGTTTCACGCGGATTTTGTAGCCGAAACTGTTGGGGTCCGCCGCTCGGCTTCTAGATTTGGGGCCGAGGTGGAACTTGTGTGTCCAGCCATGCCCACTTCATGTTGATGGAAAGCAATTGCTATCAGCTGCGCTTTCAATTGCTGGTGAGGGGGTTCAGCCATCTCGTAGATTTGTGTGAAAGAGCTGTCTTTTGGGGACAAGTATTGAAGACAACATCGTGTAGGCCATCGTCTCAGGTAAGCCATGTCAGATCATCTCTAGTCAGGCACCGTAAGAAAAGCGATCAGCACACTAGCCACACTCTTCTCAGACAAGTAGCGAGTCATGCTAGACAATAGCATCTAATGATAGCCAGCAAGAAATGTGGAGAGATCAGTTCAGTTGCCAGCTCGACTTCGAGGGAGAGATCCATGAGCAGCCTATCTTCACGTGATCCCACGTGTCCGGGATTGCTTGATGCCGACTTCGGAGATCCTCTAGACGCTTTTGCTACTATTCTATCCCCCGCTTCAGTAACATGATGGAGGTAGCTTGAAGGACAGGTATCTGCGTATCTCTGCTTGTAGGAATTTTTTCAGACTTGTCGATTGCAAGTTTCAATTCAAGGGAGGAATAGTTTGTGCGGGGGTATACATGGATCCATTGAACGTCGGTATAGCGCCATATACACAACGAAGCTCAGCGTTCATGGGTATGGGTAGAACATTTAGAGAATACAGAATAGAAGACACGAACATAGGTCCATTCTGGAGCACGGCGCGTGGGGTCTATGTCAAACAGACTGAAAATATAAAAGTGCACAAACGGGCGACGCAGAACACACATCATCAAACATAGCCTCCTGAGGCTAGTGGTAATAGACAGAAAGATAAGCCAATATACACGCGTCACTTAAATAATTGCAGCTGCCGCTGCAGTATCCGCTAACCCGGAAATAAGGGACTCAGACCGGGTCATCTGCGGTCGTTCGGTGAACTCTTCACCCGTCTCCAAGTCCTTCGCGACGAGGTCGGTAAAGTCCACGCCTACCTCGGTCAGCTGATCAGCCTGCTCATGCACGATGTCAATGCATTTCTGCCAGACAGTTGTGCCGCGTTGGACGCTGCTGAGCTGGCGCGTGAGCAGGGCGTTAAAGCCGTCAAGGTGGTGTTTTGCCCAACGGATACTGGCGCTGGACATGACCGGCGGAAAACACTGTTGGTAGATGCTAATGGTGTTCTTGATCAACGTGAAGTAGACGTAGGAGATCTGGAAAATGTAGAGTGGGAGGTCTCCCTCGAAGATACAGGCACTGCAGTAGGTTAGTATTCGTGCGACTGGGTGAGCGGTATCGGGAGACATACCGGATCCGTTTGGAGACGATTTCCGAGCGGGTTTTCAAGTACGCTTCCCGGGCTTGATCTTCAAAGCCTAGCCGCGTGAGCCAGGAGACCCTCGTTTTGGTCGACACGGGAAATGAGTGTGTATCCACGAGCGCTCGCAGAAGTACCTCCGCCAGGGTGGCTGCACGCTCGTCGACCTTCGTATTGATCACGTCCTGCGCGACCGCGTTGCCCTTCAGGCCCTTGGCGAGCTTGCGAAGCCGCTCGACGTTAGACACAGCCTCCTCAAACCGCTGCAGGGCGATGTCAATATCCAATTCGTCCACCTGCCCGTCCACCCAACGAAGATTCTGTTGCTTTCCATCCACATCGATACGCACCTCCGGCTTGTCGCGGGTGCTTTCGCCGCCGTCATACTGATCCGGCATGGGGGAATGGGAGGGGCGCCGGACGCCCAGGTAGCCGAATGACTCGGTGGATTTGCTTGCGGCCTCAGTCTCCGAGCGAAGATTACGTCGGAGATCCTCGACAGTCTTCCGGAAGGTCGCGAGCAGTTCCCCTTTAGCCGAGCTGTCGCGCTTGTCATGACGATAGGTAAACGGCTTCCCGCCGACGCGGACGTTGATTGCATTCGCAATTCCCCGGTCTTCGGCTTCATCTCGAGCAACCCCCGCGGAGAGATTGGCACCAAGGTCGATCATATCGACGTCTTGTAAGGGCCAGCATTCTTCCGCGACCAGCTTGGTGGGGACCGGCCCGCGATGGCTGCTCTGGTCAACCCGCTTGCGCTTCTTCGCGGCGATCAGCAGGTGGTCGTTGAGCAACACTATGTGAACTGGTCGCCTGGGCTTCCAGGTTGCAGAGTCCAGTTCCACCCAATGCCCCGTCTCCATCACGATGTGTCGGCCAGGTACCACCGGTAGGAACTTCTGGGAGCCCTCCACCGTCTTCCAGAGGGTTTGAAGCTGGACGTTCCACATGCTCTCCAGATTAGCGACAGAACTCCGGTTGGCATTACGTTTCGGCATGTACTCGTCAACGGCGGGGGACATGGGATTCGGGGTGTTGCCGATGGTGGTCTGTCCGAGCGCAGTGGTAAGCTCCGCCATCAGAGTGCGGAGGGTCCGCATTTCCCCTTTGAGCTTCTCCGCCTCCTTACTGATCTTGATGAATTGAGTGCGGTTCTGGTAAACATTTTGCTGCAGATCGGTCGAAGTTCGGTTTTTAACCTTGCGAAGGCTCTTCTGATATGCTTCGATTTCCTCTTCCGAGGCATTGGCGAGCAGGTTGGCAACGTCTGGCGGAGATTGGTGCCACGTTAGCACCCGTGGGATCGGGAGGGGGAAAACGCGGGGACCTATATCGGGCGTCACTCACACTTGTCAACTGGGAGGCTAGGATCCCGAAGGGCATTCAAGTCCACCTTGGGGGGACCAGAAGACTCGGTGGACGGTCTTCGACTCGTCTCGGGTGGGCTGAGCCCGCCATACGTGGCTGGTGCCTTGGGCAGGCCCGGCACCGGCGGAGCGCTGACATCGAAGTCGGGGGCCTGATTAAAACGGGTGGAATAGCGGCGCTTGACTAGATCAGAGGTCGCGCCCTTCGAAGGGGCCCGGTCCAGGGAGGTCGAGCTGGGAGAGGAAGTGTTCTGCCCTGGAGTACCGGCACCCTTACTGCCGTTATTGGTCGGCAAAGGGCCGGATATGGGCTTCGGAGCACTGATCTGGGGGCGGGGGCGGCGCGACTTGCTGCGGAGGGTCAAGCCACGGCTCTCCATGACTGGCAGCGAGTCTATGAGATAGAAAGATTGAGCCTGCAATCTCGTGGAAGGGGCGGAATGTACCGAGAGAGAGGAAGTATAGAGAGAAGGGGAGTATGGGAAGGGCAGCTCAAGCGGGACAGAAACCCCGAGGCGGAACAACAATGATCCCGGCAAAATTATCCGGGCAGCAAAAGAATCGCCGTCATCTCTTCACGTCCGCTTGTTTGCCTGTCTTGCTTCAGCTCAACCTCTCCCGTTCCCTCCCCCTTCGACGCCGTCCAGTTCCCTTTTCTTGGTGGACTCGCCCTTTCGCCGCTTCCGTCTCTCTTCCATCTTCACATCCCATCCAACCTTCATCATGAGGACGTCGACCTTGGTTGCCGCTACTGCCGGCACAATCGTCACCGGCCTTTTGGGTAAGGACACCAGCCCGGCCATCCACGGAACCATATACCGAGGTTGTCCAAACTGAGATGCTGATCGCCTTCATTGCCCTTTCTAGCCTACGCCGTCTACTTTGACCACAAGAGACAGACCGACCCGGAGTTCCGCAAAGCTCTCAAGAGGAACAACCGCCGCATGGCAAGGGCTGTCAAGGAGGAGGCTGAGGCCCAGGGTGCCATGCAGCGCGAGGTCATCAAGAAGGTCGTGCAGCAGGCCAAGGACGAGGGTTTCCCTACGGACCTGGAGGAGAAGGAGGCCTACTTCATGAGCCAGGTCGCTCAGGGAGAGTCTCTTGTTGCTGAAGGTATGCATCTCCCGGCCTGACGCGCTTTGATCACGTCCCCTACCCTATCTATGCATTGGCAATCCACGTACCAACCGCACTACAGAACCCATTGAGGCTGCCTTGTGCTTCTACAAGGCCCTGAAGGTCTACCCCCAGCCCAAGGACCTGATCTCCATCTACGACAAGACCGTGCCCAAGGAAGTGCTGGAGATCCTGGCCGAGATGGTCGCTCTGGACTCCGGCTTGAAGCTGGGCTCGTTCACTGGCGAGAGCGCCGCTCCGGAGAGCCACGGAGTCGAGTAAATTCGATTCCATCATGACTTCTGACCCCCGGCCTCCCCATCTCTCTCCCTCTTGCTTCGTTCACCCACCCGCCCTTTTCCCGCAAATGAACCCTGGCCTTGAACGTGTGTGACTTCTATAATATCCGGTTCACGCTGGGCCGTGGCCTGGTCTTCTGGCAGCGACGGAATCATCGGAAATCGCTGTCCGTCTGCCAGTCACACTTCTCCCCTCTCCATTACCCATGTACTTCCGCACCATTTCCTTTCCAGAATTCCCTGTATATGTGCATTGTGTCTTGGCCGCCGACCTGGCGGACATTTTTGGAATTTTTTCGGCGCCATCACTGTGTTGTTTCTTCTCCTCATCTTTTCTTATTCTCTACCGGGCCTGAACGGACGGCAAATGATCCGAGTCACTGGGGCCGGTAATATCTTCTTCCCGAGGTTTTCTCACGATGGGATGGAAACCCGGGTTATGTATTCCTAGACGCACGAACATGTAGTAGTTGAGAGTGCACGAGTCACTTGAGCCAAAAAACGACGATTTGTTTGATGTGAAAGAAGCGCATATGTATGAAGTTGTAAGGAGCATGGTGAGCGGTGGGTGAGCTGTGAGCGGTGAACTGCGTGGTGATGTGTTTATTGTGGTGCACGGTTATACTTTGTCTGTGCTAAGCAGCTCCGACACGCGAAATTGAACCAGGCAGGCATGCGTAATCAGCTCACACCCTCTTCATATCTTGGGCGACGACCCTCTTCGTTAGCCTGATGGTGCCAGGGTACTAAGTTAACTAACAGGGTCTCCAAGGGACAGGGAAAAGGGAACAGCCAGGATCGGCCCTGAAATTGGCTGGTCTGAGGCACGCCGTCGGGCTGATGGGGCGAGGGCAGGCCAATTACACCAGCAGCGACGGGGCTATTGGCGAGTAGCGGAGATTAGCGGTGCTTTGCGACCTCCACTTGGTTGGCGGTTTCAATCAATCTCGAATCACCGGGAGATTGCCTGCCTCCTGTTGGTCCCTGAGGGTCTTTGGGGGGGTTGAAGGACCAAAGACCGTCCCTGCCTTGATTTTTATAGCCATGAGCATGTCTCACTCCGGCCTCTTTCTTCTCGTGCTTCCCTGTTCAGCCTCTCACCCCCCCGCGCGCTTTCCTTCGTTAGCTGCCTTGTTTTGGGATTCTATTCCCACGTCACTCATTTTTATATACCAATCGTTGCTGTTTCGGATCTTCCTGTGGAAGACTCCATCCTCTCTTTTTTTCTCTTCTTCTATATACTATAACCTTTTCAAGAGTCGATATCTGTCGCTCCTGAAAACGTCGCAAAATGTTTCCCGTGAGTTCTATATCGATGGCACTTTGCGACCATGGGATAGGTTGCTGACTGATGGTCTGGTATAGACATACACTCAACTGTTCGCCGCGGCTTGCGCTTTTGCGACCACCGCCAACGCTGTGACTCCCATCGAAGTCAAGGGCAAGGACTTTGTCAACAGCAAGACTGGTGATCGCTTCCAGATCCTGGGTGTCGAGTAAGCATCCCCTTATCGCCGGCAAACTTATCTTTCGAGGAAAATCCATGTGCTGACTCCATGCTCGCTTCGCGCAACAGCTACCAGCCCGGTGGTTCCTCTGGCTTCAGTGCCACCCAGGACCCCCTGAGTGATGCAGATGCCTGCTTGCGCGATGCTGCTCTCATGCAGAACCTGGGTGTAAGACTTTCCATCCTGCTGAATCTCTCTCGCATTCACCCCCGCTAACTGTGGGGACCTGTCCAGATCAACACCATCCGTGTGTACAACTTGTCTCCCAATGTCGACCACAGCAAGTGTGCCTCCATCTTCAACGGAGCGGGTATCTACATGATTCTCGATGTGAACTCCCCTCTGTCCGGTGGCTCGCTTGACCGCACCAACCCTTCCAGCACCTACAACTCTGTCTACTACGAGCAGGTCTTCGGTGTCATCGAGGCCTTCAAGAACTTCCCCAACACCCTGGGTTTCTTTGCCGGTAACGAGGTTATCAACGAGCAGAGTGTCTATGAGGCCCCTGCTTACGTTCGTGTATGTTCCCCGTTGTCTCATTGGTGTGGCGTGATCGAATTCCTTGTTAATCATCTCTTCAGGCCGTCGTGCGTGATATGAAGGACTACATCTCCACCAACGTCAACCGCTCCATCCCTGTGGGTTACTCCGCTGCTGATGTGCGCCCCATCCTCATGGACACCCTTGACTACTTCGAGTGCAACCTGGAGAACTCGACCAGCTCTCGCTCCGACTTCTTTGGCCTTAACTCGTACTCCTGGTGTGGCGAGTCTTCCTACAAGGCCTCCGGCTACGACGTCCTGACTGAGGACTTCTCGAACGCCTCCCTGCCCGTTTTCTTCTCCGAGTACGGTTGCAATGCCGTCCAGCCCCGTGTCTTCACCGAGGTGCAGGCCCTCTACGGCAGCGAGATGGACCAGGTCTTCTCCGGTGGTCTGGTCTACGAGTGGACCCAGGAAGCCAACGACTACGGTCTCGTCGCCATCAACAGCAGCGACACAGCCACCCTGCTGGTCGATTATGAGAACTTGCAGAAGCAGTACAACAAGCTGGACATGAGCAGCATTGAGTCCTCCAACTCGTCCCAGACCTCCAAGGAGGCTGTGACCTGCAGCTCTGATCTGATCACCAACAACACCTTCCTGAACTCCTGGGACCTGCCTACCGTTCCCTCCAAGGTCGCTGACTGGATCAAGAACGGCTACAGCAACGCCACTGTCGGCAGCCTCGTTGCCGTGTCTGCCACCACCATCCCCCAGACCATCTACGACTACAACGGCAACAAGGTCTCCAGCGTCAAGTACAAGGTGCTGTCCGGCGATGAGTCCAACACTCCCGGCAACTCCACTTCCCTCACGAGCAGCTCCAACAGCTCTAGCACCTCGAGCTCTAGCTCTAGCTCCAGCTCCGGCTCGGGCTCCAGCTCCGACGATTCTACCTCGGGCAGCAGCGCCCTGTCTGCCCCCTTCATGGGTGTGCTGACCGGCGCCACTCTGTTTGCCGTCTTCATGCTGTAGAGCTGCTCCCCTTAGACATTTTTGCTGTTTCACTTTACATTCTGCAACCCCTTGTTCTGATTAGATTCTTTCCCCATACTGTTCCCGGTGAACCTGTTCTTGCCAATTATGACCATGACCTTTTGCCCCCAAGATGGAGGGTTTGTTCCACATGTATAGAGTGAGGTCCCCTGAATAGAGCTAAGTGGCAGTGGGCAGTTTGACTCGGGATATGATTTCGACGACGTTTAATACATCTACATGCTGTATATATACCTTTTTGTATTAATTTTGTAGTGCGGCTTTGCCGTAATGGAGTTATTACCTCGATTGTTCTTGTGAGCTTCACATGTGGTATGGATCTGATTACTAGTATATTATAGTCATTTTCGCGTCATGTGGCTGTAGTAATGCAATCACTTAGTCCTTGGTTACACTTCTTCTTTCCTAGCAGGCTCCACCATTGAACTTTTCGCAATCCTACTCCATCCTCGAGATCTAAATGAACGCTCTGAAGAATGACAGTAGAACTTGAGCACTAGATGTCTCCGTGCTAGAGAAATCAATACCCTCTTCTTGCATCATGCGATGATGCACTACTAGTCTAACACTACCTTGATATATATCCAGAAGAAAAACCTACAACATATCAATGATGGTAGCAATTTCGCAACCGCTACAGGATTATATCTTAATGACTAACTGATATACCATACACAGATCATATATTACGCAACACAGCATCAACAATTTAATCACATCGCAATAGATAACATACAACAGCAACGGTGATATCAAACAAATAGCACAATTGTATGGATAGAGATGTCTATCAAATCATATCACACACTCATTCGCAAATAGAGATCAAGCACGACCCTTTCCTTTGTCCTGCCCAGGAGACGGTTGGGCCGACGGTGACAGTGCTGGGAATGCCTCTGTCGGGTTGTGCTGGCCCGATTGACTCTCCGCTTCTGCGAGACTCAGCTGGATCGCGAACTCAAGATCATCGATCTCTTGTTGGCGACTGCTTTCCGCGACAGCTGGGCCTGATAGAGATGGGGAGGGTGGCTCGAATGGACCAGTGTCTGTGTCCAGGTCAGCGCGGGGCTTGTTGTCTTCGAGGAGACTGAGACGGATGGCTTCAGCGATATCAGGCTCGAGGTCACCGTCGGCGAAGTCTTCGTAGGGAGACGATGCAGAGGATAGCTCATCGGGTGCGATAGAGCTGTCATTCGGCCCGATGGTGTCGCTGGGAGAGGTGCTCACTGCCGAGCTCTCTATTACTTCACCGCGTTTGTGGGCTTCGCTGGAGTAGGCCTCTTGGCTGAGAAGTTGGGCGTAAGCGAGGAGCTGTTCTTCGTCGACGTCAGGGCCGAGAAGGTCAACGCCGAAGCGGTGGCTGAGGTGGGCGCGCTCCTTTTCGTCGGCGATCCTTTGACGTTCCATTTCGACCTTCTCATCTTCGATGTAGTCCTTGAGCGCGCCGCGGCCGCTAGTGTTGAAACGTTGACCTTCTGGAGCGGAGTTGCTGCCCCTTAGACCGCGACGGAGCCGACGCTTACTGGACTTGTATTGGTCGGCGCCGGAGGAGCTGTAGGACCAGTAACGCAGGTGGCTTCCTAGAGCGACCATGCCTCGTAGGACGGTTGGATCGGGATCGAGGCAGATAGCGCCTGTCGCATAGTAATTGTTACCAACGCCGTTAATGGATGCCTCGGCTTGGACAAGTCGGCGGCGCGCGCGCGTAGAGAATCGCGAATTGATAGTCCGAATTGGCCGAGTCGAGGAGGCAAGGGGATCCCAGGCCTGAACAAGGCCATCGTTTCCACCATGGACTAAGTATAATGAGGTCAAAGCGACGCAGGAAACTTGAGGAGATTCCGTTTGAATAATTCGAATGGGCGAAACGTGATTGATGACTTCAGCATTTTTCGACGTGGGCGACCGGATGTCCCATACGAAGACCGTTCCCGTGGCTGTACCCACAGCCAAGTAGCGTCCTCGCTGACCAGGCACTTCTGCATTGCCAGGCGATTGCTTCATGTGCGGAAGAGGTGAAGACGTCGCCGAGGAGAGTGCGGAGCTGCCGGACATACCGATGAGAGGATCTTCATCAATTGTCAACAGGGCATAGGTCGACAAGTCCAACGCACTCGTGGTGATCTGGACTGACTTTCTGTCACCAAAGTCGAAATCCGTGATGCGCCATTCGGTGTTTGAAAGGGAGCAGATCGTCTCACTCAAGCCACTGGAAGCGCGAGATGGAGCCATACTGCTGGAGCTGCTCACAGAAGAGAGGATAGGAGACTTGACGGGACCACCAAAGATGGACGGTACAGGCACGTTACCAACGTTGTGAGATCCGTGAATCGGCAACGACGTATCATGTCGAATTATCTTCCTCGTGTATCTGCGGATCGAAGCTTTCCCGTCATCTCCCACACCCTGGGAGATCACAAGGAACGATTCGCCGGCTCCGTGGCCATCGTCTCCCGCGAAATCGACCTTCAGATCACGTCT